ACCGATATGACAGAATCTACTGAGCTTCTAGCTTTTAAAAGACAAAAGGATGATTATAAAGTTATTGTTAAAATTTTCATTGTGTATTTGTGTTGTTCTATCTTGAGACGAACTCAAAGTCCGGCAAAATTTACTTGCTAGCGACTATGAAATATACATGGTGTGCCTACTTGTCGCCACCGTTTACTGGCATAAATCACTTCAATTTGCTAAAAAAAAGTCTAACATAACACTCTTACCATGTTTATTTATGATTTTATTAGCTGTTTCGATTATTATATTACACCTGGGTGTTACTTTTTGCCAGGAGCCCAGGTTTTGCCTTATGTTTTCCCCTTCCCAATTTATATGGGGGAAAAAACTCTTAAAAACTCTGTAAACTCTTAAAACTTTCTAGCAGTATTGTCGGGTCGTCCCTAGTATACATTTTAAAGAGCTGTATAGATACTGAAATCTTTCCAAACGAGTGGAAAATTGCCAAAGTTACACCGCTATTTAAGAAAGGATCCAAGCGTGAACTAGGGAACTATCGACCAATATCAGTATTGCCACTCGTCTCAAAAATTTTCGAAAAAATTATTTATCGTCAACGATATGATTACCTTCAGGATAATAGCCAATCTGGCTTTCGATCAATGCACAGCACGCTAACAGCCCTGCTTGAGACAACGAACAACTGGTCAATAAATATTGACAACGGTCTCTTAAATGGCGTGCTATTAATTGATCTTAAAAACATGTAAAAAGGCCTTTGATACAATCGATCACGAAATAATTTGAATGATCTTCCTAATTGTCTCGATATTTCCTGCGCAAAAATGTTTGCCGACGATACTAACATCACCGTCCCTGGTTGCACTTTTGCCGAACTCGAACAAGCAACAAATTCTGAACTTGACAATCTTTACAGCTGGCTAAAAGCCAATAAGCTTAGTCTAAACATCGCGAAAACTAAGTTTATGGTGATTAGTACTCGTCAAAAGTTTCTTGTAAAAAATTGTAGTGAGATTAATATCCAATTAGATGGCCATCCAATTTACAGGGTTGAACACGCCAAATCATTAGGTTTAATTATTGATGACCGACTTTCATGGTCTAATCACATGAAATTAAAGAACTATGCAGAAAGATATCCTCGGTAATAGGTGCTCTGAAGCGCATTAGGTCTCTCATTTCTCAGTCCACTACAGTACAAATATATAACGCTTTAATCCAACCTCATTTCGATTACTGTGCCCCCGTTTGGAATAGATTGAGTTCTTATCTATTTGAGAAACTACAAAAATTGCAAAACCGAGCAGCTAGGGTTATTCTGCAAGCCAACTGTGAGGTAAACTCAAGCCTACTTCTTGAAACTTTGAAGTGGGACCAGCTATCATTAAGAAGAAGAAAGCAGAAAGCCATAATGATGTTTAAATCCCTCAACGGGTTAGCCCCAGTGTACTTGCATGATTTATTCAGTGAGCAACACACAGACTATGACTTGCGTGATTCTTCCCGTAAGTTAAACTTACCCAAGCCGCGTACTGACTATTTGAAACGTAGCTTTGGCTATAGCGGTGCCTTACTGTGGAATTCTACCTCTTCCTGAGAATATTAGGGCGATTAGATCATTTGGGCTGTTTAAGAAGGAAATCAACCGCGCACTTGAAACATTCGATTCCCACTCGGCAATCTTGTAAATCAGTTTTTATAGTTATTTTAATTTTTTACAAATGCTTGTAATTAAAATACTATTAGTATAACTGAATATTTTTAACCGAGTTTAAATAAAAGATCTACTACTATCATAAGCTAGTCACGCAATAATTGATACCGACACAAATGAATATTTACCCTGTATAAAGATTTTTGTTCAAGTTAATTAAAAAGATAAGAATATGTGCTTTTTGTGGTCACTAATCGTTGTTTCAGTGGCAGCGACGCAGTTAAAAGCGGGTTGTTGCTTCAACGCTACTGAAAATTGTAGTGTTCAGACAAGAGAGCAAAGCATGATGCTCGTGGAAAAAAACTTTTAGGGGTAGACACTCATATCTGTATAAATCCTCTTTAGGAGCGAGGGAAGCATAGAAAAAGACAGAAAAGGACATAGATACTTAGTTTTACAGGCTTAATTATCTTGCATCAAAAATCTAATAGTCCATTCCTTAGATGCTATCAGGCCCTATAACTTTTTATTTTTCTCGCGGGTCTCGGGACGCTTGTTCGACTAAGGTATTTAGTACAGATGAAACCAAGGTAAAACGAACTTAAGCAAAGCTTACTTAGGTTTCAATGGATCTATTCTTTGATGCAAAGACTCCTTTACCGTAGATGTGATTATTATTGTCCTTTTTTTTCCTAGATGGCTTCTGTAATTCACCAAAGTCAAAAGCGTCCAACCGACGCTTAGGGTTGTAACTGTCTCGAGCAATTACGTCAGATCAAGCGCGTGCACTCAAAGGCTGCGGCTGAAAACTTCTCAGTCCCCAGTAGTCCAACAGTACGGAGGGTATCCCCGTCAGTAGGACTGCGCATGTCGTCAACATCGATCAGCGGTCTCACAGACCTCACAGAGTACATTATAAAGTAATGCTGAATTAACACTTAGTATTATTGAAGTGGAATTCAATGAGGTGTCCCTTGAGGGTAAGGTTTTTCCCTCGAACGTCTAATTTAGTGCTTGAAACCTTCTTTCGATAAAGAAACTTTGAAGAAACGAAAGAATCCTTTGAAATATCGTTTAACCCTTTACTCCCTTACATCAGAATGCATATTCTCCATACTATTCTCTATACATCTTCAAAGGTGCTGACAAGGAGAATTTGTTTATCAATCAAGAGTTTTTCAAGCTGGTGATCATTTTCTTTATTCTCGTGACCTTACTGCATGATTCAGGGGTGATAGTATAGGGAGAATAAAGATGTTAGTCACCAGCAGAGGTTGAAGGGTTAACATAGATGGTTATGAAGAGAATCAAGCCCTTCGTTTAAGAGTGAGGGAAAACGATAGCTGTGAACAGAAAGGACAGGAAAACACCTTCTTGGGCTGGAATGCAAAATACCCTCCGTACTTCATTATTTATTCATCTACTACGGATCGCAGAAGCACGGACGAAATTGTATGTCACATTAGCTCCCACTTTATTTTCATTAGAAACCTATGACGCTACGGAATTATACAAATAAACAGATCTCTTTCTATATATATACACATCTATCTCTATAGATCTCGCTATGGACATTACTGATCCTAGTAGTATGCAGAACGCGTGTCATATGAACTTCGTAATACACCTCGCTCACCGTAAAGTCTCAGTGGTAGAGCATCGGAGCGCGGAATCCGAAGGTCTGAGATTAGATTCCTTATAGGGACACATAATTTTTTTTTTGGCTCAAGTCTCTTTGTCTCCCCGAAAATTCGTTGAGTATTTTGCTATTGTTCCTTTTCTTGAATATTCTAAGGCGGCGTCTTACGTAAATAGACATAGCAATAATTTTGATGATGATCTGCTGTTTTAATAAGACATAAAAAATGAAATTACCAGACATATGTAAATGAAGAAAAGACGCACAGATTACAAACTTATTGTGTTTAATAATAGAAGAAATATACATATCTATAGTCATTCTTACCAACCCTGCAATTGTTTCTAGAAATCACTCGAATAATTAATTTGTTCCAAGCTTGTGGCCGTGCCGATTGAAAGACATAGATATTCAGAAATGACGGGGATGTCTCTTCATCCTACTTATAACCGGACGGATATGACGCCTAGATAGGGCCATAGAAAACGAGCAGACATTTTGCGGTTTACTGATCAAGCGTGGTATAACACAAAGTCCAACATACGTCAATTATCCCTTATACAGAGACAGTTTCGGCGATAGTAGCAAACTTATAACACTGATTACTTCAAATGAGACCAATCTCAAAATATGCAGTCTTGAAAGGAAAAGCAAATCGAGATGGGGCCTGAAATGATAAAGGAATCCTTTCTTAACGTGTCCTGTTTCTTCGTATTTGGTTATCTTCAGGTGTTCCTCCGCGAGGTGATCGCCTCGGCCTCTTTGGATGCATTCGCGGAAAGTTCTGTCTCAATGAAGCAAGCCATGGTAGTGTCAGGGATGTCACATGTAATGGTTAAACTGTTTGCTCCATGGGTTTCGTGGAAAGTTCTTCCATACAGTGGCAAAATCGTTCTGCTGTTTGTCCTTCATACAGTCGCATTTTTGATAATAGTTGTTGCTAATTCACCCGCATCACGGCTTGTTGGCGTTGTTTCTTTTCAAGTAGGCAACGCAATGGCAGAAAATACGTTTCTTTCTCTCGGAACTTTTTATGGAGACGTGGGGGCGGCTTGGGTGCTGTACAAGGTACTCTTTATTACTCAGGTTTGTGTTTAGGATTTTACTCAATGCGAATAGCTTTGGAAAATGAAATCGAGTTTGAGATAACGGGGATTAAGACTCTTTTCCATGTTCTATCTCCCCGGCCCCTTATTTTCTCTTAAATGAACTGATTTTTTTCAAGAACTGAATGGAAAATTAGGCAAATTAGGGAAGAAAGTAAGAGGATAGTCTAACCTAGACACGAATTCGCATTGCAAATAGGTGGGGACGCTTGGATGAGTATCAGTAAAAGCTGTTCACTGAAGTGGTAACGATCTACATTACATGACTAAGAATTTGAAAGAGAGTGTACGTGGCTAAAGTCAAACAATAGTTTGAGCCGATCAGTGCGAGTAAAATTATTACTCCACTGCGAGGATATTGAAACAGATTCCTGCATTTTAGGGATTGAAGACACTTCCCAATGATGAAAACTTCCCTGGGGGTCGGGGCTATGTTCCCCTGAAAAATTGATCTTACTTCTGAGTGGAATTTGAAAGCAGGGTACTTTCCTGAAAGCCAAACCCATCCCCCCCTCCTTTCTCTGTGCTCTGTGTTGTGTCGTAGCTACTGCATAAATGATTATGGATATGGGCAATTTGTCGACCCGACCACAGTTTTGTTCACTTCATGTGGAATGCCTTTTGTTTTACAGGTGTATCCGCATGGACATATGTTCCGCCTAGAATTGTGGTGTCGTTCCTCATCCCCACCACGTTCTTCTTCGTCTTTATGTATGCAGCCTTGGACAAGTCTCACGTCGATCAGCGATCGAGAAACAACTCTACTTGTTTCCCAGAAGTTGATTACGATGCTTATGGCGATCAACAGAAAGCAAGCAAACTCAGCATGATAACAGTAAAAGTGCGTGTCTCCCTTCACATATTCGTGCCCATAACTTACCTCTTCATGCAATACTTTGCGGATCGCCTCTCGATTCAAACGATCATCCCAACATTGGCACTCCCAGAAAAGGCCCACGATCTCATCGGTCATTACACTTACTACTCGTTCACTCACGATATCGGCTCACTGATTGGACGCTCCTACCTCCTGCTGCTTTCAATCACGTGTCCATGTGTAGCCAGTTATGCACAAATCAAACACACGTGGATACTAGCTGCTGCTGGCAACATCATGATGTTTTGTCTTGTGTTTTTATCATGGTTTCACCCTATCGTTGAAGCGGAAGTCATCCTGGTTTTATGTTTCGTTTTTGGCATGATCACAGGTAGCCATTACGCAAACTCGCCTCTTGTCATAACTGAGCAAGTCAGGGATGCAACAGGAAGAGAGTTCGCGCTGGGCATATTCACATTGGGGTCATCCGCTGGAACGTATGCCGCTGGGCTCTTAGGATTGTTCTTGAAGCCATATTTAACTCAGCACTGTCTGTTTGAGTTAGGCAAGAACTGTCCAAAAAGATTTTTTAGTTTCAAAGGATGGATCGAAAGTGCACACTGTTGATGACACCACATGAAATAATAGGAAATAGGATTGAAACATGTCCTTGACTATAGGGAACAAGCTTTTCATTGATATGAGTGTGTCCGAGCGCGGAAGTTATGTATATAAATTTGATATCTAAAATTGAAATTAAGAAATGCTTTGAAGCGAACATCACGATCATGAATGGATGTGTAGGATGAACACTAACATTAAAGTAACGCCTCAAGTTAACGAACCTTATCAGCCTATTGTATAAATTTAACTAGCCTTAATTTGCATAACTTTGTACTGATGAAGCCTTAACTGGCGAAATGTTTACTACCAAAGTATATATTTGTGCCTTTCTAAGTCTATACTTTTTTTTCTCATATATATATATATATATATAAACAAGAAAATAAATGCACGCTGAGTACTGACCAGTTTCTGAGGCTGCTTAAAATACAACATGATACATTGTTATTTGTATCTTTTTGTTCTATTTCCATTTAAATTGTTCTTGTTCCAGGCCGAGTCTATGAAAGCGCGATTCGACGCGATGGTAAATGACTGATGTCAGCGGCCGAGTGAAAAAACGAGGGAGGTCTGAGTTGGGTTGTTTATGCTTCCTTTATGTCACTATGCTGCTACTGTCCTGCCGGTCGTTTATTTCCCTTAATTTTACTGAACATCGAAAACAGGGCAAAAGGGAACATCTGCGTCCCATCAGAGGCATTTCTACGGAAACTAGACAGACAGCTTAAGCATGACATATAGACATATATACTTCCATCACTATATATCTCAATTCTGGCCCCGGTTGTTCAAAGGTGGGTTAAGATAACCCAGGGTTAGTGTGAAATTTGATTTCAGGTTGGAACTTTGAGAGAAAATTCAGTTCAAATATTTTTGCTTGCAATTTGATCATTGGATGTTCTAAAAAGAATAGTGAAAATTTTCCCTAAAATACTTTTGAACAAAGAAATAAAGAAAGCTGGATTACAATTTAACCCCGGGTTAGTGCTAATCAGCCTTTGAACAACTGGGCCCTGGAGGGAACACAATATCTCATGGACTGAAACATTGAAAACTTCTTCCCCTACTTCAAATTTCCCCAAAAGGACTTTTGGTAAATGAAAGTCAGTCATACCATACTATGGTCATACCCATAAGCAATTTATTCTAAAACTAAGAGGGCAAAATTCTGAATGAAGTTCCAACACAAATTTGTGTACCAGTAACTTATACAGTTCAGTGTTGCCCAAATGTGTATCAGAAAATATCAAACAACAGCAAGTCTTCTGTTGATGGCTCATTTCTTTAATAAATAAATTTGCTTTACATCATAACTTTACATCACATAAAAAAGCCTCCCATATAATATTTAATCCTCCACTGATAACATCACATCAGCCTGATCAACATTTCTTTTTTTTCTGGCATCTTTAAATAGCTATTTTAATGCTGTCATGGTTGCATGATTACATAGGACCAAAACAAACATATGCAAAATTTCCAATCAGTACAAGTGTAGAAAAACTGTTGTTAGAAGCAAATCATTTTGAGTTAACACAGTAAAATTTTCATATCTCAATATACCAAGGGTTCAGATCAGTAAAACCTCCCTGCCCTTAACCCCTTGGAATTTCCAATAATCAATCATGGCTGTCACTTGAGTAAGGATATTTCCTTACAGAGCACATTCACTGAAAACGAAGTTCTCCCCAAAAAAAAGTAACTGGTAAAAGTAAAATTTTATATCTAAACACTACTCAATACTTGCTTATAACTAAACACTCTGTACTAGCATATGAAGAAGCTTCAATCAGTGAAATCAGTAACAGCAGAACAAATGATGTATTGGTGGACAAATTTAAATGCTAGATGGTACAATGTATATAAATAACAAGGATCTAGATGACAAAAGTTCTTTGCACAGACTGTAAGTAATCTCAAAAGTAACTCAGACAGTAATGAAGGCTTGAAATTGGACCTTACTTACTCCCAGAAAAAAACCAATAAGAAATTTCTTCTTCACCTTTTAACTCCTAGATCAAATTTATAATTCTCCTTACTGTCATCCATACAATTCTTATGATGTTAGTTCAGAGAATTTAGTATTGGATCAACTAATTATCCCCAAATTGATATTTTACTTTATTCTCATCACTCACATGGTTGATATTGTATTGATATTGTAAGGAGAAATTATGTCTTGGTCACTGATGGGAGTTAAAGGGTTAAAAGCTCAACATATCTGGTATTTTGTCATGCTCATGGAGAAATTGAGAAAGGAAAACAAACAATGGAAAGTTGGAAAATCAATGATACCAAGCTATAACATTTAAAGAAATTTGAGGCACAAAAAAAAAGAATCATCTGTGAAATTATGCCCATGAAAAGGGTTCTCTACCTCACTGGAAGAGCATACGGCTAGAAAAATCAATAAGTCTTCATTGAAATTTTGATTAAAACACCTGATATCATGCAATTCAAAACAAAACAATTTTCTCTATCATTTGAAGTCATATTTACACATTAACACAGTTGCACTACGAAATCTCTCTAACACTGTTTAGAACAGTATCTACATGAAACAGATATCTAACAGTTCAGGGCTCTTTTTATAGCTAGCATGCTTTTGGAAAATGTAAAAAATATTTTAAAAATTATAATACTTTAACTAAAAATAAGACAACTTATGTTACTTTAAAATTGAGTAATCAACTTATCTATCATCTTATGTATGGTAAGCACTAAATGATAAATAGTTCTCTTGAAATCTATCTACGTATAAGTTATGATAAAATGTAATGCTTATTTTTGTCCATTAACCACACAAATGCCTAACAAATAATGCACATTGTGGAGCCCCAAGATAGATTTGCAAACTGGATAATTGCAGATTGCGACTCATGTTGTAAAGCAAAGCCCCTCCAGGCACAAAATTGGTTAGTGCCCATGGGGTGTACTTCACATGCAATGGAACAGTTAATCATCAACTGGAATCAAAGGTAAATACAACCCAACAACCCTACTACTCCTTATGCCTTTATGATAATGTCTTCATTTTACATTATGCTGTCTGCACTTAGATGCAGAGATACCAACCTCTAAAGAAAATCTGAAGATATCTGATAATGTTGATCACAATCTTAACTCCATCCCCTTCACTGTTAAACCCTTTGCCTCCTAGGATCTTACACAATTTAGCTGCCAAAAGTACCAAAACAAGCAAATAGCATATCAAATGTAAGATATTTCAAGGTGTTAAGACATCTAGATCCATGAGAATTCCTTTCATTGATTCACCTCACCAAGTGGAGATTTTTGTACTGTTAATAAATTTAATAGAGTAGTTTGATTGTTGAAAGACTGTTGTTGGTAGAGGTGACTGACACTCCACTCACTTCAGGTCAGTTTATACACACAGGACTTAGAACATTCGACTGACAACAACTATTCACTTGTCTCTGATGATGACTTCTACTAAGGTTGGCACAGCATCAGTCACCACAATCGACAACAGTCCTTCTCAGGACTACTTTCACCTAGACCATCACACTACTTAATTACACCATGCATGTTACCCCCAGGTTTGATTCATTTACTATATACCACTAATAAAGTTTAATCTGCAGTTAAAATAGAAATAAGCCCTTTCATTACAAGGAGTAACTAAAAATTTATTTCACCTTATTATATCAACCCATTTTCCAGCAGAAAGGTAACAAGAAGAAAAGGTAACAAGAAAAATTAGAAATACCAACTTTGGGATATTGGTTGATTTAACTCAAAATTCCTAGGACTAAAATTAAACAAATGTAAGGCAGACAGTGCAGAAAATCATTTAAGTAGATTTAAGGATTGTGGGGATCCAGTGGAAAGCATGTTTATAAGGTATCACATATCAGAGAATTCTACAATTTAACCAAGAATTCTCAGGCTAAATTGTGATGGCCAATGCTACTGTTTTTTCAACCATGAAAAATATTCGTTAGTTACTTCACAACATATTTTGTGCTATTCTACATGTATTTTTTGGTGGAAACACTGAGTGTGAAGTAAACAGATGTTGTGCCTGTCATCTTATGGACATACAACCAGTCAAAAAGTTACCCTACCCTTTCTACACACTTTCTACAAATGGATCAAAAATGAGAAGGTGTGTATAATCAATGAAAGAACAGCGTATGTGATAGAATTCTCATAGATTTAAACCAGAGAGCGATACACATTTACATGAATATGATCAAATGCACTCACTAAAGAATGAACGGACTCAAATAATATGGTCCTCTACAGCCTTAACAAGGATCAGAAAAGTTGACCACCCCAAGACATAAACACAAGTTTTATGCAAAAATCATTTTACGAAACAATCGTCGAGAAAGAAAAATTCCTTCTCCCCTTCGAAGATACCTGAGGTATCCAACTGAGTCTAGTAATTTATTAGTTATATTGTTTTTAGAGCAAACACCTGAACTCTATCATAATGCGTGTAATATTAGCTACAGAGCACGATTTAAAGTGAAAAAAAAGGTTTTTCAACATAAGAATAATTATCATGAAACATTTTATCCTCTGTTGTGACCTAAAAAGCCTTGGGGAACATACCTTGAACTAGAGTTGGTTGACTATGGAGTTTCAAACAACATCACTACGCCCTTTAGAATTGATCTCCGAAATGTCTTCGTTTTCTTTCTCTTCCTCCTCGCATTCACTCTCTTGAATAACTTGCAAATGGCAGGAGTTTCGATAACTCCCTTGACTTTCGCAGCTAAGCTGACGAACGGGAAATGGTTTATGTCCTAAGCCGTGCAAATGCTCTTTCAACATGTCTACCCGTAGTTCACAGGGTTTCGCCTTCGGACATTGTTTACTTCCTGATTTCACTACTTTAGCAACTGCTGGTCCTGGATATTTTTTCACAGGTTGTGTGTTGTGTTGATAATAAGTCGCTGTAGAGGTAGAAATCGGGAAACCTCCGTGAAAACAGTAACCAGCCGAGTATGGGGACAAGGCTGATCCATAACCAAACTCTTCTTCGTATAGATAGGTCTTCACCCCCTTCGAGGGACATGATCGCGCACTAAAACTAGGAGATCCAGTGCTTGAAGCCGTACTCTTGCCGGCTTGAGTGTTATTTCGCTGTCGTCTCGGCTTCCAATAACAGTAATAGAAGCAAAATCCGAAGACAACCAATAAAAATAGAAACGCACTTCCCAGAGGTCCAACATAGGAAGGGATATTCATGTTTAAGAAAATTTTCAAAACAAGTTGTACAACTCGAAATCACGTTGAAAACTTTAGATGACGATGTGCTCCCACAGATCTGTTTGAAAAAAATAACTATGATCCTTCTCGTGGTCGAATTTCGCAGTCTGCTTAGAAGAAATAATCATTAGGTATTTGTTTTTCTCGTGGTATTACTAATCAGTCTCGTTACGGCGTCGTACTCTCCCTCGTTGTGAATGTCTATTTGAGCACAATTATCTACGTTTCAACACCAGGCAACGCGGCCAATAACACTATTTGAACATCACGAAACCATCACAAGTCCAAGCGACATCATAACTGTAAAAACTGAAGGGAAATGACTGTGAGGGGCTACTGCCTGATCACGTCCTCTATCCAAACTTGTTTACAGTCCCACCTTCCATTTCGGCCTTGATAGTCACGTATTCCTTTATATAAGCGCTTCCCGTTGTCCCTTACGTCAATCATGCAAGAGTGAGTGAAATCACGTTTACGATAACAATATAGTGGCTGTGTATTATAAGTTTTTTTTGTTTCGTTTTTTTTTGCTGTTTTGCGTGTGTTTATGTTAGCAAGGTTTTCCTCATAACAATATGCGGGCATTTTTTTTTTATAAAAAAAGACCGTACCGAAAACAATAGCCCTAGAGGTTCCATAGTAATCCTCTGACAAAAGGCTTTGTTTTAGAGCAGTACGGGGTTTTACACAAATCTCTCCATTGATCTTTGGATTAAACTTTACACGATAACCTAATCATACGCGCATTTTTATTGATTCTTGTTTACCATCTATTATCTTAGATGCGCTTGGATCACGTCATCAATTAAACAAGTAGATTCCATGTTGCCTAGCGTCTGTTTAGTAGTAAATCACAGATGACGTCAAAATGGGATAAGGACAAAAAAGTAGCACACCAGGCACAGAAACAAGAACAAGTCCAAATTATGCACTTATTGTTAATAAAGCATTACATTTTTATTATTTTGAGTTGCACACTTGCTCTGATAAAACACAATGAACTACTGCGCTCAATTACGAACTATATACCATTTTATTAAATGTTCAGAGAAATGCACGCGCCGTGATTGGTCATAACGAGTTCATTATATTTCTATAAAGCAAGCACCTTACATCACACGGGTGCACTGTTGAGATATAATGCACGCAACCTACGTCATCGGTAAGAGCGCGCGCAATTCACGATACATTTTATAAAAGAAATATAAAAACTTGTTCCTCGAGCATTGTTGAGTTATAAGCACTTGGGAATTTCTAAGAACACTCGAGAACTCAATAATGCACTCGGCGCGTTTTTTATTTCTCTATTAGCATCACGTTTCTCTTGGACGCCATTTAGTTGCCTAAGAAAGCATGAACTCAGACCGACGCAATCTTTACTTCCTGTGTACCCTTCTGTTCCAAAGACACTACAAAATTGACTGAGCTATGGACAGAATTCTGGAAAATCTCTTTCGTTTTTGAATTTCAAATTACAATTTTTCTCCTCTCCCCTCCCCTCTTGATATAACTAGTGTGCAGCTGTATCAGGAGGTTGTCGGAAACAGGACACGCGACAATCTCTAACGGTAATACGGGTAACCGGTAATCTATTAATTTTTAATAAGAAAAAGAAATAAATGTGGCCAAAAGGGATAATGAACAAGGGACAAATACCAACGTCAGTTTTTTTTTTTTTATCAAGTTTAGAATTAAAACTTAGTATTGTGAGCAAAAATTTAATCATCAAAGCCGCTATGCCTCGTCCTCACAGAGATGTTTTCTCAAATTTCCCTCTTTTTGGTTTCAGGCGTTACCTTCGGTGAAACTGACTTTACTTTAACCATACTTTATATGGAAAACATACTATATTAGTATGCGTGCGAAACGACTCTACTAACTGGGTCCGAGTGGAGCTTACTTTGCTATGGTTACGCTATGAGATTGCATGAATTGAGGAGGCATGGCAAAGGCGACTAGTAAGATCGACGAAAGTTTGGAGTAAACGAATCAACTCCAGATTACTTTTAATCGTTCCAAGCTTTCCTCGATCTTAGAAAACAACTGGCGGCGGCTTAATCACTCGATCAGAATATGTAACACTCTACTCAAACTGAAAAAAAAATTTGTCATGTAGACCAACCGGATCACAGATATGTTTGATTTTGATCTTGCCAGTTATTCATGTACTAGCTACAGAACGGTAAGCGTTGTGTATAGACAATTTTAGAGGAATGTACATGACAATGGGATACGAACTTCATCTTCAAAAGCGTATATCTTTCCGTAATAAATGCTGGAGTAAGATATATAATCGATATTATTATTAGCACATACTACACAAGCACGCCCAGGGAATTGTAACCTGGCCTCTTTGAAGCTAGTCACCTGTTATCAGAATGGCAGCAGTTTTATCTTTGTTGCCTTTCGTCATGATGCCACTGAGTGAAGTTGCATTCCGTTCTCCACAAGCTCTCGTAGTTACTTTTTCTTAGCATCTACTCAAACTGTCACTATAATCTATGATCCAGCTTCTTAATAATTCCTTATTTAAAGCTCCATCATGTTTAAAACTTAAGTTTAAAAGGATGAATAAATACCAATCTAGTCTTGTCATATTTTTTCCAGAAGATGTCAGCCTGCCCGTCCGTTGAGTACCCCGACAGATAAACTCCGCGGATAAACTCAAACTTTTTCGCCTTTTCGAGAATTCGACACATTGTGGGAACCGCAATTTCCAGGAATGTTTGATGCTTGTGGAAAATACGGGAGAGTTTTTTATATGCATCCGCAAATTTACCAGGAATGTAGAATATGTCTGAGCGTCCTCGATCGCAAAGGAGAGCCCAGTTTTCACTCCTTTTGAAAAGATCGGTGGACCCGTTTATGCCCCGTAACGGGTCTCGGGAATGGACTTTCTTGTAAACTGAGGTACTGCCAGTTTTGTTCGGCAGCCATTCATTTTTTTTGCGCACAGCCCAGATTTCATTGAAAGCCTTTTGACAAGTTTTCACCCCCCACTTTGAATTCCACCAATACCAACCTTTGATCGCTATCGGGTACCTGGGGTATACTCGGATTTTGTCTCGGTCGAGTCCAACAAGATTCCAATAGTTTAACAGTACGTCATCGCTGATTTGTAAATAACCAGCGTATCCAGGATATTTCTCCATGGCACGTGACATGCACATGTAGGCAAAGTATCCTTTGTTAACGTCAACAGCCTCGACAGTGTAGTTCTTAGTCCTCTGTGGTCCGCAAAACATGGTCGTTGGAAAGGCATTCTTGTACAGTGCAGTGAGTGTTGGGATACTCGAGTAGAGAGGATAGTGGTAGACAATTACAAGCACAATGTCCGAAAATGCGTCTCGGAGGCAGGAAGATTTTGAATCATTGTGTACGGCCAAGAGTTCTTTTCGCATCAGAACATAATTGAAAATGGGACTGAGAGGAATAACACCTGTATGACAAAAAGTATAAGTGAAAAAGTAAAAAAAGCCTAAAGGCATAAAAAGGTTCCTCTTTAAGGAGTCTCCCAAAATTCAAGATCTCAGCAGCAATTCTCTTTCCTAATTTCCATATATTTCCTTTTGAATCACTTGAGAGAATTTGAAATTCCCTCAATTGAAACATTGACCTTATTTTTCTTTTAATTGTTGATGTTTTTGAATGGTCCTATGAAGTAAGGTTTGCTGGTAAGCATTGAGGAGAACGAGAAAAAGAACAGGGAGCTCCGCCTTGAGGCTGAACTAAATGTTTTTACCCATCTAGATAGCTATCTATGGTGCATAGTGAAGAGAGCAAAAGTTCATTTCTTTCCACAATTGATTACAACTTTTGAATAAATAAGTAAACTATTAATGAAAACTCGCAAAGATGTTACAAAAACTTCCTGCTGCTCTAAAACAGAGCTGTCGTCCTAAGGTATCCCATGAATTTCACCATTGTTTTCTTTTATTCAAGAACTGTATATAAAATGTTGGCTTGCACGGAAATCTTTCCGCAAAAAGCTTAGTTAAAAATTGTATCACAAACCGTAGCCGATGCCATACACAAATGTCGCTGTGAGAAAAACCAACAGGGCCATCCTTCGATTTGAGCTCATGTCTATTTCCCTTGTGTTAAAGGGGCGGACAGCGGTGAAGAGTTGACAATTCGAAAATCTCTGAATTAATCAATTCATCTCCGCTGTGTAGTTCCCTTAACTTTTTTCCACCAATCAAAACTTCCTGGGTACGGAGGTTTGTATTCGGACCTGTGAATATGAATTTGTCTGGTAAGTGAAAGAATTGGGGATAGATAAGAGAAAAATGAACAGGAAATTTATGTTGATATTTCTTTAATTCAATGCAATCTAGTCAGTCTCACACGATGTCCTATGTGGAGAATGGAAACCGTTCGTGAGGTGTTCTTAACAGCGGTAACCCGGGAGAGGAATAGGGTGAAATGTGTGTATAAAATTAGGGAGAGAGACCGCAGGAAGAAGAATACAAATGAGACCAGATAAAGTGGACAAATACGTTTACTACTGTCACAACACTGAACCGCACACGCGTAAGAAGGAGATCGAATCGGATTAACATCCTCTTAACGATCTCACTTGCTTCTCTGTAATGAGAATGGAGGGACCACCTTATTTGGTGTCCTCAAGCCCAGGCCACAAGGAGGTACAGGACTAAACCCGTCTCTTATCTCTTCTGAACTTACACTTTGGTCGATAAACAATAAACACCCAATCTCACCCTTGTTAAAAACAGAGACAAGAAACGATATTTGAAGGGCAAAATTACAGATGAACACTCAAGACTCTGAGTATCAATTCACAAAATAAAACAGGTGGAACTAACACTGCTCACTATGAAAAAACATATTTTGGGACAAAATATGTATACCACGTATCTTCGATAATAATCCGCCATGGTCATACAACAAATGATAATGAGGTAATGTGCTAGTAAAATATGTGGCACATCTTTTCGCGGGAAAAGGTGAATGGAAACAAGAGACATCAAATAATACGAAAACGACGGCACTTTAAGAAGTACATGACAAGAGCACTTGCCAGAAAAAAGCGAACCAAAGGAAATACAGAAAGCAGCCAAACAATAATACCAGGTATAATAATTCAAAAGACATGATTAAGGATCAATAGGGTGATTCCGAGAGGCCAAGCGCATTTGTTTTAAAACGAGTAGGAGTGCAGAGTAAAAAGGCTGAGTAATTCTGATGCAAATGTGCACCTGGCCTCAATTCGATATTAAGCCAGACGAATGCTAAATATTTGATCAACTATTACAAGCCCACTTGAAATTTCAGCCCTCTTTCGGAAAAATACAATTTAAACAGTCCAAATCTCCCGCAGCATTATTTCAATAGTAAAAATAATTAATTGTAGCAACTCAAAAAGACACACTTCGGTTCGTTCGAGACCAAAATACCGCTTTCATTCTGGTACATTCCCTTCTGGAATAAAACTTTTGCTGCTAGTTTTCATCATCACTTTTGAACTTAAATCGAAGTATTAGATCTGGGTGGAGTTCATTCCCGAAGAAAATTTTAGAATTACATTTTAGAATAACATATTGATGTCAGTTGATTATCCTCAAACCAAAATAAGGGGCAGCACGAGTTAAAAACCCAAACTAGATTAAGCTTGATATTGAAATGCGCTTTTCAACGTTAACGAGATCAAAAGGTCAACAGAAGCTTAGCTAAGTTAGTAAACTCGAATTAAATCAATCGATTCAATCTTTCTAACCTGTTCCATGTTAGTGAAGACAAGCAAAGAATCAGGCGCGTGAGAGACATGAAAAGAGAGCCTGTAAGAATATTCCCCTTCCAGAAAACCGATCATCGTGTCAATAACGTGTTTGACGTAAGATGAAGGGTTTCTTTGAAGGGATTATTTTTCGAGAGTATTTTTCACTTTGCCTGTCGTCCCCTAACAAGTTAATCGAGAGGAAAAAGAAATTGATTTTTTGTTTTGTTTTTGCTTGCCCAAGATAAGTTCTTACCTTTTGTCAACGGAAACTTTTCCCCTTTGCGAGAGAGGTCTGCATGTAACATGAGTCAAAGAGCTTCTAAACTTCGAGAGGAAGTCGATGTTAATTTAAGTGTAACAGGGATAATCGGTTTAAAATCCATGAAGTGTAATTGCTGGGTGATAAAAAGTTCTATGCATACGAATTTAAAATTATCTGTTTGGTTTCGCAGCCGTTTTTTGCTTTCATTATATAATCCACCGCTTCGTCATTTTACCAAATAAGGTCGTGAAATAATAGCGGGATAATAAAAGGGAAAGTCATTCAAGAGCTTTCCAATGAAGCTGAACTGCGTCAGTCTGTAAACAGGTTAAAATTTGAATTTCTGGCAACCATGATGTTGGAAAATATTACGGTTACTAAGATTTAAAAGGATAAAGAAACACGAATCTGGCCTTGTCATATTTTTCCAGAAGATGTCAGCCTGCCCGTCCGTTGAGTATCCTGATAGATAAACTCAGTAGATAAACTCAAAATTTTCCGCCTTGTAGAGAATTCGACGCATTGTGGGAACCAAAATTTCTAGGAATTTTTGATGCCTATAGAAAATAAGGGAGATTTTTTTTTGCATCCCCAATTTTACCAGGAATGTAATGTAAAATTAAAACTTAGTAACAGTAATATTTCCAATCTCGTGGGCGCCAAAAACTCAAATTTTAACCTGTTCACAGACTGAAGCAGCTCAGTAGCAAGAGAATAATGACAATGATGATGATAATACAGTAATGAGAGCAGTAAAAATAATAATTTAATGTAACATAATACGACGACGACGATGATGATGATGATGATGGTATTAAAAAACAGTCATGTTAAGCAACCTATTTGCAGTTGTGTAAATAAGGACTTTAAGATCGAAGAACTAAACCCTAAACCCTAAGCAACTACTTGTCTCCAGTGCCCTGTTATCAAAATCCAAAGAATGATACATGACCAAGCCTAAAACCTCATCAAAAAGATATAAAAAACAATTGTCTTAAGTAAGGTTCCTAAAAGGGCTTCTGACGCTTTTGACAGTCTAGTGTCGTTTGTCTCTGCTAAGTAATATTGTCATTTAGCAACTTCACGTGATATTGTTCCATGCATTTTCCCTTTGCATTTTTGCAAAGGGAAATTATCAGGTGACTGATTTACAGGGTAGGCAAATCATTCTGACGCGAATTTTTAACATTATCATTATGTGAAGCGTTATCTTGCTCTTTGGATTTTGATGCAAACAAAACGTTTCCTTTAGTTAAGTTCCTGAGCTGAGGCTTCACGGTTTCTATGACGGTCTATGACGGTCTGCAAATACACTCGGCAAACCCTCTTCAATGGCACAGGAATTCAAACGCCACCTCATTTTTTCCTAAATAAAATGACTATTTTTAATCTTTTTGTAGACGAATAGGTATGTAGCTTCTTAGCATACGTGCATACGCAAGCACGCGCAGTCAGCTTGATATGCAATTTCCCTGTCGAACACGTAAAAGTTTCGGTTGATCAGTGGTTAGTGACGTAAGCGAGGTAGGAGAAAGGGCAAGAGCAGGCTTCCACTAGCGGCCCCTGCGCTGAATCCTTCCACTTACCATCGGCTGATACCATACACCATCGAAACTATCAGAACAACCTTCAGAGCTAGCCTTCGATTTGATCCCAGAATGTTGCTGTGAAACATGTGAGCTGCTATGGCATGTTCTTCTTATGAGTTAAATTGAAATTTCATCAGGTTGGAGAGAAATTTTAAGTACTCAACGCGAATTTTGAAATTCAAGCTGAAAACTAATTTTTACGTTTTGGCGTAGGGTGTGTGTTTGTTGTCGTTTTCATTTGTAACGAAAGTTAAAAAGTGAAATTTCCATGCAAAAACATTGAAGTTTCCGAGAAATCGGGTTACATTATGGTGACAAATGTAGACTACGTTTCGGCTACCCTACTCACTCAATCTGTTTCTAATGGGTGACCACTGGGATTGCAAAAAGAGTAAAGTTTAGCTTATGTCCCATTTCTAAGATATTTCTAAAATTTCTCTGACGCTCAGAGTAGTTCAACAAGCCTTTCTTAGAAGAAACATTTCTTTGAACATAGGAGTCACCTACTTTGTATTCATTTGGAAAGAAACCAGTGTCCCTGCAGCTATTGAAGATGTTCCATGTTCCTTCTTGATGGTCCAACGCTGAATCTGTCTCGTTTTCAAAATCAAAAGAGAACTTTCTCTAGGCGTGTGGTTTTTTTTTATCTCACTTAGCTGACTTCGGAGTTTGCATACAATACTAACTATGGAAGCTTTCTTGCGGGAATTTGTATTGGAGGGTCGATGACAGGATTGGAATCGTTAGTCGAAGGTAATATTGCACAAGCAAGATTAGATTGAATATCACAAATGATTTATATTGGATAAATCATACATTCTTATCAGCCATGCTTATCAGGCCCAATAAATGTGACAAAAACATTGGAACCTTTGTTATTCCAGCATAATTTTTTTGTTTTTTTATCAAAAATTTTTTGGGAAATATTTGAGTTACGCCTTATTTGTGGTATAAATTAACTTATCTAGTTTTCATTTTTGTTGGAATTACTTGTTCAGTGTTTAAATGATACATTTAATATCGTTGTTTGCGTTGTTTGTTCGTTTCAATTTGCTCGTGCTTGTATTGTTCACAAATTAGCCAGAACGTTATTATAGATTGCTCTCCTCTTGAGATGCATCTGCTCGTATATTTTACTACCTGATCCGCAACCCTTATGGAAATATTTTCGGAATAAATTTTGTTTGAGGGGAACATGTTCGTAAACAATTGCCCTGAACAAATTTTATCATACATCACATATAGCTGCTGAATTTTGGTTTAAAATTATAAAATAAAGCAGAAACTTTTGCGAATGCGTGTCTAAAATGACGACATTAAGATAATATTGTAGACTAATATATGTCATGATTGTACATTCCAAACGTTTAGAACAGAGCCAATATGTCGTGTGTCACTATTTTGATACATTTGTGAAGGGTAAATTGATCACGAGAATAAAAACATAGACCTCCACGATATATATTTATACGATTTTAACATAATCTTTTTTATATCTTGAAGCAAGAAGTGTGCAAGCCTCGCATATTAAAAAGAGAAAGAGCATTTGGAAAAAGCGAATTCTTTATCGTGTGGCGCCTTAGGAGTGTCAGCGATACTCAAAAACAAGAGCAGATATAAATAATACAATTAACATGAGACTTACTCCTCTGAAAACACACGTTAAGGCCACAATCTCAGATCAAAAGTAAACCATTCGCTGAAAAAAAGACTTTATTTGCAAGGTTTACAATCATGTCGGAAGCGTATTATTTCAAAAGGCTTTATCATCATCAGCAGCAGCGTCATTAAAATTTCATATGGAAAGCAAATGCTAAACATTATACCCAAAAAAGTTTCCAATTTTCTTACCTGGGGGCTGCCAACCCGCTTCTTTTTTTTCAATAATCTATGCACGCCCAATGCATGTCAAACAAACAATTAACAAGCAAGGATTGACACAAACATATGATTAAACGATTAATTATAACGCAAAGAGGGTTCATGATTGCATACAGACACTTTTGCTTTAACACTTGACGAACTAACAATCGGTAAATATTTGTCATTTTCATTTTTATTTCACGAGCTGGTTCTATCAGTCAATTTCTATGGATCACCATTCTGTATATCTCCATAAACGCACAGCCGTGCATAAGTAACATATCATGAGCTGTTATAATGAGTTCCATTGGCCAAAATTTCCGAAAGTCTACAGAAGTAGCTAAGAAAGAGCTTAGAAATTTGTCTCACTGAATAAGCCATTTAGCTGGCAAGAGCAACGATACCGACAGCAATGCAGCCTATAAAAGATAACTCAAAAGAAGACGAATGAACAAAAATGAAAGGAGAGAGAATGCTGACAGAGATTCCAAACGGCTAAACTGACAAATCTGAGCTGAATATTTAATTCGTGATTTTCAAAACTAGACCTATCTCCTATCAAACCGAAAAACAGGCTAAACGAAACAGATACGACTTGAATCTCGTTTTCCGCACCAGAGCCTTCAAAAAGTGTAAAAGTTGCATCATTTTAGATCTCCACAATCGGGGCTATAAATGCCCAAGTAACTTCAGTTTACAAAACAAACTAGCGCTGAAGGTCTGGGAGGTGTCCATGATAATCGTCATGAATATGAAAAAGTTTCTACACTATCTCAGAAAAAAAACTAAATCTAGCACACCAAACTACACCGAATGCACCAAACTATAACAAACTACACCTACTACACCAAATTACTAAAGGGGGCAAGTATCTAAAGAAACTGTGGTGTTGCGTCAGTGAGAGAGTATAACAAGGTAATATGGTATTATCAACTGAGTTGATAACGTAATTTGATCATCATATAGAGTTTCAAACTAGCTTTGAAACTCAGTTGATGATACTAAAATATCATGTTAAACCAAATTACACCTACTACTACATCGAAATATACGGAACTACACCTGTTACACCACACTACACCTACTACACTTATTTCTCGATTGTGGAACAAGCGTTGGTTTTTTTCTTAGATAGTGTGGTACCTTGTTTAATACTCATGACAGTAATTATGAAACTATCACCGTAAAAAACGTAAAACTTACGTAAACTTACCAAGCCTCTGTACCCCTTGGCGAAGTCTTTGTAGAAAAGGGAAGCTGGCTAACGACAAAAACAGAGGAAATATCGCCGGGTAAACAGCTGCGCAATAACTTCCTTTGTCTTTATCGGCATGCACTACATTCAATACCCGAATATTACACTGCAGATATAAACTCACCGGTGAGTTTGCTGCTTTTATCACTCGAACATAAAATTCACATCCTCGGGCCCCAGTCCGAACCCTTAAAATCATTAGAATTGACCATCCGCCACGAAATCGACGTTACATAACTATTTCGGTAAAATTGCATTTATTTTGATGTTTATAAATGAGGCTATTAATGGCAATTTAGTTCGCTAACATTTCAATTTTCTACATTCTGACATTTTCTCTTGCAATATTCCTCAACTCAAACATTTTTTCCGATCGGAGGATTACACGTAACACGTACCACGCGCCATCTGATGGATCAAAACTCACTAGCTACCCAAGGAAACAGCGACTTGGACTTTTGAATCGCATTTGATCAGGTCGCACACCGTGAAACTGCATGTTAATTCAAGGATAGAAAATAACACTATCAAAATATATCGTTTTGGCGACGACATGTCACTGTTTTCAAATGCAAATGAGAAGAGATTATTTTTGATAAAGATCGAAAAAAAAGCTGTCATTACTAATAATATGTGCACGGTCGCGCAGGGACGTACGATTCCTTTTGTCATGTGCTCGACTCTATATTGAAATTAAACTTGTTGTGTTATTGGACTGATGTCTTCAGTTTTCGGCTATTCGAAACCCCAGTGCATTTCAAACGTTATGAAATATTAAATTAAAACGTGGAGAACAAAAGAGTGGAATAACTTAAAGAAAAAAATTAATTACCTATATAGGTCACCTTTCAAGTACAGAATAGATTTCCAGGTTTTATTGCTTACGTTTAAGGCCATTCGCGGCCCTTTTCCGCCATATATTTCTGGTCTTGTACATGTTATGGACAAAAATTCTAGATGTAGTTTAAGATCTGATAATGGTATACTTTTGAACTTCCCGACATGCAAGCCTTTAAGTGCACTGGGTGATGGGTCTTTCTACATGGCTGCTCCCAAATTATAGAACGATCTTCCAGTTTTTATCAGAAATATTTCTGACTTACTTAGTTTTAAAAAGTCTCTTAAGACATATTTGTTTAAGAAGGCGTTTCTTACCGAATTAACATCATCATTTTTAAATAGACTTTGTACATAGTAGACCGAGTTGCTTATAAATTATCATTATCGATATTACTCAATATTAGCATGGTGCATAATTTCAACCAGTTCAGTTCATATTGTTGTGATCAGCTAGTTCTAGATATATATCTATTATTATTATTATTATTATCATTATTATCGTTATTTTAACCGGCATTGTACTGCGCAGCTGAAAATGGTAAATCGTTATTTGTTTAATATGAATTAATAAATATATTTTTTTTTTATTATTGTTATTATTGTTATCATTATCATTATTGTTGTTATTATTATCACAATTATAAGCCAGCATGACCTACAAGGGCACACAGGTTACTCAACGGTACTTCAGAAGTACGACTTCAAATTTATTGGGGTGTAATCCTTGCTGAAATATTCTTGGCAAACCAGGTAATTTATGTCATGAATAGAGAAAAAAATGTTTACATGGAGTTACGGGGACTTCGTATATACAATCTCGCCCTGGAGCTGCATATTTTTACCTCACAAACTGCCTATTCCTATCGTTTGGTAGGAATCATTTTTGTAATAGTGTCATAAGTTTTCTTTAACATTCACTCAAACTGTCACTATGTTCTATGATCCAGTGTTTAAGTAACGCCTTATTTAGAGCTCCATCGTGTTCATAATTAAGTTTGAAAGGATGAATAAACGCCAAGGTCGTGTTATATACTTTCCACAGGAAGTCAGACTGTCTGTCCCCTACCCCAGGCAGGTAAATTCCAGGGATATACTCAAAATTTTCTTCCTTTTCTATCATCCGCAACATTGTAGGAACTGCAATTTCTAAAAATGAACGATGCTTGTAGAAAATACGAGATAGTGTTTTGAACTCATCCGTAAACTTTCGTGGAACGTAAAATATGTCTGAGCGACCTCGAGGGCAAAGAAATGTCCAATCTACATTCCCTTTGGAAATATTAACAGTCCATTTAATGTCCAATAATGGGCCTCGGAAATGCACGTTCTCTTTAACTAAATTATTTTTCACCTTTGCCATCGTTTTCTTGACGGAGTATTTGCGCGAGGCCCAAATCTCGTCGTAGGCTTTCTGACAAGTCTTTACTCCCCACTTGGAGTACCACCAAGACCACTTTTCAGGCGGAGTAAACTCAGTTAGTATCGGTACGTTAGGTCCTTCCCAAATTTTGTTCCGACTTAGTCCAACTAAATTCCAGTAGTTGAGTATTAAGTCATCGCCGATGAGTAAATATCCTGAGTATCCCGGATATTTCTCCATGGCAAGCGACATGCACATGTAGGCAAAGTATCCTTTGTGAACGTCAAGAACCTCGATGGTGTAGTCCTTAGTCTTCTTTGATCCGCAAAACATGATAGTGGGAAATGCATTTTTGTACAGGGTTGTGAGTAATGGGATATTGGAGTAGAAAGGAGAGTTAAACACAATTACAAGTGCAACGTCTGAAAACGCATTTCGAAGGCAGGAAGACCTTGATGCATTGTGTACAGTTGGAAAAGGTTTGTGGAATTCTGCTTTTGGTACTTGATAGCTTTTCGAGATGGGAACCAAGCCTGTGAAAGAAAAGACATGATGCATAAAGTAAAAAATAGTAATACTGGGGATACTAGGTTATCGTTATCTTGCCAAGTTCACGCAATTCAAACTTTGGGTTTGATTCCAGTCTGACAATAGACTCAAAAACGCACCAATTATGGTAATTTTGTTTTGTTTGAGGGGATGAAGCTCTTTTGTTTAGAGAACAAAAGTATTAAGTATCGATTCTCAGCCGAATACCTTAGCGCGAATTTTGAAATCATCGCTAATAGCTTAAGCCCGGCGCACACTAGAGCTATCAGCTGAGCTGAGCGTCACTCGTGGCTGTTGGCGTAAGCTGTTTCCTCAAGTGTGCGGTGTCATGTTCTGCGATTTTTGTCACGCGTGCCATGAGCTCAGAATATTCAACATGTTGAATAATTTCGTGCACGAGTGAACATTGACTCACAGTGTGCGCGCGTTTTGAGCTATCAGCTCAGGAATATTGTTTTATTGAAGTCAAGATAGCAAAGCAAAACCTCTTCATCCTCCGACAAGCTTGAATCTAGATTTTCACCGACATCGGCCATCTTGACTTCAATAAAACATGGCAAGGACGCATGCGCGTTTGCATTGATTCCTGAGCTGATAGCTCAAAACGCGCGCGCACTGTGAGTCAATGTTCACTCGTGCACGAAATTATTCAACATGTTGAATATTCTGAGCTCATGGCACGCGTGACAAAAATCGCAGAACATGACACCGCACACTTGAGGAAACAGCTTACGCCAACAGCCACGAGTGACGCTCAGCTCAGCTGATAGCTCTAGTGAGCGCCGGGCTTTAAACGACAAATATGATCTGCTTCGGTGAAGGGGTAAGGAGGTTTTTGTTAATTTGCTAACGGGTGCAAGAACTGAGGAAGTGAGAAAAAGAAAGAAAGCCGATCATGCTATGGAATGCTTATGAACGAGTCAGGTCAGACTGAACCTCAGGGTATCCTAGGAATAATTATTTTTGGAATCAACGGGGGAAAGTCTAGCCTGGACTGGCCCTCATTATTAGCGCTTTGGCACTACCGTTTCTTCGCCCGCAGCAAAGTATGAGACTTTGAGCAACGCCGGTTAAAGGACTACAAGGGGTCTGGAAATGATAAGTGCCAGACCCCTGGAAGAGCTCTCTTCGCCTCGTCTCGAATCTTCCCGCTGGCGGAGAAGCGTGCATCCTGCTGCGGTAATAATGACGACCTGCTGAGGGCCAGAAACAGTATAGAATTGATGAATATGAAATTTTGCTACAAAAAGTGGGACTTCTCCTCCGATAAAAGGTAGTTTATCTCCTTTTCCCATCAGTTTTTTTTATTTAAATAAGGAAAGCACCAACTGTTTAACGATTTTTTTTTCTCTTTCTTCCTTTAACAGGACTTGCGTAATTTGCATAAAATGTCTTGGTGGGCGAAGCATGCCACGACAATTATATTGCCTTAGCGTGTCGAGGAGAGTAAATTTATACAATTTGTGTAGTGGGAGGGATTGAACTCTACGACATTTCTCGTTCCAGAGACAGCAGAGTCGAAAAGAAAGCTTATTTATTGAGGGAAACCAAATAAGAATAGCTTTTTAATCCATACATCCAAGACTGTATTATGAATTCTTCTTTCGAGTTAACGTTGCCATCAGTTTTACTGTAAGTTAATTATGAGAATGTTGATTGTTTTCAGTACAACTTTCCTTCACTATTTCTATGGCCTGTTTTCTGAGTAAATTTCCGTCTGCAAAATTCCTAATATGAACGGACTTAGTATGAATTATTTTACCTACCGTAACCGATGCCATAAACTAGCGACACCGTCAGAACAGCCAAGCCGGCTAGCCATCGATATGAACTGGTCAAACTGGTGCAAAACACTTGAGTCGACATAATCGAGTAGTATAGGAGTTTGCGGTACCAGATCAGTTTTGCAAAACTGATCTGATACAACCTCAACTCTATACTACTTACCAGCTAATGGAAAAATATTCTATGACTCCATTGTGTTTATACAAAGTATATGGTTTTCAAAATTGAAGTGCGTTTAAATATTTGCATAATTAAATGAAATAGAAAAGAATTACCATCGCGTGACTTAAAAACAAGAAATCGATGACGTCATACATTATTATTCACGCACTTTCTGACATTTCCGAAAAAAAATCTAAAGTTTTATCGTTGATTTCGAGTCGGCGAATTGGAGTATTCATTCCATTATAGAGCAGTTTTCCTCCACGGTTAACTCTTGGAAAACGATTGTTTTCTCAATGTTAAGAGCGTGGTTCGCAGACAAGAAAACGGTTTGTATTTCGTTATTTATGACTGGTGTTTTCCAGTAACAAAACATTGTTTTTACAGAAGTTTTCCGTCGAAGATAATGCGTTTTCGTCCACTTTCTAGGACAGTAAACGCGTAGAAAACGGTTGAAAACCACGTGTCCTCCAACGTTTACGGGTTGGTCAACATAATGAAATACGGCGTTTTCTAACGTTTGTGGCTGTTTGCGTTGAGAAAACGCGTTGTTATCGGCGAAGCTCGGCGATTCACCACCCGAATGCGGTTATTCCCGCGCATTTTCTCGTATTTGTCGTTTCGATTATCGCGCGAAAAATGGTAGGTATTCTTGTATTTATCGGTGTTTTACACTGTTAACCATTTGGACATCTGTATATACATTTATTTTTCTTGCTCCTCCTAATTTCCTTGGCTCTAGGCTCCCTTTCTTTTGAACGATTTCGAAGAGGTTCCATGAATCGCTGAATCCAATGCGCAAATCAAATGATCCATTGAACTACTTGGAGTAATTCCCTCTCTTATATGACGCAAGTAATAAAAGCCTTTACATTAATTTTTTTTCAAGCCTTTTTATTACAAATTAACAAAAGTAGTACTCGCCTAGTTACATCAGTTCTTAATTATACAATTTTTGCAAATATTTAAAACACAGAAATCCTCGAAATCTAATATTTAACAAAAAATGAAAAAGTATCAGCAAAAACAAACACTCTTACTACATTATTTACGAAATTGTATATCTAATCCTCGGAAAACAAATATAGTCTGCTTCATTTCGGTCAATAAATGAAACCACTAATTGACAAGAACAAACCTTGCACAAAAATGAGTGAAACATAACATCTGTTTAGCCCCTGAGGTGGATCATATGTAAAATTCAGTAGGAAAACATTGAAATGCGTATGCGTGAAATTTGGATAATTATGTTGGGACTCAAACAGGCAGTCGTAAAAAAAGCTTTTACATGTATCATCAAGTGCAACATTTGGAGCAAAATTTAGTGAGGCGCCATTTTATCCGTTCACAAAATATGAAAGAATGGCGTCCGCGCAGCCAGCTTTCAGTATTTTCGAGTCTGATTTTCCGTTCCTTTCCGATCATGTTAGACCTTCTCGAACACAAAATGAAAAGTAAAATGCTACAGAACACTCTGCTTGGAAAACGATGGGCATCAAAATCTTAAAAGCCACAAAATAAGCTTTCGAGTCAACAACGCTACGATTCTCTGAAGCGATGCGAATTGGGGCCGTAAATTCGGACTAAAAGCGGGGCTTAGTGACATTATAAAGATTTCAAGGCTCGGTAAATGTTATGATTGAGTGAAAAGATATCCAAAAAGTATAATTTAATAGAAGAGTTGGAGTCAAAACGTAGAAATCTGAGAACGCTGCGCAATTTTCTTGCCGTGAAGTCAAGTAAATTACGATCTAAGCATAATGAATTCCACACCTTGAAACTGCTTGTTTATTCAAGGATAGAAAGTAACGCCATCAAGACATATCCGTATCGGCGACGACATGTCACTGTTATCAAATGCAAATGAGAAAAGATTATTTTTGATATGTATCGAAAACAAAGGTGTTTGGAGCTGTATATTTCCACCTCACAAACTGTCTATTCCTATCGTTTGATAAGAATCATATTTTTACTAGTGTCATAAGTTTTCTTTAACATTCACTCAAACTGTCACTATATGCTATGATCCAGTGTTTAAGTAACGCCTTATTTAATGCTCCATCGTGTTCATAATTAAGCTTAAAAGGATGAATAAACGCCAAGGTCGGGTTGTATCTTTCCCACAGGAACTCAGACTGTCTGTCCCCTACCCCGGGCAGGTAAATCCCAGGGATATACTCAAAATTTTTTTTCTTGTCTATCATTCGCAGCATCGTAGGAACTGCAATTTCTAAAAATGAACGATGCTTGTAGAAAATATGAGATAGTGTTTTGAACTCATCCGCAAACTTTCGTGGAACGTAAAATATGTCTGAGCGACCTCGAGGGCAAAGAAATGTCCAATCTCCATTCCCTTTGGAAATATTAACAGTCCATTTAATGTCCAATAATGGGCCTCGAAAATGTACGTTCTCGTTAACTGAATTATTTTTCACCTTTGTCATCTTTTTATTGACGGAGTATTTGCGCGAGGCCCAAATCTCATCGTAGGCTTTCTGACAAGTCTTTACTCCCCACTCAGAGTACCACCAAGACCATTTTTCAACTGGCGTAAACTCAATTAGTATCGGTACTTTAGGTCCTTCCCAGATTTTGTTCTGACTTAGTCCAACTAAATTCCAGTAGTTGAGTATTACGTCATCGCCGATAAGTAAATATCCTGAGTATCCCGGATATTTCTCCATGGCACGTGACATACACATGTAGGCGAAGTATCCTTTGTAAACGTCAAGAGCCTCGACGGTGTAGTCCTTAGTCTCCTTCGATCCGCAGAACATGATAGTGGGAAATGCATTTTTGTACAGGGTTGTGAGGGTCGGAATGTTGGAGTAGAAAGGAAAGTTGAACACAATTACAAGCACAACGTCTGAAAACGCATTTCGAAGGCAGGAAGAGTTTGATACATTGTGTACAGTTGGAAAAGGATTGTGGAATCCTTCTCTTGGTACTGGATAGCTTTTCGGGATGGGAATCAAGCCTGTTAAACAAAAAACAGGATGCACCAAAGTTAAAGATAGTAATACTGGGGATGCTAAGTGATCGTTATCTTGTCAAGTTTACGCATGTCAAACTTTGAGTTTGATTCCGGTCTAACAATAAGCTCAAAAACGCACCAATTATGGTAATTTTATATTGTTTGAGGGGATGAAGCTCTTTTGTTGAGAGAACAAAAGCATAAAGTATCGACTCTGAGTTGAATACCTCAGCACGAAATTTGAAATCATCGCTAATGGCTTAAATGACAAACATCTCTTTCACTTTAAATTACTTAGGAGAGTTTCTGGTTGATATCAGCACAACTGTCCCTAACTATTTCTTTGACCTGGTTTCTGAGTAGATATCCTTCTGCGCAATTCTTGACATGAACAGACTTATTTTGAATTATTTTACCTACCGTAACCAATACCATACACTAAGGACACCGTTAGAACAGCCAAGAGGGCTAGCCATCGATTTGATCCGGTCAAACTGGCGCAAAACACTCGAGTCGACATGGGTCCCGTGATCCAGTTCCAAGGTGGAATGAGGACAGTGTTAACGATTGGATAACTCCATAAATCTCATCTGTGTAACTCCTCTGTTGGGCAAGCAAAGCAATAAACCTTTTTCTAGTTGATGAGACAAATTTCCATTATTTGAAATTTTTGGAGAAAAAGGAAAATAATTATGCAAAAAGCCAGACTGCAAATAGTGTCTCTTTTTTTGACAAAGTTCGTTGCACAAGTTTGAAAAAACTTAGTTGAAAAAATTAATGCATGTGTGCCACAACACATTGTGCTCGAGACACTTTGTTATAGATAAATGGGAAATCGAAAATTTTCACTAAGCACTAACTAATTTGTACACTGATTCGTCTGTCCTTGTAGTACATGGATGGTGACGCAAATCTGATAGCGCTGTCCGAAATCCATTATTGTTTTGCATTGGCGCCTGGTTGAAGGAAAATATAATGCGGTATTGGCGGTTTTCTCAAAATAGTAATGATTCAATTAAATTGTCGACGTCAGGCTAGAATATATAAACAATCTTTAGAATGTGATAGATGCAAAGTTTGATATTCTCTTAATTAAAACGACAATTCCACAAAAGATTCATTTTAGTTCAAAGAAAATTGCGAGGAAGACACATGACTCGAGCAAACCAGCTATAAATACTTATAAATATCTACACATTTTTCGGTAAACTTCTAAATATCGTTGAAAATATATATAGTGGTATATTAATAGAAAGACATCCTATATCCACAAATTTTTCATTAAACATCTGAAGATTGTTTAAAATACCTGTAAATTCATGAAGAGACATCCAAGGTATATCTAGCCAGAACCCCTCGAAGTTTAATCGTTAAATGCTCAGCTCCACACAACACTGTTAGATTGATTTTCAATTTTTGCAAAACGATAAGTCAAACAAAAACAATTTTGTCAAAGAATAATTTCAGCGACAACAAAGAAAAAAATTCCATTACACCCTCTGGTGAAGGCTCAAGGCTCTGCCGAACAAATCTTCCGAGCGCACGCGATACCGACGGAAATGCAGCCTATTAAAGATGACTCGAAAATGAGACGAAGGAACGAAAACGAAAGGAAAGAGAATATCGACACAGATTTCAAACGGCTAAACTGACAAATTTAAGCTGAATATTTAATTCGTGGTTTTCAGGGCGAGACCCAGCTCCTTTCAAACCGCGAAAACTGGCAAAACGGAACAGATCCAACTTATATCTCGTTTTCTGCACAATAGTTGAGAAGTTGTATCATTTTACATCTCCACCATCGAGGCATTATCTGCCCGAGTGAATTCTTTCAGTGAACGAAACAAACTAGCGCTTGAGTTCTTGGAGGTATTCAATACAATACAAACTTTATTGACACTCCCTAAGAGGGCTTTTCAGTGACAATTAATAATTACAATAATAAAAATGTTTAATCTATACAGCTAAAAATAATTACGAAAATTACAACTAAAAAAGAAACTATCTCAAAAAAAATCAAACTACACCAGATCTTCCAAAGAAACGGTGGTGTTGCGTCGGTAGGAGAGTATAACAAGGTATTTTTAGCATTATCAATTGAGTTGATAATGTAAATTGGCCACCATTAGAGTTTCAAAGCTTTACGATATCAGCTTAGTTGACAGTACCAAAATACGTCGTTACATCAAATTACACCCTCTACTACACGGAAATACACATACTTCACCCGACTACACCACACTGTACTCACTTCTCGATTGTGTTAAAGATAGATAGTGTCGACTGTGTTTAAGATAGATAGTGTGGAACCTCGTCAGTCTATATTCGTGACGGTAATTATGGAACTACTACAGTAAAAAACGTAAAGAGCTGTAAACTTACCAAAGCTTCTTTACCCCTCGGCAAAGTCTTTGTAGAAAGGAGAAGCTGGCTAATTATAAAGCAGAGGAAATATTCGCAGGATAAACAGCTGCGCAGCAATTTCAAATGAACTTAGCTGTACTATTAGTACAATAACTTCCTTTGTCTTTATTCGCATGAACTACATTCAATACCCAAATATTACACTGCAGATATGATCTCACTGGTGAGGATATTGATGATTCCCTTTGGCGTTTGCTGCTTTTATCACTCGAAAATAAACATTCACATTCTCGTGCCCCTGTCGGAACCTCTCAAATCACTAGAATTGACCATCCACCACGAAACTGCCGTTACCCAACTATTTCAATAAAATTGCATTTATTTTGAGGTTTGAAAATGAGGCTATCAATGGCAATTTAGTTCGATAACATTTCACTTTACTAAATTCTCAAACATTCTCTCTTGAAATATCTCTCAATTCAGATATGTTTTTCGATCGGAGCATCACACGTATCACGTAGCACGCACGTAGCACGTGTCAGGGATCATACGTCACTAACTCTCCGAGGAACAGACTTTTTGAACTTTCGAATCGCATGTGATCAGGTCGCACACCTTGAAACTGCGGCAAATTTGGATAGTAAGGGATTTTGGGAGTAAGGTTCACTAATATTTCATGTACCTCATTCCCAGAGTTCCGAGCGGCGCCGGAAAAGAGGGACAGCTTGTTGTCTAGCGAATGGACCAAAGGGAGAATAATACAACCCTTTGCCGGAGAAGACGACCTCGTGAGAAATATTAAAGTGAGAGCCAACGTTGGCGCTTATGTCTGTCCAGTCACCAAGGTTTTTGTGATCTGTCCAGTCTCTTTAGTAAAGGTTACGACGAGTAGGTTAAATTCAAAATTGGCATTTACCACTGCAGGGAGGAATGTTGCATGGGATTAATACCAGAGGACTGAACGATTCAAAAGCAATGCTTTCCAATGTATTTTATGTTTAACAAGCTTGGACAAACGTGAGATTTTAAAATATTTTCTTTGATATTTCTTTCACCAGTTTTTTTTAACTCACTCTAAATCATTTACGTTTACGCAATGACCCCCAACGGTTGGTTCCCTAACAGCTTCAGATTACGCGATTACTTGCTGTACTAGATTTTGAAATCTAAGCTTGCCTGTGTAACTCCAGTTTTGCATCGAACTATATATCCATCGAAGTATGAGGCTGTGCGGAAATCTTGCCGCCTTAATTTTGGCTACAACAAATCTCCGCCTTTTTAGGAGACCCGTGATCAATTTTATTGATCCATTGAATATATATACTGGCAACCAGTAATGCTGCCGCCGACAAAAATCGCTTGGCTGGTAACACCTTTGTTTGCTGGATGCTAATTTAGAACTTCCCCTTTCTAGCATAAAAAATTGAAAAAGAGTATCAGTTCTGATTTTTCAGTGATAATCATTGTCAAATGGCACCTTAATTTTCCTGAAATATTTCACACTTATGTGCTTGAGTAATTGCAGAGGAATTTTAATTCTTTGGTAATTAGTGTGAATTAATGGATCTGAAAATGTAACCTCATAACGGTGTTCTGCCGAAGGAGTATGACAGATCTACCGCTTTTTTTTTCGGTTTTTATACAACTCGGTAAGCTCTGAATGTTTCACGCACACTTGTTTTAAAGTTTCGATGGCTAACAAACTTAATCAAAGAAAGATTATACAAATGTTGAATAAGGGGGTAAGTTTCTGAAGAAACTGTGGTGCTGCGTCTGTGGGGAGTACATCATGATAATTTTGGTTTTAACAACTGAGTTGATAATGTAAATTGGCCACCATTAAGAGTTTCAAAGCTAACGTTTCGAGCGTTAGCCCTTTGAAACACTTCGCTCTAGCGAAGGGCTAACGCTCAGAACGTCAGCTTTGAAAACCTCTACGGTGGCTAATTTACATGATCAATTCCCTCGATAAAGCCAAAATTATGAAATGTTGAATAGCTTATCGAATCGGGATTTGCCATTTGTACATACATCTTTCTTGGAAACCCGATAGTATGTTAACTTGTTCTCAACATGACGCCATCCAGCTTAATTTTACAGATATCGAGTCGTTTCGTACCCAATTGTTTCGTATCCAAATTCAGTCGATTCGTGCCAGCTTGGGTCGGTTCGTAACCAAACCGCTGGTCGATTCGTACCCATCTCAATATACATTTATTTGCAACACCTCAGGCGTGAGCGCGTGAAAAGATGTCAGTTGTTGGGTACGACAAATAAGTAGTGTCAAGCAAGTAAGATACAGGCAAAATTCTGACGTGCATACTTATGACTTTCTCAAGAAAAAAAACGAAGTTATTTTCTAGCTCAAGATACATATTAGAGTGATATTTTTGAAAGAACAAGCCATTACTTATACTTGTAACTTTCTCAACGATAACAGTTGGTGTAAGAGTAATTTTTTTCTTCCGTTATAAACGGCAAGAAGTTCTTTTATTTTTGTTTATTCCGTTCTTCCTTTAAACATACTTAACATAGAAAACGAACTTTATTAGTATTAGTACGAAATGACTCAACTAACCGGGTACACTTAGGCTTAAGGCTTTCCAACAAATCATTTAAGGGGACAAGTTTCTAAAGAAACTGTAGTGCTGTGTCGGTGGAAGATTACAACAGGGTAATTAAGTATCATCTACATAGTTGATAACGTAAATTGGCCACAGTAAGAGTTTTAAAAGCTGACGTTTCGAGCATTAGCCCATCGTCAAAGCGAATAACGAAGGGCCAACACTCAAAACGTTAGCTCTGAAACTCTTCACGGTGGCCAATTTACGTTATCAACTAAGTTGATAATGCTAAATTACCCTTTCCAACAAATCCCCTGGCATACCTGTGGATTGCCCGTGGCTGGCCCGAGGGTTGACTCTCAGGAACAGACGCTGATATCCTTACTACATACTGTTTTTCCTGAGATAAAGCTCATAGTACTCTTCACAGTTTCCCTCTCCTATCTCACGCCATCATTTATTTCGTTGAAGTGTCAGTTGTACAGAGCAGAATTGAATCTCTGTAACAAGCACCTCGAATTTTCAGACAAAGAGAAAAGAACCCGTAGTCGTTGAACAGATCTTTTATTTTATTTCTTTCTTGCCTCATTAGTAAGTCGGCACGTGGGCATAACCGGGGCGCAATAGTCTGCTCTGCTGTAGCCTCTAAGCCAACCAGAGCGCGAGTTACATCGGCCACAAGCCTAAGATAAGATTAAATTTTTGTGGTCGTTTGACAAAATCTAAACGGAAAGTCAATCACGAATTTTGTATAAATGATCAGCTTTCTAGACCGGGATAGAAGTCTTTTACTGGTGCCTTCATATCCGAACCCACGTTGTCAGGCCGCGGAAACATCATATTTGCCGATGGACTATAATTTCCGTGTTACACTGAGCAAATTTGGGCTTTTTTTTAAATGAACTAGAAAAATCTCTGATAACATCCACCGTTTAAGCACCAGTCTTTCTCGACAATACGAGGGTAACTTAGATAATCTTTTTATAGGATTGCCTTGAGTTATTGTGATCTCCACAACATTTTTTTCCTTTCACAATTTTCTCATATATATGCTATTTTCCTTAATCAGAGACTTTCAAGTATCATTTATACACACAAAGCAGAATACAAGCCTTTGTTCTTAGGCTACAAATGTAACTGCCCGAAGTGGTCAACTGGACGAGGACTTACGTGGTTAATGATTTGATTGCTTAACCAACAGGAGTAAGCCATTGTGAGATTTGTCCAGTCGTACGTCAAAGATATTCGTACGTCAACGGTATTTTTGCTGCGCGCGCCGTTGCCAACTGACGTCCCCGTCCTCTTGCTTAACCACCCTGATGGCCCTTCTATGACGCGTGAACTGGAAGAGTGCTATATGTCAACTTACGTGTTTTGCAGCAATATCCTGATTTCAAATCGATGGCTGGCTTTGGTCGTTGTTCTAGCGGTGTCGTTGGTATATAGTATCAGCTATGGTAGGTCAAATAATCTCCTCTTAAGTTTTTAATGGTTTCCTGGTGAAAGCATTGGCTTGTGTTCATACAGGATAATGACAGAAATTAACGCGTTAAAGGAGAAGTAAGCTCCAGAAGCCATACCGTTTTATTTTTGAAGTTACAAAGTATTTATGAAATAAGCAACCTTAGCTATCGAAAATTGTCTTCAACTGTGATTTAATTCGACAGCGAATTCCACCTTATTAAACCGCTAACCAACTTCTCGCTGGGTTGCCTATGACGCGCTCTTAATTTGATCCATCTCTTCCCAATCTTTACGACGAACAAGACTCTCCAAAACGAGCCACTCTTGCCTTGAAAATGAATGATATATTTAATTTCGGCGTTAACCAAACCAACAGGTTTTATCAAAACCACGCGTAGTGGACTTGCTTGTGCAGCCAGCAGGTTACTGATGTGTCTTCAGAATTGCATAATTTAGCTGTGTCGCTCCGGCGCAAACCCCAAACATATTACATGAGCTAAAGGTAAACTTTGTACCATGGTGGGGGAGGGGGAGGTGGTGATATTCTTATACCCCTTCCCCCATCTTATTATGGGCATTTGACTGGCGGTCAATTTTCTGTAGCCCCCCCCCTTTATACTCTGTCGGCGACAAATGATCCCCCCTTCCATTTTCCCTGAAATTGAAAACCATGTGATCCTCCGAAATCCTCCCATTCCCCTCCCACCCACCCCCTTGTGTAAAAATATCCATTTACGAAAAAAGAGACTAGAGTCCAAACTCCGTAGAAAATATGAATTAACCTTTTAAATGAACCACAACATCTGGCTAAAATAGAAACTCCGAAACTTCTTTAAATTTCAAACAAAGAAGTAACAAATTTACGTGAACGAAAGCTCAAAAACAACTGACGAGAACTCCGCAAAAAAAAAACTAAGAGTACGCAAAAAAATATCCACGTCAGTATTCCAATGTCAAGGTTAGAGTTCTTTGACGTGATTGGCTAATTTGTGAAATCATGCGCACTGCGAAGGGGGGAGAAGAGGAGAAAAATTGTTAGTAGAGATTTAGAAAAACCAAAAAGATTTTCTATACCCAGGTGGTAATAACTGGTTCTTATGCGGGTCAAAAGGCTTCTTTTGCAGCGCACTCACAGTGGGGGGAACAATGAGTGATGAAGACAGGCCTTGAAATGTCCTAAAGACTCCTTAGCTCTTCTCACTTTTTAACTTATATCTTGCAGGCTTTATTCCCATCTCTGGAAACTATCTGGTACCAAGAGAAGTAACTCATGATCCTGTTCCGAGTGTCCGCAACGTCGCTAAATCTTCCTGCCTTCGAAATGCATTTTCAAACGTTGTGCTTGTAATTGTGTATAACTTTCCTTTCTACTCCAGTATCCCAACACTCTCTGCCCTTTACAAGAATGCATTTTCCACGATCATGTTTTGCGGACCGAAGGAGACAAGGAAACATAATGTCGAGGCTCTTGAGATTTTAAGGGGATACTTCTCATACACGTGCATGTCACGTGCCATGGACAAATATCCCGGATACGAAGGATATTTACTCATAGGCGATGATTTAATACTCAACTACTGGAATCTAATTGGAATGGATCGAAACAAAATCTGGGAAGGGCCTAAGGTACCGATTCTAATAGAATATGCTCCGCCTGAAAAATGGCAATGGTGGAATTCTGCTTATGGAGTGAAGACTTGTCAGAAGGCATACGATGAAATCTGGGTTCTATACAACACCACTAGTACTGAAAAGTTGTCGAACATGAGCATGCGAAGTATTTTAGATAAAGGGAAAGTCCATTCCAGAGGCCCGTTATGGGAAATTAAAGGGTCGATTGATCTCTCCAAACAAAACAAGAACTGGACATTTCTTTGCCCCCGAGGTCGCTCAGACATATTTTACTTTCCTCGAAAATTTATAGATGAATTCAAAACACTGTCTTATATTTTTTACAAGCAACGTACTTTCTTGGAAATTGCAGTTCCTACAATGTGTCGAATGATTGACAAGGAAGAAAATTTTGAGTACCTCTCCGGAATTTACCTGCCGGGGGTAGGGGACAAACAGTCCGACTTTCTGTGGAAAACATATAACACCACGCTGGCGTTCATCCATCCCTTCAAACTAAATTATAATCACGATGGAGCCCTGAATGGGGCACTCCTGAAAAACTGGATCATAGAATATAGTAATAGTTTGAGTATGTGCTAAATAAAACTCATTACATCAGTTGGTCCAAGAATACGCAATCTCACTCCCAGCGGCTTCTCGATATTAAGATAATTTAGCAAGAGAAGGGGAACGTCAGAAGACCCGACGCTATTAGAAAAACGAGTAAACCTTGGGAAGGGGAGCCAATAAATTCAGGATTGAAACCTTTCGAATCATCGTAAAATCATCCAAAGATAGGGCAAATCTCCCGGTCTTCCATGTAATCAACTGACTCCTCTGGTCAAAAGTCAGAGCAAAAGGGGGGCAAAAACCTAGGTCTAGCATGAGTGAAAAAGGATCACTAATAAGTAAAATGTCTTGATTCTTTGACAAGGAAGAAAAATAACAATAATTTCACCTGAATAAATTTTATTGATCATCGTAAGAAAAAAATGTATAAGTTAAAATACATTTGCATCATCAAAAGGGCTCAAAAAATATTTCATAGATATCTGCATGTGATTACAGGCGTGCTAGTAAATGTATTCAATATATGTGAATTCACATCGTCTAACAGGCAAGAAATAATGTTTCCGCGAGCAAAATTAAAACATGATCATTCGAAAAATGATTTAGCTACTCTTCACAATGATAGTAATGAAAGAATCAAACGATAATAAAAGGCATTACTAAATGATTTAAATGCACTGTCATACAATAGGAGATATCTTTAAGGAACAATGTGCATAAGTTAAATCAACGATATTAAGTTAATTTTAGTTGGGTCAGATTATTATAGTGAGGTAGCGAACAAAGACGCCATATCTTGACTATGGTACGAAACCTTTGCAAAATATTTACCGCCTAATGTTATATTCAGGCCAATACCCGAGTTTCTTGGCAATACAGTCTATGTATTCCTTTTCAGTATGGTCGTCATTTTTTTCTTCGATCCACTTAACTCGTAAGTCTTTCCCCTTGTTCTTCTCAAATTGATTCTTCACAAACTCGTCGATCTTAAGGTTTTGTCTGGTGTGCTCCCCTAGCCGTCTGTGGACGTCATTTGTACGACCAACGTACAAAACGTTTGTTTCCTCATAGGAATCCGATTTATTTCTTCCGGTTATTCCGATGATATAAATTCCCTCAAGGTGAGGAACTCGATCGAGTTCATAAAGCCTCCACTCTTTCTTTAGCAGTCTGGTGCAGATGTTTGATACCATCTTAAACACAAACGCTACGCATAGAAAATGAAAATGTTAGTATGATTAAGCACACGTACTATGATTAATAGGACGCACTTATTTGAGGAAACCTGCTCTCGTGTGCCTCCTATCAGGCTAAAAATGGAGCTCAGATTTCATTTACGAAAGGCGCGCGCTCTATCGTGCGCGCGAGGAAAAGACAATCGCTTCTCTCCTCGTCGAGATCTGCTGAAACTTCCACAATAACGTCTCCTGAGCCCCCGAGCCCACTTACTTTTTGGCTAGTGCCGTAGGTCAAGAACCCTTATTGCTGAGGACGACGATGTCACTTCCTGCTAGCGTGACTTACTCAAAATAAATGTCATGTTCGGGGCCAAAGAATTCAAAGACATCAATCACACAATGTTCTCAACAGTTTGAGCTTCAGATGTTTCCGCATAAATCTAATCTGTTACGTTCTGAACGTTCATTGTTTGGTTTGAACAAAACCGCGCGCAGTTCGAAGCTAAACAAAAACCAAGCAAACACATGAAATTGTCAGCCAAACAGTATTCAGAGGAAACTATTCAGCTGAAAACTGATTTAAGTTAGATCGGATACAGAATGTCGCAGCTCGGTTGGTCACGGGAACACAAAGATTCTGTCATGTTACACCATTGAAACTGAATATATCCAAGTAGAGGTCTGCGCTATATAAATGTAATTATTATTAATTATTAATCGTGAGTCTCCCAGGACACAATCTAGATTCTAAAAAACAAGAACATCAAAATTTGCTTACCTTATTGGTGCTTTAAGCTTTCTGTGGACTTCTGAAAGAAAATTTTAAAGAAGTAATTCAGTGAAGTGACAATAAGCTTACCAGGATGAGCGTCTCGAGGTTTCCAAACGCCTCTTTTAGATAGAAAGCAGTTCCTGGTATTGGATTTCTAGATTTTAGAACTGAAATAGCACGGGAAGGTGTTGAACTTCGGTAGAAGCTGATACATGTGTGTTAGTTTCAACGTCTCGAGCTTCAATGTCTTCTCTTTACTGTGAACATTGATTCGGTAAAAAGCATTTAGACTCGTTACAATATCTATAAATCTAAAGAACGAGTAACACGTACTCGTTCGCGCAAAAATACTGCAAACGTCTTAGTCAACCACTACAGTTATCACGCTTTATGAGTTTTGTCAATCGAGAACAATTTCTTACTTAGCTTAAAAGTATGTCATCATTGCAGTAATTATCGCTAAATATTTCTGCCGAGAACGTTTTCAAATCATTGAAGTTTACATTTACTCATGGATAGACAGAAATCTACAAACATAGCTTAACTGTGCAAATTTAGAATTTGCCCCTTCTCTCCTAAACTGTTTCCCGCCCAAACGAACGACAGTGCCCCAAAAGTAAGCTTACCTTTCTCCCTTGAACTGTGTTTGTACTTTGTCAGAGTGTGCGGCTAAACATATAACACTTCCTTTTATGAAAATGAAACTGTGTTGGCTGGCCAATGAGAAAACTCTTTCATTACAACATCTCGAGTTTTATTGGCTGGAAAGGAAAGGGACTTTCCCGTAACTGACTTTTATCGTTGAGTATTTGTTTTTGCTTTTCTAGGAAATGGTCACAATGATTATTTTCTCAGAAACTTCATATTCGACCTGATTAGAAAAAAATCTGCCTACTGGTCGATGGATAGTCTCTCGCTTGGAATTTTTGATGAGATAGTAGGCTTTCATTCGGGATTTTTCAAAAAGACAACAAAATTTGTCTGAACACGAAGTTTAGTGCGCTTAAGCTGACTCAACTTTTCACTTTGAATATTGATCCCGTAAGAGCTATTCAGACTCCAGCGCATTAAATCCATAAAGTTGTTCAATGAACAAAATGCATATATGCTGGAAAGAGGAGAACAATAACGAGAGCGAGATCGAGAACAAGGAGTAGAAATTAAGATCAGACGGAAATATCATACCTTAAACTCAAGTAACTCTGCGTTGTTTTCTTCTTTGCCGATTTGAATGTTGGCGCCGAAGCCTCAGAAATATAAACACCACTTCATGTCAACTTTTGGTTGGCAAGAAACAAATAAGGGAAATATCCCCTACAAAGTTCAATTGTTTATCTTTACATCAAGGGACATTTTTGTTCAAAACTGAAAGCGCTGGCACAGCAGATTCCTCTTGGCAAATGATGCAACCTTCTCCGATAGCATGTTTCCGGTCTCGACAACAACAACAACAACATACTTTATCCGATAGCATGTTTCCGGTCTCGATTGACGGCTTTGCTCATATCTAATAGAACAACTGCCGTTAACTTCTTTTTGTCAATCGCGTTAAGAATTGTGTCAGTTGTTTCAATCACAGACGTTTCACACGAATGCCATCTCTTGTTACCGCTTTGGCTCTTTGATAGGGTGTCATTCGATTGCAGATACGAGGTGAGCTGATTATGTACTACCCTTTCGCAAACCTTTGATAAGACTGGTGTAAGTGAGATGGGTCTATTATTGTTTGCCTGTTCCTGGTCGCCCTCTTTTGGATTGGTGTAACCACAGCTGTCTTCCATTTTGATGGAAAAACACAGTTTTGAAAGGATGCATTAACGATAGACGTTATTGGGTGAACAATTGGATTAAGACAATCCTTGATGACACGAATCGGGATTTTGTCTATCCCTGGGGCCCTTGTTTGAAGGCATCGCTGCTATTATACGTTCTATTTGTTTATAATCAATGGTACTCAGTGTGAACTGGTCAGAGAGAGCGTATTGTCTCGGTACAAAATAATTCTGATTAAGTGTTAGGTTGCATTCATTAGCCAGGGACGTAATTTTGTCAACAGTGCTCTGACCAACAGATACGAAAAACTGATTAAATTCGTCTGCAACAGCTTTGTCGCTCTTACTGTATGTTCGCTGAGATGTAGATTTGCAGGGGATGCACTGGCGAATTGCTTTCCAGATATTATTGGTGTTATTTGGATTCCTCTGGATTTGTTGGGCCACAAATTCCTGTTCAGCAATTCTGATTTCCCTCTTTACTTCCTGTCTGAAATATCTGTAGGCAGTCCAAGATAGCGGATCATTTGTTTTCTTTGCTTTCTTACGCCAATCATCCCTGGTCTTCATCAATCCCCGGATGTTGTCTGTTACGCATGGATTTGGTTTACAGCGTGCTTTGAAGGTTTTAATTGGAGCATGGCGGTCGAGTATCTCAGTAAATAGCGAATCGAGTGCATAAAGTTTGTCCTCGACATCGTCGAAAACATCAACTATGGACCACGGTGCCAGTGATACGTCGTTGCTAAAATCAACAGGACTGTAGTGTTTAAAACTTCTGGTTGGGTCTTGTGTCCGAACTCGTACATTTTAGTAAATGATTGCGACGACAAGGTGCAATATTGCCAGTGTACTCAAGACAAGGGTTTGAACTTTGAACTTGTCTGAAATTGATATTGCCCGCATGCTTCATGTATGATTTCAAGCGAAGCATTCTGTCTAACAACTAAATTGCCAATGGTTTGAATAAATTAAGCTTAAGAAAAAAATTGTTTTCTGGCAGATTTTGTTTCGCGCGTTACATTTGGATAATAAAAGGTCATAAATTACAATGTGTAGCCTGTGGAAATGTGTCTGTCTATTTATTGGCAGCTTGCCTTCTCTAGATCTTTCAGACCTATTTTTCTCGTAACTGGTCACGGTGAACGATTAATTTCTTTTGATTTAAGTATCTTCTCAATTATTTTGATTTCTTGACCTCAATATCTTTTTTACTCAGTTAGCAAAGGAGACAGACGTCGATCTTCTGGATTAACCCTTTAACTCTTAGGAGTGACTAGCATCTAATTTCTCCTTACAATATCACCCCTGAATCACACATTAAGGTCAACTAAGGAAACTCTTGATTGTTACACAAATTCTCCTTGTTAGCATCTTAGTAAATGTACAGAGAACAGTATGGAGAATATGAACACTAATGTTAGGGTGTAATGAGTCAAATTGGAAAGAGCTTCGATACTAGCTCTTCAGGGATCACAAACAAACTTGAGTTCTCGTTACCAGATCTTGATTTTGAGCACCAATGTCAACTTGCATGAGTGGTGGTAGAGATTGTTTCTTCGGATCCTATCTTCCAAAAAGTTAAATCTTGGGATAAACTTTAATACTGACGAGTGATTTTTGTGCATGGCAACTAACACAAGACATCATTAAGGTTTAAAACAATTTCCCACTGTCAATATTAAATAGCCTTAGCCGTTAGTCCAATCAAACTCGGAGGATTCATCCGTTGATTTTTATTTTTCAATGTCTTGACCCTTCAAATACTTTTATATCCCTCCTACGAGAGGTTTAGGGAGCCTCTTTCGTTTATCAAATTTCAGTCTTATTTCAGGATCACTTTTACTGTAAGTCACCCCAGAAAAGGATATAACGCGGGTTCAATAAAACTTTATACTACACAATTATACTATCAAGTTTTTTTAATTTTTGTTTCAGTGTCCTTGAGCTTCACGAGCAACCCTACCAAGTAACAGTCACCATGCATTTAAATGTTAGAGTCCTCGCCAGAGAAATAATAGGGCCATCTGTATCGTTTTAACAAAACCATCAGCGATTAGATACTTGATAAATTCATTTTTCTTGGCAGTTTTAGGGGAACGAAACAAGGGAGGGAAGGAAGGGACGAAGAAAGACTAAACGCCGGCTAGCAAGGATGGAGAGAGCTCAGGGAACTTGTTTAAAGCCTGACACTAATTAAGTGAGTGTCATAAGATGAAGAAGCGTCAAGTTTTTTTAAGTTAAAATAGTCTTGCTCTGGGGCATTTGGTCATCAAGTGTACCTTAACAGAGCTTTCAAAGCTTAAAACAAAAGGCTTCTCTTTACTATCCAGTTATCAACGGTGATACAGTTTTAGCATTGTCTCGATAACTGAGAAAAACAAGGCCTTTGATCACATTAGGCCTTTTGTATTAGCGATGCAGTGCCATAACGAATAGGAACTTTGGTTTTTCGCACAGTTCTAATTTTTAATGGAGCTACCAAAAGACACAAAGCAGAAGTAATGAAGAAACGGGACTATTTTATAACAAATGCTATTTGTGTTTCGTAAATAACTTATGCCGATCAACTAACATAATTTAAAATGTTCTTTTTGAACCACCAAGAGAGAAACTTAAACTTGCATGTCTTGTGCATACACATGGCAATCATTTCTACTCTCAAGTATAAGTGTTCTAACACCTAATAACTGAATAACTTCTAAGCCTACAAAAGATGAAACATTGCCCGAAGATCCTATAAAACATGTCTTTACCATGTTTCATTTGCCTCTACCTCTTTTGTTGTATGTCAAATTACAATTCAGCATACGCTCAACGCATTTGATGTAACTACTTTCCTTCTTCTTGTGTTTGGGCTCTTTGATCCACTTCACACGTAGATTTGTTCCATTCCGTTGAAAATTGCGCTTCACAAACTGGTCAATGTGTTGAATACCATATTTGTGTTGTTTCAGTCTCGCATGGACGTCTTTGGATTGGCCAAGGTAAAGGTAATTGACTTTCTTTTTCCCTCTGTTCTTGTATCCTATTGTGTATATACCTCTCTCGTGAGGTATCTTATTGGCATCCGTGTACTTTACCCACCGCCTTCCTTTGATAAGTTTGCTGCAAACTTTGTTAGCCATCGATCTGTTCAAAAGACAATGCAACAGATTCGTGACAAGACGGAAAACGTCATTCTCTAGTTCTTTACCGAGCTCAAAATATACTATCTCTCTTATTCTATTTACAAACATGGCACTATCGACAATGTTGATCCTAGCAGTTTGCAGGACGCACGTCATATAAACTTCGTAATCGATCTAGCTCACCGTAGAGGCTCTGTGGCTCAGTCGTGTAGAGCATCAGAGCGCGGAATCCGAAGGTCTGAGGTTCGATTCCTTATGGGGACTCAGAATTTTTTTCTCTGTCCTACGCTCGTGACAAGACGAAAAACATCTTTCTCAATTTACCAGATTATTATCTAAGAATCACAGTTAATTTGTTGTTTACACGCTTGACATTTAGACGTTTGCTTTTCCACGAACAATTTCCGAGAAATATCCAACAACAAAAGCTCTTGTGTCGACAGAGTTATATTTCAGCTAGACAATTAAACAAGAAGGAAAACTAGAATACATAATTCGATAAAAGAAGAGAAAAAAATCTTGACTTCTAAAGAAGAGAAATACAATTGACAGTGATATTTTTTAACTGAACAAACAATAGGGCGGCAAAACCATCGATTTGACTTCGTAGAAATACTATTCTGGATATCGGTCGACACTGAATTATTGTAACATGAACCCACCGAATATTCCTATTGAATCACTCTATATGAACCCAGATTTGAATGCCCTCCTAACGTACTAGTTAACCTTAGAGCGGAAAGCAGTATTGGCCGTTGAAATCTCCTTCCTCATATGAGATCGAACAAGGCAACGACAACCTATTATTCGGTGCACTTTTTTTTGAAAGCCGTTAAAAACGTTTATCGAGCCGGCGCAACTGAAATCGGATATAGGGCGGTTAGCGAGCGTTAAGCACCGACCGCGTTTCTCTTGCCTGCTGGCAAAACAGACTCCAATGACAAAAATTTAAGGACTATTTTGGAACTGCTCAAACTTTCAGATGAGTCTTTCGCTACCAAAGTCATTAATTTTGGTGTTGTGAATGTTCACACGAAAATTTTATGTAAATTATCGCGGCTACGACATCATATTTCGTTTTCCCAGCGAATCGTTCATGTACCTACTCCACCGCTGTATTGTAGCAAAGCTTTATCAGACTTCATCGTATAATTAAGTCTATAATCATCAAAGCTACTAGCAACAGAGGTTAACTTAATAAAATTTTGGTTATAAGAGATTCTGCCTCTTATCTAATGAGTTCTGAAATTGCGATTCTTTTCATAAGATCTGATTAGAAGAACCTTCTACTTCTTTGCCTGCCAGAAAGAATCCTCGTTTTTGAGAAAAGAATTCCGGATTCTTGTGGCAAGAGTTTCTGAAATTGCGATTCTGTTCGTAAGATTTGCAATTAAATATTCTCTCCAGAAGAACTCTCTGTTTCATTGCCTGCTGAAAAGAATTCTCGTAAGTTAATTATATCGAATATGTAAGTTAATTATATTTTTGTGAATTGTATGTTGAGTATTGGTCGACACTGAATTATTGTAACAAGAACCCACCTGACACCCAGATTTGAATGTCCACCTAACGTACAAGTTAACCTTGGAGCAGAAAGCAGAATTGGCCGCTGAATTCTCCTTCCTCATACGAGATCGAAACAAGGCAACGTCAACCTATTATTCGGCGCACTTTATTGAAAGCCGTTAAAAACGTTTATTGAGCCACAGCCGGCCCAGCTCCAGCTGTGAGATAATCATCTTGCACAATAACAAGGCTGAACATTGAACACCTGTCATTGTAAGTTGAACACAAGGCTGAACACTCCATTTCCGAACGCCCGATCCGAGAAGCTTGGGCTTTTCTTATGTAAGTTGAAAACTTCGAAATGGACAGCTCGCTAAAATGGGTACTTTTCATCAAAGTTAACGGTCAGATAACAAGTGATAGGCTGTAAAAGTAAGGTGAGTTATATTCATCAAGAATTTGAGGTATTGTTTTATTCCTTGGAGCGGTCGTAAATATTCTCATACAAACTCTTAAAATCCCGCCATGACTGTTATTGTGCAAGATAATCATCTCACAGCTGGGGCTTGGGCGGCCTGTGATTGAGCCCGCACAAACAAAATCGGATATAGGGTGGTTACCAAGCGCTTGGCATCAAACGCGTTTCTCTTGCCTACTAGCACAACAGATTTAAATTATAAAAATTTAAGGACTATTTTGGAACTGCTCAAACTTGCAGATGAGTTTTTCGCTTCCAAAGTTATATAATTTTGGTATTGTGAATGTTCACACGAAAATTTAATGTAAATTATCGCGGCTACGACATCATATTTCGTTTTCCCAGCGAATCGTTTAGGTACCTACTCCACCGCTGCATTGTAGCGAAGCTTTATCAAACTTAATCAGATAATTTGGTCAATAATTATCAAAGTTACCAGCAATAGAGGTTAACTTAATAAAAACGAACGAACGACAGGGCCCCAAAAGTAAGCTTACCTTACTCCCTTGAACTGTGTTTGTTTCGTTTTCATTCTCAACAGCTGGAAAAGTCATACATTTTGATGAATGACTGCGACAACAAGGTGTAATATTGCCAGTGTACTCAAGAAAAAGAACGATCGATAGAACGTGCGGTCTATTGCTTAACTGCAAATCGATGGTACGTGAACGGCAGATTAATCGCAATTGGAAACTTTGGTCTAAATAAATGTTTGGTCTGAAAAAAAAAAAGACAAACTGCAAATTCATTTTTTACTCAAGTTGAGTAATACGTATACATAGACATATGCGTAGCTCTCGAAGGCTTGAAAGCTCAAAATACCCATTCCTCGAAGCCTACCGCATGGATAATTAAAAATTTCTGAAAGCTGATCTGCAGTGCAAGCGCTTTCAATTTCAGAGGTAAATTTCCCTTCCTTGAGATTAATCACATTCTGAGTATAACAACTCAAAGAATTATTCAAAATTTCCACTTCGGAGCTTGCAGCATTGATAATTAAAAAATGTCATTAGATTATATTTCGATTTTTTCATAGTTCAATTAAAAAACTGGAGGCGGGAAATTTGAACAAACCCATTTAATGAAAAGCAAACTTTACGGAAATTACATCATTTCAAAAAAATTTGCCTCGCAAGCACTTTCGATTTCATAGGGAAATTCCCTTCCTTAAAAGAAAAGAAAACTCAAACATAGACACAAAGGAATTGTTGACTCGTAAAATTGATGATAATAGGAATAACCATTGAAAATAGCCAATGAAATTTGATAACCTTAAAATCCAAGTTTTTTATTGGTCGAGGGAATGAGCGTTAAGTGAGGACCTAAAAAAGATATTACGTCATAGAGTTAATGAAAACAAGACGCACGAAGTTAAAATCATATAACCGTGAACGCTCTATTGAGAAGGATAACTACAGATTTACGATATTTGAGCAAAAGGTAAGTTATCGAGTTGTAAAGGTTTGCTGAACCCTTAATCAATTCCCCATAGAATTTCAGTATGATAACTCACATAAAATGGAAGCGATTCAAGTCGTGGTTTGTGGCGTAAGCGAGGTGTAACCAGAAACCCAGCTATTTCCGAGTCATGAACTTTCGTAAATTGAAGCCCGGCAAACACGGGACTGGTAGGATCAGCAAACCTTTCAAATTTTGTTCATCTCTGCGTCTAAAAGCGGGTACACTAATTTATTCCGTTTAAGATGGACTTCTTGTTTGACCTGTAGACATCTTCCCGAATGTTAACGCTTAATTGCTTTTGCTGCTCTGTGGTTTTCCTCGTAAAAGTCAAATCTAGAAAACCCCAATCCCTAAGAAACCGGCTCAGATAACAGAACATAAGGACATCCTCTCCTTTTTAAAACATAGCAGACAAGTTTCACGAATGAAATCTTGAGTGATTCTCTCGTTAATTACCCATGGACGCATAAACTTCTCCGCTTGGCTGGTTTTTACATTTACAAAGTTTTGATTCATTCGATGCTTAAAGCCTCGTATTTTTTCGAGGTTTCTTTCGGTCGCAATAAAATCCAAAGCCACTCTGAATCACCCCAATCAAGCGTCAATCCTTCGTTGAAAAATGACGCTGGACCTCAGAGAGGGCGCATGCGGTTACACGTGCCTAAGCACGCTTTACTCTCTTTTTCTAAAGAACCGATGATTATCAAAATGATTTAAAATGTGCATTTTAATCAACAGATGCCGCCAAATCGAAATTCCAACAAGCTTGTCCGTTTTAATCACTGGTGTCAATTCACTGATACAGTTAAGATATCTCACTTAAGGGCTGTCTCTCGCAATGGAAATAAAGAACGAAGAATAAGAGCCATGAAATATTTGCATCTGAGGCAGGCTAACTTTGTGCATGAAATGACATTGGGGCACAAGGGAATAAAGCTGGTTTTCGGCGAGTTTGCGAGAAAAAGCATCAGAATGGAGTGTATTCAAGAACAAAGGCATAAACCAAGGGGGAAACAGTACAAGACTTGGGAAAAGATAACGATCGGAAGTAAGTTGGGATACCGCAAAATATTAAGGCAACAACTTCTTAAAAGTTGAACCCAGTTTATCACAACTGTCTGTAAAACTATAAAATAGCTTTCCCTGTAGGTTTAGGTCAGCATTATTGATTAACGTAACCCAAGAAACTTTAAAAATGTGAAACAAGCTTAACTTATTTCGCTGATTTTTATCCTTTTTCCACTGCGATCACAATGATTATATTAAACTTCAGCTAAAACCTTTGACGCATGAAAGACGGACTTGCAATTCGAAGACAGTGTACTTAAGTACTTGTAGCAGTAAAATAAGCAGCTTGTAGCCCTTTTTTAAACAAATAAAACTAAATCTATCGTTAAAGAGCCTCATATGAATTACTGTCTATGAATATGACCTATGCAAAAGTAAAAAAAATGACTTCATGGTGCTTAGGAACCTCGAACTCTCACTTTAGCGTCGTTCAAACGCCTATTACTTTCCTGTCGTGATGCGATGGTTTCTTTATATACATGGAGATTAATCTTTGGCTGCAAACATATAAAGAACTGAATCATCAAAATAGAATCGTGAAAGTTTTTTTTTATCACGATATCAAAATTATTGTGGATCGCTATGCTCAACTGACAGGTTGACCTTGTGGATAATAGTGGCTCTGAATCGTTGGAAAACGATTAGATAGTCATTTGTCAATATAACTGCGATGAACAAACGCATGCATCTTTAACAACAAACGAATTTTATTTTCTGTCTTTTATTTTGTCTCTGAACGAGACAGGGGTATAAAACAAGGTGGATATTCTTGTCTACACAGATATTTTGTCTTGACCTTATGAATAATAGCTGGGTACTTGAAAGGATGGTAAAACATACAATCTTTTGTTTTAAAATATGGAAAGCTTCAAGGTGCCACCAGGCAACCACCCGGGCTTTTGAACTTTCGAAGATTGGTTGCCCTAAATTCCCTCCCCCTGGGGCCAAACATTGTGTTCAAATGCCCCACCCAAAGGCCAAATCTGATAGTCAATTTTCTTGTGAAAGACGGAATCACCAACGGTGACTTTCTACTCATTGACAAGCTTTAAAACTTAGACCTTGTAAATCTTCTCTTCTGAGCCATTAGCTCGTGAATTTGAACTCTTTATCTTTAACCACTTCCATATTAAAGATAAAACACGTGTATTTCATTAGAAAAACGTTTCACTTCCGATTCTAATTCCCCACCCCCGCCAGACAAGGTTTAAGTTTCCGCCCTACCCCCCCGGAACACACGACAGTCAAATGCCCATGGGTTGCCGAGGGGTGGATGTCAAAGCTACCAATTGATCGGTGCATATAACCTTTCTTTATATCTTCTGAAACCTTATGTTTGAAAACTAACTCAACCGAACAAAGCCCTCACGCCCTCGAACTAATAAACAACTTTGGTTGAGTTCTGAGTTCACACAGAAATATGTTTATATTTACTGGGGTTTTATTAAAGTTCCTACGAATTGAATATTCTAAAACTTGGTAAATAAAATTTTCCTCTCTAATGTGATAGTTAACAAGTAGCTTAGATGAATTCAAGAGCCAGGCAAGAGCAACTAAACTTGCGTACAAGAATGTGTTTGACCTACAGTTGCATATACACTGAATACGAATGATCATACGTCCACAACTTGATCATAAATCCTTATCTTGAATGTTGTACCTTGGCCAGTAACCAAGTTTGTTCGCAATACATTCGCGGTATTGTCTTTCCCTATGATCAGTTTTTATTTCGAATCCACTTTATACGTAAATATTTGCCGTCATTAAGTTGAAACTGTTCTTGAACGTATCTATCTATGTCCAAATCCTGCCTCTTGTGTTCTCCCATCCTCCGGTGAACATCATTAGTGCGACCCACGTAGAGAACTTCGAGGTCTTGTCCAGGGTCTGAATCGGAGAATCATTAATTTCCCGCCCAAATGAACGACAGTGGCCTAAAAGTAAACCAAAGCTTATATTATCTTGAAGCTTACCTCACTCCCTTAGTCTGTGTTTGCACTTGTTTAGAGTGCGCGACTAAACATATAACACTTCCTTTTATGATCAAAGTGCTCTGTGAGCAAACTCGTGAATTGACAGATGACTTACATGATTTTTTGGATTATGTTCAATGTTATCTGGTTTAGGGAATTTTGTGGTTGATTGTCATATCTAGAGTATGAGCAGTAGTTCAGTGTTCGCTAATGTAACAAAGAAACAAAGTAACGTTGGGATAAGAAGGCATTACAATTGAAATGATCATGCTATTACATTTGACAAGGGTGGATGATGTCATGTGTTTTAAACATGTATCATTTTTGTTTCTGGTTCGAAAAAAAAAAGGTTGGAAGTAAATGTGGGTGAAAAGTGAAATTTACTGTCTATCATTGTAAATATTGGAAAATCAAGGCAATACTGTCTTAATGAAAACATTAACGATTCCCTCTTCATCAAATGAAACAAACGGGAACGAGTTTTGAGTGATATAACTAAGCCCAGACTGCCACCGTCATTTTGGATTTCCGCCTGGGTAGATTTTGGTCACGTGTTAGGCAACGTATAATCAAGAAAAAGATAGAATTTCATTTCAGGCCAATTTATCGATTTTGTGGTGTATAACTTTCGCATTTTAGTTCGTAATATTTATTTTAAATCTTCAAATTGTCTTGAAACTTAAAAAAAATTCGCTGAAAATCGGTAGCCAAAATTATTTGTTTAGGTGTTATTTGATTTTCGTGTTAACCTGTAACTTCGTCGGTCGCCAGCACCTTTTGTTGCTTCACACAGAAAAAACACACGATACGAAATGTAATGATCGATTTTATCCTCAATCTCACGCCATAACAGAAAAAGCTTTTGAACACCTGTAAACTCCGAACGCTTTAGAGTAAGTGATATTTTAATGAATCTTCGGATTGTTTTCAAGTTCAAGGATTGTAGATTACAATTTTATGAAAAACGAAGGTTTTTATCTTATTTCAGTGTGAATCCTCGCGCGCCTGCCAGTCGCTGGCTGGCGCCGCTTGTTGAAACTAAAACGAAAAAAAAAAACTCTTTTAAGATTATGATTGGCTTCTTTTTCACCCCACCACTATTCTTAGCAACAAAGGTCGCCATTTCGTTTGTTTATTACTCGCCAAAAACTATCAAATGCACTCAAAAGCCTAAAATCGAAAAAAAGTTTACAGGAATCGACCAATCGAGCGAGCGAGCGAGCGAGTGCCATTCTCTACATCATAGCTACAACTCACTCTTGCGCATGCGCGCAATTCACGAGTTAAAAATGAAACTGTGTTGGCTGACCAATGAGAAAACTCTTTTATTACAGCATCTCGAGTATTATTGGCTGAAAAGGAAAGGGACTTTCCCGCAACTGACCTTTATCGTTAAATATTTGGTATCGCTTTTCTAAGAAATGGTCACAATGATTATTTTCTCAGAAACTTCATACTCGACCTGATTAGAAAAAAAAATCTTCCAACTGATTGATGGACAGTCTCTTGGTTGAAATTTTTGATGAGATAGTAGGCTTTGATTCGGGATATTTCAGAAGAAGACAAAATTTGTCTGAACACGAAGTTTAATGCGCGTAAGCCGTCTCAACTTTTCACTTTGAAAATTGATCCCGTAAGAGCTATTCAGACTCAGTGCATTAAATCCATAAAGTTGTTCAATGAACAAAATGCTGGAAAGAGGAGAACAATAACGAGAGCGAGATCGAGAAAAAGGAGTAGAAATTAAGATCAGACGGAAATATCTACCTTAAACTCAAGTAACTCTGCTTTGTTTGCTTCTTCGCCGATTTGAATCTTCGCGCCGAAGCCTCAGAAATATAAACACCACATAATGTCAACTTTTGTTCGGCAAGAAACAAATAAGGGAAAAATCCCTTACAAAGCTGTTTGTCTTTACATCAAGGGGCATATCCGTTCAAAACTGAAAGTGCTGGCACAGCAGATTCCTCTAAGCAAATGATGCAACCTTCTCCGATAACATGTTTTGCAGTCTCGACGGCTGGGAAACTCGTACATTTTAATAAATGACTGCGACAACAAGGTGCAATATTGCCAGTGTACTCAAGACTAAAGGTAGGTCGTGTTTGAACTTTGAACTTGTCTGAAATTGATATTGTCCGCATGTTTCATGTATGATTTCAAGCTAAGCATTCTGTCTAACAAAAAATTGCCAATGGTTTGAATAAATTAAGCTTAAGAAAAAACATTGTTTTCTAGCAGATTTTGTTTCGCACGTCACATTTGGATGATAAAAGGTCATAAATTACAATGCGTAACTTGTGGAAATATTGTTAAATGATAAAATTACAATTATAGTTAATCTACAATATCGTAAGGGTTTTCTGTATTGGTGCTAGAAAGAAAAGGAATGGAAATATTATATTATTCTAAGTCATTTAATGTAAATTATAAAAAGGGCAGGTTGATTACTTCGTACGCCTTCTTGGTGGTCTTATCTAAAAGGTTGAGTTTAATCACGTTCTTCTTGTGAGTTTGGCCACGTTCACCTAGTGAGTTTAATCACGTTTTCTTCGTTGTGATCGTGAAGTTGACATGGAACTCGTGATAGGCCGTGTTCTTAAATAAGTTAATTTGTTAGTCCAGGAAGAGTAAATCTCCCTGGTAATAGGTCGCGTTCGACACCTTCGTGTTCCCAGAGGTAATTTAAGGGTAAACAGGTGACGTCCCTCATGTTTTCGCAACAAGAAGCAATTTGGGGGCGGTACTTGTGAGCGCCTTTCTTTAACTCTTGTGACCAAGATGTTGTTATGTAACAATCTTTAAAGGTGATTTTCTCTTAAGATACACTTTTAGGTATAAATAACACTCTACACCAAGGTTATTTGTAATTTTTATATTGTCGATCTCGTTTCTGTTCTGGCCGATCTCAACCGTAAAGATATGAAAATTAGGGAAGAAATTGATTTTGTAACTGCGTAGACAACCCTAAGGTGCTTACTCAGTATGTGGGAACTATAATACGTAGTCAAGCGTGATTCGCTAGTGGAGATGGTACGATGACGACACAAGAAGATCGACGGCTTAGAAATGTCATCCGCAGTGACACCTTTATTAGCGGAGACTCTAGTTTTCCCTGATATATTGAAGCTAGTCCCCATTGTAACAACTTGAGAAGAGAAGCAAATAAAGAAGGATCAACCGGACCACAAACGAGTGTTAGAGAAATCAATTCTAACAATATGTCTCTGTCTATTTATTGGCAGCTTGCCCTCTCTAGATCTTTCATACCTATTTTTCTCGTAACTGGTCTCTTCAATATCCTTTTCACTCAGTTAGAAAAGGAGACAGACGTCGATCTTCTGGATTAAATTGGAAAGGAGCTCCGATCGTAGCACTTCAGGGATTACAAACAAACTTGAGTTCTCGTCACCAGATTTTAATTTTGAGCACCAATGTCAAATAGTATAAATGGCGGTATAGATTGTTTCAGCGACAATAACGAATCAGAACTTTGCTGGTTGTCGCAATTCTAATTTTTGATGGAGCTATCGAAAGACTTAAAGAAGGAGTAATAAAGAAACGAGACTATTTTATAACAAATGCTATCTGTATTTCGTGAATAACTTATGCCGATCAACTTACATACTTTAAAATGTCCTTTTTGTACCACCGAGATGAATACTAAAAATTACATGTTTTCTGCATACATATGGCAATCATTTCTACTCTCAAGTATGAGTGTTCTAACTCCTAATGACAGAGTAACTTCTAAGCTTAAAAAAGATTTTAAAAAAAACCGCCCCAACGATCCTCTTACACATTTGTTTACCATATTTTAGTTGCCTCTACCTACTTTGTTGTATTTCAATTTATATCCGAGCTTATGCTCAACGCATTTGATATAGACAGTCTCTTTCAGCTTGTGTTTACGCTCCCTAATCCACTTAATTCGTAGATCTCTTCCGCCATCGCGTCGAAAATTGCGCCTAACAAACTGATCAATTTCTTGATCGCCATATTTGTGTTGTCTAAGTCTCACATGGACGTCTATAGATTGGCCAAGGTAAAGGTATCTGATTGCTTTTTGTCCCCTTTTCTTGACTCCTATCACGTATATGCCTTCCTCATGAGGTATCTTTCTGATATCCGTGTACTTTACCCACGGCCTTTCGTAGATCAGTTTGTCGCAAACTTCTTCAGCCATCTGTGAAAAAAAAAAAAATTAGGAATCACAGTTATATTGTTTGTTTACACGCTTAACATTCAGACTTTTGCTTTTCCACGAAATATTAACGCTTGAACGAACTCGTTCCGAGAAATATCCAACGACAAAAGCTTTTGTGTCAACAGAGTTCTATTTCAGCTAGACAAATAGACAAGAAGGAAATCTAGAATACATAATTCCACAAAAGGAGTGAAAAAAAATCCTTGACCTCTAAGGAAGATAGATGGACGGCGTTGTTCATGAATTGAACAAACAATAGGGTGGCGAAACCATCGATTTGACTTAGTAGAAATACCCCTCCATGGAATCACCTTACCAAACTCTAAACAACACTGATAGCTTTGAACTACCCGATCAAGGAAAAAAGATGGCCGCAAATGCGCGCTTGATCTTAAATTTTCTCACTCGACGAAGTGGAAGCAAAATATGGTAACAATATTCCGTATGTTCCGATTCTGTTCTGCTGTTGCCGCTCGGCATGTGGATCTTACACGACAGACCTCAATCGACTGCGTTATGTTTTAATTGTCCAAACAAAAATTCGCAAAGAAGCTACGAAAGACCAAGAAAAAATGCTTACCTCGAAATCTGTCGACTTACTTCAGCTTTCAAGTTTCAAATTTACCGCGTCTGCTGGAGTGCGAGTGTTTATATGGGCCCCAAGTGCTATTTTTGGCTGATTACAGTAGGGGATGTACAAATTTGTCTATCTTTAGATCAAGGGATATTTCCGTTCAAAACTGCAAGTGATGGCACAGCAGATTTCTCTCAGAAAATGATGCAACAAAAGGAGCTCCCATCGTAGCTCTTCAGGGATTACAAACAAAATGGTGTTTCTAATGAATGAGTCTGCGAATAAGGCAGAAATAAATATTTTGTCGGCACGAGATACGACAAGGCCTGGGCCTTAGGCCCGAGCATCATGGGTAATAATGCAGTGGTATATAAGGGAAAGTATAGCACGTGGCGTCTATCTAGGCCTCAGAACCAACCGTTCACCCCTGGCCGATGACAAATTTAGTTTACTTTGAAAACATATATTCTTTAGCTGTGAAGCCTCGTAGGATGGGCTGCCAACTGCTCTGAGTTTGGGCCATGGTTCCAACCCAGATTTCCTGTCATGTTTTTTCCCCAAAGGGGTTTTTTCTGGCCTCTGTATAACCGTAGTTATGTCCTTGTAAGCGGTTGCCTATCTCTGTTAATCCAGACTTGGTGAAGTTTGCATGTTAGTAATGTATACCTTTTTTTTTTAATGTGTAAGGAATTGTGTAAGGAATTGACTGTACAGGGCGTGAAATTAACTTTTTTTTCTGATAGCCACTTGGCTCCTAAATTCTTCAAAGTGGTAGCCAATTCAAAAAAAGTTGGTCGCCATTTTCAAAGACAAACAAAATCTTTCTTTACGCTGTCAGCGTTCTAGATAGACCCTCCAAAATTAAGTTAGAGAAAGATCTTTAACGTGCTACAAAGTGGACACTAGGATGGATGATATACAACGTTCAGGCTCATCTAAATCCAAGATGGCGTCTAGTTATCGATCGAGATGCATGTGCTACGTTTTGGAAACAAACTTAACGAGGAAGTTTGCCGCGGATTTATCTTTGCAAATCTTTTTAATTCACTATATCTCTTGGTAAGGTTATGATGAAACGTTCTAGTCGCCAATTTGGCGACTAACTTTCAGGATTTGGTCGCCAAAGTGAAAAATTTAGTCGCATTGGCGCCTGTATTAGGCGCAGTTTCACGCCCTGCTGTATATCAGGATTGTATATGGCACCAAAATGTCAAATAGCGTGAGTGGCGGTAGAGATTGTTTCAGCGACAAAGAACGGATCTTATCCTCCAAGGAGTTGAATCTGGGGATAAAGTTTTATGCTGGCGAGTGATTTTATACTAGCCAACTTAACACTGGACATCGGTAAGGTTTTAGAACAATTTAGTTCCCGCTGTCGATACTAACTAGCCTTTGCTGTTAGTCCAATTAGACTCAAAGGATTCACAGTTAAACCAAAAAAGCGACGAAACTTTCGCCCGCGCAGGCAAACGTGCTGAGCCAACGAATTTCTAACACGCGTGCAGTCATTCCGAACAACTGCCTCTTTTCCGCTACAAGATATTGATAGACCGGTCTTCGGTCTTCGGTCTTCGGTCTTCGGTCTTCGGTCTTCGGTCTTCGGTCTTCGGTCTTCGGTCTTCGGTCTTCGGTCTTCGGTCTTCGGTCTTCGGTCTTCGTTTTGTAGACACCTGTCATGTCACCCGTGAAAACGCGAGGTCCCATCATGCCTTTTACCCTCGGCTGACAACAGAAGACTCATCCTATGCTAACGATGGCGGTAAACCAAAGCATTAGAATCATATCAGGTTTAAAACCTTGTTCGAGATCTTTGTTCTTCTCTCAATCGAGTTTATTAAAGAGAACTTGTCGCAAACTACTTCAGATCGGCAATTATGGGGAATATATCGTGACACGAAGGTACTTAAGCAGTTTGTATGCTAGTGGAGTCAATGTTGGTGAGGAGCGGTCTGGAGTTCCAGTGATTGATTTGAGAAGTGACACAGTGACTAGACCCACTGATGAAATGAGGGCTGCAATGTCTACCGCACAAGTTGGCGATGATGTCTATGGAGAAGATCCGACAGTGAATGGTTTGTATTTTATTTTCATTTTATTTTTCTAATGGAGAGAATGACTTTATATGGCGGCTTGAGTAGAACGTAGCTTGGGGGTTAGGATTAGGTAAGGCCGATTACCGGACAAATATTCTGTAAATTTCTGGATTTGACAAGCAAAAGCTTGGCCGGGTCGGACAATCTCGCCATAAATGTCGGATATAATAAGGAAGGTATTTAAGTTGCAGCAGGCAGCCGAGATATGGAACGGTCGATTTGTTATGTTTTCTGTTCCCATAATCTGAACATCTACTCAAGCAGCACGTCAGCAAAAAGTGTATCCATGCGGTAACGAACCCGTATGTGACCTTTGACAGGGCAACAGAACAGCGGGGATCAGTTTTGTGAAATCTCGATCGTCCAAGGGAAAACTACTTGTCCAATTTGTTTGACTTCAACAAGAGTCCAACCTAACATTTGCGTGTGTGTCGGTGCTATAGCCACATTGGTCATGCTCTACTTTCCTCTTTTTTCCCATTAGCATCCTCTCAGATATCCACCCAATTTTTCTTTGGTGCCCATAATTCTCTTAGGTCAACAGCTCTACTAACAGACACTTTTTCCAATTCCCAAGGGTGTCCACTCAGGAGATAGTATCAAAATAGTTGAGTGCCGCACATCATGTAATAGATCTAATTATGCAACAAGACCTCCAAAGGAAGTGAAATTTTTTTAGAAAGGGTCTCAAAGTAAATTTCAATCAGTTTTCAAGTCTCTAATGTTGTTGTTATTGTTCTTCTCCTCCATCTAATGAAATCTCTGTCTGCCGAGCAAGTAAACTGCCTTCCCTCCCTCCTCACATATTATGTGTCAGTGAAATATTCTGAAAAACATTTAAAGAAATTTTATACTCACTTTGTCTGGCTACACGGTGGTACATTTTGTAGGCTAAAATGGAGATTAAAGATGTTGAAGTGTGTCAAAATATGTTAATAGATTCCTCTCTCTAGAATTCAAATTCCACATGCTGATAAAAAATTTTTTGTCCAACCAGACTGACCTCTCGGTCCTTAGTCAGACAAAAGACCACCTTTTTATCAAAAATTATTTGCAGGCTTTTGATGCTCCATTCTAGTCCATGAATCATACCTACACTTTATGAGAACTATTGATTGTGGCCTTTATAGGAAAACATTTTATTTGACACTGATTCTATTGAACCCATTTGGTGACAGCTGTGTTACTGCTCTTTTAGGCTTTTCATTTAAATTTAATTTGATATATTTTATTATCTTGTTAATGAGCAGGGTATTGAACAAGTAGTTCAGATTTGATTCTGGCTTGAGATGTTATTGTATTTGCATGCAAGTGCATGATGTGCCTTTGTAAAAGTTGGTTGTTAGACTGATCCTAAATGGTTACTTGTAATGGTGGTTGGGGAACATGCAAGACACTTGCATGTAAACGTATATACTTTCATAGTTCTCTAAAAGTAAGTATTAAATAGTACTATAGATAATAGATGATGGTCACCATCATTTAAAACAGTCTCTGTGTAGGTTCTCAGGAATTTTTTTCCTTTTTTCATTAGAACTACAGGCCAAGGCAGCAGATCTGACTGGTAAAGAAGCTGCCCTATTTGTACCCAGTGGAACAATGGGGAATTTGATATCAGGTAATTTTTTAAGAAGTTTACTATTTACCAGCTTATTTATTTATGGGGCAGACCTGTTTGGAAATGATTTTATGCAGGCAAACAGTTTTGTTGCTTTGGGAATTTTGTATGATATTAACCTAAACCTTTTGGATGATCAGGCTTTTGACATTAAACAGACCTCTCCCAAAATTGTTTTTTAAAATAGCAGTAACAAGGCCAATGGCTTAGCAAAAGCCAATACAACTGAAGGGAGGATTGTGTACTTTTGGTATTAGTGTCACCTTCACTGGGCAAATTTGTTAATTATTGATAACTACATGTATGGTAAATATTATTTTTATCATAATATCATCTTTCAGTAATGGGGCACTGTCCTGGTCGAGGAGATGAGATACTTGTTGGTGACATGGCTCACATCATATTATGGGAGCAGGGAGGAGTCGCACAATTGGCTGGTGTTCATTCAAGGCAGGTGAACACTAATGTTGATGGTACATTGGACTTGGCAGACATAGAGAAAAAAGTGCGTTCACCAGGAGATGCACATCAGCCATCTAGCCGTTTGATTTGTGTTGAACAGACACATAATGCTAGCGGAGGCAGGGTGTTGTCATTGGAATATTTACAAAAGGTATAATCAGCATTAGGATTCTATCTTTTTTAATTGTAATTAAGAAAAAGGTGGGATTTTCTGTAGTTTCAAGTGAATCTTCTCAACTTTTACAGCATCATACAATAGTTTACCATAACTGTTTTGTACCTTTAAGAAACTGGAACATGATTTTCTTCTATAATTAAAGAGACAGTGAGGAGAGGCATCAATTGTCAATTTACTTATCTCAGTACTTCTTTCCTTTTTATATGCAAAAAATCTGCAAATGAGAAAGCACTCTGAATTTATGATAATAAGCATTGAAAGAATTAATTTTGAATTTCACGTTGATGGTTAGGATAGAATTCTTCTTTTATTAAACGTTTGAATGTGTCCTTTAGTAGCATGTCGTAATGATGTGGGATATTGATCAAATGAAGCCTTTAAGTGCTACTGTGGTTCTTTCTTTATTCGCCGCTTTCGCCATTCTACGTTCTATCATCCCTGATGATGCCGTAGAACGGCGAAAGCTCGGAGTGAATAAAGAAAGAACCACAGTAGCACTTAAAGGCTTCATTTGATCAATATCCCACATCTCCTTTTATTATTAGACAGTAGTCTGTAACAGGGTGAGGTAAAAGGTACATACTGTATAATGGAAGTTACGGATAGACTCATACATGGAAATCAAATAGGGTTGTTGTCCAAGTAGCCTGTAGAGGTGCTCGCTTTCCACAACTGTCATCTTAAAGAGAGTTTTGATGGTTTTATTAGGCACACTGATTGATGTATAGCAAAGGAATTTTAACCCTTTAAACCCTAAGAGTGACCAGCATCTAATTTCTCCTTCCAATATCACCCCTGAATCAAACATTGAGGTCACAAGAATCAAGGAATGATCACCAACTAAAAAAGCTCCTGATTGTTAAACAAATTCTCCTTGTCAGGGCCTTAGGAATTGTACAGAGAACAGTGTGGAGAATGTGCATACTGATGTTAGGGTGTAAAGGGTTCACCTGTAGCAGCAGTACTCTTGAGAGAGGGAGGCTCATTCTCAACCTACATTACCACTTTCAATGAACCAACCTGAATAATTATGTTATCAGCTTAAAGATGTTGCTGCAAAACACAACCTTAATATTCATATGGATGGTGCAAGACTCTTCAATGCTGCTACAGCCCTTGGTGTTCCTGTGGCACAGGTCACTAAGCATGTTGATTCTGTCACTTTCTGTCTTTCAAAGGTAACAATATATTCTGTTGGTGAATGTTGTTTTGTTTTGCATGAATTTTCTAAATACAAGGTTTAATTGCTCCACAGTGATTACAATTTTTTGTCTTCTTGAAGTCATGAAGTGTTCATTTTATTCTGCAATACTGCAACTATATTGTACATTGCAGTGTTTGATTTAGGTGAGTGAAGAAAGAAAATGAATCTAATAACAAATTTACTTTCTTTATATCCCAGAGACATGTACCTCCATTCTTGGATTACAGATGGGTTCTTGGTTTTTTAAGATATATGACAGGATTTCACCATTTCCCACACTTGCGGATTGTTGAGTTAGCCCCTTTAAACTCCCACAATCTAGTTAGCACATGTATTTCCCTCTATGTACTTTTTGCTATAATATAAATTCCCTTGTAACTTAGAAAAGAGAATTTGATTCTCACATTCAAAGTAACACCCTCAATTTGTTTTCATTACCTGTTTGTAAGATGGCATATTGGAATTACAAGGTTGCATTATTTGTTAATCACATCTGAGAGTTTTAAGGTTTATGCAATGAAAGGTTGTTTAGTTCTAATTTTCTTGTTTACATTTCATGTAGGGTCTGGGGGCTCCTGTTGGCTCAGTAATAACTGGAGATAAAGATTTCATTTCAAGGTAAAGCATCAAACATGATAGTAACTGAACTTTTACTGAAAGGAAAAATTCCAAGTGATGAAGATGAGTGCATGATGTGGTACTAAGGAGCCTAGAACTCCTTTTTGATAAATTAGTTAAGTTAAACTAGTCATGTCCCACTCCAAATTACTTTATATTCACTCAGTGAAATGAAGAATTAAAGAATTTGATGAGAATTCAGGAATTAGTGAAGACCTTGGATTGCAGTCAGTCTCTTAACTTCAAAACATGTTCCTATTCTATCAGAGAGGAAATAATTTTTCTTTTATATTTTTTATTCAGCTGTATTTATCAATGAATCTGATGTCATTGGTGATGAGAGGAGTTAAATGTCATTGTAGCTTTTTATTTGCACTAGTTGCATGTCATGCTATAAAGGAAAAAATTACACATGTACCCAAAAAAAAAGGTTCTAAATTTGACAAAAGTCACCAAATTCATTTAACAGGTGCCTGCGTCACAGGAAAGTTCTTGGGGGTGGAATGAGACAAGCTGGTGTATTAGCTGCTGCAGGGATTTATGCATTAGATAACATAGTTCCAAAACTTAAAAGAGACCATGCTAATGCACAGATTTTTGCTAAAGGTCAGTATTGTATTTCATCTTCCAAAGCCCCTGGGGTAACTTTTAAGCCCTGCAAGTCTCACACTACCCAGACTGCCATAATGGCCGAAAATCAAGTCAACCAACCTCCCGATCCCGCATTTTTTTAAAGTTTCTATTCTACAAAAGCGCGCACGGGGCGTTATGGACCATCTAATGGAAGTTTTCGAGAAGTCAGTTCAGATTTATCATCCTTATCATTTCTGTTTCTACAGGAATTCACGAAATGAAAGATCTTGGACTGGATGTAGATCTTAAGAGCGTGGAGACCAACATGGTGTACTTCAGTGTCAACCATCCCACAATCTCACCCATAGAACTTTCCAAACGCATGCTCATGGTATCTGATGACGAACCAACGGAAACAAGAATAGCAGTTAGAATTTTGACCGCTCGAAAAGGAACAATACGAGTGGTTCTTCATCACCAGGTGTCTGAGGATGATGTTTATGTGACTTTACAAAAAATGAAGTACATCTTAGCCTCGTGATGCGTGATGCGTGATGCGTGATCAGGGCGTGAAATTAACTTTTTTTTCTGATAGCCACTTGGCTCCTAAATTCTTCAAAGTGGTAGCCAATTCAAAAAAAGTTGGTCGCCATTTTCAAAGACAAACAAAATCTTTCTTTACGCTGTCAGCGTTCTAGATAGACCCTCCAAAATTAAGTTAGGGAAAGATCTTTAACGTGCTACAAAGTGGACACTAGGATGGATGATATACAACGTTCAGGCTCATCTAAATCCAAGATGGCGTCTAGTTATCGATCGAGATGCATGTGCTACGTTTTGGAAACAAACTTAACGAGGAAGTTTGCCGCGGATTTATCTTTGCAAATCTTTTTAATTCACTATATCTCTTGGTAAGGTTATGATGAAACGTTCTAGTCGCCAATTTGGCGACTAACTTTCAGGATTTGGTCGCCAAAGTGAAAAATTTAGGCGCATTGGCGCCTGTATTAGGCGCAATTTCACGCCCTGGCACTGATGCGAGATGCTTAGTGCGAAACGTATTCAAAAATGAAAAAAGAGAGATATATGTCCGCGTGAGTCACATACTCCATAAATCGCCACCTTTGGAGATTTAAGGTGTAAGTCGTTTACTAGCAAAACGGAAATAACCAAGAAGTATGATGAACTTGGGGAGTTGGTGGTTTTACTTTAGTGTGTAATGTTTTTCACGTTTTTGCTCACCCTTTTTCAAGGGTTAAGGGAGAGTACGCAGGGGCGTCCAGTATTGGCGCAGTATTGGCGAACATACATCAACTTCATATAAAGGTATCTATGGCAATCCCGCTATATCATTAAGTAACCATTCTCCTTGTTGAGATAACTTCTTCTGAAACCAGATGGGTTCAGATAATTCGAGATGATTCAACAAACCCAATAAACCATCCTGGAGCGATGAAGTATGAAATCCTAATCAAAATAAGAAAGGCTGAGCTAATCTCGCGAGTCGTCCCTGCAAGTGACGAGAGCAAAGAAATCATCGATAAGCAATTACTGGTAACACACGACACGGAGTAAGCAAGACCCGACTGCAGTATAAACTTCAATGCGAAAGTGCATTGGAGCTTCAACTTAGTTAATGCAACTACTAAAATACTACCTCAAATGTATTAAAAAACATTCCCTTACATTGAATGCTCGGAAAGTGTTTTTTAAGATAGGAAAGAAGGAAGTTTTGTTGGGTGAAAACGTACGCATAATATTTAGAAATTCAATCACATGGCAGTTTTCAACAGTAAAAAAGATGTACCAGAAAGTAAAACTGCGCAGCTGTAGTTAAATCTTAAGCGGGTATCAATTTCTTACTGCCATTGCGTCGTGGAGGTTATATTAATAAGCACCTTAAGCTATCAGGAATGCAACATCGAGGAAAAGTCGATTAGAAAATAACTTATTTTCATTTAGAATTCCGCGATTGACTGAGTGTGTTTACCGTCACATCTCAACTTCAGCATAACACACATATGAGAAGTGTTTAGTTCCAAATGAAAACTTCAATAATTTGCAGTCAGGGTTCTGTTTTCAGACCGCACAAATTTCGGTTACTTCACGTCATTGTTTAGCAGAGGACTACTGAAAAATGTACAAGGTTTCAAAACGCACGTGCTGAGCTATAGTTTCGCAACGTCCTCGTTATTGGATTCTCCTAGGCACCTATGTATTCTAACGACCAGGATTATTTTGTCTCTCAAATGTGTTACATGAATTTATTCGAATTAAAACCAGTTGCATATCATGCAACAATTTTGTAAGACGTAATATTGTACTTGCTATAAAATATCTTGGCAACGACAGGAATGTTCTGATGAGAAATCTCTTGCTCTAAAAATTTCCTTTAAACATTTCAATGTCCTCTCCTGATTTTGGCAGGAGTTTATTTGGAAAGGCAAACATTAACTGGCTCCGACAATTAAGGTTTTTCAGACATAATGCAAAATGTGCATTTCTGTTTAATTAATGTTAAAGGAGGTAGTTTTTACGGAATGCTGGATATAGAAGTTAATTGGCAGTCAGTTTTCGGATCAATATAATATAGAAAATCCAACTGCGAACAATATTAGTATCTGGGCAACTGCTCACCTACCCCTCCCCTAACTCAACAACAGTCAATTGACAATAAGATCCCCCCTACCCTCAAGTAATAAACAGTCATTAGTCCCTAAAATGCATTTTGTGTACAACAGGCCAAGATTTGGCGCACGTGAAATGAGTTACAAAATAGGGAAGGAGTCATTGACGGCGCCAAACAGAATAGCTAAAGGAGTGATCTTTATTTTTACTCAGTGAGCTCTAAAAAATTTTAATTGGACTTACAAAGATTTAAATCAGCTTCGCTTATACAAAACAGTCACGCTATGCTAGGTTTTATGACGAAAAAAGCGACCTAATACTGAGACCCACAAGCTGTAAGAACCTTAACCTTCCACCGAGACACAAAGAGAACAGGGTGAAATGATTAAAAAAATAGAAATAAAAATTCCAGGAGTAAATTAAGTGATAAGACATGCAAACCAGAAGCGAACTTGAATTCTAATGAGATTTAAGGAGGGTGGAAGAGGATAGCGAGTTTCAAAAGGAAATTCAAGCGTGATAAAAAGGTAAGAAAAGAGACAAGCAAGAGGAGTTTCATCAAAAACTGTTTTCTCCTTATGCTAATCATGACGTCGTTTAACAATACATCGTCGATTACCTGTACCTTAACTTCACCAAAGCATGACATGGAATTAAAAAAATGGTCAAATACAAGAACTAATGAGGAAAAACCTTAGGGTGCGGCACTAACCAACCCCTCTCTCCCCACCCACCAACTCTTACGAGTCAAAGGGTGAAGCTTGATGCCAGTCAGTGATGCCTCAACCAGGTTTAAAAAGTGCTGCCGCATTGGATGATTGAGTACTATTGTAGCTTGTTCAACGAGCATCAGGTTAGCCTGGTCAACTTTTCGTCTGGAACTTAGGCACCGATCACATACTTAAGAAAAAGAATGGCAAGGACTCCAAATATGGATGGAACGTACATCGCTGGGGATTCAGATGTTGTAGGAGGCATTGCAGTCCCAGGTGGTGTGAACTGGAAAGTGTATTCCATTGACCCTCTCTGAGTGTGCTGCTCAAAGCTGTCCTTTTCTTTTACGTCCTCCTTTGCGTGATAAGCCCATATAATGTACATTTTCTTCGTCTACGGAAAGAAAAATAAAAATGGAGTTGATGAAAGTGACGGGAAATGTTAGCTCCTTTCTTCGATTACGGGCACTTTTCTCAAACACTTCGAAACAAAATAATCCAAATGAGGTACCATATCATTAAATATCTTAAATGGATGGGAACAAACCAACTGACTAAATTAGAGGCAATGTCGGGTAGTTGAAGATGGGGCTACTGAGAAACAATTTGAACCAATGGCGGGAAGGGAACTCGAGCTTTACAGAGTTCCCTTCCTCTCCTTCTTTCCTGGCCAATTGCAGCCAGTTCGATTCAAAATTTCTAGCACCCATGCTATGATCACCTCGCGCAGGGTATGATACAATTCTTGACCAGTGAAGGTGTGAAAGTCTCTCCGATAACCTGAGCAATTAAACTAGAAGCTGAAAATGCTACAGAACCGTTATTTCGAGGTCGTCAACCATGTCACCAGTGTCCCTCTTACGCTTAAATGACAACATTGTGTAGTCATCCCGTTCCTCATGGCCCATCATTTCGAAGTCCTGCTGGTTATCTTTTGGAGGTTTGGAGCGGCTTTGCGTCATGTAATCCTAACAAAACAGGAAATATCATGAAAAAAAGCAATTTTCTTTTGATACTATTAAAAGAACTTCTGATAGGCAACCGTTACTGGTATATGGAGCAGAATACACTTGAACACGTTTAAGGTGCCTTACCCCAATATATCCTGTACCGTCGGTTCTTACTCCGCCAATCATCACATCGTAACCTTTCATTCCTCCAACATTATTGGACACGCCAAAGGCAACCCAACCTTCTGCTTTCACCACGATCTTGAAGTAAAACATGTCCATGTTTTTATCGTATTTCCAGTACAGCCTGTAGTTGTCATTTATTTTCACCATGACGTAATCGGGGTCGATGAAAGAGTAGGCCTCTGCACCCCTTGCAGTATGTTTCATGAATGTTCCATTCGCGGTCTGATTGACATCGTACATTTTATGATATGCCCAGATGAGGTACATCATACCTGGCTAGAAATTCCAAAGTGAAAAAAAACAATTGATCAGATTTTAAGTGAGGAACCCACACTGCGCACTCTAACTGCCTTGATCTAATATGTTCCCCTTCGATAACTCGTTATTCCATTTTCAGTTATTGTGACAACGTTTATGCTATGATATACCCAGACAGGATACACCATACATCTGGCTGAAACACTCTTTTCATTCCCATGCTCTATTTTTTAGGTTATGCATTCATATTGCAAAAAAAATTACCAACCAATCAAGTCTAGGAATAGAAAAAATGACGCATCAAATGTGAAATAACTGTCGCACATTGTCCTCCTTATTCCTAGGTGTTTTTGGACTCGGCTAAGTCTGGACCCTACCCATACTACAAGTAAATTTTTTCGAGTATTACTATGCACTCACAGCGAGGCTCGTTATCAATTAGATTTCCTCTGCCTGGTGACGAGGCTCAAATCGAGGCAAGAGGTAAGTTTTTTTGTCTACTTTTTCCCTTCAACCAAACAACCTAAACAATTGAAATGAACTGAGCTATCTTGCATGAAGTTATTTTTGTTTTTCACGTGAATTAATCTCCGCGGTGTTTAATGAACTGTTATCGATTGTCTAAGGAAATTCATATCTCTCTTGATTAACGAAGGACAACTTACGTTATCAACTCAGTTGATAACAGTAAATTACCCTGCTCTACTCTCCCGTCGACGCAGCACCACAGTTTCTTTAGAAACTTTCCCCTCTTTTCATTTTTTCTTGATTACCGTCGTACTATTGCATATGCGTTTTCTTTAGTGTTTGAGACATATTTGGTGTTTGTAATTTTAATTTTACTGAGCCCCAGGGTGCGAAGAACACTGTCTCCAAACGAAGCAAATAATACTGATAAATATACTTTACAGTACCATAATTCACAGTGATTTGCATCTCTAAAATGATTTTAGAAAGAAACACGGACCAAAATATAGGGCGCGCAAAAACCTGCATGAGCAAAATAATTTTTTTTTCTTGCACAGCCTTTTGATTGGTTAAGTGCGTGCCATGAATTTCTGTAGCCAATCTCATGTGAAGCGAGGCAAAACCACTCAAAGTAGTCTCTCACTAATTTCGGCCCTGACTCAAAAAAACGGTGGTTCAACGATCTGCTTAGAGCAGATTTGTGCGTGAATGCGATGAATTTTCCTTCTCTTTCTTTTACAGTTCTCCGATTTGATAACCGCTTGACATGTCTGCAACACCTTGAATGTTGTAGATCATAAAATTGATAGATGGATTGGATATTGGTAAAAAGCCAGGCTGCATATTCAAAGATATCTACCCAAAGTATGTACCGAATGATCAAAAGGTGGTTGGCTCAAGAATAGCCATTATCTAAAAATCTGATTTCCCGCCGGCTTTCATCTGCTGGAAGCGAGGCGTGTGACACGCAAATACTAACTAAATAAGCGGTGACTATGCATCGTCATAAGTCTAATATCAACTGTTTTTCCCTGAAGGTCCGATATTAATTGTTGCGTCACTTAATAAGCGGCAATTGTTTTGGAAGTTTGATGTTGGTAGGACGGACAAAGAAGCCCTTAATTTCAATATCACACTTCGCAAATAAGGAAGCTTTGACGTTTCATTCAACTGCAACACTTTTTTTCCCACCATTTCTTGAATCAAAGGGTCTAATTGTCCTGTAGATATTTTGCGATATTATGAGTGTCCAAGTGGACCAAAGGAGTGGTGACGAGAAGTTTCGCGAATTGACGTAAAGAGAAGTTTTTGCTATCCTGCACCAGAAATTGAACATGTTAGGCATTTTGGAAGTTGTTACCAATTTATGTTGCATGTCAAAAAAGGATGATATAGAACCCTAAGCAAATATACCTTGAGGGCAAAAATAAACCTATACAATTGAAACAAAAACAAAGCTCAATATTTTTACATAGTTATTTACGTCAGTGGTGTCTTTCTTTTCTTAATCATCTTTAATAATTACCAAACAGACGTAATGATCACATGATCACAACAAATTTAATCGGCCTTGCATGACTCTAGCCAAAGTATCAAGAATTTCACGCAGCTCAAAAACACGCTCGGTTTTCTCGTCAAGGTAAAGTTTAGGGAGCAAAAACAATGGCAAATACGTAAAATTGTTAACGTTCCCTGGTTGGAAGGACATACCCTGCACCTTTAAAAAAGGAAGAACATCCCAGAAAACTGAAACACCAAATTCAGGGTGATTTAAGCTCTTTGCAAAGGGTAGAAAATTTTTCGAATGAGTAAGGTCCGAACACAGGTTCTTTTTCAAATATTCACGCTCTACCAATATCCAGCCGGCGAAAATCGTCAAAATAGCATGACCTGGCACTGAGTAATTTTAATGATATGCATGTCATTATAGTTAGGGAGCGTGTGTCGATAGATTTTGAGTGGAATTTCTATCTATCTCACCTTAATTACAACATCTTGTTCAGCATCACCAGTGTCCCTCTTCCTGTAGAACACCAAGTTTGTGTAGCCGTTCATTTCCGAGGCGTTCATCATTTTGTAATTTTGTTCTTTATCTGGCATCGGCATCATACGCCCTGTCGTTAAATAATCCTGTCGATAAAATGATGTGAAATTAAAATGATGTTGCTTCACACAGTCATTTGGGACTAAACTGCTATGAAGTAATAACATGACGGCCTCGCCGGTTTTCTTTTTAGCTTGTTGATGCGAATGACAACAACTAAGAAAGCCTTTTGTGTACTTACACAGGTAAATAAAACAAATTTACATACTTTGTTCTCACGAATAATTTTCTTTGGCCCCGAGAGAAGTAAAATACGGTTAATTTCGGTCATTTAATAAGTTTAGTAATCACTTGATTACCAGGCAACTGTTATGATCAGGTTTTTTTTGTTTGCCTTAACTCTGCAACTAAGAAAAATGCCGAATCTCTTTTATCATGTTCCCTTTTGTCACCTGCCAACGTAAGTTATGGTTTGGAGAGAAATTGTTTTGTCAACTTGTCAAACGAAAGCAAGCCTCATTACCAGTTGAGAGAAAATAGTCCAAAACTTCTTTAGCAATCGTCGTCCCTTTCGAATGATCCTTGAGTCTTAAATCATGATGTTATCGAGTTTCCGAGGCTTTTTTTTGTTTTGTTTTGTTTTGTTTTGTAACTCAAGAAAACTGTTACTCTAACATTTCCTGATACAAAATGAAAGTGCTCGACTTGAAATCTAGCTCATAGTTTCTTTCAAGGTAAGACACTCACCTTTGCATAACCGGAATTGTCGGAGAAACCTCCCACCATCACATCATAACCCGTCATGTTTCCTTTTGTTTCCGACACACCGAAGCCAACCCAGCCGGTTGCGTTCACGGTGACGTTAAAATGAAACTCGTCCTTGAGCATGTCGTATTTCCACATCACTTTGTAGTTTTCATTATCGTACGACTCCATTTTGTACATTGACTTGTCCCCTTTAGATGGGGAGAAAAAAGTCGCGACCAGCAGAACAACAGGACCGAAAACCTTCATATTGACTCTTCGGATTCTTCAACGAGAGAATGGCTTCCAAACATACAGCAGGGCCCTATAAACTCGACCATTCCCTCGTACATTAAAAGGTGGTGTCCGTTGAGGTAATTCAACCAATCAGATCGCATTCAGGCATGCCAATCATCCAATTCAACCAATCGTGCCAAGTTTAGTGGACTTTAGATTGACATTATTAACGGCTGAAAATAGAATTATAAATTTCCTGTTTGCCAGTTAAATCACATGTTATCCACAGAAAACATTACGAAAACTCGCTAACTGTCTTTTCTTAACTAATGGCTGAGGATAGTCCTTTGGAAAATAGCTGTTATACAATTTCCTCTCAGATTACCCCGATAGCGGGTAACTAATACAGAAATCGAAAGTAACTAATACAGAAATGGTATCCAGTACGCTTTTCCGTTTCTTTGAAAATATATTTATGTTAGATAGGTAAGCTCAGTTTATGATAATTTTAATAAAGCCAATCTCTCGTATATAACAAGTATACAGGACATAGATTTTCTCACAGTTTAATAAACCTCATGAGGTTTTTGGATATTTATTGCAATGAGGTGTCTCCGTTCGACGGTGACCAATTTTTAGTGTCATTGTTATACTACGTGCCAGTATTGCGTGAGTGCAACTTTTTCATTACAATATCGGCCCAGTTTAAGACAATGCAGGTTCCTAAACACGGCTTGTTTTGATGTTAGTCGAGACACCTCTTAACGACGAGTTTCAAAACAAGCCTTGAAAGGAATTGCTTGAGGTGAATTAGGAAAAAAGTTAGCCGGAGGGGTTTTCATAGACCACAAATTGCAGAATACTAGCGTCAAGTGAGTAGCGCAGACTCAAGCTGAAATCGAGAAAAACACATCCCGCGGTTTTCGTTTATTTGGTTGCTCTGGACTACGGAACAAACAGACTGAACCGATCGGTCAAGATGAATGTCGGAAACACACATTAGCCACCGAAAATACGGACAGACGTAAAAACAAAGAGAACTAAAAATATCAGAGAATGTAAAGAATACTCCATTTTAGACCAGGGTCTTGTTCCCTAACTTTTGTTTCTTTGAATCGCTTCTGATTTACCCCAAAGGAAAAAAAAGTGGTTTAACAAAACCCCACAGCGTTTTGTGGCTGACCCATAATTAATCGTTTTCGCCTTCTGGCTCGAAATTTTCTTCGTCTTCCTTTTTCTGCGCATGATTGAGTTACAAAAATGACTTCCGCTGTAGTTACCGCGTGAGTTTGCAATATATCCTCAATTTCTTGTGAATTACTACACTAATTTCACGCGCCTCTTTTGGTGAAAAGCCCAGAATAACTCAAGGTGTTTGTGACTGCCAACAAAGTCAGGTTTCAACACGCCAACGCTTTAAAATTTAATTACTTTACGGTTGATCGTGATTGCTAAAAGGGGCAAATAATTATAAGTTATTACGAAGTAGAAGGAATAGAAAAACGCAAAACAACAGAGGAAATACAATCGGACAAGAAAAGACACTTACAAACGTTGTGTGACTTGCGAGCACGAAGGACGGAAAAATTAAAAGATGATCGCACTCTGATACTCTAATGTTCAATTTTTTTTCTGAGAAACTTTTACGAATGAAATTAAACAAAGCAGAATTATGCGAAAAAAATCTAACAGAATACAAATCGCCGTGAGTTAAAAGAATGCAAAAAACAATAAGAAAAATGTGCGTGCAAAAACACAAAAATGTAATTAGGAACGTAAAAGGAAAGAAGTCACAAAGGGCCTCTTCATATTAGCCCGGTTGACCAGGCTGGCCCGCTTACCAGGACGAATTTCGCTTTGGGTTCATATGAGAATATTCAGCCCGGTTTCCGAGATGAGAAAAAGGCCGAAGATCCTGAGGACGAGTTTTGGCGCGAAATTAGAAAAACAAAACAAAGATGGCGAAACACAGCCGAGTTATTACTTTTGTGCCTCAATCATGGCTTTGGCAACCCTTTTTGTTGTATCACTGCAGTTAAACGGGTTGCTAATGATGTGGAAAATTTATCAGGCAAAGCCTTGTTGTGTGATGAAACTGTGCTGCTATGTTATCGACCATTTAACGCATACGCGCTTGCGAAGAATTCATCCCGGTAACCAAAGGGGCCCTAAGTGGGAATGCCACAGTAACAGTGTTGTTGACCAGGAGAAAGTAAAGAATCATTCGTATAAATCGCTCCATATTTTGAGAGGGTATGGATGAGGGTAATTGAGGGCTTACTGAGAATTCGGAGTCCAGGAATGTTTGCGCCAATTAAGCCCACTTCAGATAACTGCACCACTGAAGCGTCATTCTTTTTCTTAGCATGTTTCGAGAATACGACATGATTGAACATTCAAATTGCCTCAAAACTCTGAATTAGGTTCACTCATCAAGAGTCGTGATCCAGAGACCAGTGAGTCAGTGAGGATAGCATTCAAAATCTGCAGACTATTAAACAGTTTCATGCACTGTTATCCGTGTTAGCTAATGCTCGGCGCAGGAAGTCAAGCCATGCTTATCAAGAGGAGAGGGGGCGAGGGATTAACAGATCACCCCTTCCTTTCATAAAAGGAAGACTCGGGGGTTAAAAGAGACTGGGAATGTAAAGGAAAACTGCGGTATAGGAAGCCACAAAGACAATTATGGGGTTCATATCCCTAAACGATTTCGCTTGCAACCAAAAATTATTTCTCGAGCGTAAGTTAGGAACGTTGGACATGATCACGATACCAGAGTCGATTATGCGAGTTTAAAGGAAAAATTCGAATAAAAGACAACCCACGTGTTTAGACTTGTTTTCGGTTCGTACGTGCCTTCAGTCACGACACGGGTTAGGAGGTAAAATGAAACTTAATGGGGGGTGAATTCAAAACAATACAGGTTTGATCTATACCAACAATATAGTTGTCATCCTAAAATAAGTTTCGAGGAAAACAAACTTACGCAGCACGTTCGATATGTTAGAACGCGGGCCACAAAAACAACGTTGAGTACATATATTGGACTGAGACCTAACTTGGCTTGTTCTGCCTGGCCTCGACCTCACTCTCTCGTATTCCCTCTTGGGAGAAAGAAAGGGGACCTGCTCAGTGGAAACCAGGTTGATATGATGTTTTTCAGTTTCAAACAGAGAATTATCCTAGCAGTAAGGGTTCGCACCAATGACAGTTCAACATGCAAAGTCGTCACGTCACAAGTTCTTCCCACGGTTAAGTAACCCCTAACTTCTATAAACTAGACCCAGTCTTCCATCATTGCACAGTATTCGCGCGCACGCGATAGACCGAAGGAAAAGGTATAGAAATAATACTGTTAGGGAAACACACTTCGTTATCAAATTATTGAACTTACACGAATTAAATTGCTTATACCTTTCCACTTCTGGGAGCTACCATAAAAGAAATTCTCCCTATTTTAAAAGACTGGATGAGAAAGGGAACTAGTGACAGGAAGATAACATTTGATGCAACACTGACGCGCCAACCAATTCGAAGCTTCAACATCCCCAACACACGGGCATTAGACTGTTGTCCGTGCCCCGGGGGTTGAGAATTTGGACCTTGCCTGGGTGGCGTGGGAAAGGTGAACCAGTGGAACACTTAAGGAATCCATTTTCGTGAGCAAATGGCTTAGAAAATTTAACACCGTGGAATAACGCCTAAGAGCGAAAAACCAGCTAGCTGCACCAAAAACTTTCCTATATTCAGAAACGTTCGTTTATCACACAAATAGTTCAATAAAAATTGTGCTAGGGTGGGGTATTTGAACGCAGATTTTGCTCGGGGTCTGGAATTTGAACAAACCAATCTTCAAAGATTCAAATGCCCGTGGGGCGTGGGCTGTTGAAGCTTTGAATTGACCGACGCATAGACCCTCAGTTTATATTATAAGTAATATGGCAGAAGAATTCAATGTACCGATAACTGAACCTGGAAGTGCAAGGGTTGAAGTATCAGCCATTTTCTTGTTCTCATCCCAGTTTAATGCCATTTGTGATTTTAAACTGATTAGGATAACGGAATTGATTTTTTCATCGTGTTTGCTACCGCCCTTAACCCCCTTGAGTAAACAAGACAGATTTTCTCCTAACAGTATCAAGAAGAACAGTGGTGAAAATAAAGGAAAATCAAGACGTTGATTCAATACCAAAAGTTCTCCAAACTGATATCATAAGAATTGCCACAGAAAGCAGAATTGCTTACAAAATTTTAAGAGTGAAACAGATAGTGTTTAATAAGGAGTTATGGTAACAAAAGTTGATTTGAACTGTTAGTATGAAGGAAGAACTATGCTCAACAGTTTGCGAAGAAATGTTGATGCATGAAGACAAAACACTGTTCAAATATTAATAAGATCTTGGTGAACCAATTCGGTCTTTATTTTTACAAGCACCGAGACATCATTGTGTGACTGGGTTGAGATGACAGATTGATTTGGGAAGAGACACACTAAAAGCAAGCACTCAGCAACTCTTTTGGTTTGGTGCAGAGAAATGTGGAAGTCTCACAATGCACCAGATAGACCACAGTCATCCAGCTGAAAGCTTTTTAAAACAATGGCTGGTTACAAAGCTCAGAAGAGCCCCAGATTCTTTAGTTCTGAGCGCAAGTTGAAATCCTGGAAAGCAGTCAATCTGACAGAGGGGAGAAAATAATCACACTCATTCACAGAATAAGCTGTTTTATTTAGCAGCACTATTACATTTTTAAGAGGAGGTTCTTTTGGTCTTCTGTCTGCGAGTCATCACATCAGGAAAAAGACATGGAAAACAAAAGTAAAAGAAGAAAATAAATATGGTGATATCTTTTAAATGTAACCTTCACTTGGAAGGGAAACAATCATGTACAGCAATCATACTGGTAACATGGATTGAACAAGACAAACATACAGTTTGAAAGCTCATGACCCTGAAATAGGGTTCAATTGACTGTTTTGAATTGCCAATATACACACAGATCAAAACCAATAACTAAATACTTTGCTTAATTCAAGTTAGTTTAAGTTTTTTAAGACTACTTTATACATAGGTTTCCTACAGAAATCTGTCCAAGTTTGTCTAGAAACTCTGCCAAATACTTTGTAAATATCAGTGTAACTGAATTCCCCCATAAAAACAATGCATGTGTAATAAAATTGTATGTCACTGAAGTAAACACTTGAATACTTAATAGTGTCTTAACAATGAATATCCAGTCTTGTTATTGAACAAAAAAATACATCCTTTGCTGCAAGTTTTTCTTTCTTTTTACAGTTTTTAGAATCAAGATCAGAAACACTTAAAAATCAAAATAAAACTTTAAGATGAGTTTATAGCATACATTATGTTTCCTTCACTTGCCTCACAGAAAAAAAATGGACACCTTAAAACATTATTCATTACATGTATTTTAGCAAGAAATCCAAGCAAGGTTAAACTATATAAATCCTGAATTAGTGTGAACTACCCTGTACTAGCCCTTGGTGTACAGATGTATTGATCTCACCTAATCTTCATCCTCTTCCTCAGCATCAGAGCCACCACCTTGCCCTTTCCTCATGTTCCTTCTCTTCACACGGCCTGGGCGCCCTCCACCATATGGCGAATTCAGTGAGAAATCAATGTGCTTTTGAGAGTCCAGACGCACAATGTATGATGGGACATTGACAAGCTGTTTGCGCACACTGGAGAGAAGGGAAAAAAATCTCAACTTCATCAATTTAATCCAAGAGCTTGGGACATTTTTCCTTTTTCATTTTCTTATGTACTAGTACAAATTACATTTTCAGATGAACCTAATGGAAGATTCCATGTTGCTGACCACAGCAATTACTCTGATGTTTGTCTAACCACACTCATTTGAATGGTGCCCTACTAAAGCCATTTCAAAAACAAGTGTGGAGAGAAGTCCAGGATTTCTTTGGTCTCCCATCACAATATGACCGTTTCAGGAAACTTGCCCCAATTTCTCAAACAATCAGATTCAAAACTAAACCCAATTGTGACTTGGTCATTCACATTTCCTGTAGCAGTTTGCTCATTTTTATTTTAATTTTTCAAACTTCAATTTTGGTTTTACACAACTCAATCTGACAGTGCTCCATACAACTTAGTTAATTCAACCCTTTCCCCCCTAACATCAGTATCCATATTCTCTACATCGCTACACATCTCCCACCGTGCTGACAAAGAGAAATTGTTCGATAATCAAAAGCTGTCTTAGTTGGTGATCATTTCCTCTTTTCTCATGACCATGATGTTTGATTCAAGGGTGATATTGTGAGGAGAAATTAGACGCTAATCACTAGTTGGGGTTTAAAGGTTAAGTCAAAATCCTCTTCATTTTCCATGGTTAGTTGCTAGTTACAAATACCTTGTTCATGTTGTGTAACAGAAAAACAAGTAATTTAAAGTATTGTTAGTGTTTTATCAAATTTATCTTGTAAAACACTTCAGTACTATCTGCAATTGTTTTTTTTTTTCAACCATTTGCAGGGCATAAAATTGTGCCTAATACAGGTGCCAATGTGACTAAATTTTTCTCTTTTGTGATCAAATCCTGAAAATTAGTCACCAAATTGGGGACTAGAATGCATCATCATAACCTTACCCAAAGATATAGCAAGTTAAAAAGATTTGGAAAGGTAAATCTGCAGCAAACTTCCTTGTTAAGTTTGTTTCCTAAACGCAGCATGTGTATCTTGATTGATGACTAGACGCCATCTTGTATTTAGGTGAGCTTGATGGTTGTAAATCATCCATCCTAGTGTCCACTTTGTGGCACATAAAAGATCTTTTTCCTAACTTAATTTTGGAGGGTTTATCTAGAATACTGACAGCAAAAAAAAAAGTTTTGTTTGTCTTTAAAAATGGCGACCACCTTTTTTTTCGAATTGGCAACCACTTTGAAAAATTTAGGAGCCAAGTGGCTATCAGAAAAAAAAATTAATTTCATGCCCTAAGTTGATAAGTGTTGGCAATACATGACCTAAGCCAGACAAAAATTTCCAATTTCAGCTCCAAAATAAAGTTCTCAATGAATTGTTGCAACTTGTATAAACTGGAAAATTGAACACATTGACATACAATTGCTCTTTTAATTAGATTGTTTTACTGGTATGAAGGAGTTCAACGAGACTATTTAAACACAGATGCACATAGGTCATGAAGCACAGAATAAGACTCTCACTATTTACTCTGCTCGAACACGTTGACATACATTGCTTTTTCAACTTGTTATACTGGCATGAAGAAGTTCAAAGAGCCTATTTAGCCGCAGATGCTCATAGACCATGAAGTACAGAGTAAGAATCTCACTATTTACTCTGCTCCAACACAATTTGAGTTAGAGCAGAGCGAATCAAAGTGCTTACAGCAGTGTCAGCGTATATGTCGAATTAGTGTTAACAAAATATAAACGACAACCCAAGAAAAACGGTGCAAAACACAGTTCCCGATTACTTATCACTAAGGAGCTCGTCTAAAGCTCATACAATACCAAGTACTCCTCGTGTGAACTGAAAAAATCTTCAACTCTTTGGTACAGAACAGTTTTCAACGGCGTACGATCGAATCGCAGTTCGTTGAAAAAGCTCGAAAGTTACAACGATCAATCAACTGTTACCTCATGCAACAAGATATGCAAAGGAAAAAAACCCACAAAACATCGAATCACTGCGTAGTCATGAAGAAAATTAAATTTCTTTACAGCTTACCGTATGTGTCTCTGTCGGATCAACACACGAGCGTGATGAATACTCTTCGCCAAACCAAGCTTAAATACTTGAGTTTGAAGACGCCTCTCCAAGAAATCTTCGATTCGCAGACCCAACACGTAATCGAGCTTCATTCGGGTTTCATCGAGTACGCCAATACGTACGAGACGACGCAAAAGAGCATTGCCTTCGAACAACCTTCTCTGATCTTTCTCCTCCAATGTAAGAAGTTCTCGCGCAGCCTTTCGAATCTTCGCCAAAGTAAACTTCACACGCCATACCTCGCGTTTGTTACGAAGCCCATAGTCTCCAATAATCTTTAATTCTTGATTCAGACGCTCTTTCTCGAAGGGACGCCTTGGAGTTGTGTAGGTTTTACTACACACGTTCTTCGGCATCTTGCTGAAGAAAAAATGGCGATCAAAAGGAAGAAGAAGAGCGGCCGCAAAGCATTTAACCACGTGTAGGGAGAACGATGAATTACGTATACCCCCCTCTAGAGTGAACTACTCTAGATACCAGTGACTCTCCATCTCAGGGAATAGAGACTGTTTCTGTGGTAATCTATTTGGACTAATTGTCATAAATTAAAGAAATTACAGCGAAGAATCAAGTTTTGCGCTTGGAGTCTAGCCCAATTTCTATTCATTTCCGTGAGAGCTCTCTTTTTTTTTTCGCCTACCCATTTTCTCAGAATTTTGTTTGGAAACAAAAAATTGCCACTTCAAGACTGTGGAAAAGTTAATTGACAGGTCAGATTGAGTTTCAGCCAATCACGGGAGCATATATAGGACTTCTTGAGATGTCTAATCGTGAAAGTTGTTGGCACCTCTGATGGAGCTGATCAAAATCACGGGTTGTAGAAGGCTAACTAACATGCTATTGCGTTTACGAACAATTCGTTTACGCTTTAGGGGAACGCACAAATACCATTGAATAAATGTTGACAAAATTCCTGCTCTCCCTGGATTATTGTTAAAAGTTACAACGAGGGTAATAAACAGCTGCTAACTGAAATGCTTTAGAATATTTAAATGCCTAGTCAATACCTGTTGCAAATAACAGGTTACAAACGGACAATAGGGCAATATTCGTTAAAAAAAAACAACCTTCATAGATGGCTCTCGAACACGCCTTCCTCACTAACATGTGAGGTGATTTAAGCTTTGAAGTTCCATTCACTCAGTTTTGAAAATGGAACTGGGAAACCTGAGCTATGTCGACTCAAACGTTTCGCGGCAAAATTCTTCGAGCACAGCGAAACCTGGTGGTTGTTCTCATGGTATCGTTCTTGGGTGGCATCGCTTACGGTAGGTGAAATAACTTTCCACTAAGGTTTTGATCACGGGACGTTTCTACTTTACCAAAATTTCATGTTTTAGTAACACCCTTCAAGACTGAATGTACGAAGAAACTTCTCATCACCAGGCTGTTATCCTTTGAATTGTGGAAAGGGGGCTCTGGGAACGAGTTTGGACTGAAAAAGACCTGTTAACGACTGTTGTTATGGTCCGAGCTTAGTTCCCAAGTCTCTAGATAGGATTGAGGTTCAAGGTAATATTTCAGACGCTTTTCATTGATCGATCGATAAACGTTTGTTGCTTCTCACATTTAAATTAATCCATGGTAATTCAACCAATTTTTTCGTTAAAATTACGATCACCCTCATCCTCAAACCTGTCCAAGGGCTTGGTAACTTGGCTTGGTAGCGTACAGATTGGCTCTTGTGATCCCCAATACAAGAGAATGAGATAACAGATTGTTCAAATGTCCCATGAACAGAATACATGCAGTAAATCAACAATTCCTACTCCATACTAATCTCTCCAAGATTTTCCAAACGCGTGGGTATCCCAGGGAGGCCCGTTTCTAAAAACTTTCTCCCCTTGCCTCCAAAACACTCTTCACATACAAAAAACAAAGCGACAACCACGACCTTTGCGTAATCAACCAAGAGAAGCGCAGCGTAAAAGCAAGAAACACCTCTTTAGTCAAACTTCACGATTTCACGGGTGTCGAAAGAATTCCAAATATTTCATTTTTTTATTTTCATTGCTCTTTGATATTTCGATTTACCGGATTTTAGGCACGTCTGTATGGACGTATTTGGTAGCCACCCCTCCGTAGCTCTTGCACATGTATAAATACATGAATAAATTAAATAGTTCGACTTCTGGCCACATGAACCACTGATATGCATTGGGGGGTGGGGAGAGTAGCCCTATTTGCTCGTTAGGCAGGTACTTCCCCTCATAACATTCACGAGAGAGGTGGTCCGTTATGTACAATATCACTCGTGCTTCATTTGGAAAGAAAATAAAAATAGAGCAAACTTAGTTTTAACTTCCGAGGTTTTCACATGTATCTTTAAATTCACAGGTTTACTTTCCATTTTGAGAAATTCTGCAGTGCTCATTGACTCAAAATCGGCCTGCCTCAGAGATGCATTTTCAGACATCGTGTTGGTAATTGTTTACAACTATCCTTTCTACTCAAGTATTCCAGCGCTCACTGCCTTATACAAGCATGCATTTCCCACGATAATGTTTTGCGGACCGCGAAAGACTAAGGACTACACTGTGGAGGCTTTGTACATTAACAAAGGATACTTCTCCTACACGTGCATGTCACGTGCCATGGAGAAACATCCGGGGTATACAGGATATTTACTTATCAACGATGACGTTTTATTGAACTATTGGAACTTCGTTGGTATGGACCGGGACAAAATCTGGGAAGGGCCGAAGGGAACGATATTACTTTTTAACTACACTCAGCCTGCAAATTGGTATTGGTGGAATTCCACATGGGGAATGAAAACCTGTCAAAAATCTTACGATGAAATCCGGGGTTTGGGCAAGTCCTTGAAAAATGAATGGTTGCCAACTATGATTGATGATAATCACAACGACGTACTGAATGCAAATGCTCCATGGAGCCCGATATGGGACATGGAGGGGTCGATAGAACTTTTGAAACAGAATGGAAATGGAACGTTAAACTGCTACCGCGGTCGCTCCGACATATTTTACATACCCGGTAAATTTTCGGAAGCGTTTCAAACACTCTCCTATATCTTCTACAAGCACCATTCATTCTTAGAAATTGCAGTTCCTACCATGTGTCGTATGCTTGACAAGGTAGAGAATTTTAAGTTTATCCCTGGGATTTACCTGCCTGGAAAAGCGGGGGAACCCTTGGTTAGAAAGGCTGAGCATTTCTGGAAATCGTATGACGAGAACTTGGCGTTCATTCATCCTTTGAAACTTAACTATGAGCTTGATGGAATTCTAAACATGGCTTTATTGAGAAACAGGATGTTGAAGTATAGTGACAGCATTAGTAAATGCTAAAGAAAACTGATGTTAAGGTTCTTCCAGGGCAATTGCGCACACGAAATCCAATGACCGATAAAAGGATCGCTAAAATACTTTTCAGAAGACGGATACTGAGGAGTAGGTGCCAGCAACGAGCAATGATGATGATGAAAATACTTTTATTTGAAGATTTTGAGATAGCAGAATAGCACTAGGTATTTACTTGCATTTATTTTGAACGGTATATCTTAACTACAATACATATTTACAATGATAATGCAACACTATAATAAAAAACAATTTTACCCAAGGACGTACAATTAAAGAAAAGTGTCGCGCAGTCCCCGAGCAGAAAATTTTCTTTCAAGTAAAAGTGAAGGCGTATATACATAAATAAGGTCGATTTAAGATCATTTAAAAATTATACGTTTGCTTTAATCTTTTTAAAACCTTCTAAAAATTGACGAAAGATTCTTTTTAGAAGAATTTGAAACTCTAAGAATATTAGATTAAAATATATCTTCATATTGATCATTCATTTGAAAGCATGCGAATAATGTCTTCTGCACAAGATAGTCTTCCGGTAAAGACGGGTCTGTGTTTCGACAAACGGGTCTGTGTTTTAATCCCTCTCATATGAGTAGTAGGGTCTCTAGATTCCACCCCCCCACCCCGCTCCACCCCACCTTTCCAATTCTCGTGTGCGTGTGCGGGACACCTAAAATTTACAATAAATTAGCTTAGCATGAAGAGAATAGTTATAAATATCAAACAGATTTTGACTCTCTGTGCTCATTTTAATGTCTTCCAGGAAACCAGAGAATTGAAATATAAATACGCTTTAAATTACTCGTTCATAAATAAATCATATATCTTTAAATCGCTTTGTAATTTATATTCGATGACAAAGGATTTGTTTTGCAAACCTTTGTAAACAATTAAATATTTCCTTCAGAAGAGATAACAACGCGCTTACATGATGTTACAGGTGCGGTGTGGTTCCTTAAATTTCTGCTTCTTGCCGCGTCCCACTCTCAACCTTCTCTTTGCAAACTTTTTCCGCCTCCTTTTTCTGCCTTTATAGATCAATGCCTCAAGCATATTCGAGAAGATTTTGTCCACTCTGAAATCTATCTTTGCCGACGCCTCGATGTATTCTCCTTCGAGGCGAGACATCACTGAAACAGCTTCGTACCCTTCACGTGCGGTCACTTCGCGCTCGGTAACATCCGTATCCAACTTGTTGCCAACCAGAATAACAGGCACAACGTTTTCACTGTTACCTCTAAGCGCAGATATTTCTTCCATGGTTTTCACAGCTTCTTCAAACGACACTACGTCGTCCACGGCGTAAACGACGATATATGCGTGGCTTGAATTTAAAGCCAAGCTCCTCATTACAGGAAAGGAGTACGAACCTGCAGTGTCCACGATACAAAGTGTAAAGTGCTTCCCGTCCATCGACAGAGAGTGTACATAATAATCATCGACGGTCGGAATGTGTTTTTCTTCAAAAGGTTGATCGAAAAACGATCTCAACAACGCTGTTTTGCCAACACCTCCACTGCCAAGAATTGAGATGCAAAAGTCAAATGGCGGAATTGCAGCATACGATGCGACGTTAGAGGGTACCTCGCCTTGATGGCTTTCTTTCATTTTCTCCAGCTAAAAAATTTTAAAACGTTCTTGAAGCGCTATTCATTCATGTTCCTGCTAAGACATCGAGGCTCGGAATTCAGCCTTCATTCGTTTCTCTGGGGAAAACTCTCTCGATTGTCATTTTATAGAACCATATACACGATTAAAATTCATCACGTCTCTAAAAACGGATTTCCGCCAGTTGTTTCACGCCGCCAAAATATGTTGGTGCTCGGTCGCGAAATGTAGCACGATCTACGAGAATTCTTAACATTTTTTTCCTGATATTTTATCGCGTATTTTATTTTATCATGTACTACGAGATTGATATTTTAATTTGCGATTCCAATCTTTGATCAGGGGCATTCTAGTAGGTGCCATTCAATAACACCGTTAGCAAACCCTCTTAAACTCTTACAGTGGCTTCTTTTTTAAACAGCTGGGACAAATAACTGGAATTATGAAAATGAAATTTCATGCAGAAAACAGGGATACCTGCCTGCCCATCTGGACATTTTTTTTAATATTGATTTAATTGGAACTGCGTACAAAATATTGCTTTCAACGAAAGTCCGGTTTTTCTTAAGTGAAATTTCGCCACAAATTAATTCCACCGAGTTCACCGCAGTTTCCTAATTTCTTTTTGTCAACATCTTACCATCATGATCGTTTGCTGAACGCTGTGCCGCTATAAGTATTTTTACTAGCGTTTTGACTATTTGCTGATAGCATTCTAGTACTAGAGGCTCCTGTCCAGCCCTTTCACCGTGGGTTAATCCTCGATGGGGCTGCAATTGCCTGATTACTGATCTCTAATTTCCCGCTTCAGTGCTCATGAACAACAAATGATGTCTATGCATTCTTCGCAATGGCTTACATTTAATTACTTGTTGTTTCTAAGTTCAAGAGTATACTGGACCAATTGAATATTCTGTTTTGATGTTCAAATGTTGGTCCAACTCTAAGTTCACTGTTGTCTCAATTTATTTATTCATTCATGGGCACTTATCAGGACCGTTACCGCGGCCGGAAAAAATAGTGTTACCTTGCCCTGAAATTATGTCCGCTGATTCTTCCGTGATCGTGACAAGCCTAGTTTTGCGATTTGTACTGTACTATTTTACTTTCCTGTTTTTGTTTGTTTTGACTTTTTTTCTAGGGGGAAGGGGAATTAGCTCTGCAAACAGAGAGGGAGGGCGCCTTCTTTCGTAACACTTAAAATTAACCACTTGCTGTTTTTTTCGAAGCTTTTTCATTTAACTTTTTAGCTGTTAAAAAAAAACCGCAAAATAGAAAAGAAAGTTCAAACCCACTGTACAGTTATTGGCAGTGACATCGATAACACACCTGCTTTAAAAATTCATAAAGGGGTGGCGTTTAACTTAACTGACAACCAAAACACAATTGTCAGGCAGCACTGTGCTGCGACACTTAACAAGGAGGAGGATTGATGCAATATGAATTTGTTTATTCAAGAGGCCGAGTTTCGCACTATCGTGAGCCACTATCAAAGTTATATCAGGCATATCACTGCTTACATTTCTGACAAAACAGGGACTGTCAACATTTCGAGAACCTTTCTGATATAATGAGTGATAAAGAGATAGTGGCCTCTAAAACTTGGTAAGGAGTGAAAGAAATCGTTGGTTCTATCTGGCCCTGTTGTCGTTCAGTTCTTTCTCTTATTCTTTTCCTCTCATTCGAAAGATGTTACTCAAATCGAGAATAAATGAGTGTAACTGTGGAAGTTATTTCGTATTCACTTTGTTTAAACTAATAAATTTAACGGCATTATATAAAGTAGGGAAAAATCTGATATGGCTCCGCGGTAAATAATATGTAGAGACTATTATTTCGGCTTGAAACAAACCGAATGTCTGCAATATTTCAGGTGCTCGCTAAAAACAAGGCAGTTTAATTGACTTACAATATTAGCCCAATCGATAAAGCGTAATACTGAATGTTTAAGAGCTAAATCTAATATGTTTAGTATCTTTATATAACTTAATATGGCTTAGTATTGTTACATAACTTATCCCTAACCACTACGATTTTATTGGGTGTTGAAATTCTGTGAGATGGCTTCTCGTTGAGTGTGCATCAGTTTATATAAAATATTAAGATTTTTCTCGCGATGTTTGCAGCACGTTGTGATATCCAAAGAAATAATTGTTTTGTTATTTTTACTAACATCGCCATAACGGTCGTCTTGAATATAATCTTCTACCTCGTTGTCGACCTCGCCAACTTTTTTTGTCGCTTTCATCTTGTCGTCTTCGTTATAATCGTCGTATCGTCATCATCATCGTTGTGTTCTCGGCTCTAATCTTCGTCTCGTCATCGACGTCTTTTCGTCAAAGTCGCTGTCATTCTCCACATAACTATGATCGTAATTGCTCGCCACTAATCTATTGAAGATCTTCAGCTTTTGCAAACAGCTTAGCAGCTACATTTTCAATTCTTTTTCTGTACTCCAAATTCTGGTAGTTGCCCTTGGCTACACTATCCATGCCGTACAAGGCTCCCCACCAAGCCGCCGCGATCACTCCTGTGCTGTCACTGTCACCACTGTGAAACATGGCTCGGCTACAAAGCTCCTCCCATGATGCTCCGGCACCAAGAAGAGCGTCGTAAGCAATCATAGGTGCATCGTGGCCGCTGGATCCGCCCCACCCACTAAAACTGACTGATTTGTAAAAGACATCCCGTTCCTTAATGTGAAAGGGCTCTGGAAAAACAGGGTCACCATTACCTTGGAGAATTCCACGAAGTGAGAGATATTTTGTCCAGGCATCAGTGAAGTATGACCAGTGTTCTTTGTTCTGTTCTACATCACGACCAACCTCTTCGATGTACTTTTTGGCCTTAGGCAAAGTGGACAATAATGCTGCACCCCACTCCCTGACAGGTTTTCCTTGGACAGCAAGTGAAGTGAAAAGGAAGATGCTAAAGAACCAAGGTAACCTGAAGCAAACAGATTAAAACTTTAAATTACATGTCTATTGAATAAATTAACCCTTTAACCCCTAAGAGTGCCTAGCATCTAATTTCTCCCTACAATATAACCCCTGGATCACTTATTAAGGTTAGGAGAATAAAGGAAATGATCACCAACAAAAGAAGCTTTTGATCAGTAAACAAATTCTCCTCATCAGCACCATAGAAATAAAGGACAGTATGGAGAATATACATACTGGTGTTAGGGTGTAAAGGGTTAATAATATCTTTCTCCGACTTTTTGTTGTGAATTATCTTTTGACAAGCTTTTATAGTCAGCATTCACATGGGGCATGAAATATTGTGTGAACTACCTTTTTTTTTTTCACTAACCAAAATTTTTTCCCTGGTTACCATTTAAGATTCAAGGTTGGCTGATGGAAACCTTATTTTTATATTTGTAATTAGCTCATCTGTCTAATACCCTATATGGTTCTCATTGACCTTATAAAGATAATGAAGATGATGACATATTCAAAAGAGAAGCAATTAGGAATTAGATACCAGTAGGGTGATTGTGCGTCATCCTACCACTCTCAATACTAACAGCAACAAGATCTTCAAGCTTGTCTGGGGAGTGATACAACAGGCCAATGCACATGGAACGCATAGCTGCACCACATCCTCCCCCCTTAGGGTTAAATGGTATCATATAGCCTTGACTTATAAGAGGTCTCAGTTGTGCGCAGCTTGATGCAGTTGTGCCTCCCGGTGCTCGGCCTCTCATATCTTTCTGTTAAAAGACAGAATTGAATGTGATGAAATTAAGTCTCCTTAATGTGTTCCTTGTGAGAGATGCAAAGTGGATAGTGACTGTTTGTTCAAAGGCTAGTTAGTGCTAACCCAAGGTTAAATTTTTAATCTGGGTTTCTTTATTCCTTTATTCAAGAGCCTTTTTGGGACAATTTTCTGTATTCTTTTTAGAGCATCCAATAATCATATTCTAGACAAAAAGAGTTGGACTGAATTTTCTTTTAAAGCTTTCAGATCTGAAATCAGATTTCACATGAACCATGGGTTATCTTAAACCAGCTTTGAACAACCCGGCCCTGATCAAAAGAGACTGGCTAGAGATCTGGCTGGGTTATGGTGCTATCTACTTGGACAAGAAACTTTTCTCTAAAAGTGCCTCTCCCAAACCAGAAGTATAAACGGGTAACAGGAAACTGTTTGAAAGCCTAACGAAAAAAGCAGTGTGTGGGGGAAGCAGGAGAGGTTTGACCCTGCAATAGATCCCATCTAGAGGGAGTAGAAATAATCTTGTACATAAACATAGCACATTGTTTGTAAATCCTACTGCAATGCTGTGACTACACAAAAGAGTTCCCTTAAATGAGAGGCTGAAAACGCAAATATAGGTACTTGATCTTTGATGAGTTTGAGCATCAAGAAATCTATGCACTCAGTAAACCTGCAAATGGAGATGAGATACTTCACTGGAAGCCTAACGAAAAAAGCAGTGTGTGAGGTTTGACCCTGCAATGGATCCCATCTAGTGGGAGTAGTAATAATCTTGTACCTAAACATTACACATTTTTTGTAAACCTTACTGCAGTGCCATGACAACACCACAGAGTTCCCTTAAGTGAGAGGCTGAAAACTTAAATAGGGATTCTTGATCTTTGATGATTTTGAGCATCAAGAAATCTATGCACTCAGTAAACAAGCAAATGAAGATGAGATAATTAAAAATATTGTTAATTTTTCTTAAAAATAGAATAGGTGATGAAATAAATATTTTTCTGAGGTAATTCTGAAAGATAATGTTAGGTGCAGATTCAATGGTTGGATCTGACATTAATTCAATTTCAAAGGTATTCTGCTTACCATGCCAGCTTTGTAATTTGCAGCAAGTTTGAGGAAAAGTTCTTCACGTATTTTCCAGGGAGACACAAGAGCCTCAGCAGTGGCCAGGTGTAACACAGTGTCGTCGCTTACAATCCAGCCCTTGACGTCAATTTTCTCGAGGCCACCGAGTGTTTGCAACTGTTGATGAATAGCCTCTCCGGAATGACAGAATTCCCACTCACCATTCTTGTAGCCTAATGCATCCCCTACAGCACTTAAAACCATTGAAGCCCTGAACTGATCCATGGAAGGCATTTTGGACCGATTCGCATGGATAAATTTACGAGTTACTGACATTTGAGTTGCGGATGTTTCTCAAAACTGTAATAGGACTGGAACGAGGAAGATTTTTAACTGAGTCGAATCCAGGCTCATCTCGTCACAATATTAATCACGCGAACGTCTGCAAAAAAACTTTGCCCTTCTTCGTTTCGCTTGATTTCCACAGGTAAATAACCTCCCATATAAAGATGTAACAATAATGAACTTTGCAGATCATCTTAGCCTAGGTGAGTGTTTAATTAATTTTGACGCGGACCAAACTCGGTCAATCGTACCTGATAGTGGGATAATATGTAGGTGTAGTTATCTGAGAGAGATCCATAGCCTCAACTACATGTTGATACATGTACCAACCACGGTACAACGGTGATCCCGCCTTAACTAAGCATATTTACTAACTAGGCTGCTAATTTCCCGAAATCTTTACTTCTCCTTGCTCATAACCAGCTGTGCTATCGTGGATTTCAATATTTGAAATAAGCCAGTTCTTGAAAATATCTTAGGCATTGTGGAAGTTAGTATCCGAGCAAACAAAGCAAGCTTTATCCATCGAATCAGAAATCTCTTTGTGTACTGCTTCCAAATCTCTACTGATTCTTTCCACCATGTTCTTCAAAACAGAAGAAACAACATGAAAAGTTTCGCTCGCCGGAGCATCTGCTCTTCATGCAAATACAAGAAAGTGCTTTTCACCATTTGATACAGCTACAATCCCATGCTCTGATGAACTACATCACGGAACCTACAAACGTAAAATTAGGCGTAAATATCGAGTGTTGTGATTGGAATCCCAAACACGGGACATAGGATGTGCCAGATTTTATGCCGTTTCCGACAATTTTCTCAGACAAGGTATCATTCTCATAACAACTCATCTTAAAAGAGGAAATATGCAGTTATTGTTCAGGATAGTGATCTGTTTCTCTTGGCAGCCAAGGACTTTGTAACGGATTATCCGCATGTTATTTTGCTCTCTCTTTTCCCTTCATTTCCATTTCGACAAGCCATTAAATTGCTAATAAATACTTAAGGAATGGATAGACCTAAAATACATTCTAAAGATAGTTCAATAAGTGTTTTCATACACATTAGCATAAGAGTCATGTGTCATGTGTCATGTGACTGTCATTTATGACCTTGGAATGTTACTAACGTATGCATTGAAATGAAAATTCAACTCGACATTCTTTAAATTAATATTATATTCTAAGAACATGTTTTTTTTTTACAGACCAACAGCAGCAAAATGAGCATGAGATATGTCGAGCAAACAGTACTCTTTGGAAGAGCTTAATTATTTCCGTATTTGATACATCACTACAAATACTGTACGGGATGGCCCGCAATCAGTTTTTAAACAAGAATGGAATAGATTGTACGGAAGTACACTCCCAGTAATGAGATAGACTTTTTCAACATGGAATCACGAAAAAGCCGGAGGAGAAACTATAGGCTTTTGAACAGCATTAGATATGGAGACAGTGATAAGGGATTGTATATAACTTTTCTATGCGATTCTCTTTTCCGATTACCTCGGTGGACCTCTGTTACATGTTAGTCCTACTGTACATAATAATGTTAATGATTTGCGAGAATTCCGCAAAGGATTTTGTGTACATCTTTCCCAACCAAGTGTTTTGGAATCATACTTTAAGGCTAATGTTCAGAAGGTCACAAATGCGTTCACAGCTCTAAATATCGACACAAAGAAACTGCGAACAATAGTCAATCAACGGAACTTTTCCACAGGGGAGCTTCAAACACTCCAGGAGCAAATTGCCGTCTTAGAAAAGGAAATTCAGGGTAAGCCCAAAAACTTCGTAGTTCTTCCACCCAAGCCATCGCACGAGATCATTGAAAGGAGTAGTGAAGTCAAAGAAATCATGCAGATGCTTTGTGACCTCCAAAACGGAAGTGACGATGATTCTGTTGTAACCGTGTTTGTCACCGGAAATCCAGAATGTGGAAAAGAGTCAGATTGCTCGTCGAGTTGGGGGAAAATTTGCGCAGGAGAACCCTGATTGCAACTCATTTGTCATAACATTGGACGCTGAAAGCGAAGAAATTTTGCTTGAATCGTATAAGAGATTTTTCCTTGAGCTTAAAATGACAGAATACTCTCTAAATAATATCGTGGGAGGCGATTCCAAATTGACGAAGAAAGAAAAAATTACGCATCTGAAAAGCTTTGCATTTTTCAAAGTACGAGAGTATTCCGCCTGGTTGCTCATATTGGATAACGCTGATGAAAGTGAAAGCGTACGCTGCTTCTTGTCAGAGAAAGAAGAGCGAGGAGGTTGTGGACAACTACTAGTTACCACGCAAGAGAGCATGTATCTCCCATTTGGTGACCCTTCATGAAAAATTATTTCCCTCAGCGAGGGAGTGCAAGTAAAAAATGCCGTGAATCTTCTCAGGAGTATCTCCCAGCTTTCACATGCAGATGGAGAAGAACATGCAGTATTAGATGCCTTAGATTACCAGCCTTTGGACATTGCTTCAGCAGCACTGTATGTTTGATTCTGGCACGACGGAGTAGGAACGCATATTGGTTCTGCAAGTTTCTCTTGGGAAAGCTATGTTAAGCAACTGGACAATGGGAAAAGAAAGGCAACAGAAAAGGTCTACGAAGAGACGAACATGAACTGTCCACAGTCAATGACTTCAGCTGTCTCATTGACGTTGCAAAAACTTATCAAGAATTCCATTTTTGAGCGTGTGTTCCAGTTCCTAGCCTTGTGTTCGCAAGCACCAATTGCACTTGATGTAATTGCCAAATATGTGATGGAAATGGAACCGGATATCGACGAGTTCCTCACAGCAGCAGAAATTTCCAAATGCGGTCTGCTTATTCCAGATGCAAATAATCCTGCTCTTGTAAGAATGCACCGGGTCGAACACCTCAGATGAAGTCTTTAAGATCGTTCAGTCATACATCAGGACAATATCTCTATTTTTCCGACATAACCTCGTAGAACTGGACCTCCAGTTTCACCTCTTTTCAAACATGATTGCCCCCCAGTTAAGAGTATTCAGAAGCCACTCGGAGACTTCACAATGGGTACAGCTCATGACAAGACGTGAAAGTATAAATGAAGCCAAAGAAGCGATTTTCAGCATAGATGACATTAGCAGCAAACAAGGTTATCTACCAGCGGGAATGAAATACATTGAATGTGCCCTCAAAATCGCCTGCAGTAAAGGAGAAGAGAACGACGACAAAAAAGCTTTTATTTCCAAGATTCTGAACAATATAGGTGTCGTCTTCTTGAAGCAAGGAATGTTTGAAGAGGCTAAAGAACACCATGAGCTTGCACCGAATCATCTTGGTTACAACCTGAATCAGGGCCAAAAGTCGAGTCGAGAAGTTGCGGACTCTTTTAAAAAACTGGGAAATGTATTCTATAGACTAAGCCACTTTGATGACGCGAAAGATTACTTCATCAGGTCGCTGATGAGGGAAGAGTTGTGTGGTGAAGAGGATGCTGCTGTTGCTTCCTCCCTTAACAATCTGGGATCCATCTACAGCGTATTGGGTGACAAGGTGAGCACCAGATTGCAAAGGATTATACCAAAGATCACTTGCCTTAGCCAAAAAACGCTTTGGCTTTGGCTTTACATTGCGAACAAGATGAAACCAGAGACCCACATCAATATCTTGAGGAAGCGTCGGAAATGAGGAAGAAACTATACCAGCCCAACCACCTTGTGATCTTTGGATCCTACAACAACCTTGGACTGATGCAAAGGGGTCCTAATCAACCTGAAATCAATGAATTGGAAAGTGATCATTCTGAACTGGGTGACTCGATATTGAATCTTGGAATTGTATTTGAACGATGCAGCGAGCTTCGTGAGGCAGCTTACAATTATCATCAAGCCCTTGAAATCTATGCCAAGCATTACCCAGTGAATCATCACCTGTGCCAGACAGCAGAAGAATGTTTAAAACGTGTCTCACAACAAGTAGATCTAAATAATCCCAGTTTGAACAGGTATGAAAACTTCAAAGCTCGCATTTGGTCATCAATGAAGAAAAATTTCAGGTGATCGATGATTTTGAACAATTCATTCGCTGGATCGTTCTTTAAGAGAGAGCTATGCAGAATTTGACGGAAATTCCTTTGCAGGGGTTCTTCGTATTTTTTGTAACAATTTTTTAACTTCACTGTAAACTTTTCTTGTGTGTTATAAAAAGAACGATACAAGCACACCCAGATGTAATATGATGAATGCTAAAAGACTAGTATATAATCTAATAACTTGAAAGTTTTTGTGATGTTTAACAATGTCCCAATCCCTGTGCCCCTCCCTGTCCTCTCACAGTCATCGTCAGGTAAATATCCACTATTTAATTCATTACATTGTAAATGATTTTATTAATATTGCATCCTGTATTTACTAATCAACAATAATTCTTTGTTTATTGACAGTCATTGCAAGTCAATCTATTTACAGGTAATTTAATAACTTTTTCTTTTCTTTTTCAGTCAGGGACCATCACTCAAAACCAGCTACATGTACTAACAACACCATTGCTCCTACACAAAACAAGGAATTTGCTGGTTACATACATAATGTTTCTCCAGTGCAAAACAAAAAGTCCTTTGAATGCCAATTACCAGGAAGAAATGAAACAATAACTAGAGCAGTGTGCTTCTCACCAAGAAAGTGTAAGATTTTCGCAGATTATAGTGGAAAGAAGAGCCCCATAAAAGTTAAAAAAATAAAGAAATAAAGCTTACAAACGATTTTACTGAAGTCTTAGCTGTGTCACTAACTCAAGATACCAAACAATTTGTATCCACAACTATTGAAGGAGAAATATTGGAAATCACTACCATAAACTCATAGTAACTAGTGTTTCATTAAGTTTTGAGATCAATATCAGTATCTGGACAACTGCCCACCTACCCCTCCCCAAACTCAACAGCAGTCAATTGACAACAAGTTAAGGTTAATATTGGGTTGGGGAGGGGTAGGTGGGCATTTGCCCAGATACTGACATTGATCCAAGTTTTGTTTGTTCACCTTGTTAGTACCAGTTGGAGCAAACCAAAAACCAATATATTCAATTCGTTTTTTTTTTGTTACTTATAGATAATATAAAATAACAATATAGCAACTTCTGTTAAATAGATCTCACAAAGTTGTTGTTTCATTCTTCTTCTTTGGCAGTACAACAATAAAATTCAGGACGGGGAGGGGGAGGCATGCAAAAAAATTTGGCTTTAAAAGGAACAAACCCGCCGAAAAAATTTCTGATAAACCAGTGAGAGGTCATCATAAATTACACTGACTATCTATCAAATCCCGCCAGCCCCCTTCACCCTATAAAAAATCAACAGTCCCTTATTCCAACTACTTGCATGTATTCTTATGCACATCACCGCATATTTACGCCAGTTCTACTTTTCGTAGTTTTCACCTTCTAAGCAGTAGTCACATGCGTCTTAACGGCGCCTATTTTTGCTTTGTGTTTTGACTTTTTATCTGGGGGAAGGGGGGGGCTTAGCTCTGCTAACGTAGAGGGAGGGCGTCTTCTTTCGTAGCATTGCAAATTAACCACTTGCTATTTTTTCAAAGTTTTTTCATTTAATATTTTAGCTGTTAAAAAAGAATAACAACGGCAGTGACATCGATAACACACCTGCTTTAAAATTCAACTTTAGACACTTTATTTTTTCTTTTTCTTACAAAATAATTTAGATTATGTTGACCCGCAGATAGCAAATTTGCTATTCGAGGCGGGTCAATCATCAACAAACATTATTTACAATATATAAAGAAAATTAAAAACTAAATAGTTAGATATTGTTAAATTATAAAGAGAAGCATAACTGGTAAATACATCAATAGTTGTTCAATAAAGTATAGAAGCAAATAAATTAGTACTGAAAGCAATCGGATCATTTTGTTTTAATTATGCAGTCCTTAAGTTTAGAGGAGATCTTTTCAACATCAAGATAAGAATCTTCATTATCTAGTATCTGAAATAAAGACGTTTTTATTTGTTTATTAAAGGAATGTTTTGATAACGTTTTGAATTCTTTCGGTATCTTATTCCAAATTTTGACACCAACACGCGAGAAAGCCTTTTTTTGTAGGTTAAGTCTAGAGTACTTTGTACTAAAGAGCTGCGATTTGGATGATCGAGTATTGTAGGTATGAATATGAGATGTTTTAGTAAATAGTTTCAAAATATTAATGGGAGCCCTCTGGTTGTGCACGTCAAACATAAGTTTACTTACGGCTTCATAATATAGGAACGTAACAGGCAGAATTTTTGCTTTGGCAAATAAAGGGATGGCATGCTCTCTTCGATCGGTGAAGTAGATTAAGCGCAACGATAACAGAGTCAACATGGTTTTTCCATGACAAATTTTGATCAATTAAAACGCCTATAAGAGATAAGTTTTGTTGATAAGTGCTCTCCAATCTGAATTGTTTGTGTTCTATTTTTTAAATATGATTGAAACCAGTCATTTATCAATCCACGGAAACCGTAAAAGTTCAATTTATCGAGTAATATTTCATGATTGACCGTATCAAATGCCTTTTTCAGGTCAATGAAGACACCGCATGAGAAGTACCGTTTATCCATATTACGTAGTATATCTTCGACAATATCAAGTACTGCATGCTCTGTGGAATGTGACTTGCGAAAGCCATACTGTGAGGAGTACAATAGGTTGTTTTTGTCAATAAATTCCTTCATCCGGTAGTACAAAAGTTTTTCAAAAATCCTATTAAAATTAGACAAAAGAGATATTGGTCAATAGTTTGAAGGGTCGGTCTCGTCGTCACTTTTATATATTGGCGTTATTTTAGAAATCTTAAGTTTTGAAGGATAGACACCAAGGATAACAGATAAATTGGAAATATGAGAAAGAACTGGAGATATGATATTGCAAGAAGATTTAAGCAGTTGTGTAGGGCAGGAGTATAAGCCACAGGATTTATTATTTGGTAGGGATAATATTTCCTGTTTAACTTCTTCTGGTGTAATGGGTTTGAAAAAGAAGGAAGAATCAGGTGATTTCAATTTACCAAGATAACTCATATAGTTATCTTTCTTTGGCAATTTACTTGCTAGTAAATTACCAACATTTGCAAAATGCTTATTTAGAATATTTGGTAATCTGGAAGGATTTTGTGTTATTTGATTGTTATTGCTTGAGTCTTTCAGCTTCGTTAACACTCTGCTTTTTGTCCTTTGGTTATTTATTAATTCATTTATTACTTTCCACGTCTTTTTCATATTATTTGTATTTTTCTCAAAGAAATCATAGTAATAACGTTTTTTACTCAAACGAATAAGGTTTGTAATTTTATTTCTATAATATTTATATTTGCTGTGTATTCCATTTACATATAGCTTGTTCTTTATTTTTATTGATGTCCTTATTCCTTTTGTTATCCACGGTTTTAACATAACTATGATCGTAATTGCTCGCCACTAATCTATTGAAGATCTTCAGCTTTCGCAAACAGCTTAGCAGCTACATTTTCAATTCTTTCTCTGTACTCCAAATTCATGTAGTTGCCCTTGGGTACACTATCCATGCCGTACAAGGCTCCCCACCAAGCCGCCGCGATCACTCCTGTGCTGTCATTGTCACCACCGTGAAACATGGCGCGGCTACAAAGCTCCTCCCATGATGCTCCGGCACCAAGAAGAGCGTCGTAAGCAATCATAGGTGCATCGTGGCCACTGGATCCGCCCCACCCACTAAAACTGACTGATTCGTAAAAGGCATCACGTTCCTTAATGTGAAACGGCTCTGGAAACACAGGGTCACTATTGCCTTGGAGAATTCCACGAAGTGAGAGATATTTTGTCCAGGCCTCAGTGAAGTATGACCAGTGTTTTTTGTTCTCTTCTACATCACGACCAACCTCTTCGATGTACTTCATGGCCTTAGGCAAAGTGGACAACAATACTGCACCCCACTCCCTGACAGGTTTTCCTTGGACAGCGAGTGAAGTGAGTAAAGAAGATGCTAAAGAACCAAGGTAACCTAAAGAAAACAAATGAAAACTTTAAATTACCTGTCCACTGAATATATTAACCCTATAACCCCTAAGAGTGCCCAGCATCTAATTTCTCCCTCAAATATCACCCCTGAATCACACACTAAGGTTATGAGAATAAAGGAAATGATCACCAGCAAAAGAAGCTTTTGATCGGTAAACAAATTCTCCTCATCAGCACCATAGAAATAAAGGACAGTATGGAGAATATACATACTGGTGTTAGGGTGTAAAGAGTTAATAATATCTTTTTCTGGCCTTTTGTTGTAAATTACCTTTAGACAAGTTTTTGTGGTCAGCATTCACTTGGGGCATGAAACATTGTGCAAACTGCCTTTTTTTGTGCTGACCAAACTTTTTTCCCTGGTTACCACCTAAGATTCAAGGTTGGCTGATGGAAACTTTATTTTCATATTTGTGATTAGCTCATCTGTCTAGTACCCTAACTGGTTCGTACCGACCTTATAAAGATAATGAAGATGATGACTTATTCAAAAGAGAAGCATTTAAAAATTAAAATTACCAGTAGGGTGATTGTGCGTCATCCTTCCACTCTCAATACTAACAGCAATAAGATCTTCAAGCTTGTCTGGGGAGTGATACAACAGGCCAATGCACATGGAACGCATAGCTGCACCACATCCTCCCCCGTTAAGGTTAAATGGTATCATATAGCCTTGACTTATAAGAGGTCTCAGTTGTGAGCAGCTTGATGAAGTTGTGCCCCCTGGTGCTCGGCCTCTCATATCTTTCTGTTAAAAGACAGAATTGAATGTGATGAAATTAAGTATCCGTGTGTTCCCTGTAGGAGCTGTGAGAGCAAAGTGGATAGTGACCGGTTGTTCGAAGGCTAATTAGTGCTAACCCAAGGTTAAATTTTAATCTGGGTTTCTTTATTACTTCATTCAAAAGCTTTTTTGGGATTATTTTCTGTAATCGTTTTAGAGTATCCAATAATCATATTCTAGTCAAAAAGAGTTGGACTGAATTTTCTTCTAAAGCTTTCAGGTCTTAAATCAGATTTGACACGAACCATGGGTTATCTTAACCCAGCTTTGAGCAACCTAGCTCTGATCAAAAGAGACTGGTTAGAGATCTGGCTGGGTTATGGTGCTAAAAAAGCAGTGTGTGGGGGAAGGGGGAGAGTTTTGACCCTGCAATGGATCCCATCTAGTGGGAGTAGTGATAATCTTGTACATAAACATAACACATTGTTTGTGAGCCGTGCTGCAATTGTTACGAGTGATCGTTAAGTGGAAATGATTGTCTGATTGACTTTTAGGCTTAAATTAGCATACTCACGGAACTTCTAGACTGTCACGCAAGTCACGCAACAATTTTTTTGTAACAGCAATGCCATAACAACACAACAAAGTTTCCTAAATTAGAGGCTGAAAACTTAAATGGGGATACTTGATCTTTCATGAAATTGAGCACCAAGAAATCTATGCACTCAGTAAACCAGCAAATGAAGATGAGATACTTAAAAACATTGTTCATCTTTCTTAAAAATAAAATAAGTGAAGAAATAAATATTTTTCTGAGGTAGTTCTAAATGAGCATGTTATAAACTCAGAAGCTTTCGTTTGGTTGGGTCATCCTCGTGACAGAAATCCTGAAGAGACCTGTGGCAAGCAACAGCAACACTTATTTCGACAACCCAAGAGGAATTTTTCATAAGAGTTTTGACTATGATTGCGACATCCCTAAAATACATGCCCCCCCCCTCCCCCTCCATTCCCTTAACCTCATCACTTTCCTTCAAGATTGCCCAACTATGCAGATTCAATGGTTGGATCTGACATTAATTCAATTTCAAAGGTATTCTGCTTACCATGCCAGCTTTGTAATTTGCAGCAAGTTTGAGGAAAAGTTCTTCACGTGTTTTCCAGGGAGACACAAGAGCCTCAGCAGTGGCCAGGTGTAACACAGTGTCGTCGCTCACAATCCAACCCTTAACGTCAATTCTCTCGAGGCCACCGAGTGTTTGCAACTGCTGATGAATAGCCTCACCGGAATAACAGAATTCCCACTCGCCATTCTTGTAGCCTAGCGCATCCCCTACAGCACTTAAAACCATTGAAGCCTTGAACTGATCCATGGAAGACATTTTGGACCGATTCGCATGGATAAATTTGCGAGTTGAAAGGCTTGAGTTGCGGAACGCGGAAGTTTCCTAAAACTGTAATAGGACTGGAACGAGGAAGATTTTTAAACCGAGTCGGATCCAGGCTCATCTCGTCACAATATTAATCGCGCGAACGCCTGCTAAAGAGGAACTTTGCCCTTCTTCGTTTCGCTTGATTTCCACAGGTAAATAACCTCCCATATAAAGATGTAACAATAATGAACTTTGCAGATCATCTTAGCCTAGGTGAGTGTTTAATTAATTTTGACGCGGACCAAACTCGGTGAATCATGCCTGATCACGTATAGCTATTCGAAAGAAATCCATAGCCTACTACTTGTAGATACATGTTCTTGCGATCAGCACAGTATAAAATCTCCGTTACCAACTTCGGTACAACGGTGATCCTACCTTAACTAAGCATATTTACTAACTAGGCTGCTAATTTCCCGAAATCATAACTTTTCCTCGCTCATAACCACCAGTTAGTGGATTTCAATATTTGAAAGAAGCCAGTTTTAAAAATATCTTAGGCATTGCAGGAAGTTAGTATCCGTGCCTACAAAGCAAGCTTTATCCATTTATCTATCTGAAATCTCTTTGTGTACTGCTTCCAAATCCTTTCAACTTGTTCTTCAGAACAGTAGAAACAACATGAAAAGTTTGGCTCGAATGAGCTTCCGCCCTTCATGTAAATACAGAGAAGTGTTCTGCACCATTTGATGCAGCCAGAATCGCATACGCTGATGAACTATATCACGGAATCCATAAACGTAATATCAGGTGTAAATACCGAGCGTTGAGATTAAAATCCCATGCACGGAACCTAGCCAGATTTAATGCAGTTTCCGACAATTTTCTCAGACAAGGCATCACTCTCATAACAACTCATCTTAAAAGAAGAAATATACAAGGGACAGTTTTTGAATACAGTTCTTCCCACAGCTGGAATCTTAAGATCTTGCCCAAAAAATTCGTTGTGCAAATGATATAGATACTTTTGAAAATGTTATAATTGTTTATTTACTGTTACTTTCATATTATATATTTTCGATACTTGGACTTTTACATATTTTCAGCTGTGACAATTCTTAGTGAATTTTTACCTTTTAGGCCTTCTGAATTTTGACTTATGTACTCAAATAACAGAACCTTTGTTAATACCAGTGCTTATTACACTGATAAGGTTATCATGTATAAATATTATTATTATTATTATTATTATTATTACTATTATTTGAAGCCATTTTGGACAATTTCAGACAAGGCGTCATTCTCATAACAACTCATCATAACCCCAAGCTTTCACTCCCAGGATCTCATTAGTAATTCTCCTTACTGTCTGCTATGCAGTTCATGTGATGTTAGTTCAGAGGATTTGGTATTGGATCAACTGATAATCCTTCGACTGATATTTTTCTTTATTCCTATTACTTGGATACTTGATATTGTATTGATATTGTAAGGAGAAATTCTGTCTTGGTCACTCAGTTTAAGGATTAAAAAAAGAAATACACTGGGGATGGTTTTTGAATAGAGTTCTTACCACAGCTGGAATCTTAAGATCTTGCTCAAAAAATTTGTTGTGCAAATGATGTAAATACTTAACAAAAATTTTTCATTTAAAGTTACTTCAATTAGGATGGTGGTAGGATCAATTTATTTGTCTACTTTTTTTATTACTATGTTAATTTTTTATTAAAAAATGTTTTACCTTGGTGTGTTTTTATTCTGCATTCGTACATGTACATACTACACAGGTTAATAATGCATTTCACATGTGCTGATGGCTATTCACCTCAGAGCAGCTCATGAGACAAAATGTCAAGAGTTTAATTTCAGATCATTATTTTCTTAATTCAAGGAAATAAATAATTTTATTTTATATCTGTGTGGTATATACTAAAACAATTATTCACCTCCACTTTGGTGAATAATTGTTAATTATTGTTCAGGATAGGGATCTGTTTCTATTGGCAGCCAAGGACCTTGTGATGGATTAACTGCGTGTTATTTTGCTCTCTTTTTCCTTTTCATTTCCATTAGGACTAGCCATTAAATTGTAGATAAATACTTAAGGAATGGATAGACCTGAAATACATTTTAAGGATAGTTTATTAAGTGTTTTCATACACATTAGAATGAGTCTTGTCATTGTCATTTATGACTTTGAAATGCTACTAACATGTGCATTCAAATGAAAATTCAACTTGACATTCTTTAAATTGATTTGATATTCTAAGAACACATTGTTTTTTTTTACAGATCAATCAGCAGCAAGATAAACATGAACTATGTCGAACAAAGAGTACTCTTTGGAAGAGCTTAATTATTTCCGTATTTGTTACATCAGTACAAAAATTGTACGGGATGGCCTGCAATCAGTGTTCAAACAAGAATGGAATAGATTGTATGGAAGTAGGCGTGGACAATGGCTTGACACTCCCAGTAATGGGATGGACTTTTTCAACATGGAATCACTAAAAAGCCAGAAGAGAAACTATAAGCTTCTGAACAGCATTAGATATGGAGACAGCGGTTCCTGGGATTGTACCTGCCTTTTCTTTGCGATTCTCTTTTCCGATTCCCTTGGTGGACCTCTGTTACATGTAAGTCCTACTGTACATAGTTATGTTAAAGATTTGCAAGAATTCTATCATGGTTTTTGTGCACATCTTTCTCAACCAAGTGTTTTGGAATCAGACTTTCAAGCCAATGTTCAGAAGGTCACAAATGCATTCATAGCTCTAAATCTCAACACAAAGGAACTGCAAACAATAGTCAATCAGTGGAACTTTCCTGGAGGGGAGCTTCAAACAATCCAAGAGCAAATTGCCGTCTTAGCAAAGGAAGTTCAGGGTAAGCCCAAAAACTTTGTAGTTCTTCCACCCAAGCCATCGCACAAGATCATTGAAAGGAGTAGTGAAGTTGAAGAAATCATGTAGATGCTTTGTGACCTCCAAAACGGAAGTGACAATGATTGTGTTGTAGCTGTGTTTGTCACTGGAAATCCAGGATGTGGCAAGAGTCAGATTGCTCATCAAGTTGGACGAAAATTTGCTGATGAGAACCCGGACTGCAATTCATTTGTCATGACATTGGATGCTGAAAGTGAAGAGACTTTGCTTGAATCATATAAGAGATTTTGCCGTGAGCTTGGAATCACGGAATACTGTCTTAATAATATCGTAGGAGGTGATTCCAAATTGACGAAGAAAGAAAAAATTACACATCTGAAAAGCTTTGCATTTTCCAAGGTACGAGAGTATTCGGCCTGGTTGCTCATATTAGATAATGCCAACGAAAGTGAAAGCTTACACTGCTTCTTGTCAGAGAAAGGAGAACATGTAGGTTGTGGACAACTACTTGTTACCACGCAAGAGAGCACCTATCTTCCATTTGGTGACCCTTCATGCAAAATGATCTCCCTCAGTGAGGGAATGCAAGTAAAAGATTCCATGAATCTTCTCAGGAGTATCTCCCACCTTTCAAGTGGTGATGATGAAGAAGAATGCGCAGTATTAGATGCCTTAGATTACCAGCCTTTGGCCATTGCTTCAGCAGCACTGTATGTTCGATTCTTACATGACGGAGAAGGAACAGATATTGGTTTTGCAAGTCTCACATGGGAAAGTTATGTCAAGCAACTGGACAAGGGAATAAGCCAGGCAACAGAAGAGGTGTACGAAGATACAAAAATGAATTATCCACAGTCAGTGACTTCAGCTGTCTCACTGACATTGCAAAAACTTGTCAAGAATGCCATTTTTGAGCGTGTGTTCCATTTCCTAGCTTTGTGTTCGCAAGCACCAATTGCAATTGACGTAATTGTCAAATATGTGATGGAAATGGAACCAGATATTGACGAGTTCCACACAGCTGCAGAAATTTCTAAATGCAGTCTGCTTATCCCAGATGCAGATAATCCTGCTCTTGTAAGAGTGCACCGGGTCATACACGAGGTGATGAAAAGTCATTTCATCAAGAAGAACCCCACAGATAAAGTCTTTGAGATCATACATCAAGACAATATCTCTGTTTGTCCAACATGACCTTGTAGAACAAGACCTCCAGTTTCACCTCTTTTCTAACATGATGGCCCCCCATTTAAAAGCGTTCAGTAGCCACTTGGAGACTTCAAACTGGGTACTGCACGTGACAAGACACGAAAGCTTATTTGAAGCCAAAGAAGCGATTTTCAGCATGGGTGACATTTGCAGCAAACAAGATTATCTACCAGCAGCAATGAAATACTTTGAATGTGCCCTCAAAATCACCTGCAGTTAAGAAGAAGAGAGTGAAGACGACAAAGCTTTCATTGCCAAGATTCTAAACAATACAGGTGTCATCTACTTGAAGCAAGGAATGTTTGAAGAGGCTAAAGAACACCACGAGCGTGCATTGAATCATCTCAGCTACAACTTGAATCAGGGCCAAAAGTCGAGTCAAGAAGTTGCAGACTCTTTGAACAAACTGGGAAATGTATTCTATAGACTAAGCCACTTTGATGACGCAAAGGATTACTTCATCAGGTCGCTAAAAATGAGGGAGGAGTTGTGTGGTGAAGAGGATGCCGCTGTTGCTTCCTCCCTTAACAATCTGGGATCCATCTACAGCATCTTGGGTGAGCACCAGATTGCAAAGGATTATTACCAAAGATCACTTGCCTTAGCCAAAAAACGCTTTGGGGAAACCCACCCCCAGGTCGCCCACTGCTTAAGTAATCTTGGAATTGTGCATTGTGAGCTAGACGAAACCAGAGATGCACAAAAACGTCTTGAGGAAGCGTTTGAAATGAGGAAGAAACTGTACCAGCCCAACCACTTTGTGATCTCTGAATCCTACAACAACCTAGGATTGATGCACAGGGGTGCTGGTCAACTTGAAAAAGCAATGAATTGCTTCAAATCTGCATCATCTATCAGAGAGAGGGTGTTAGATCAAGAACATCCCGCGATAGCAGAAGTATTGAGTAATCTAGGGCAGGTGTATATGGATCTTGGAGAATTGCAGGAATCCAAAAATTGTCACCTCCAAGCAAGGAACATTCGGATGGAGAAGTTGGAAAGTGATAATTCAGAACTAGGTGACTCGATGCTGAATCTTGGAATGGTATTTGAACAATGCAATGAGCTTCATGAGGCAGCTTATAACTATCATCAAGCCCTTGAAATCTATGCCAAGCATTACCCAGTGAATCATCATCTATGCCAGACAACAGAAGAATGTTTAAAACGTGTCTCACAAAAAGCAGATTTACAGGATTGCAGTTTGAATAGGCCTGAAAACTTCACAGCTCGCATCTGGTCATCAATGAAGAAAAGTGTCCAGGGATCAATGATCTTGAACTATTGGTTTGCTGGATCATATTACAACAGAGCCATGCAGAATTTGGCTGATTTTCCTTTGCTGGGTCTCTTGGGGTTTTTTGTAACTTTTATCCTGGCTATGCAATATGTCAAATACTATAAGCAGGACGAGAATGCTAGGTTTTGTAAGGACTTATTGGAGTCAATACCCTACATGGTTGGGTTTAGTGTGGTATCAAGAGCACTAGAATTAGATCTATTTGATAATTTTGAATTACTCCATGAATTTAAATTTTATGGTTTTGTATACCTGTTGGTGTACTTTCTTGATCATATCTTTGATGACTGGAACAGTGACTATATTATTAACAAAGCCACATCCATTCTTAAATTTTAAACTTGAGAAATCACTCTCATCACATCACCCTAGCTATTTTCTTCTATTATGTCGTAGAGGGCATTATCAAGTGCTGATTCTTCTTTAATTTTGTCAATTGCCCTTGGCAACATTTCTTGAAATTGAAAAAATAAAAAAAAAGATTCAACTTTAACTAAAAGTATTATGCTTTGGCTTAATTGTACAAAAATAAAACTTCATTCCACTAATTGAACACTGAAATGGCTTCCTACATAACTGCGCAACAGCATATGTACTCTACCTTCTTAATAAGAGGAAATTTGTCCTTTTATTTAAGAAAGTAAAAAAAAAACATTTCCTTGTAAAAAGTAAGGATTAGTGTCACTGTTGTTCACTGAAGTTACAGTTTATGAATGTTACCTTAAGTGTAATCTGTATATACATGTACCAATCATTGGCAGGGCTCTAAAAATGACCTCAGTTTTTTTTAAATTTTTGTTTATTAGAAATAAACCAAGAAGAAAAAACATTTGTCTGGATTTGTTTTTTAGCTTTGGTTCCATTTTTAGGAAAGCTTTGAGACCCTCATCTGGAATTTATTCCAGAGCAGCTCTGGCTGCTGAGTCATCATCATACATCGTTATTAATTCCTCAGCACGTTGAAAAACATGACACAGTTCTGACAGCCACTCATGCAGCATAACTCAAAAGGAGGGGGATGAAGTATGGGCAGTTTCTTCTCTTCATCTTTTCCTTTGTCCTTAATTTCTAAATGTGGAACAGCTTGTTGTGAGTCTGTTAAGTTAACAAACATATTTTTAGTCTAAGAGAGCCAAATCAATGCAAAAACAAGAAGAGGAGACATTTATAAGCATGGAAAAAATTAGATCTAAACAGTAACTGCAGATTTGTTGAGAACTGACCTTAGCTAAGAGTTCATCCAGTCCATTCATAATCTTGTCTGTTAAATTTTAAATGCCTCACAAAATATCCCATCCAACCTTGCTTGGAAATTGGGAGGATGTGGGATGGGGGAGAAAAAATGCAAAGCCAGGTGAAATTTGTCTACCCTTTCACTCCCAAAATCTAACTAGTAATTCTCCTTACTATCTGCCATACAATTCTTATGATGTTAGTTCAGAGAATTTGGTATTGGATCAACTAATAATCCCATAATTGATATTCTCCACTATTCTCATCACCTGCCTGCTTGATATTGTATTGACATTGTTAGGAGAAATTCTGTCTTGGTCACTTGTAGGAGTGAAAGGGTTAAAGAACGGGGTATGTTTTCATTTCCATATTTTCTTGGTGAAAATATTGCAATTGGTATGCTGTAAGCATTCACTAATTTAAACTGATTGTGAGGGGAAAAAAAGAGACTGAACAAATTGTGACATCTTTACAGCATTACTGTTGTGTTTATATGTTCATTGTCATGCTGGTGATCAAAGTTAAAAAGTTAAGCCAATTAAAAAATGTGAGAATTTCCAGGTCATTTCTGACCCACAGCCTCCCTGAGGGGAGGGGGGGGGAAGGGGGGGAAAGGGGGGGCAACACATTTCCATCACATTTTCAGTACAGCAGTCACATCTAACTTATTGCTCACTTGCAGGATCTTCACTTGACACCAATCTTCCACACCTTATATAATTTTTTTGCATGAACAGATCAACCAACTGATACATTCATGCACAGAAAGGGAACATTCACAGAAACTTAGGCATGACAGAACCATGAAAATAATAAACACATTTTCCAAGGAAACTAACATGAAAAGTGTGACACATGTACATGGTTGTTGTGTTGCCATGAAGTTTACAGTAACCACTGACAATCCTTTGAAACTGGTGTACAAAGGGAACAAATGATGTTATGGGAACTTGCTCAAAACTGGGAATATATATTAATAGTAGTTATCTCATTACTACCCAAATCCCACAAAAGCTCTCAAAACCAGCGCCTAATCTTATATTTTCATGGTAATGAATTATTGTTTTATTGTCCCTGAAACTGACAACCTGCACAATAGACATATTCCTGGTTTTAATTTCTCTCCACCCTTAAAATAAAAATAAAGTTAGAGAAAGGAAAAATGGAAGAAGCAGCAACTTTAAATTCGTCTGTCAGTGTCAGGCAGGCATTATTCAGCTCCCTTCAAGAAACCTTTAGAAAAAAAACCTTGTAATGGACCATGTTACAGTTGTGTACTTAGTTGCAGAGCCTTTGATTTGGAGTGAGGCTGAAGCTGACCATGTTGTGATAGAGACCAGTATCTAGTTTGCATGATAACAAAGTAATTTACATTTGAAATGCAGCAAGGTTTGTATCATAAAAAGATCACCCTTAGCCTCATATCTTTTCAAAGGCTTGGCAACAAAGCACACAACTGTGAAATTGACTATTCCAGCATTTGCAATATTTTCCGAAATTTCTACAACATGTAAGCTTTTTCTCAAAAGTGCCCTCTTGTTTCAATAGAAGCTAATTATAAGCTAGTCTCAGTGCTACGTTCTGTCCACTGTTTTGCACTTACATTTGACAGATATAACAGCTTGTTTCCTTGCCACGTGCGACAAACAGCACTGAACATCAAAGAGGTAAATTTCAGGAAATATATCCTATGACACTCAATTGAAATAACAAAGGAGGTTCCTCCACAACAGAGCACTCATCTTCTATAGCTTCTAAGTTGCCATCACCACTTCGCTAGAAAGCAGCTCTCTTTTTATCTAATGATGCACATTCTCCTCTGAAATAAAAATTGTCCACTTCACTAACAATCAAAACATAGTGACTGGATGCTACATTACAAAATAGGTAAGCTTTTCCTTATAACACAATAAAATGAATTTTGAGATAACTGATAGAAAAACACTTAAAAATAACAGTAAAGAGCCTATCAAAATATATCTCATACTGAGTCAATTTTTAGTAATTCAAGAAGCACCTTGTATTTCCATGAAACTTGCAAATGGTGGGAAAATGTATGCAGTGAAATTTCTCTGATTTGGCAAGCATAAAAACGACACAATTTGTTAACCCTACTGCAATGCCATGACAACACAACAGAGTTCCCCAAAATTAGACGCTGAAAACTTAAATAGGGATACTTGATCTTTGATGAGTTTGAGCATCAAGAAATCTATGCATTCAGTAAACCAGCAATTTAAGTTGAGATACTTAAAAACATTGTTCATCTTTCTTAAAAATAAAATTGGTGATGAAATGAATATTTTTCCTAGATAATTCTGAAAGTACATGTTCTAAACTCTGACGCTGCAGTTTACATTTGGTTGGGTCATCCTTGTGACAGAAATCCTGAGGCGACCTGTTGCAAGCAACAGCAACACCTATTTTGACAACCCAAATGGAATTTGTTTATCCATCAAATCAGAAATCTATTCGTGTGCTGCTTCCAAATCTCCGCTGTTTCTTTCCGACATTCTTACTTAAACAGCCCAAGTGGAATTTGTCATAAGAGTTTTTATGATAACATCCCTAAAATACATCTGTCCCCCTCCCCAACCATTCCCCCAACCTCATTACTTTCCTTCAAGATTGCCCAATTGTGCAGATTCAATGGTTGGATCTGACATTAATTCAATTTCAAAGGTATTCTGCTTACCATGCCAGCTTTGTAATTTGCAGCAAATTTGAGGAAAAGTTCTTCACGTGTTTTCCAGGGAGATGCACGAGCCTCAGCAGTGGCTAGGTGTCGTCGCTTACAATCCAGCCCTTGACTTCAATTTTCTCGAGGCCTCCGTGTGTTTGCAAATGCTAATGAATAGTCTCTCCGGAGTAACAGAATTCCTACTTGCCATTCTTGTAGCCTTATGTATCTCCTACAGTACTTAAAACTGCTCAAGACTTGAACAGATTCATGGAAGGCATTTTGGACCAATTAGCATCCATAAATTTGCGAGTTACAAAGTAACTAAAAAATTTATTAGGACTGGAACGAGGAAGATTTTTAACGAGTCCGATCCAGGCTAGTCTCACCAAATAATAACGCGAACGTCTGCAGCTGGAATTCTTCGTTTAGCTTGATTTCCACAGGTAAGTAAACTCCTCTGTAAAAATGTAACAAGAATTGACTTTGCAGATCATCTTAGCCTAGGTGAGTGTTTAATTAATTTTGACCCTGACCAACTCAGTCAATCATGCCCGATCACGTATGGTTATCCGAGAGAGATCCGTAGCCTCAATTGCATTCGGTACATTTACTTGCAATCCGCACTGTATAAAATATTTGTTACCGACTGCGGTACAACGGTTATCCTGCCTTAACTAAGCATATTTACTAACTAGGTTGCTTATTTCCCGAAATCATTACATTTCCTTGCTCATAACCAGCGGATTTCAATATTTGAAAGAAGCCAGTTCTTGAAAATATCTTGGGCATTACGGAAGTTAGTATCTGTGCATACAAAGCAAGCTTTATCCATCGAATCAAAAATCTGTTTGTGTACTGCTTCCAAATCTCTACTGATTCTTTCCAACTTGTTCTTCAAAACAGTAGAAACAACATGAAAAGTTTCGCTTGAATGAGCTTCCGCCCGTCATGCAAATACAAGAAAGTGTTATGCACCATTTGATACAGTTAGAGTCGCATACGCTGATGAGCTTTTTCACGGAACCTACAAATGTAATATCAGGTGTAAATACCGAGTGTTGAGATTAAAATCCTATGCACGGAACCCAGGATGTGCCAGATTTAATGCCGTTTCCGACAATTTCCTCAGACAAGGCATCATTCTCATAACAATTCATCTTGAAAGAGGAAATGTACAAGAGACGGTTTTTGAATACAGTTCTTCCCACAGCTGGAATCTTAAGCTCTTGCCCAAAAAATTCGTTGTGCAAATGACGTAGACACGTCTTAAAATGTTATAATTGTTATTTACTGTTACTTTTATATTATCTATTTTCGATACTTAGACTTTTACTTATTTTCAGCAGTGACAATTCTTAGTGAATTTTTACCTTTTAGGCCTTCTGAATTTTGACTTATGTACTCAAATAACAGAACTTCCTTTGATACCAGTGCTTATTACATTTGAAAGAAGCCAGTTCTTGGAATATCTTAGGCATTGCAGAAGTTAGTATCCGTGCATACAAAGCAAGCTTTATCCATCAAATCAGAAATCTATTTGTGTACTGCTTCCAAATCTCTACTGATTCTTTCCAACATGTTTCCCAAAACAGTAGAAACAACGTGAAAAGTTTCGCTCACACGAACATCCGCTCAAATACAAGAAAGTGTTGTGCACCATTTGATACAGCTAGAATCGCATACACTGATGAACCATATCACAGAACTCACAAACATAAACTTAGGAGTCAATACTGAGTGTTAAGATTGGAATCCTATGCACGCGATATAGCATGTGCCAGATTTCATGCCTTCTCCGACGATTTTTTCAGACAATGTCATTCTCCTAAAAATTCGTCTTAACACGGGAATATACAAGGGATGGTTTTTTAATACAGTTCTTCTCACAGCTGGAATCTTAAGATCTTTCCCAAAAAATTCGTTGAGCAAATGATGTGAATACGTTTGAAGATTTGAACATTTTTAATTTACTGTCACTTCAATAAGGATGGTGGTAGGATCAATTTATTTGTTTATCATTTTATTAGTATGTTAACTTTATATGAAAAAATGTTTTACCTTTGGTATGTTTTTATTCTGTAATTTGGAAGTACTGTTCACCTCGGAGCAGCTCATGAGACAAATCGCATGTCAGGAGTTTTATGTCCGACCATTTTTTGCTTTGTTAAGGGAAATAAACTTTTTTTTGGTATCTGTGTGGTATATACTAAAACAATTATTCACCTCCACTTTGGTGAATAATTGTTAATTATTGTTCAGGATAGTGATCTGTTTCTTTTGGCGGCCAAGGACCTTGTGATGGATTATCTGCATATTATTTCGCTCTCTTTTTCCTTTTTATTTCCATTAAGACTAGCCATTAAATTGTTGGTAAATACGTAAGAAATGCATGGATAGACCTGAAATACATTGTAAGGCTAGTTTATTAAGTGTTTTCATACACATTAGCATAAGAGTCGTGTCATTGTCATTTATGACTTTCAAATGCTACTAACGTATGCATTGAAATGAAAATTCAACCTGACATTCTTTAAATTGGTATGATATTCTAAGAACACGTTGTTGTTTTTTTTTAGACCAAACAGCGGCAAGATAAACATGAGAAATGTCGAGCAAAGAGTACTCTTTGGAAGAGCTTAATTATTTCCGTATTTGTTACATCAGTACAAAAATTGTACGGGATGGCCTGCAATCAGTGTTCAAACAAGAATGGAATAGATTGTATGGAAGTAGGCGTGGACAATGGCTTGACACTCCTAGTAATGGGATGGACTTTTTCAACATGGAATCACTAAAAAGCCGGAAGAGAAACTATAGGCTTCTGAACAGCATTAGATATGGAGACAGCGGTTCCTGGGATTGTACCTGCCTTTTCTTTGCGATTCTCTATTCCGATACCCTTGGCGGACTTCTGCCACGTGCAAGTCCTACTGTATATAGTAACGTTAATGATTTGCGAGAATTCCGCAATGGGTTTTTTGCGCATCTTTCCCAACCAAGAGTTTTGGAATCAGACTTTCAGGCCAATGTTCAGAAGGTCACAAACGCGTTTATAGCTCTAAATCTTGACACAACAGAACTGCAGACAATAGTAAATCAACGGAACTTTCCCACAGGGGAGCTTCAAACACTCCAAGAGAAAATTGCCGTCTTAGAGAAAGAAATTCAAGGTAAGCCCAAAAACTTTGTAGTTCTTCCATCCAAGCCATCGCACGAGGTCATTGAAAGGAGTAGTGAAGTCAAAGAAATCATGCAGATGCTTTGTGACCTCCAAAACGGAAGTGACGATGATTCTGTTGTAACCGTGTTTGTCACTGGAAATCCAGGATGTGGCAAGAGTCAGATTGCTCGTCAAGTTGGAGGAAAATTTGCTGATCAGAACTCTGATTGCAACTCATTTGTCATGACACTGGATGCTGAAAGCGAAGAGACTTTGCTTGAATCGTATAAGAGATTTTGCCGTGAGCTTGGAATCACAGAATACTCTCTAAATAATATCGTAGGAGGCGATTCCAAATTGACGAAGAAAGAAAAAATTACACATCTGAAAAGCTTTGCATTTTCCAAGGTACGAGAGTATTCCACCTGGTTGCTCATATTGGATAACGCTGATAAAAGTGATAGCTTACGCTGCTTCTTGTCAGAGAAAGGAAAGCATGTAGGTTGTGGACAACTACTTGTTACCACGCAAGAGAGCACCTATCTCCCATTTGGTGACCCTTCATGCAAAATGATCTCCCTCAGTGAGGGAATGCAAGTAAACGACGCCGTGAATCTTCTCAGGAGTGTCTCCAAGCTTCCACCTGGCAATGATGAAGAAGAACATGCAGTATTAGATGCCTTAGATTACCAGCCTTTGGCCATTGCTTCAGCAGCACTGTATGTTCGATTCTTGCGCGACGGAGTAGGAACGGATATTGGTTCTGCAAGTTTCACATGGGAAAGCTATGTCAAACAACTAGACAAGGGAAAGAGAAAGGCAACTGAAAAGGTCTACGAAGAGACGAACGTGAATTATCCACAGTCAATGACTTCAGCGGTCTCATTGACATTGCAAAAACTTGTTAAGAATGCCGTTTTTGAGCGTGTGTTCCAGTTCCTGGCTTTGTCTTCGCAAGCACCAATTGCACTTGACGTTATTGTCAAATATGTGATGGAAATGGAACCGGACATAGACGAATCCCTCACAGCAGTAGAAATTTCCAAATGCTGTCTGCTTATCCCAGATGCAGATAAACCTGCTCTCGTAAGAGTGCACCGGGTCGTACACGAGGTGATGAAAAGTCATTTCATCGAGAAGAGCCCCACAGATAAAGTCTTTGAGATCGTTCAGTCATACATCAAGACAATATCTCTGTTTGTCCAACATGACCTTGTAGAATTGGACCTCCAGTTTCACCTCTTTTCTAACATGATGGCCCCCCATTTAAAAGCGTTCAGTAGCCACTTGGAGACTTCAAACTGGGTACTGCACATGACAAGACATGAAAGCTCAGATGAAGTCAAAGAAGCGATTTTCAGCATGGGTGACATTTGCAGCAAACAAGATTATCTACCAGCAGCAATGAAATACTTTGAATGTGCCCTCAAAATCACCTGCAGTAAAGAAGAAGAGAATGAAGACGACAAAGCTTTCATTGCCAAGATTCTAAACAATACAGGTGTCGTCTACTTGAAACAAGGAATGTTTGAAGAGGCTAAAGAACACCATGAGCGTGCACTGAATCATCTCGGCGACAATCTGAATCAGGGCCAAAAGTCGAGTCGGGAAGTTGCGGACTCTTTGAACAAACTGGGAAATGTATTCTATAGACTAAGCCACTTTGATGACGCAAAGGATTACTTCATCAGGTCGCTAAAAATGAGGGAGGAGTTATGTAATGGAGAGGATGCCGCTATTGCTTCCTCCCTTAACAATCTGGGATCCATCTACAGCGTCTTGGGTGAGCACCAGATTGCAAAGGATTATTACCAAAGATCACTTGCCCTAGTGAAAAAATGCTTTGGGGAAACCCACCCCCAGGTCGCCGACTGCTTAAACAATCTTGGAATTGTGTATTGTGAACTAGATGAAACCAAAAATGCGCAAAAACATCTTGAGGAAGCGTTTGAAATGAGGAAGAAACTGTACCAGCCCAACCACCTCGTGATCTCTGAGTCCTACAACAACCTAGGACTGGTACACAGAGGTGCTGGTCAACCCGTAAAAGCAATGGATTTCTTCAAATCTGCGTTATCTATTAGAGAGAGGGTGTTAGATCGAGAACATCCCGCAATAGCAGAAGCACTGAGCAATCTGGGACAGGTGTACATGGATCTTGGACAATTGCAGGAATCCAAAGACTGTCACTTCAAAGCAAGGAACATTCGGATGGAGAAATTGGAAAGTGATCATTCTGAACTAGGTGACTCGATGCTGAATCTTGGAATGGTATTTGAACAATGCAGTGAGCTTCGTGAGGCAGCTTATAATTATCGTCAAGCCCTTGAAATCTACGCCAAACATTACCCTCTGAATCATCACCTACGCCAGTCAGCAGAAGAATGTTTAAAACGTGTCTCACAACAAGCAGATCTAAATGATTCCAGTTTGAACCGACCTGAAAACTACACGGCTCGCATTTGGTCATCGATGAAGAAAAATTTTAGGCGATCAAAGATCTTGAACTATCCCTTAGCTGGGTCGTACTATGACAGAATCATACTGAATTCGAATAATTCTTTTCTTCTTGGGGGGTTGTTTGAGCTCGAGAGTCTTGACGCTAACCTCTTTGCGCTAATTATTATACTGTTGGTGCAATATGTAAAATACTACAAGCTAGACGAGAATACTGGGTTTTTTAGGAGCTTTTTGGAAGTGATACCCTACGTTGTTGGGGCTAGAGTAGCACTAAGGGCACTAGAAGCAGATTATAGAGCTTTTGAGTTTAGGTTACTCTGGCTACTTAAACTTTATGGTTTTCTATACCTGTTGGCATATTTTCTTCATCATATCTTTGGTTTTAGTTAGGCTAGTGTCAATTGCCTTCAAAAAATCAGTACACATCAGAGTTTGAGCTAAGAGATGATTGCAAAAGTGACTGTATTATTAACACAGTCACATCAATTCTATAATTTTAAAATTGATAAATCATTCTCATCACATCAACCTAGCCATTTTCCTCTATTATGACATAGTGGGCATTATCAAATGCTGATTGGCTGAGACAAATGCCAATGTAATTGTTCATTAATTTTGTTAATTGCCCTTGAAAACATTACTTGAAATTGAAAAAATTAAACAAAAGAAATGCTTAACTTTACCTAACATTATTATGCTTCAGCTTTTTTGTACAAATGAAAATTTCAGTCAGCTGATTTGTGCACTTACTGATTTTGATGGGACACTGAAATGGCTTCATATGAAACTTTACAATAACATGTGTTTTCTAGCTTCTTACTAAAAGAAAAATTTGTTATTTTTATGTTAAAAAAGTAAATAAAATGCTTCCTTGTAAAAATTAAGGATTCATATCACTTGTGTTTTCAGAAGTTTAGGAATATTACTTGAAGTGTAATCTGTATATACATGTACCAATCTCTGGCAGTTTTTTATCCTTTTGTTTATTGGAAATACACTGAAAAGAACAAACATTTGTCTGGAGCTATTTTTTTAGCATTAGTTCCATTTTGAGGAAAGCTTTGAGACCCTCATCTGGAATTTCTTCCAGAGCAGCTCTGGCTGCTGAGTCATCACCATACATCTTTATTAATTCCTCAGCATGTTGAATCATAACACAGTTCTGACAGCCACTCATGCAGCATAACTCCAAAGGAGGGGGAGGAAGTATGGGCAGTTTCTTCTCTTCACCTTTTGCTTCTTCCTTAATTTCTAAATATGGAAGAGCCTGTTGCGAGTCTGTTAAATTAAACAAACATATTTTTAGTCCAAGAGAGCCAAATCAATGCAAAAACAAGGAGACATTTAAAAGCATGGAAAAATTAGATCTGAACAGTAAATGCAGATTTATTGAGAATTGACCCTTGCTTGGAGTTCATCCAGTTAATTAATACTCTTGACTGTTTTGGCTTTAATAGGATTTTAAATGCTTCAAGACATATCCTATCCCACTTTTCTTGGAAATTGGGAGAATGCAGGATGGCGAAGAAAATATGCAAAACTAGATGAAATTTGGCAAAGGAAGGGGTGTGTTTTCTTTTTTTTTTTCTAGATGAAAATATCGGAACTGGTGTGCTGTAGGCATTCACAAAACTGATTATGAAGAAAAACAAATAGATGAAACTGGTTGTGACATCTTTACCGCATTACTGTAGTGTTCATATGTTCATTGCCACACAGGTGGTCAGAGTAAGTGTATAGGTTAAACCACTGATGAAATTTAAATTCAATGAGAATTTGCAGGTCATTTGTGACCCCTAGCCTTTCTGACCTCCCTGATATTGTTAAGAGAAAATTTGTCTTGGTTACTCAAGGGAGTTACAAAAATGTGAGGTTTGTTTATCTCCACCTTTCCATTCTTCTCATTAATTATCATTCGCTTATTTCTTACATTTCAAGGGAATGCACACTGAGACTAACAATTTAAGAAGTTGGAAGAAACATATTATTTAATTATCAAACACTGCACCTTCTCCTGTTGTTCTTTTATTTTCTATGATGATTCTGACACCCTGCCACGAATCAAAAGAAAAGCATCTAGGTCATTTGATATTTTGTGGATAATGACATATTCAAAATAAGTTAAATTTGTTTTATTTGAACATCCCATCAATGCTGAATTCAAGACAAAGTTTAAGCCTTGGTGCATAACACTTGGCCTCCTTTTGAATAGTAGATTAATATATATTGAAGATGTGATAAAGTAGATACAAAAAGTAACAAGCACCTTGGTTAATATACAAACATTTAAACAATCTTGTGTCATTTCTAAGTCAGCCCACTAAAATAGTTCAAAACATATAATTAAAAGAGCAAGCACACATTTTCAGTATAGCAGTCACACATAACTTATTGCTCACTTGCAGAATCTTCACTTCTTCACATTAATCTTGCTCACCTTTTGTGTGGGCAGATCAACCAACTGTTATATTAATGGGGTAATTAAGTATTATCAACTGAGTTGATAACATAAATTGGCCACCCTCCTATACTCCCCCACCAACACTGCACCACAGCTTCTTTAGAAACTTATCCCCTTTATACATTAATGCACAAAAAGAGAACATTCAGAGAAACTTGAGAGTGACAGAACCAATAATAAACAAATTTTCCATAGGAAACTATCATGAGCATGGTTGTTGTATTGCTATTAAGTTTACAGTAACCACTGACAATCCCATGAAACTGGCGCACAAAGTGTTCGAACAGGGATTTGAGAACATGCTCAAAACCGGGAATATATATAAGAATTATCTAATTACTGTTCAAAACCCATAAAAGCTCTCAAAATCAGCGCCAATTTTTCTGCTTTCATGGTCATGAATGATCGTTCTGTTGTCCCTGAAACTTTAAACCTGTATAATAGACGTATTCCTAATTTTAATTTCTCTCAATCCGTAAAATAAAGTTGGAGAAAGGAAAAAGTGTAAAAAGCAGTAAGTTTAAATTCGTCTGTCTCTTTGAGGCAGGCATTATTCAGCTCTCTTTGAGAAACATATTCGATCACCTTTAGAAAAAAACTTGTAATTTCAGCATTTGCAATCTTTTCCGAAATATTTTCAAGGTGGAGGCTTTTTCTCAAAAGTACCCTCTTGTTTCAATAGTAACTAAATATAAGCTAGTCTCAGTGCTATATCCTTTCCAATGTTTTGCACTTACATTTGACAGATTTAACAGCTTGTTTCCTTGCCACGTGCAACGAACAGCTCTGAACATTCACGAGGTAAATTCTGGGAAATATATCCTACAACACTCAACTGAAATCCCAAAGGAGTTTCTTCCACAACAGAGCGCTCACCTTACTTAGGTTCTACGTCGCCATCACGGTTGTTGTTATTTTTTTGCCCATCGTTAAGTAGGTTTACATGAAGTAATTAATTCAAATGAGCAAACCGCTGACTAATTCCCAATACTTTTCATCCAGATGACAAATATGGCCGCTGAAATTAAACAGGTTGTGTGGTAAAATTTTGCAAACCGATCTATTTCATTTTCTCTGCATAATGGGTCGAATGAGTAGATATAAGAAGATAAAATCGTGTGACCCATTTTATAAAGGACCGAAGAAGGAAAGCAAAGCAACCAGGTGAGCGATCTCGAGGAGTGCGTGATACAAATGTGCTCATGGCTCTAACGCACTTACACCATATTGATATAATACTTAAAGTTACGTGTAATATTTAAATCATTTGGAACTCTTTGAAGATCTATGAAACTTATTTTCTTATGACTATTCTTATTACGTACAGGATTGGTAAATTAGTTCAGTATAAGGAGTATTTTATTGTTAATAATCGCTTTGGCTGGGATATAAACAGAACTACACAATTGATTTCGATTTGAATGACACATTAATATTTCCGTAGTGCTAAGTCGCTGGCAAAGAAAGAAAAACTTGGTGAACAAGGAATGCCAAGAGCTGCAAAGGATCTCATGAAAAGACAGCTAGTAATGAAGAAAACGGCTGTAAAGAAGAGAACTGTAAGAAAGCAAAAGAAAACAGGTAAATGTGAGGTACATACTGTCACTATCTAGTACAGGTGGCATTCAAGGATCAGATTATAGTAGAAAGTATCATATTTCAGGGCCTTATTCAGGGAAGATGAACAGAAAAGGGCATATACCTTAAAAGCCTGAAAAATTATTTCTTCCACAGTTTGCAAGCCTCCTAGATATTAGTTGGGCACTACTACAAAATGAGCCATTGAGCCATATGATGGGAGCAAGGCAAATTCAGGAAACTCTTTGTTATCATACCATTGAATGGTATAAGACAAGTTTGCCTCATATCTAGCATGTAGGGTATGTAGCTTGATTTTAGGTTTAGAATTTTCTTTAAGTTTCCCACAAATGTTGTGAAAACCAAGGGATATAATAACTGTATAGTTTCCAGTCCTGGCATGTTATTTGGCAAATTACATGGGGTCTATATTAATCCAGCCATGCACTTGTTATTGTTTGCCTTCTTTCTACTTTCAAACTTATCAACAGCCCTGGGATAGATCAATGTTTACAAATTTTTTAATCTTAACCCTTTGCACCCTAACATCAGTTTCCATATTCCCCTACTCTTCTCTATACATTTCCTTTGGTATTGAAAAGGAGAATTCATGTAACGATCAAAGCTTCTTCTCATTGTGGGTCGGTGATCATTACCTTTCCTTTCATGACCTTATTTAAGGAATGATTCAGCAGTATTACTGTAGGGAGAAATAAGGTGCTGGTCACTTTGGGGGCCAGTTATTTAGACAAAATTTAGCTGTTGTTTAACAAAACAGCTTTCTAAACTTTCTTGAATTTAGCTAAATCTTTTATCTTAACATTCATTTTTGCAAACAGAGTCAAGAGGGCTGAAATCTAGCAGTACAAGGACATTTACTTAATGAAAACAACCTTGATGTAGAGAATACATTAGGCCCACTACTTGGGTAAAAGTTTGGTTTGGGTTAGATCTCATGTGAATAACTGGCCCTTAGGGTTTAAAGGGTTACTTGTATTGTTTAAGTCACCAATTAATCTTTTTTCAGTTATTGACTGAGCTCAAAAGTACAGTTTTCTTTACTACTTAACTTTACATGTGTATCGCCCTTAATATTTTTTAGCCCAATCAGAAATGAAAAAGTTTCAAAGAATACCTGGAGAAAGCAAGAAAGAGTACTTTAATAGGATTGACCAAGAGGCCACTCAAGAGGTTGCAGAGGCTTTGAAAGCATCAAGGAAGATGAGAGATGCAAGAAAAAAGTAGGTCATTTTCCCTTTCTTATGCAAGTGTTCATTATGTTTTACAAGGGTTTAAATTTCAAAGGATAGAATTGTGACTGGTTAAAAAGATGGGTGCACCATGATCATGCTGCTTGCTGGTTTATAAATGATGCTGGGCTCAAATCAAATTATCTTGTTGTTAAAAGCCCCAAGCAAGTCATATTTCAATTCAGTACCAAATGACTTACATGACTGTATGACATTTCCCATATTTTTCTTGTCTGTAATAATCTTGGTTTTCAGCATGTAGTTACACTGTCTAATAACTCTATGAAGCTTTTTTCAAATCGAGTTTTTGACTTCTTGAATTTTAAATAGTCCTAGGGGTAAACCTCATTGCATTATCCCTCAGTCACCCTTATGATGATTTCCACTTGAATTTCTTACCTTAAATTTTAACAGTAGTCAAAAGACTCATTTAAACTTTTTTAGTTTCAATCTAAAAAATTTGGAACTCTTTTTTGGTTTGATTCCTGTTTTCCTTTGGCATTTTAGGCATCTCAAAGACAGAAAGGAAAAGATGAAAGAAAAGAAAAGGTTGTCACAGGAAAATGCCAGCTTTGACCTAACGAAAGGTATATTTTACATGCTGACAAACCCACAAGGACCTTTTTGCCCTGCTGTACTTAAAGGGGAATACTCAGTTGTTAAAGAACATAGAGATTTAAATGGGAAACCTTGTTAAATCCAGTTGCATTGATTTTAAATCAGACTTCAAAAAGAGTCTAACAGGACAGACTGACAACTTCTAAAAAAACCTTCACAGTTATTCTCATCATGCCTATGAAGCATACAAATGTTAGGTGTCATTCAGATGGTAATATTTCACCTCACCCAAAGGCTGCAGCCCCCTGACCTGTATGCTTATGCAACCAGTTTCATCAATCTTTCGATTCTTCCTTTAATTAATATCCATACATTATCTGGCAAACAGGTGATGACAATAATCAAACTTATCAGGTAGAAGTTATCATCTTGATCTAGCACCAAATTCTCATAACTAATTTACAAGGAAGTGTGTATCAGCTAGAGGGGAGAGTTAACAATAAAATATTGGGAGTTAAGATTACATGAAGCTTTGTTTTGTAAAAGCTTGGCCTGATAAACTGCCACTCTTTTGGAAGAGAGTCAGAGCCTGTATTTCCCCAAGAGAAATGAAGAAACAAAGATTGGGTTTGAGAGACTGGTAACAATCCATACCATGCAATTAACACCTGTGCTGAGGACTCAGGGTAATGCCTGCTTGTTTGATTTATCATTGCTTTGTTTTCAGATAATGTACGGTTTGGAGATGTTGTTATGCAGCCTCCCTCCATAACAGCAAAGCCAAGAAAAGCTGCAGAAGCAAACAAGGTGTGTAGGGGTACTAGTCCTGTCCAGTTTAGGCTTGATTATTCTAGTTTAGTCTAGGCTAGCCTAGTCTAGGGGACTCGTAGCTAGTGTAGTCTCAGCTAATCTGGTCTATTATAGCCATGTCAAAGCTCTTTTAGTCCTACACTGTTTGGTCTTCTCTGGCCTAGTGTACTCGTATCTAATCTGGACTCCTCTGGTTTGGTCTCATTGAGTCAAGTCTAGAGCCTTCATAGTTATTCTCATTGTTGTCCAGTTTTGTCTAATTTCGCGTTGACAAGGGGTTAACTCACAAATTACCAGCTTTTTGATATTTGCTATAATGAAACTTTACATGAAGTTCACACTAGTATGGACTAGTACATATCTTGCTCTCGCCAAGAGAGAATGCTTACTTGGAACATCAACTTTAGAAACTCTTTACTGGGGCCAATTTACAAAACTCAGTTGACAAAACAGAATTCTCATGTAATATGGAATTTATTCCCTTTACATTTAACGATTACTTGCCAAAGGCAAAGTGATTATTGTTGGATAATCCTCTCAACAATTTTCAACAATATTCACTTTGCATTTGGCAAATAATTGTGCACTATTCTGTTTTGCAGTTGATTCTTTGTTGCATGTCCTAAAAAAAATTATCGTGAACATGGAGACCATTGCATTTTCTTCTATCTTTGGTCATCACTGAACTTTGCATTTATTTGATTGTTTTCTGTCCTAGGGATCAAAGGCGCTGTTGTTGCACTCACTAATCCCACAGAATACAAAAGACACAAATGTGCAGAATAGGACTCCAGATAATTCTGGGATTCCCAAAACCAAAAAACGTAAGCACATGTCAGCTCTTGAGCAAGAAAAAGCTGACAAGGAGAGAGAACATGCCATCATGGCCTACAGGATGATACGGAAACAACGTCTTCAAGAAAAGGAAGAAATCGTGTGAAACATTAGAGAAGAGGTGCGGACACCTCAGGTACATTACCCTGAAGCAGGATGTCTTTTTTTTCGCAGACAATTATGGTCCGCACTGACCTTTTAAGATGATCATACAAGATGTATTGGGAAATAAGAATATGACAGAAAGAATGGTTGTCTGTAACCAGAGAGATGCACTTATGGTTTATTTGAGGCTGGTGTCACAAAGTTTACTTTCTCAAATGTGAGGTCACAGAACAGATGATTAATGGTGTTTAAGTCAGTGTGGTTGTTCACTGACAGTGGTGAAAAAAGAAAAAAGCGGAAATTAAAAATTCAGTCATTTTGCCTTGAATTGAATCTTTCTTGGACAATCTACATGAAGCTGTGTAGATTTGCCCAAAGTTAATGTGTGCAGAGATCAAGATCAGTAAGGCAAGCAAAAACATTGTATCCAGACATGACGAGAAAGAGTGCTGTCGAGCTACTTAAATGATATGTATATCAACTACATAAAAAACAATTTACCTTCACAAAGAGTATTATAGATGAAAGGAAATATTTTGATCTCATTGGTGTCTTTCTGTTATATGTTTGTTAGAGATTAAAAATTTTAATGCTTGATGACAATGGCGATTTGCTTGGGTATATAGAAAGCATATTGAGTGGTGAGCTGTACAGAAGGCAAAAAGGTGTAGTGCTTCAACCTTTGGTAACCATAGTGACTAGTAAAAACTTTGGTGACCAAATTTGTAGAGTAATGTAGACAATTTAGTTGATACATAGTTTTATTTGAAACAGAGTTTGCATATCACTCTTGACTACTAGCTGATAGAAATCCATCCCAGAAATTACCTTTTTCAAAGCCCTACTAATTTAACTTGACTGATTTAGAAGCAGTTTTGTCAATATAGAATAATTTGTTACTTGGGTCCTCATTCGGGTTATAACCAAGCCCCAGTCCCCTCCGATTCCTGCTGAAATTCATGGCAGACTCATACTGCTGTTCCAGTCCCTTGGTAAGGGAATCTTCAGTAGCTTTAGTCATGCAATGGCGACTAGACTTTGAGCTTAGAGTAGTTCCAGATGGCTCCGTTGAGGGTTTATTCTTGTAGGCACCCATCAAGCGGAGAAATTTGTCCCTCCGTTCGTCACTTCCAAACTGAGTCCTACCCCACTGGCCAAGCTGTCGAAGAACAAAAAAACAAAAAACTAATTTGATATTTTATGGTATAGGAAGCTTTCGGCTTCAGTTGTAAGAATTGACCTGTAATGGATAGAAAATCTTGCCATGCAATCTTATCTTAGGGCTTATCTTGCAGGGTTACATTGATTATTGCTGAGAAGTTAATTCTCCATTTCATTTAAAGTGGCTATTCACCAACTGTGAATCTCTCTGAACCTTCCACCTCACCCTCCCTCAATTTCCTTTGCTCCAAGCAAAATGCCACACTTTTGGTCTCTCCAGGCCTTTCTCTCATATTAAGGCCCAGTCATCCTTTGAAGACAACATTGGTAATGTTTCTCAAACATGATATTTCATCTCAAAGAACTTCCCTTGCTTTTTGTTTTTAACCTGAAACATTGTCTTAATGTGATTTACCTGTGATGAAGATTTTTCATCTGATTTTCCAATTTCTTTTCCATTTCCTTGGTTAGTTTCAGAAGGGTCATCGTTTTCTTCACATTTGGCCTTTTTCTTTTTTTTTTCTTTTCCTCTAAATCTAATTCTTGTCCAACAGTTTCCTCATCTGAATGGTTTCGTTTGGTCTTTCCTTCCACTTTAGTTTGAGAGTCTTGTTCTCTTTCTTCCTTCTCTGCCTTCTTTTTCTTAGCCTTGTGTCTTCCCTCCTTAACTTCAACATCATTGATTGTCCTTTTTTTCGTATTGCTTCTAGATTCCTCATCCATGTCCTCCATGTCTGAAGTTTCTTTAGCTTCAATTTCTTTCTTCTTTTTCTTTCGATCGCATTTCAACTTTCTCTCGATATCCACATCATTGGTATCAAGTTTTGATTCTTCCTTTTCGAGATCCATTTCTACTGCCACTAATTTCTCCTTTTTTCGCTTGGGTTTTTTTCTTTCTTCAGTGTTATCCTCCTCTATGTTGCCTTTTGACCCTGCTTTTGAGCCTTCGCTCGCAAATTTTGTCTCAGAAATTCCCTCTTTCTCTTTTGATTTCAACTTCTTCTTTTTCTTGTTTTTTCCTTCTTCCATTTCTTCAGCTTTATCACCCCTGTCTAAAAGGTGTTTTGACTCTTCAACTGAGATTTTGCAATCAACTTTTGTTTCTGAGATTTCTTCTTCTCCTTTTGATGTCTTTTTCTTTCTCTCATGGTTTCCCTCTTCCTTTTCATCAGTTTCATCATCTTCTTTAATGTGTTTTGACACTGAATCTAAGACTTTGCTTTCAGCTTTAATTTCTGAGCTATTCCCTTCTCCTTTCAATTTTTTCTTCTTTTCCTTGTGTCTTCTCTCTTCTCTTTCTTCACCTTTATCTTCCTCTGAGTTACCTATCAACACTGCATTCAAGACCTCGCTTTCAGCTCTTGCTTTGGAGACTTTCTCCTCCCCGTTAGATTTCTTTTTCTTTTCCTTGTTTTTTCTCTCTTTCCTTTCTTTACCTTTCTCTTTCTCAGTTACATGGTCTTTTGACTCCTCATCCGAGACTTCACTTTCACCTTTTATTTTGCAGACTTTTTCCTTCTCTTTTGATTTCCTCTTCTTTTCCTTGTATTTTCTCTTTTCTATTTCTTCCTCTTTGCATTCCTCTAAATTGCATTTCAACCCTTCTCCTTCACCTTTTGTTTTGGAGATTTCCTCGTCCTCTTTTGATTTCTTCTTCTTTTTCTTTTTCATTCCATCATCTCTTTCTTCAGCTTTATCTTCCTTTAAATTATGTTTTGATTCCTTCTTTGATACTTCACCTTCAGTTTTCATTTTGGATATTTGGTCTTCCCCCTTCGATTTCCTCTTCTTTTTCTTAAGCTTCTTCTCCTCTCTCTCTCCTGGTTTGTCTTCATCTTCCTCTAGACACCTGCCTTCAGCTTTTATGGCCAGTTCACTCATGAAATTGCTGCCCCTGCAACAGAAAAAGTAAGTATAACAAACTTTCATCTTTGTGACAGGTCAAATATAGCAAACTTAAAACCAGAAAGTATGTTATTGCACAAGAAACTCAAAGAGTTTGTAGATAGTAACTAGGTACATATAAAAAGGTAGAGTCTCACAAGCCCAGCTTTTTCATATCTAGTTACCAGAGCTTATTTATTTTTCAAAACTAAAGCAACTGAGAAGAAAGCTATTCCCCCTCCCCTGAGGGGATGATAGTCCATTGAAAATTACCCATCCCACCCTGTCCTTTCTTTTGGGTTACCTGTACTATTAGTGGGAGGATAGCACACATTTTTCCTCTGGAGTGTACCAGATTAGCCTCTAACTTAAATCAAGGGATATGTGTTTATGATCATTAATTTACTCTTTTTTCGAACTGACACACCAATGGCAAACAGCTGTCTGTAGATTATACCTTGGACAATATCTACATGGGGCATTTATTTATTTTTTCAGTTCACTCTCACAGTTTCTCCTTCCCTCAAGGTGTATGAATTGGAACCAGCCAACTTTCCTGAAGACATGATGAAGCTCTGAGGGGTTATCATGTTTGCTCTTATAACCCCGTGTAGGTTTATAACTTCTAGAGCCATCAAATGGAATGCAGTTGAAGGAGGGTCTCAATGGGGTTAATTGTTAGATGTAAAATGACCAAAAAAATCAGCCATCGAAAAACTTTTCTTTTAAACACAAAAGAAGGAAGTTAATCATTGAGGGTAAAATGGTCAAAATTTTAACCATTAACGGTAAAAGGTATCACCCCTCTGAGAACCTCTTGTAGAGGGGTCTAATCAGAGGGGGGACTATTGACAAGGAGAGAGGGGAGGCTTATTACAAAGGAGGGTTTGTTAAGAAGGGGAATGGGGTTTCACTGAGGCAGAGCATTCATTCAATACCAATTCAGGGTAGCATCGCATCCTAAGGGAGTAACGATAATCCTAGTCGCTTCATACAACAGAGTCCTGGGTATGCCTTGATAAGGAAATAGGCCACTGGAGTCGTACGACTAGTACACTTCATCGACAACATGAACTTATTATCACTGACAAAAAATGAAGTAACCCGTGACCATTCCTTCCTTTGCAGTTGTTAAAGGCAATATCCTTACCGTTCAATTTTTTTCTCCGAAATTTTCTTACGGCAAGCAAGTAATAAGAAAGCGAGATTTTGACAGAAATGAAAAACTTTAGATGCGGCGTGGAAGAGGACACGTGCTGAGAGTCACAAGCAAGTTTACAGACCTAATGTTGAACGAAGAGCCTTAAGTTTGAGGTACAGAAAATCATCGATAAAAAATCAAATCATTTCAAAAGTGAGGAATTTACCTTGTAGAAAACTGAGCTGTGTTCCAACACAATCCTCTTTGGAAAACTGCACTGTTGTCACACGAGTTTCGAATGGGTTTATGAAGCGTAGAGAATGGGGACGAGGATGGTGAAACTTTCCCCTCCCCTAAGTAAGTAAGTAAATTGCTCGCTTTGTATAGTATACGAAAGGACTATGGGGCTGTGGATATTTTTTCTGAGATTGTTAATTCCTGATTACGGATCTTTTGATGTAAAGTGAGGTTGGGATGTCACACTGCATGCTCTGAATCCAATCCAGCTGACTACTGCTCGATATGATAATTTAGTTTGATAATGTAAATTGGCCACCGTAAAGAGTTACAAAGCCGACGTTTCAAGCGTCAGCCCTTCGTCAGGGCGAATATCATCCTTCTAGTTCTTTCACTCAAAAGTGGGTAACGCCAATCCAACAATCTGCTCAAAGCTTACTGTACATAAAGAAACCCTGTTCAAAACCATACCCAGTTGTGCCATATGAAGAAGAGTTTCAACCCTTCTCCCTTCCCCCGACCGGGAAAAAAATCATATTTTTAACATGCCGTGCGTTGTAATACCAAATCCACAATAACCAATCAGAGTCGCGGAAATACAACAAAGAGCCAACAGCTGATTAGTTTTATTCTTTACAAACTGCTTGATAAGTAAGTACAGGTAAGTTTTATATAAATTTATCTTATATAAAGAATACTTATTATTACAATCAAGAATATACTAAAGAGTGCACAGCACTTTGCTACTGATAATCTAATTCAATTTCTTTTATCCTATTAATATCATTAGAGAATTATACTTAGTAATATAAGTTGAGTATCAAACTGATCCATATAGCGATGCAATCCCTTCGCATTTGTTCAATTGCAAGAATTTTATTCAACACCAAGCATAAATGAAAAATAATATTTACACTGCTATCTGGATATCAAAAACTAAAATAAAGCATGTGTGTTTAAGAACAGAGTTGATCTTCGCCACTCTCTATAGTTCAGTCTTAAGAGGAGCCAGGGCTCATTCCCGACTAGCGGCTGTTTATCGAGCCCATGGAATCATACAGCAACACAGCGGTCAAACGTTCGGCATGCGCAATGAATAAATCGTAGCCAGCCGTGCGCTCATTTCCTGCGCAAAATTTTAAGGGAAAACAGAAAAATCCACATGTTCCAAGCAAAAAAATACCTGAAATGTTCGAATCTGTGAAAGGAAACTGCAGTAGCGAATTTGGGGGAAGGAAACCTTACGTCTTCTTGAACACAGAGTACATCTTATCAAGGGTTTTCTGTCGGTTTACCATCTTGTCTGAACTCTACCAAAAAAATTAAATATTAGCTGCCTGAAACCACCAAGCTGAGCCGAAATTCTAACTGCGTATTAGCAGTCTAAACGTTCGCAATAGCGCAGACTTTTGACCGCTGTGATTTCTACAGTAAGTGTGTAAAATAGCTGAAACTCGTCTAACCACGGGCTCACATCACAAACACCACTGGGAATGAGTCCTTGCGCAGCCATCAAAATAACACTTACGTTACATTGCTGACGCTTATCTTCAGAATGACGAATTCTCACGAATAATAATGTAAATGCATCTACAAGTATTATGATCATGATCTGTAAGCTATTAACCATTAATACTCTTTAATGGTTTTCAAGCAAATGTAGTTTTTGCAAAATACTCCTAATTCAAAAATGACGCATACTCAATATACAAGCAATGATTATGGATACCGAGAAACTGAGAACATTAACAGGACTCTTCCTTACGAAAAAATATAGCCTAAATAAATGCCTAATTTAGCCAAAAATAAAAATATCACATTCTTCTTTTTTCGAATAACTGCGCCCTTTCGCTTCCTTCAAAATCCCCCTATATCAATTTATCTGCGAGAGAGGTTTTCTATTCAGTGTCAAATAAATTATTCAATTTCGCGGTACGTATATGTTTATTTTTACGAACTGTTTTTTTTTTTTTCTAGGCGCTTTTTCTTGGTGCTTTTTTCCGTTCTCAATGCCGGTTACACGTTTTAGCCGCGATTTCTGTCTGGTTTAAGCTGATTTGTTTTTATTGGATTGTGATTGGCCAGACGCCACCCTGGTTAACCTATGGCACTGATATAAAAAACCACTGATCTCCATTAATAGGTACATAATTTTCATATAAATGTAGTCTTGGAACCTGCCACTACACTGCTTATTTAAGTAGTTTCAAGTCCAACAGCTTATTTAAGGCGAATCCTCATCATGATTTTTGGACAATGACAGCCTTCGCAGTCCAACGAAGTTCCTTTTCTTGGAATCTCTCATTGCTTTGAGGGTGATTTTCATTTCTAAAATTAGACGACGTGAGTGTATGATTAATGTTGTCTGTATAGTCTATAGAAAGGAGCCTGATAGCAACCTCAGAGGGGGCAGGGAAATGGAAAAAAGAGGGACCCTGGAGACAATGTTAGACAATTCTCAATTTTCCTTTTTTTCTTGTTTTGTTTTGTTTTTTTTTTAAACATTAACCTAAACCACAGACGCCATCCTGGTTAATCTATGGCACTGATATAAAAAACCGCTGATCACCCTTATAAGTAGATAATTTTCCTATAAATGTAGTCTTGGAACCTGCCACTACACTGCTTTTACTACCTGCTTCTACACTTAACAGCCTGCTTAAGGCGAATCCTCATCCTGATTTTTGGACATTGACAGGCTTCGCAGTCTACTGAAGCTCTTTTTCTTGGAATCTTTCATTGCTTTGAGCGTGGTTTTCATTTCTAAAAATTAGATGACGTGAGTGTATGATTAAAGTTGTTAGTATAGTCTACAGGAAGGGGCCTGATAGCAACCTCAGAGGGGGTGAGGAGATTAATTAGTAATTAGCACGCGTTTTATGAGGTTGTCCAATTACAGCATTCTGTTCGTGGAAACCTGTAGAGGGAGACATGTACTGAATAACCCGGATTCAACACGTTTGAAAATAGTGTCAACAAAATCAAGTCAAAGTCTTGCCTGTAAACTTCCTGAGAAAATAAATAAATCAGACAAAAAGTTTTTTTTTTCTTCCACGATCTGAGTAATATTTGTTTGATGTTTCTAAAAATTTGTCTTGATACAGGGCAGAGGAACCAACCTAAAACATATCCGTTTGTTAGCGTGCTAATGTCTTCTTAGGGAAATTACACCACATAAAATCGAAGTCTTTGAGCTCCCTGCTACCTTACTCGATCTATCGCAAAATACAAGAAAATTACTCCAACCTTCTTTGTCTTCATCCGTCATGGGTTGCGAAATGACTTTTGATAAACAGTCCATCCACATTCTTCTTTCATTTTCAGTATTCGCCATCATGACAAAATCCCGTTTAGGAGTTGTAAGAGTGAAGCAGTAGTCCTCGTCCTGATGCCTTCCTGACTTGACTCCCTCTTGGAGGGCAAAGCCTTCAGTGTTGGAGCCGATAATCAACTCGCCTTTGGTCAAAGCGTCCTGTTCAAAAAGTCACTATTTAGTTGAGGGAAAAGTCATTATTACTCGCCTGGGGTCGGGGGGGAGGGGGGTTGAAGGCCTTTTTGGGGGATCACGTGATTTTTAGTGCAAACGGAGAGGATCACTCGCCGCCAACATAGTATGAAGGGGAATTATAAAACATTGACTGCTAATCAACTGCCAATCAACTACCAATGTGGGAGGAATCACCAGAATATCACAGAACCTCATGGGGAGGATCTGGTAAATTCTCCGACCGGGCGATAAAGAAAGCCCAGTTTGGTCAACGTTGGAAGGGACGAAAAATCCTTCAAAGGTAGTGATGTGAAAAACTTTTAAGATAAACATGATAAACCACGCGAAAGAAATATTCCTCATGGATGGAATCAAGAAAAAGTTTAAGACTGAGTTTCGAAGACTTCAACCAGCCAATCAGAGCAAATGCAATTGTCTCGTTAACCAATCAGAACTCAGAGTAAATACAGGCAAACAAACGATAATGAAATTTGAGAAAACGCAAGTTATCAAGTAGATCGCATAGAATCTACTAGCTTTGCATCTGATTGGCTAAGGTAGCGGCGCTAGTCTTCTACACAAAGTACAGTTTGCTGTGGAGCAATCCTATGTTAAACACAACAATGCAATCCCGGATTACTTGCCACTCATTTGAAAACCTCACCGGATACCTGGACACGTACTCTTATCATGTACTATTGGTTATACGTACCATTGGTTCTTCGAAGTACAGAAGTCTTCTGCCATCAAGCGAAAACCACCTTTTCTTCCACGGTTCATCCTAGTAGAATGTAACATAACGAAAAACATTTTAAACGGATTTATTTGGCATCCATTTAGGAGTAATAAGCTCCGGCGGTCGTGAACGTTTACGGTCGTTTCGCTGTTTATTCTTTGAGCAAAACGACTTACGTTTGTGGCGAATCGACTTTCGATTTGGAGCAAAATGACCCGTAATTGATTAGCGAATCGACTTCGACTTAATACCGAACTCAAATTACCTAAATTGCTCATTTTTTATAAGACGTTACAAACAAAATTTGGATCAATATCAGTATCTGGGCAACAGCCCACCTACCCCTCCCCTAACCCAACATTAACCCAACAACAGTCAATTGATTAGTTATTTTGGGTTAGGGGAGGGGTAGGTGGGCAGTTGCCCAGATACTGATACTGATCCCAAAATTTAATGACTCGCTCCACTCTCACCCTTGGTCCTCTCTTAAACAAAAATCCTTGCATAATGAAGTCCCTGGTGAGTTCGTTCTGTAACTAAAGAAAAAAACAGCAGTGACAGTTATTATTCAATCCACAGGTTCAAATACGATTTACTTCAAATATTTAATTTGCAATCAGATTCCTTTACAGGTTCCACAAGCTCCTCCCCTCAAAAACAAATTTTTATGGTCAAATTATCACAAACATTGTTCTTCTTTTATCGCAACTATGTTTCATCAACCAAAAGTTTTTGGTTCGTTCCTTCTTAGCTTCTTGATAGTAGTGATTATGGTGACAAAATTGTCAGCCTTAGAGTCAGAAGAGGGGGTGGCGTGGCTGCGCGGTTAGGGCGCTAGACTTGTAATTTAGTGGTCCCGGGTTCAAGTCCTCCACCCTGCCCCTCACTGGATTTGCTTTCCGTCGCCACAAGTTCAACTCTTCAGCTGCGCTGTGTAAATAGCCAACTGGTCTGTCTCCTGCCAGTTGGGATTTTCAAGCACTTTATGTTTATTTCAGACATTGAAAAGCGCTATTGGATAGTAATAGAAACAGCGCAATATAAATAACGTATTACTATTAGTATATTATTATAAATTATAGGTGTTGAAAGTTATAGGTTACCTTACCTTTTCTTGGTCAACATCAGATTCATTGTATCCTAATAAATCAAGTTTTGCTTTCCTGATTGCCATGTACCATTGAACAACCTCCTAGAAAATTAAAAATAATCGTCGAAGTAAAAAAGAGAACATTATGCCAATACTCCTTACCTTTCTGCTCAATTACTGCACCCCAATTTAATTACCACCCTCTACCTACTTACTCTCCACAGTGCTGACCTGCATCATCTCAACCTCTTAAATTTAATACTGCTTTCTATTGCTCTATAATCACAAGGTTTGTACCCTTTTTCAGAAACAAATTTCAACAACTCTTTCTAGGACACAGATTTATTTTTGCAGGACTCCAAATTTCTTCTTAAACCTTTTCATCCCCAAGATTTCAAAATCAATTGTTCTTACTGTCTACATACATTTCTTAAATAATGTAAATTCTAAAAGCTTTACTGCTTGAGTTGAGCATATTTCCATGACTTTCCAGGACCTGTAGTCTTTGTCCAGGACTTTCCAGTCCTGGAAAATGTCAGAATGAAATTACAGGACTTTCTAGGTCAGGATGCATACAAACCCTGTCATTATAAGTTTTAAATAATGGAAATAAACTTATGTTTTGCAAAACATACCTGGCCATTTTCAGAGTACACAAAGTAATTCCTTGTCCGTCCTTTTGTGACATATGTTATCTGAAGACTATTTTCCTTGTTTGTTCTTTCTTCCGCGAAGGTGACGTTAATCTCAGTGATTTTCAAATTACTTTTTGGTTCCCTATCCTTAAAACAAATTTAGAGTGACAAGATAATCACATATGAACTCACAAAGTAGTTTAACTCCCAGAAGTGATCAACATAAAACTTCTCCTTACAATACCTATACATTCTTCAGCAAACAGGTAATGAGAATATTCAAACTTATCAGGTAGATGCTGCTATCTTGATCTAGCACCAAGTTCTCATAACTAATTTACAAGGAAATGTGTAGCAGCTACAGGGGAGAATTAACAATCAGATCTTGGGAGTTAAAGGGTTAATTACATAATTTCATTTAGCTACATTCCAAGACAACAATGATATTGTCACATGTTGGTCAGAGTATCTCTGTCCATAAATTATGATAAAGATATCATGTTTTAGAGGCAATAGAAATTCTTGCCCAATTTTTCCCATATCCAAGCATGACAACTAATATACCTGATCTCTAATGTAGTAAGCAAGTGAGTTGTCTGCTGCAGATAGAACAAAAAGTCTTAGGTTCCAACTGTTATCTTCTTTTCCTTTTTTTCTTAAATATCCTCTCAATGAGCCTGGAAACATAAATTACAATAAGTCAATTAATAAACATTAATTATCAATTTTGAAAATCAAAATCAGTAGGAGAAAAAAAAAGTTCATTTAATCTACAAACCAAGGAAAAATTACTAGCACAACATAAGAGAGTGCATGAATATAACTTTAATATATTCACAGCCAAAAGAGAGTGCATCAGTGTACAAGTTATTTGTACACACACACAGACAGATTGATTTACAGGGTTTTCTAAAGCTAGCCTCTCACTGTACCTGTTAAATAACTTGGCTCTGGTGCACCATCAATAAACTCTGTTCGTTCATATTTTGCTCTTATCCACTGCTCCCTGAGCACACTATGAATTTTCACAAAATTAAAAAAAGGAAAATGAATTAGGAGAGGAAAAAGATGGGAAATCATTTCAAAATTTTCTATGCCATATCAGGTATAAATTAAGAACAAATAAACCATGCTGCTTGGCATTTTCTTTTGAAGTTAACAACAAAAAGCAATGTTACATAAAGCATAAAACACAAATAGACTCCTACAACAGAATTGAGCTGTTCACAGTTCACAGTCACACTTTTATTGAATGCACAAGTACCAGTAAGGCACCTCCAGTTGCAAATATCCTTCTTACAAGAAGACCCTTCAGGTTTAACACATAAACTCCCAGTATTTGATTGTTAATTCTCTCCTCTAGCTGCTACACATTTCCTTGTAAATTAGTTGCAATAATTTGGTGCTAGATCAAACAACTTCTACCTGATAAGTTGGAGTGTTCTCATTGCCTGTTTGCTCAATAATATGGGGATATTATAGGAGGAAGTTACACATTCATCACTTCTGGGAGTTAAGAGTTAACAATTTGAAAATCTTAAACAATTATCTGTTCACTCACTGTAGTATTAATGTAGCCCCAAGTATTGACAATAAAAAAGTGTGTAATTCTAAACCATTGATTAAAAAGTGTACTTACTGTGCATCTGATGGCTTTGGTCGCCGATAGCAAAGAGGGACGTTCTTGGCCCATACAGCATTTCCCTTAGCATTACCATGCTCTTCCATGAACTAAGAAGAAGAAAAGAAAAAAACAGGAGCAAGAAAAAAAGATTATTATAGGAAATTGTTTGACTTAACACCAAGGGTGTCTGGTCCACAGTTTATTTACCTGCTGTACAATATCTCTCTCCACTCAGTTCTACAATACAATGTCAGACAAATATCAACGAGATTCCAAGACTGCTTGATCATTATTGAAACATTACTGGTGCTCTGACTGATAATATTTATAATTATTTGTAAACAGAATATTGTTAACTTAAAAAATGTCAGTACATAAAAAGTTGAACTGAAAGACATGCATCAATAAATGTATAAGAAAATAATTAAAATATTTTCTGATCTGCTGTATACTCGATAACAAGCTAACACATTTAAATTACCTGGTTGTTCAATTACTATTATGTCATTATTGAATTATTCAGACAATCTCCTCCCTTTTATCTTATTTTCCAAATTGTCTTAGTTAACCCTCTAACCCCCATGAGTGACCAAGACAGAATTTCTCCTTACTATATTTATACTATATCATGAAGACAAGTGATGAGAATGAAGAAAAATATCAATTATGGGATTACTAATTAATCCAATACCAAATTCTCCAGACTAACATGATGAGAATCATTTGACAGACAGTAAAGAGAATTAATAATGAGATCTTGGGAGTTAAAGGGTTAAGACAACAGTTGACAGTCACTGTGTTGCCAAATTCTTTTCTTTTTCACTCCACTTAAATAAATTGTGGTGATTTCCTTACATGTAAAATACTAAATTACAGTTAAAATTTTTTGGGCATGTTGTTGGGTTGTTTGGTTGTTTTTTTTTTGTTTTAGTATCAGTCTACAGACTTGCTTTATTACAATAAATGCCTACCTGGTGATACCTAGTCTCCTTTGGAGCCATTCTTTGGATTTCATGCAATGTTTCCTCCAAAAGAATTGTGTGACATCCAAAGAATGAATGGCTGAAAAGGAGACTAGGTGATACCAGGAAGTCACTTGAAAATTTCAGATGAAAAGCGATAAATTACTCCTACACCTGAAGATATAAGAGGATTAAATTTTATTGGTTGACGAACCGTTGACGATTTCTCCAATTTTTTTAACTGGGGGATTGTATATAGTTACTTCAAGAATTAAAAATAGGAAAGTATTTGTCAAATAAATAATTGGCAGTCAGCTTAAGGGTTTCAAAAAGAAAACATGAGGGGAATGTCAAATTTAGAACAAGTAGACTTATTAATAGTTTGACCCAGTAATATGAATATATTTCCTTTCAAATATCAATATTGATATTCTACATGTTGTTATCAACACATTTACTAATGTGCTGACAAGGAGAATTTGCTTGACAAGTCAAGAGCTTCTTTAGTTTGTGATCATTTCCTTTATTCTCCCAACCATTATGTTTGATTCAGCCCAGATATTGTAAGGAGAAATTAGATGCCACTCACTCTTAGGGGTTATAGGGTTAAAAAATGATAAATGTCAAATATGTTCATATTTCATATTAAAATATTTTATATAATTAGCTGGATCTTAGTTATGATCTAGAAAAGGACAGACACATACATGATATCACCATAAACAACATTTTTCTTGTGTATCATACAAAACAAATAATAATAATAAATAACTATAAAACAGGATTGAAATTTTTTAAACCTTAAAAAATACTGAATCACAACAAACAATTAACAAGCTATAAACAAATGTAGAATCCTCAGGAAACAGGCATTAGTAAATTATTTCTAGTAATATCTTTGTTACAATTATATCCTATAAATAGTATGTTAATTCTAAACTATGCAGTCACTTAGCTCTAAGTTAAAATGAAAAAATATTTTTGCCGTTCAACTCTGGGCCTTTCTCTTTATCTTGATTAATTCTGATACATATAATTTTTTAGATTTTCTACATATTTGTCCGTATGATAAATGTCAAAGTACAGCTTATACGATTATCTTTGTTTCCTGTTGACTTGTCGTGCCAGTCATAATATGGAATTTAAACACAACCGTTTTGTATTTATTTGTTGTTCATAATAGCTGTTATATTGAATATTTATATCGGAAAACTCAGTAAGATAATTATAGACGTCAATTGAACTGTAATCAATATAAATGGTCACGTTAATTTTGCATTGTAAACATTTCTGATAAATTACAGCTGAGCAAGGAAATGAATAGGAAACTCTTTGAAATATCTCATCACTGCTTATGCAATGGATGATTTTCCTGGCAGAGATAATTAAGGCGGAATACAGCGAAAAAATCAAGGTGGTGACCTTGTTGATAAAGATTCGAACTGAGTATTTTCCAGGTTTTAGGCGTAAATCCTATGTATGTGTTAGTGTTGATTTCAGAAACTCATGGCTAAACCTGACAAAAAAATTGAATTAAGCCTTTTCATAATTTACTAATAAAGTCAAATGATCGGAGAAGATGGTTTAGAGCAGTGATATCTGAGAACACACGGTGTATTGTAAGATTTTAAGAGGAATCTTAGCGCTTTGACGCACTGAAAGTCGCACACACCACGACTAATATCGAGTTTACCTTCAATTTTTCATCGGTCCAAGTATCAAGCCTCAGACTCTTGACCACAGAGAGCTGAGGTCCTAAATTCCGATGAATTCCACTGCACGTGATACAAATGAACAGCCCTTTTGACGCCGATGACCATTCGGGATCTGCACGACAAAACATTACAGGAAGTTTCGAAGGGAATCAAACGAAAATTCGTAATAAATTTTCAGAGTGGGCCCTCTGGCGAAGTAGAATGACGACCTTAGCTTAAAATTCTTACTTGGAGCTCCACAATCCGCACACGTGTTATTTGAAGGCTGTTTCATCAACTCTAATATCGCCACTCTGTTCTTTTCCGTCATTTTGAATGCAGCGAATCCATCGCGTACCAACAGGGGGTGGGGAAAGTACTCGCATCATTTCCTCTAGTACCGTAATTCATTCCCATTCTTTGCGCAACATAAAGTCATTTGAAACCACATGGAACCACATGAAACCCACATTTGGAAACGAGCAGAAATAAGCTGATTGGACTTCTACGTGCGAATATGGAAAAAAATCGCACGTAGAGTTGGGATTATTTCGAATAGTTACGTTTTTGAAAGGTTTGTTTAATTATGAGGTTTAGTTCCGATAGTATAATGTTTTTACTATGTTGGTAAAATTAAACCATTGAGTGAATTCAAATAGCACAAATTCTTGAATGTTAGCTTAACTGCTATCGCCAGTTACCTCGTGAGTATTGCCATAAAAAGCTACACTGGTTATAACTTCCAAGTCAAAGTATACGTATAGTTAGAGACTAGTAGGTTTGGACCCTATGATTTTTCAACAACATCTTTCTTTTTAAAACATTTAAGTATGAGCTTTTCAGGCTCATAAAGTTGAAGAAGAAAAATTTTCCACGCCGAAGAAGAACTTGCAAATTCAGGTAACTTAACAAAGCCGGATGTTCGTCAAGGAAATTACGGAAGATAAAGGGAAATCGTACCCCAGCAAGTTTTTCTTAACGAGAGTCACGAACGAGTTTTCCTTTGCGAGAATAAATAACGAGCATCATTTCTTAAGGAGCAAAATTGGCAAAGAAAATTAGCCGCAGATTTGAGTAAAAGCACTTTCAGGAAATAATGGTCAAGGTACGGTTCAAAACAGAGTATGTGGCAAGGAACTCGATGCCACTGAAAAATTATCCGTTTTTCTTTAGCTTTGCCAGCAAAGGGGAACTGGTTTTGGCAGTTACACCGCAGATGAACAAATTTCTCCACCATATGGGCGCCTTAAGGGCCTGAAAGATTCCGTTGCTTAGCGAATAGAGAAGCATTGTTTACTCTGTCGTGACTTCAGCAGGAATGGTAGAAATCTGGTTCTCTGATGAACCGCGAAACAAGACCACGAAAGTTTGCAGTATTGCCCAAACTACGTCAATCGCTTAAACAAAACCACTTCCTTGACAGACAGATCTTTACAGACTACTAAACAAGGAAGTGTCATTGAAATGGGTTTTGTGTTGCTGTTCTGAGTGTGTGTACAATTTAAATGTAGATTTGGTGCTTACGTTAACTGTTATCCAGTTAGACTAATAGCTTATAAACCAACCCAAATGAAATTGAAATCCCTATTTATTGATATCGTGACCGTTGTCACGTGACAAGGCTTCGTGCGTAACGAAAGAAAACATTGCATGTTCAATAGCGCGAATCGGCATCTTAGAGCGCGATTCCACAAATACATCTCATTATATCATCAATCTGGATAATTTAGAAAGGCCTTTAGGATAAAAAAAAAAAAACAACTTTCTCATTCGTGATTGTCAAGTAATCGCATGATGTGAAATACATCCAAGGCAAATACGTAGTTTGTCTCTACGGTGATGCAAATAGTTGAATAATGCGGTGAACATTACCTGTAGAGTTTCGTCATTCCAGTTTCCCAGATCAATAGATTTGATCCTTGAATTTGTACCTCCAAAACTAGTGTGGACTTGAGCACAGTTTTGGCATAAGAATAATCCTTTCTTCAGACAAGTGAACCTAGGATCTGTAATGGGAAACCATATATGCTAATTTCGAAGCTTAAGCTCATTAGGAAGTGTCACATCGGTTCATTCTTCAGAGTAATTCTTGGTCTGAGCCCTATGAGTTGATCAGTTTGTCTGCTCAAATGCAGGGCTTCATTTACCTTCCTGTTGTAGAGCTTATAAAACTCCTCTTATTACAAAAGCGAAATGATGGTACTACGACGGAAAGAAACTAGCACCTCTAATTAACGACCTTAATTAGAGCACAGCTTTCGTCGAGGCACAGACGTTCAAAACAAATAGACATTTAGTCTGTTCGAAACCTTGCCGCCTTTATCTAGGGCTTCGTTCACAACATTTGCAAGAATAGGGTTCTGCGCAGCTACCCACGGCAGTTAATTGCCATTTGTATGGATACATTAGTGAACTCGTTAATAACACTAGGGAACATCTAACCATATCTCACTAAACTTGACACTGTTACCTTGCTTGCTGCAGTCCGCACAGACATCATTTCCATTTTCCTGTTTTAGCGCCACTATAGCAGTTTTAGCCTTTTCATTTTGTCTCTTTATCGAGGACATTTTTTTTAAGCCTTTGCTTAAAGTAAACTTGCTAGCCAGTTAACTCATTGCTCAGTCATGCAAGGGCGATAATTATATTCTGGCGAACCGAACATTTGTCCGTCAGTAAATCATTCGTCGACAAATTATTTGCTTCGGGTCGACAACAACAAGCCAAAATCTCGTATCACGTGAGCTACATGTCTAGTCTGTTTCAGTTAAAATCGCATTATCATAACGTTAAAGGGAAAAAATGACACGGGCCCGAAAAGGAAGCTCGGAAATCAAAACCGAAAAACGATCATAAATCTTTCGTGCACTTCAAAAGTTTTATCTTCACGGAAGCGCAAGCACCTCTCACATGATTCGCTAATTCACAGAGGGCCTTGCTTGGTGAGGTTAACTTTCGACACAGCTTTAGCTAGTAAAATAAACATTCCTCTTCGAACTTTCGAAAACGGAATACCCATGTACTTTGAAATATTAATTAAACTTTACTCAGTGAACCTTGAGAGCTATGAAAAAAGCCATTTCTATTTGGTTTCTTCGATTAAAACGGATATAAATAGCTTATTATTCATCATTTTCCCATTTTACTGAAAACGAAAATTTCGATTTATTATACGACTGAGAACTATCATTTCGAAAATTGGCACATTAGCCTTTCATCAGTAGAAAGGAACGTCAGTAATAAGTATACTTTTGCTTGCAGCGTGATTGTTTTTATTTTTTCAAGGTTGTCCCCTTACGATACTTTCGGGAGTCCCGTGGAGTTCTTCAACACGGAAGTAAACAAAAAAAGTAGGGATTCCTCCCGGATATATTCATTGGAAAACGAGTGACAATCATGGTTCGAACCCTTTGCAAGGGTATTTTTCCTCTTCTGTGATTCTAATTTCAATTTCACAATTGCTTCAATAGTGTATCTAACCATTGCTAACTGCAATGATTTCTCCTTTACCAAAATATCTATTACGAATGTAGGAATACGGAGGGGGGAGGAGGGGGGGGGCTATATCGAGAGATGATAAAGGGTTACGTCATAGTGTTTTTAGTCTTTTCTCTGCGGGTACAAAAGTACAAAAAATAAAAAGATGACTACAAACCGAATAAAAACAAAGATAGCTCAGGACGAAGAGGATTAAACTGGATTGCAAATGTGTATCAGTGATGAAGACACGGGCCTTCGAGCTCACTAACTACGAATGCGAGTGTTGGTGATGCAATGGAAGGCAAAGTAACTCAGATCGACTTTGATTTCCTTATTAACATACCGAGGAGAAACTCTGCTCTCATCAAGTGAATGACTTCTTCTCGTGTCGTCCCCATACATTTATGAACAGAATATTTCAGAAACTGGACAACAAGGCAATGTTCCTCTTTTTCAAAGTCCACTAAGAACAGGGTTGTTGTAACCTTTAGGTATCCTTGCGCGCTTAAATGGCAACTGTAATAACATTCGATTTCATGCTGAAATCTATGTTCCGGACATTCGGCCTGTCACATGATAAAAACGGAGTGTGAAAAGATCGTGTCCTTGTATCCGACATCTCGGAAGTTCTGTGACTCTGCAAGTGCAGAGATCGAGAAGACAAAACATGTTTGATGAATTCTCTCATAGCTTCCATGACTGATTACAAGTTTTTATCCGAGTTCTGAGTAGGTCTGTAGGGATACTTGTGATGACGAATGTAACTGGTTGCCTGAGTAAGCTGTTGTTTCACACTCTGAGTTACTTGCATCTCCAGTGTAACCTCTTTGAATACTTCGCTGACGGAAATCTATCATCAAATAAGAAAAAAAAAATTTTAAGTGAAATCTTCTATGTCTAGACACGGTAACTTTAAAATGGTGCATGTACAGTGTCCTACACAAGTACAGCCAGCTACTATGCGTAATGATGGATCTGAACAAATCACTCAATTTAGTAGTTTCCTCTGACTCTCTTTTTCATTCGGCAAGTCCTCTTATTTATTTTTCCGCTTGATTTTGCTATTTCCTATTTCTCAAATTTTATACATTTTCATAAGCTTAAATAGCTTTTCAGTTGACGTGAACCACCTTGCAGAGATACGCTCATTCTAGTTGTTTGTTTAATGTATCTATTAAGGGTAATTTGGTGCTATCAACTGAGTTGAAAACGTAAATTGGCCACCGTAAAGAGTTTAAAGGCTGACGTTTCGAGCGTTAGCCCTTCGTCAGAGCCAATCGCTGTGGCCAGTTTACGTTTTCAGCTTAGTTGATAACACTAAATTACCCTGTTATACTCTCCCACCGATGCAGCACCACAGTTTCTCTAGAAATTTATTCCCTTTAATGTATCTATAGCTTAGTAAGTCATTGCAGTTGTTATTGTTGTCGTTTTTTTCTGATCATTTCACTTAGGAGCGCAGCACAAGGATTTTATAGACATAAACTTATAAGAAAAACCTGATTTCATTGTCATGAATAGGACAGAAACGCTTTTAAGCTAACCTCAACAAATCCCAATTTGCGGAAAAGTGCTGAACTTGGTTCGTTACCGCAACCAATCTTCGCAACGTATTTTTTTACTCCTAGGCAGGTAACACCTAAAATTCATGTAGGAGAGATATAATCAATATCCTGATAATGATGAAACAAACTCAAAATAAGTATACTAACAGCTGGTCCTTGTGGGAGATAAGGAAGCCCAATGATCAGAAACCATGACCACAGATAGATAGATGCGGATAGGGAGTTCTGCAGTGCCTTTTTAGGGGTGTTTTCTATCATGTCACACCTTGTTTGGAGTTTTCCAGGCTGGTTACATGGATAAATACAAGCTTGAAGTGGAAAAAACTTGCTGGAAACCTTACTGAAGGTAATCATGAATCTGGGTGTTCCACAAAATGAGTTGGACAGTTACCATAGTTCATCATGGCTAATAGGGCTTCTCTTCCAAGTCCACATCTTCTACAAGATGGTTCTGTAAAGCACATGGAAGTGGATTACTGGTGAAACATGTTCAGCGAAAGAAATTGCTTCAGATTGTATAAGCACTGAATTTGAGGTAGCCACTTGTTTCAAAGTGAGTGAAGATATGTACTTATGTTCAAATCTCCCGCAAAGCAATAAATAAGGTTGAGTCGTCTTGCATGGCTGTAATTTTCACCCTTTTCTTCTCAGAGTTATGTAATGAATAAGAGAAAAGGGATGCTCTTGCTATACTAAAAGGAAATGCAAACAAAGCTAAGGAAACTAAATCTCTGATCCTTCGAGTAATTCTGAGTCAGGGAGTTATTTTGTTGATTAGAGGCCTGGAGGAGATCGTAAGTCAAAAAAACCACAGTAAATTATACCTGCTATCATAATTTCTATCTCTGAAACTTCTTGCTGGCTGTCATTGAAGAACAAATTGACATCACCAGCCATACATTCTTTAAACAAAAACATCCATTTATGCTTTAGTACACAATCAAACATGTATTGCCAACAAAATGTGCTTTAGATACTTATAGCCAAACCTTATTTTACATGAGTACCCTTTTCATCACGACAAAAAAAAAACATAATTTACTGAAGGCTAAAGCTCACCATATAAATTTGTTGATTAAATATTATCGGGATATAATGATATGCACATATTGATTGAGACAAAGAAACAGACAGGAAAATATATGGCTCGAGACTGTGAGTGGTGAAGAGAATACGGCTGTACTTTAGTACAGCAGTATTCTGTATTATTCTGTACTACAGCTGCTGTACTATTGTACAGCAGCCCATTAAGCCCTAATACCACTGACCGGCTCAGAAAGATGCCTGCCATTTCCAGCCATGTTGTTTTGAATTATTCATAAGTTCTTCCAACTTTGTGACTTATTAATTGCTTATCTTTCATGTAAGTACACTTGTTACATTTGTAACTAGCTCTAAGGACATTCTTTAGACTTCCCTTGCTGTATTTAGAACTAGCTTATTTACATTTTTCACTCATCTGTAGGACTCCCTAATTGCTTTAGCTTATCAAACAAGTCAAAACAAGAAGGTTGTATCTTTGAGCTTCATGGACTCCATACTTCATGACAAAAGACCACACATTTTCCTGTGCAGCCTGGCTGAATCAGTTTGACATGGTTTTCTTTGAATGTTATCACAGGAAGAGTTTTCCTTATTTTTGGGGAACTAAATTATGTAATAATTATGAACAGTTTACAAACCTATTTCTGTAACTTCTGGATGGACCCATTTGTTTCTGTCCAAGATGATAAATGTACACTCTGAATTGTTAAAAATATATATATATATATATATATAAATGAATAAGTACCCAATTATCAAAATTTGAATCCAGTATCTGCATCAAATGGTTGTACAATTTCATTGTACACTAACCACAGGTGGCCCAAGCTCGTGTCTCAAGAAAAAGCCAATGCTTAATTCATGAAAGTGTCATGCATTGTGTGACTCAATGTTAAGTTAAAACAGGAACCATTGAAAATTTGAACACGTTATAAGGAATAGTAAGGAGAACAAGATATGGTCGATTGAAAATGATAAATATTTCAAAATATGAATATTTTACATGTAAAATCAATAAAACTTACTCACATCCTGTGTGTCCGTTGTAGTTTCTGATGATTTCTACTGTTTTAAGCTTGCTTTACCATCACTGTTATTCACAACAAAAGATGAAGTCTTTTGACAGGAATACCAGTGATGGTAATTTCATGTCATAACAGTGATGGTAGATAATTCCATGTCATAACAGTGATGGTAAAGCAAGCTTAAAACGGCAGAAATTGCCAGAAACTACAACGGATACACAAGGTATGAATAAGTTTTGTTAATTTTATGTGTAAAATGTTCATATTTTGAAATATTTATTGTTATAAATCAACCATATTTCATTCCCCACACTATTCCTTAAAACATGTTCAAATTTTCAATGGTTCCTCTTGTAATTTAACACCAAGTCACACAATGCGTGATGCCTTCATGAATTAATTGTTGGCTTTTTCTCAAGACATGAGCTTGGGCTGCCTATGTGCTAACAAGCCTAGATTGATTGAACCTTAACCCTTTAACTCCCAGAAGTGATTAACATACAACATCTCCTTATAGCATCCAATACATTATCCAGCAAGCAGGTAGTGAGAATACTCAAATTTATCACATACAAGATATTATCTTGATTAAACACCAAATTCTCATAACCAATTTACAAGGAAATGTGTAGCAGCTAGAGGAGAGAATTAACAATCATATCTTAGGAGTTAAAGGGTTAACCCTTTACACTCTAACATTTGTATTCACATTCTCCTCACTGATCTCTCTGCATTTTCTGTGGTAATAACAGGGAAAATTTATTTGACAATTAGGAGGTTAACCCTTTAGCCCCTAAGAGTGACGAGTATCTAATTTCTCCTGACTATGTCACCCCTGAATCAAACATGAAAGTTATGAGAATAGAGGAGATGATCACCAACTAAAGCAGCCCTTGACTGTTACACAAATTCTCCTTGTCAGCCTCTTTGGAAATGTATGAGGAACAGTATGAAGAATGTGCATACTGATGTTGGGGGGTAAAGAGTTAAAGCCCAAGAGGGTCATATGGCATAAGATGCTATTTCATACTCAATGTTTAATCATTTCTTCTGAAATTTTCACAACCAAAAAGTCATTGAAAGATTTGCACATTCAAAGCAAAAAATCATGGCCCCCTCCAATATAACACTTTATTTACCACCCCCTGTAACTTTTTGTCCTCATATCATTTTGGTCAAGGTGATATCTCACAACAATCAATGCTCTGGGAGCTGCAATTAGGCCATAATTTAGTGGTATGCCCTATATGTACAAGGCAAACAAAAAATTTCAAGATATTTTATATTTCACTTTGGACACTTCTCAGTCTTTTCAGTTACCTCCTCCATACCTGTTGGTGTCAATTATAGCATACTCCAAAAAATACCTTTAAAATGATATATCATACATGATCTAATGGTTTATTGTCCTCATTTAAGAAACATTTGGCATTTCCCTCAAGCAGTAAAGGGTTAAATTTGTGATCTTTTCCATTATTCTTGTGACCATTATGTATGATTCAAGACTGATACTGTAAGGAGAAATTACATGCAACTGACACTTAGTGGTTACCAGGTTAATTGTCTTGCAAACTTTTATTTCCTTACTAAAAGAACCACCTCATAGGTCCAGCTTAAGTGGACAATGTAAAATCTAGTTTCAATGATAGCAACTGACATACTGTTTTCATCTAAGAACCAACTCTGTTGCATTTCATATTCCTGATCCAGTGTCAGTCTTTCAGATGCTGTTTGCTCCAACAGTTCTGGTGACTGCATCCAGTCATGATATCTTGAAGATAAAACAGTGCAACAGAACTAGATAATTAATGATAAAATTGATGACAATTGCACTTTGTAGATTCTAGAGGATTCCCAAACAAATTTATTGTGCCCCGATAGAGAGTCTCCTTGCTTCATGTCACATTCAGTGGAGGGCATACTCACAAACTGACAGTCTGACAAACTGACTGGCTTACTGATTGATTAACTTATGGACGGACTGAAAGACACGCAGATACACTGACTATTTTCAAGTTAACAAATTGATACAAACCAAAACAACTTAGGATGAATGGGTTTATTTTCGAACGTTTAATCTAGAACCTAAAATAGAAAGATTTCTGTATGACCCGATGCTTCGTTATGCATACAGTTTTCACAAAGGAGAAGACAATGCCCAAACAGCAGATTGCCTCTCAGACTAATGCTTTGATTTAGGACAGTATACGGTTATATAGAAATATTTCCTCTAGAAATTCATCTCCAACTCCATGATTCTGCAAACATACCTTGGAACGTGTTCCTTTCTGTAAGGTACTAGGACTATTTTTCTCCCCTCCAAGACTGTATCACTGTTGACTTTCATAACTTACCGGCTATCCCCAACTCAGGTCAACTCACCCCTCAACAGTTGCATACAAGTACTAGTCAGCGGTCACAACAACCAGTCTTCACTCGTCACTTTAAGTCCGGAAGTAAACATGTGACTGACCCCTATGATTAGTCATTCTTATAGATTGCATCTGCAGGTTAACCGCGGCAGTATCTTTAGCGTCAAGGATGGTTGCAGTTACCGAAACAGGTTCTCCATATTCTACGCCAGTAAGTGTACGGTCTTATTGAAGGTTGCCGTTCTTGATTCATCCCTCTGCTTGCTCTGAAGATAATTTACATGCATCCGAGTTCTCGCTTTTCTCTTCGACGTCACGAGTATTTTGCAAGAAACTTTTACTTTAAATTGCTCAATTTTTGTTCAATTATTCTCTCTAAAATTTGTCGCCTGTAATTGCTGATTAATACATGTTAAATAGATCATTTATTCCTGGCAACTTATGATTGAAGCCTCTAAACTCCAAGCAGAAAACAAAAACGATGTTTGACTAATTTCTGCGACATTGTGTAATGAGAAATTTTTACCAACTAACCAACGGAAATATGGATGTATTCTCTCCCTCGTTCTTCCAGGTTGCCTTTATATATGTTTTCAATTTGATTATTGGAGTTGGAGCATTGACAATGCCCAAGGCATTTGCAAATGCGGGTTGGTTGATCGCATCAGTTCTGATAGGTATTTTATGCCTGATGAGGTTAGTGGAGGTCTATCGTTACCATTCCAACTATTATTATTATCATTATCACTATTATGGTGTTATCATAACAGCATTGATTATTGTTTGTTTTATTTTAGTTTTGCAATACTCCCCCATCCACTCCCCCCATATCTCATATTACAAGACCTTGAAGGTCATAGCCCATATAAAGATCAAACTGCCCCATGATGAAGCTGACTACTTTCAGCTGATGCTACAGAATGATACATGATACAGTGATTGTAGTCCTCTATGATCATGGGCAAAACAGGTTGCCTTGCCAAAGATAATAGCCAGCAATCAAGGGATGTATAGTATTTCAGTAGTCAGCTGATATGTGATCAGTGGATATTCAAATGTTGTTTGTTTATCATTGTTTATTTACTGACATGTCAGCTGATTACCAACAAGTGTTGAGGCTTCAGCTGAACATGGGCTGACTATCTACTTACCAAATATCAGCTTTTGACTTCATCAATCTACCTCTAAAATGGATTTTACCAACATTGATTGAATGAATCAATGAGAAGTCTCTGTTATGCTGTCAATTCAAAGTAGTTGTTATGCTATTTTTTATTATGTGTGTGCGCAAATCTTTTACAAAATATCTAAGACAATTTATACCAGTATGCTCTCTATGGTCAATAGATGCGTTTGGATTAGAGTTTGCGAACACAGTGTGATATTACACTTTCTGTGTTTCAATTTCTATGTGAGAAGTATTTGATAAAAGTAACCCTTTACACCCTAAAGTCAGTATACATATTCTCTGTACTGTTCTTAGTGCATTTTTTAAGGTACTTACAAGGAAAATTTGTCTAACATTCAAGAGCATCTTTAGTTGGTGATCATTTCTTTTATTCTCATAACCTTTATGTGTGATTCAAGGGTGATGTTGTAAGGAGAGATTAGATGATAGTCACTCTTAGGGGTTACAGGGTTAATAGAAGACTTTTCTGTGTTTACTCTTCCTCTTATAATAACTCAGGGGTTGAGAACATTTTTGTGTTTAGAAGAGGCTCTACAAACACAGAAGAGTCCTCTATTGCTTGAATAACAGAAATCTGTCGACTTTTTTACCCAGTTACCTCTATAAAGAATGTGTGAGAAGATTTTAAATTATAGATGTAAGTTTCATGCATTATTCAAGTTTTGGTTTTACTTTTGTATCTTTTTCTACACATGCTTCACTTAGATCAAAATTTTAATTCTCCTTACCACCAACCGTACAATTTCTATAATGTTAGTTCAGAGAATTAAGTATTGAATTAACTAATTAACCCCAAATTGATATTTTTCTTTATTCTCATCACTAATCTGCTTGATATTGTATTGATATTGTAAGGAGAAATTATGTCTTGGTCACTTATGAAGGTTAAAGGGTTAATTTCTTAAGTTGTGTGAAACATTGACTAAAAAATTCAGTCATGTGAAAAACATGTGATTAGCATGTAAATAACATGTGATTGTCACCTTAGTAATAAACTTCTCATACAGATTTTAAGTTTTTTTGTAATTTTACTCTAACTTTTGCTTATAACTGCTCCCAATGGAATGTTTTGAGAAAATAGACAGAAATGATGTTTTGACTGTCATACTATTTTAACTGCCTAAAACTTTGCCATGATTTCAAGGTCACAATAATGTCACTAAATAAGGCAGATGTTTCTGCTGAGCATGGCTGCAGATTTTAAAGTTTTCACAATTTACCTAGTAAAAAAAAAGTAACATTTGATATTATACAACTACCCTACTTATTGACCCTGATACTAGGTAAATTGGTTTAACTACTGATTTTACTGAATAAATTGAAACTCAAAATACTTTTTAATATTGATGTTTAGTTTTATAACATCCACATTCATGGTAGAGGCAATGGCTGCTGCTAATGCTATGTTACGTCTAAAAGCAAGAGAAAAAAGTTTGTCAGCACCAGTAAGTATTAACTGCATTTTTATTTGATTTTTACATTTACTTTTGCAATTAAGGACCAGTGAACCTAATCATCTCTTAAACCTGGCCTCCTTTAACTCTCAGAAATGATTTACATGTAAATAATTTCTCCTAAATGTCCTAAATGTCTATCACTCCTCCAAGTATTAAAAGTCCTGGAATTTTTCTTCCTTTAGGAAAGAAACTACAAACAGTGTTACACCTCTTACAATGGACAAGTTAAATTCATTCTTCAACAGTTTATTGGTAAAGAGATAATCAAGTTTAATGATCATGTGTTCCTTTTTTGTTAGATACATCCTTCTACTGGTAGTGCCTTAAGTGCTGGTTCTAATGGTGAAAAAGATTCATCTTCTGATGACCCTGATGAGAATGTGCCGCTGCTTATTAGTGAGTAATTATAGTGTCAAGTGAACTTTTTTTATGAAAGTGATAAAATAAATAATATATGACATTCTGTACTGCTGCATACTGGCTGCTTTGCATACCACTGAAATAGCTCTAAGAATGCAATATGGTTAGCAATGACAACAACAGCAAAGGTTCATATGATGCCAGTTTTTGAGGTTCACATGGCATGTCAATGCCTAAAACTTGAACAACCAAAGGGAGAGATGCAAATTTTCATTAAGAAAATGACAAGCCTCAGTTGTATTTCATGAAAATGTTTATCTCAGTGAAATTTGGACCATTCACACTAGGTGCTTGAAATGCACCACCGTCAAGTTTGCTTCTTGTCTGCCAAACACATCTAGCCTAAGTGGTGACAACCATAAATAAGGCAGCTTGGAGCACTGTGATGTCATATGGCAAATGAGACAGGATCCCTAGAACTGAGTTTAGATTATTAAGTACCAGTTTAAAAGTAAGCTGGTGATGTATAGTGTAGATACTTGAATGGTTTACAAAGATGTCTTTGGTCATAGAGCAAGGCAAAAACATTTGACAACATGGTTTTCTTATGAAACTGTTTTATGCTTAGTGTTTTTGCTGAGATATATATATGATAATTCAAGAATCTGTTAAAATTTTGGCAAAAAGAGATTTTCTAAAACTTTAGCAGGAAAAATTCTTCTTTGAATTTTTTGTAACAAAATTGATAATGTGGAGCATGAGAACTGCATTCCCCCCTAAATACAGAGATTATACTTGAAAAAAAATTTTAAAAAAGCCTTGATTGATGGCAGATAATTTTCTTGTTTATCACTACTAGATGCATTGGGTAGCTCAAGAGGAGATCTCTATGATATATCCAAGCGTGTAGAAATGGTGAGTGCTTTGTAGAGATTCTTCTCTCCTTGTTTTTGATTGATTTCCACACAGTACTGAGAAACAGCTAAAAAAATCTTTATTACATTCATTTTGAAATTACCAGTGATCCTTGCGATCTGATTTGCTCTAATCGGTGCTATTTATTCACAAATTACACCAGTTTTTGCTTTAAATCACACTTTTTTCCCAACCAATGAGAGAGCTTTAATAATTGAAAACAAAAAAACAACCAATCAAATTTCAAGGCTGGTTTTAAAGAAACCATTATTAAGTTGTTTACTTACACCTATAATTAGCTGTGATATCTCTGTTCTATAATGGTGATACATATTTTTTCTCTGTTTGTAGGGTCAGATGGCCAACCTTTTTTTCAGTAAACGTAAGTAATGAATTAAGTTGCTGGTCTAAGAACAAAGGGGTAAGTTTCTAAAGAAACTGTGGTGCTATCTCTGTTCTATAATGGTGATACATAACTTTCTTGAAAATTGTTAGGTCAGATGGCCAACGTTTTTTCAGTAAAAACGTCAGCTAATGAATTTTAAACCCAGTTGTTAACACTAAATTACCTGGTCTAAGAACAGTCCCACTATCTTTTATTCTGAAATTCTGTGCTTTGAGGTGCATTTTTGGAGAAAAGAGCAAGTACAAACCTACCATTGACTTAGGGGTGGCAAAAAGGCAGGCAGTAAAGAACAGAAACAGTGCAAACCGGGAGAACCTTTGGCAGTGTTTTGCTGTTTGGCTTGAAAAGCAAAATGCAAAATTGAAACCACAACAGAGTTAAAACAAAAGTTGGGTCATTTGCTCCTCTTTATTATTCTCCTTGTCAGTATCTAAGGAAATGTATAGGAATTAGTGTGGAGAATTTGCATACAGATCTTGAGGTGTCAAGGTAATCTCAGCCCCATTGTGCTTGCTATAGTACTCTATGGACGTTTTAATCAACTTTTGTGTTATTAATGATTATTAATAATATTGTTTTATTATTAGTTGGAGTCCGACTGTTCTACTTCTGCATTGTGTTGTACCTGTATGGTGATTTGGCAATATATGCAGCTGCTGTTCCAAAGTCTTTAACTAAAGTGACATGGTAAGATGGTTAGATTTATATATTATATTTGTTAATCTATTTATTCATAAGAAAATAGCGGGGCGATGGGGGGTGAGAGGTGGCTATGACAAACTGCCTTCTAGAGAAGTGGGTAACCTCTACAGCTTTGACAGTGGCATCAACCTTGGTACTGTCAATCATAAGAATATTCAATATCTTACTTGAGGGTCGGTAGGGAAGAAGTTAGCTGGCGTTTATGATTAGTGCTGCAGGACGCGCGTTTCTCCGCCCGCGGTGAGATTTGAGACGAGACGGGTAGTGGTTTGATTGGGTGTTTTGGGCACTAATATCAGTGCTAGATCCCTCGCAGACCCCTCCCTGGTTTGTGTTTCAAGGTCTCAAACTTTCCAACAGGCGAAGAAACGCTTGTGCCGTGACGCTAATAGGGAGGTCCTCCTCGATCAGGTTTTCATCAGCACTGCTTAAAAAATATCTCACAGAATTCTTGCGAAGAGTGCGAGGGCTCAACTGGCCTGCCTTGCTCGCTGGCAAGAGGTCTAGCAGGAGTTCTGGCAGGCTCCTCACCGGCCTCTTGAAGGGTTCACAAGAAGGCTGCGAGATGCTCGTGGAGCAGCGCTAAGAAGAACTTGCGCATAGGCTAGTCTGCTATGAGCCCTTGGACTTTTTCCTCCTTATTGCAACGGTCAAAACAGCTGCCTGAATAACATCTAGAGGCTTCCATTAAAACTTTTGTCATATTTCTTAATCTTTTTGGTTGTAACAATACCCGTATCCCATTCGGAAGAGAGCCGATTACCGTTGCAAAGTGTTGTGCTAAACTTTGATTTGATTTTTTCCCTTTTCCCAGCGGATCTTGGAATGAAACTGATTCTACCAAATCCAACAACAAGACTTGTCCACGATGGGGCTCTGTCACACAAGGCAATGTTTATCGTGTCTTTTTAGTAAGTGTTTTTATCCAGCAAGCTCCTAAAAAATAAGTTTGTGTGTTGGTATGCGTGATAGTGTGCGAGATAGAATGTGCGATGGTATGTGTGATAGTATGCGTGTACCCTGCGTGATCGTATGCATTATAATTTTTTTGGGCCTCGCCCTCATCAACTACCACGCACAGAAATCGAGAGCTCATCATGTAATCTTTAGATAAAAGCGTTATGTATGTACTGCGGGTGTATTTACTCAAAGTGCATGATCCTGAAGCAACATGTTTATAGGGAAGGACCCAGCACTTGACTTGCTCGTTTCTGTTCCTTTTTCAGGCCATTTTCACCGTCACATTAGGACCATTTGCATTTTTCAACGTACAGAAAACAAAATACTTACAGATTTTTACCACACTCATGAGATGGGTTGGTAAGTAGTTAGTTTATTTGTACTTTCCTGATTTCTTGTCTTATTGCTGTTTTGTTCTTATCAGCGGGTTACATATCTTTAAATTTTTAAAGTTTCGTCTACTTTGAAATCAGGGGGGCAAGTTTCTAAATAAAATGTGGTGCTGCGTCGGTGGGAGAGTATAATAGAAATTAATTTATTAGTATCAAAGTAATTTAGTATTATCTACTGAGTTTAAAACGTAAATTGGCCACGGTAAAAAGTTTAACAGCTGGCGTTTCGAGCGTTAGCCCTTCGTCAGAGCGATTGACGAAGGGCTAACGCTCGAAACGTCAGCTTTTAAACTCTTTACAGTGGCCAATTTACGTCATCAACTCAGTAGATAATACTAAATTACTTTGAAATCACACTCGCATATAAAAAGTTCAATTGCTACTTATCGGAACACTAGAAATAATTACCAAAAACATGAATGTACGGGAATGTGATTGAAAAACCTCGTATTAAATGTAGCCGTGTATTTCTCACGGTATCCCAATGCAGATGGTTTTCGATCTCCTCAAGTTTCTCCCATCCATGCATTGGGTCTTTCTTTACACTGTCAGAGATGAAGAGGAATGAAGAGGCCATGCTAATGTGTTTTACGTCTGCTTTTCAACAGCCTTTATCATGATGATTGTCATCGCTGTAGTCAAGATTGGTAAGGGCCAGGGGGAGCATGATACTCCTACAGCAAGTATCTCGGGCCTGCCTAATCTGTTCGGAGTGTGTGTGTACTCATACATGTGCCAGCATTCGCTCCCATCTCTAATCACACCAATGAAGAACAAGTCGCGTATCACGTTGCTCTTTGTCGCTGACTTCGCCATAGTCCTGATTTTTTATGCTCTGTTGTCCTTCACCGCCATCTTTGCCTTCCGCTCAGAGGACTTGAACGACTTGTATACGCTCAACTTCAGGAAAACCTCCGGCAACTTTGTGGGATATTTCCTCGCACTGTTTCCCGTTTTCACCCTCAGCACCAATTTCCCGATCATTTCCATAACCCTCCGTGACAATCTTAAGAATTTGTTTCACCGCGAAGGACGACCCTACCCCTGGGTCGTGGACCGGATCGTTTTTCCACTCTCCACGATCACCTTGCCTATCATAGTGGCATTCATTACGCAGAACTTGGAAATACTCGTCGGCGTAACTGGGTCTTACGCCGGCACTGGAGTGCAGTATGTTATCCCAGCCTGCCTTGCGTACTTTGGCAAGAAACAGTTGACGGAGATGACAGGTCGCTATGACAACAAGCACAAGTCTCCCTTCGGAAGGAGTTTGTGGATCGTGTTTGTGATTGGCTGGGCGTTTGTCTGTATAGCTTTGGTGACGGTAAATCATATCATTGCCAAAAAATAATCTGATAGAATCATTTCCAAAAATGAGTAATTATGCTGTGAAATCGATGAATTGGGCGATATCAAGAACAAATATAAATTATTATTATTATTGTTAATATTATTAAATAATTTGTAATTAACTATAAAATTGATAAGCTGCTTCAGGTGTTAAGATTTTGATATGAAGATTAAAATCAGAGGCCATATGGTGGATCTGAATATTATTATTATGAAGTTGCAGGTTCAATTTTGATTAATTCTCCATCACATTAAATGAGTAACGGTTGATTGTGTCGTCTAATCGTCTGGGTGAGAATAGGACTCTTGTTGATACGAGTCCAAGTTTATTCTAGAAATTGGTCAAAGAGGGTAGGGAAAGCCCTTTGTCAAGAAAGGGCCAGGACAGCGGCTACGCAGAAAGATGTTTGAACTAATGTGTTTAGTCTCGTCGGTGGTAGAACGAGGTAGAGAAAAGCAGAGCTGCGCTCTAGAATGGAGCTTGGTAGTAACTGACGATTTGACAACTTGAGGGGAATTCAGGAGGTGATTGTCAGTTGAATGTAATAAGTTGGTTCGTGGAAAGTAATTGGTCAGTTTTGATGTTTTTTTATAGGCTGTTAGATTCAAATCATTGTGACCGACAACATTACTTTACACGACCACTCTCGCCAGGACAATCAGACGACACCATCATTTTCGATTGTCGCTTTGTTCCTTTAATACAGGAAGAATTAGATGCAGTTTAGGAATTTATTTTCAAAAATAAAATTTTAACTATGAGTGGTTCTTAGTTTTGTCTTTTGGTTGTTTGTTTTTATATCATTGAATATTTGCTTCTTTACAGCCAACTTATAAAACAGTCTGACAGCCCAAAGTAAATTGTATCATACCTGACAGAGGAGAATGCATACTCACCATGTTATTGAGTTTCACTAACTAGCAGTTAGATACTGTTTTACGAGCTGAAGTGGATCACTCCTGTCGTGACAGAATGAATGCTTTACTGTTGAAGTTAGCCAATTTTGTGGGTTTTCTGAGTAATAAATAGGCTTTTCAGAATTAAGTTAAATGGATCGCAAGCTTTTTAATATTTGGATGTGTTCGTGTTGGTCTGTGTTTAGATGTGCTTTGAGATAGGAAGCTTCGAGCGCCCGAATGCCTTCATGAAAGTAACCGATTGGAGACCGAGTGTGTTTTAATTGGTGTCTCTTCATAAGCAATCAGGGAATAAGATCGATGGTATTTTTTTGTTTATGGTTTTGTTGTTCATTTTTGTATGTTTTTGTTGTTGTTGTTGTTGTTGTTGTTGTTGTTGTTTTCTCTCATGGGATATTCTGATTGTAGTGATATAATTGATCACCAGATGACCCTTTTCAATTTGTATAAAATTTATCGCAAAAAATGCAAAACTTCAAATGTCTGCAACAAAATATTGTCTGGCCTTTATTACTATATAACCTCTTTAAATATAATGCAAAATCTTGACTTAAAACATACAACCGTGAATTTTAAATAAGTGAACAATTTCAACATTTCTGCTGACTCTTCGAGTCGTGAACCCTACGAAAATACTGTTTAATCAGTGGCGGATCTAGGGGAGGGACCCGGGAGGCTCGGGCCCCCCTCTTATTTTGGGTAAAAAAGAAAGAATCGCAGAAGGAAGAAAAGCCGGCAGGGCAAGCGACAAAACCCCTCTCCCCCACTTAACTTAAGGTCTAGATCCGTCACTGTTAATGGCTGTTGTACAACTCATTCAGCTCTCTATAGACAAGTTACTAATACTATTTCTACGCAACAGTAAAAAGCCCAAAGCTTTTTAGCCTTCTATGTATACCTTACGTAACTAATTCCTATTCAATCTTGTGGACTAGTCTTTTTCATTATCAAAATTTTCTTTCACACGTCTGTACAAAGCTAACGCCTTTGCAATCTTCATATATTATATCCTTTTTTAGCTTAACCCAATTTTACATTCAAAACTGTGAAAAGGTCTTTTTCACTCTCGGAATATTGCACTCCATGATTGACCGAGTAGACGGTTTACGAACCTGAGCGAAAGTCGTCAACATTCGGGATTGATAATTCTATCTCTCCGAACAGGCAAACAAATTCGGGCACTTTCCAAAGATTTGAAAGTGTACGAGACTTGTTAGATCGATTGCCCTTTTACAAACCTTACTGCCAAAGTATTTTTCTTACAATCACTCTGTATCAATACTTTGAATTACATCATGATCGAAAACCTGTGGCGTAAATGAAAATCAAAGTATTTTCTTTGAACTCGCGACACACACAACTGCGAGCAAACTGCATTCAAATGCTAAGACTACTTCAAGTTTTTCTACAGCCAGACTCACACGGGCTTTCAATGCCGTGACACAAAAAGTTTCTTTCACACGCAAATCCTTTTAAAGAAGGAAACAAAACCGAACGTTCGGAAAATAAGCGTAAACAAGGCCTGTAGAGACGATGAAATGTCAACGAAAGAAATCATTACCCGACACTAACTAGTTTTTGGAATAGTTAACTTTCCCAAATACTCCCACTTTCCACCAAAAGACAGAGAAATTTGTGACTTTTCCAGTAACGAATACAGTTATTTTCCCCTTTTTCTACTGTAACTTGTTGAGCAAAGAAATGAAGGCCTCAATTGTCTTATTAGACTCGTTCCCAGTCTATCCTTTTTTGCTGTTCAAACGCTACATAAAGTCGAGGATCATGACGTCATAGCAAAAATTGAGGGCTAGACTGGGAAGGAATCGAGAGGGTCAACGCGCTTTCGTCAAATTCTTCTAGGAGACGACAAGGAAAGAGCTATAATTTAACAAACTATCTATCGAGAAGTCCTTTTGTCTCAAACAAAGGCATGTCACCATAACTATAACAAGGTCACGTCATGGAAAACATGTAAAAGATAAACTTCGCCGGCGTAAATTAACCTGCAAGGATCTTTCTCGATGACAGCTGTGAAATTAAGTGAAATTACTCTTCAGCAAGCGTCTCCTAGGTGGTGAACTTGACAAATATATACAGCTACTAATCAGTGTGTTACTTTATACGTGCGTCTCCAGTGGGAGGAGAAACGCGATCTGGAACTTAGCTCCAACCCTAAGATCAACCAATCCCTTCCGTTTTGAATTATATTTTCCTTATCGGCTTTCTCCCTTCTAACCACGCATTTGAGTGTTGTTTGTTGTTTTTTTTTTCATAGTATTCATGCATTAAACAGCAATTATTTAAAGCGCCAAAACGACTTGAATACCCCAGAATTCTAAGAAAACCGCTAAACGGAGTACCGCACCGCTTTCAGTATCTATAAGTTTACCATACTATAGTTTACACTGTTATACTACAAACTAGCCAGGAGTTCTAATTTTAACTTAAGTTGTTGGGGTATTGTTTTCACTGTTTCCACATGTTGGCTAACAGTTGGTATCCGTCTTAATTTCTGGTTTGGCATACTCATAGTTCTGCTGGGAAAAAAGAGAGAAAAAAAAAATAAGTAAAGAGCCGTAAAATAGGTCAGCGGCGATGAAAAATCCAAAGACCACACAACTTGAAATTTGGCCAAACCGGGGACCAAAATAGGTTTTCTCCTTACAGGATCATTACACTATCGGAGAACAAGTTATGAGAATTTGAAAAATTAACAACTGTGGGGAGTTATCCAGATGTGACAGTAAATTCTCTTGATTATTTTACAATGAAATCTCGGAAGATCACATGTTTGGAGTTACAGGATTAAACGAAACAAAACAAATGGACTTCCGACTTTTCGAACATCCTTGGGAATGAAAATTGGTTTCAACTTTTGATGGAAGGGTTCGAGCATCATCATCGTCAAACACTTTTGTTTCAACGATATCCAAATGAATCGTATGTATATTAGAGACAATGACACTTCTCCTTATTCAAAATAGGATAAATTGGAGTAATAAATTAAAAACAACAAACAAAAAAATAGTCAAAGAAACGAAAGTCTTACCGTTACTGGTAACGTCTTCTCGTAGTTGGGATTTTCGATGGATGTCACTTTTGGAGTCTTTTTAACTGGAAGACTAAACGCAAAAATAGGTTACAACAAAAAAAGGATTGTGCAAGAGACTCACGCAGAATTGTTCATGAAGCAACAGATTCTGGTTAAAATGAACATGGCAACCAAAGAAGATCCAATTTTAGAATCCCACAAACCCACGCCTTCAAAAAGTGGCCAAGTGCTGAACCTCTGTTGAATGCATGAGCTTCAATGCATGAAAATGTTTTCAAATCATTTTCGTTTACAAGGTTTCTGACCTTCCTTCGTTTTCGAACCAAGGCTTTGCACCATTAATTATTTTCGTTTATTATTAGTCAACTCAAAGAAATTCAAGCGCTTCAATCAAAGCTAGTGTTGTTCTTTCTTTTGATTGGTTCAAACTGAGACTTGTTTCCCCAAATAAATCACCGTTAAGCTACGTGCTTCTTTAAATAAATACAAAGTCAGTTAACTTTCGTAACAAGCAACTTACTTCCTTTTGCTCTGATTTTCGGTTATGGCAACTTCCGTTTTAATACAACGAAAGTCGGTCGAAACGCGCTTTATAAGGAAAAAGCCAGACCAAAGCAATTCAGGATTGCCTTCGACCATCAATATTTAAGACTTTTCTATCATTAGCCTATTGACCCAGCAGGTTGTTAGAATACCTGTAATGACTCTGTGCAGCCCCGTTCGGTGGTTTAATCCTAGAGACAAAAGAGACAGAAGATTACTCTCCGGTAAGAGAAACTTTGGGAGAGTAATCAAAGGCGAAAATGGACAGAAAGTAGTGAATGTATTGTGTTCAGAGAGTAGAAAACTCGATCAGCTTGTCTGTGCAGCTCTGATTACGACTATTCCGTCTATTAATGGTCGATCTCGTTTTCCTTCCAAAATCGAAATCCTGAGGTGTTGGGAGTGTCCAGTGTCTTTTTTTTTTTTTTTTTCGAGGGGGGAGAGGAGAGTGGATGCTACATTAATCTTGCTAGCCTTCAACGAGTTCGTGACGTTTTTGACTGGCCAAGTAATAATTGTCATCTGGATTGGCTCTCTTTCACATATTTCACAAGTGGTGTTTGATAAAATTTAGATAGGATAAGCGGCAAAACTTACAATTGGTATCCTACTGCAGCAGTGCTTTTGACTGGCGGAGAAAAACTGCAAAGAAATCGGTCACATTAAGAAAATTCCGTTCACAAAAGAAAATTGTCAGAAAAGCAAACAAAGTTTTGCACATACCCGATGTAAAGGGGATTTTCAGTTATCTTAGGAGAGTCCCGATCCTGATCCACGGGACAGCTGCAATAAAATGAACAATTTGAAAACCTTTCTCAGGTAAAACTGTTTCCTAATGATGACATTACCCATCTGATGTGTAATTTACCAAAGATAACTGGGTGAGCCTTCACCCACATGTTTACACGAAAAATTAACGATAAAAAAATTATCATCTATCCATAATAATTACAATATGAAATTCACCTGTCACTTGAGGAAACTTCTTTTTCACCAATGGTAGAGTTCTCGGAGCTATCCGAACTAAAAAGAAGAAAGGAAAATACGACAAGTAGTCAATTTACAGTTATTAAATCACACTTGCAACATTGTTGCTCAAAATGAGACGTAGGGAAAGACATCAGCGGCCAGGCTGCTAAGTAAGATGAAAGATGGCGGCGTCCATAATCAATGTTTACGTACATTTAAACACAATTTTTTAATAGTTTTGCCACTCTTTTCATTCTCAAAAATCTATTATTAGTACGATCGGTATATAAGCTCTGTATGGTTTCCGGAGTAAACTTCTTCTGACGACTAAAAGCGGGAGTGATAGGATTCTGACGGTTCTTCGGATGATCACAAAATTGGGTTGTGTCCTCGTGTACCGGTACACAAAGGAACGAAACATTAACGAACTGCGTCACAACTCCATGTATGGATATGAAAACAATAGGAATTCCCCCGTGTACCGGTACACCAGGACAGCCCCCAAAATTGTGATTATCAGTGGTACCGACCCGCCCAATGGATGTTAGGGAATTTTTAAAGCACTACATAGATGTGTTCGTTAAGGTCAGTATTGTATGGTAATGCTAGGACAACTAGAACGGGGGTACTGGTCTTTGGCAGGATTTTCGCATAGTCCCATCCTCATTATGCATACAGTACGTTCTTGGATAAAGAATACAATGGCGAAAACAAAAGATTGCCTTTGAGACTATGACTTTGCCTTAAAGTAGTATGTGGATGTGGGGAAATCTTTCCGTGTATTTATATCCAATCAGTGCAAGTTAGATTTTTATTGGAAAGGGTTAAACGTTGTACCAACCTTCGATAAAGGATATTTACAGTTTCATATGGATTGGCTTTCGAATCACGAGGAAACCTAGAAGTACAAATAAATCAGTCTAAAGTTGAAATAACAGAACCGTTGTAGTTATAATCTTACCTTTTGACTAGGGTTATAAAGTTTTATCACCTCAAATTTTGTGGATTTGCTTCTGCCAATTAGTAATTTATTTCCTTCATCTGTTCTCCATAATTTTTTTTACTAACCTATGATTCATTGAATCATATTTCTGATATCTTTTTTAAAAAAAGATTATGACTGGGAAGCAACACTTCCCCACACACACACACACACAAAAAAAAACAACAACAACCACAACAAGAATACAACAAAGTGGGAGATGTAATTAATAAAAATTACAGATTGACAAACCTTTTTTTGGTGCCATTTGCTGGAGTGGCATATTCTTTATCAGATGTGAAAGTGATTGTTGGAAGAGGGCTTCCTCTTTCTTTCCGCGAGCTGGTGTAGAAAGAAATTAAGAAAGAAAAGGATGAAAATATGTACAATAAAATATGATTGTGAACTGCTCACCATAATTGATGACTGTAGAGACCAAAAGGGAGAAATGGACTTCATGAACTGATTCATTGTCTGATACAGTCTCCTTTAAACGAGGCCATCCCTATCAAACTTGAGAGTATTATTTTTTGTTGTTTAATTTGCAAAGCTCTCCATGCCTTAGCACATCTCAGAAACATTAGCTCTCAAAACCTTCATTTTTTGGGTTGAATTTTTTTAATAAGTCCTTTCTTTTCTTCAAGGAATTTGAATCATCAGAACTTGAGCTAAAAAACTTGTCAAAAAGCAAACAAAATTATGTTTGAGATAGCAGAATCATAGTGCTAGTTATCTAAGATGAGCCCATACATTGTGTAACAAAACGTTTTCAACTGATTGTACAATTATCTTGATTCCTACCGTTTCTTTCGAAAGACAAACACAGCAACCACCACTGCAACAAAGACTACTAAAGCAACTGCAATAACTACAGCCATTACTTCCATTTGCAATCCTCGTACTGTCTCAGCTCTTTTTTCAGTTATTCCTGGATCTTCTAATTCTACTTTTTCTGTTGGTAGTGTAATTTTGTCCGATTCACCAGGATACAGCACTGGTTTTTCTGAAGATGATTTAGTGGTTGGTTTAGTGAATGAATTTGCGGATAGAACTTTGGTGGGTTGAGCACTGGATGGTTCTGAAAAAATCGTTTGTGTTGGCTGGGTGGATGGTGCTGAAGATGTCATTTGGGTTGGCTTGGAGGTTATTGTGGAAGGGGCTGGGGCTGAAAATAAATAAAAATAAAAATTGGTGTTTTAGTACAGTGCAAATATATCTTATCATTCTAAGCAATTTGAACTTCACAGCTAACAAATGATATCAAGTATCACAGAGTTCATGCATTTAAGCTGTAATATCTGTTCCAAATGTATCATTTTGGCCCTTGTAATTTAAATTTAGACAAGTGAGCTGTTGATATGCAGTTGCAGAAATGACATCTTTTTAATATATTCATAATAAACAGTTTGTTTAGTTGTTCATGTTGTAATGAACTCTGTGCTCAAGTGATTCAATTTAAATAAAAGTAAAATCAAACCACAGCTAAGCAATAAATGTTTAGTTTCTTTTCTTTTCTAATTCACCCGTAGCTGATGTTCCTTCATCACTGTACTTACTTCTAATGTTAGTACTTGTACATTGATAGAAAATTTGCAGTTGATGGTTTTCAGGGCCATTGGAACAACTGTAATCAAAAAGAGCTTTTTTAACGGTGATGTCACATTCCTTGGAATCCTGGCACATTGTCACAACTTTACTCTTAACATCTACAGTTGGGCAAGATTGAGATGACAACTGCTGTCCACAACTGTGTGGAAAAGAACCATATGTGGCATGGAGGATTTTTATTGTGTATTGATATCCTGAACAGTTCAGTGCCAAAACATCTCCATCACAAGCCTTTTCAGCATGTATGTTGCCTGAACCTGTCGCAAAAGAAAGTAATATGGTGATTATCAAATAAATGGTAATTTTTTTGGGCCCTTTTCTTTCATCCAACTTTGTTACTACTTTGGCCAACATCTATTACATTTATATTACTTACAAATGTTTTGCTTTGCTTCTACTGACTTGGGATTTACCCCAAAAGTTTTTTGTCTCTGCTATTGTATCGTTTCAGAAATAAACTGAATCTTTATGTTGTAGGGTATATGCTCCAATATTTTTGTCTTTTTTTTGTCTTGCTTTTTACTTTTTCTAATGACAAGACTGAAATAGTAAATAAAATGATGGCCAGGAATGAGACGTGTAGCACAACTGTCTTCTAGAAATGATGGCCAGTACAACTCATAGGCACCATTATTAACATATACCAAGTTGATCTTTTGCATCCAATAATACCTGGTGTTATGGCAAGGTAATTAATCTGAAATCCTTTCTGGGCAGCATTGGTGTTGCCGGAATGAAAGTTCACTCTGACTGTACTCGTTGTAGTAATTGTTAACATGGATGTATTTCCATTGCAATATTTTCCACCAATGCGAGGAGATAAATCAGTGAGACCATCCTGAACTTCTACAAAATCTTCTTTACAGCCTGATGGATTTGAACTCCGTCTCATGTCAAACTGTGTAAACATTAGTACCAAGATTTTTCCTGTTGGAGCTGAAATAATCCATACACAGTTTTTGTTGGAGGGGTAACTGATTGGAAAGCCTGGACTTGCAATGGAGCCAGAAGGATTTGTTGAAAAGTTTGAACAATCATCTGAAAAAAATAATTTTATAAAGAGTACATTTTTTATATTGTATAGGCTATCAAATATAATTACTACAATTGTAATTCCCATTTGAAGTTGAAAACCATGCAGAAAGTAACCTGAAATTTCATTTTGAAAAATTGTGGTAAAAACTTCTAATCAACATGTTACTGATTTTGCTTGTGCAATTATAACACATGATAAATTAACCCCTTTGACTCCTAAAAGTGATGTGCTTAATTTCCCTTTTCAATATCAGCCCTGAATCAAACATTAAGGTCATGAAAATAAAGGAAATGAAAACCAACTAAAGAAGCCCTGGATTGTTGAGCAAATTCTCCTTGTCAGCACGTTAGGGAATGTATACTTTAGAGAAGTTCATTACGGAGAATATGCATACTAATGTTACGAGGCAAAGGCTTAATTGGCACTGACAACATATTTGAGATTCATATACACTATAACAATATTCATAATGTTTGAAGTTCTTATATGAAATATTATTACTCAAAAAGATACTACATTTACTCAAAGTTGTATTGATGCCAATTGAAATGAAAGATGAAACTTACAAATAGTTAAATTTTCAGAGGCTTTTACTTGAAAATTTACATTCTCTGGATAGCACTAGCTTACCAAGAGAATGGCGACAGCCTTAATGACTGTGCTTGTATTGTTAATGTTATCACTATACATGAACTTGTCAATATTGGGAAACTTTTCCCAAGTTCAAGGACATAGTATTTACAAATAACAAAAATAGCCCTTACTCAACTAATCTGATTCTGTCTGTTTTAAAGTTAGCATGCTGTCTCATTAGCGACATATAATCCAAATTTTTACTGCTGACAATAATAACAAATGGGACTTAAGATTTCAAGGTGTATCTATCAAGTGAACCTACCAGCTTGATCACTGCAGCCATATACTTCAACTCGAAGACACATATCATATTTATAATCCTTCGGGTATATCCTGAGGTATCTTGTCACAAATTTATCTCTCAAGTTGTTCAGTTTCACACTGTTGGCATCTGAGTTTCCAATGAATGACTGAAAAAATACCAAAAGAGAATTGCATTTCCCAGCATTGTACACACACAATTGTGAATGTAAAAGAAACTTCCCCTAAGACACATTGAGGATTACACACCTTGTCAGGACCATCATCAGTGTCTTTGTAAGTTAACCACGCCCTTCCATCATAGCTGTACTTAATCACATATGTCTTAACGTAGTAGCTCAAGTAATTCCAAGTTTGTACTCCTTGTGTACCAATGGCTGAAACATGTCTGACCCTCAGCAGGTCTATCTCGAAGTACTCAGATGTTTTATCATTGTTTACACTGCACCAAGCTCCATTATTATTGTTCAATCTACCATGCTCAGGAAGCCAGCCAGAAGAAAACGTGTAACTGCTTATCTGGAAATCTTTTATTTTGTTGCTTTCCATACCAAGAGCATCTGAGCAACCTAAAAGGATTAATGAGGAAGAGTCAATTTTTCATTTTATAGGAGATGTAAGGATTGAGATAGTCAAGACGAGTGTTAACTAAATTCCAGTCTGTCTCAAGCTGTGTGACTTCCTTGGCTGATTTTCTTTCTTTGCTTTTCTTTGTTTTGGAATCATTTGGGCTTTATATACTTCTCATCTCAGTAACAAAAATGCTGCTAGTTGAATTTACTTTGGTGGCATTAGCAAGGGAGCTAAAAGAAACTTTCTTTTACTGCCTCACACATATATCTTGGAATTTTAAGTTTCCCTGTCAGGTGTGTGAGTGGAATTGTTTCTGCAAAAGGTTTACTAGTCCATACAAGTTTATGGTGACCTTAAAATAATTGGTTCAGTTTCATCTTACCATGAAGGGTTATTTTGAAAATTTAGTCTAAGGTCATTACTACTACTTCCCTTCGAATATGCTAATTTACCATATGACAGCCCATCAAAAATTTAGACAGGTGTTGTCAATTTTCTGGGAGTGCTACGTTCGTTTGTGAAATGCTTATCCAGCCAGATGTTATGAATTTTCTGGCAATGTTTGAGTGTATTTGCCCATGATGATCAAAATATTGTAATAAGCCCCAAGTATAACAACAATCATTGTGTTTTAGAAACAAGCTTAAAATACTGATATACATTATTGACTTCCTGTAGCAAATAAAAAAACCAAAATAATAACATGATGATGTACAAGAAACTTCCCATTTAGCTAAGAAAATACCATTGTGGCTTGAATATATTATAATTGTTGAAGTTAACGACTAAGTAATGAAAATATCTGTAAAGTATTTTTGTCTCACCAGGAAATAAAAAGCGAAATATTTCCTTAAAAGGGGTGGGCGTTAGAGGGGCTGGTCAGTTTGCAAAATACCACGAAGCAAATATTTTGTCTCGTGAATGATTTCCACGACTCAAATGAGCTTTTTTCCTTTCTTTTTCTTTCTTTTTCGGATCCACGGTGCAAAACATACATCGAATGATAGCGGAAAAGCATACATTCTTCCAGGATTTATCTCTAACCCGAATCTCATTATGCAATGTTTGTTTATGAGGTTCATGCAAATGAAGAAAACCGCGTCTTTGAGAGCGAGCCAAAATTCGTCTCACTAACAGTTCACCCTGAACGAACGGAATTTTAAACGTTTTGTTTACACCGAAAAAGTGCAGAATAAGCGCTTTCGTAGGTTTTAATAACTTGAACTGGCTCTCACTTAATCAACCTAAGACAATGATAGTGCACACGTTATATGAATAGTTCCCGTATCTTTCATTAAGTAGGCTTAATCTTTTTGTTTACAACGCACAAATGCAAAAAACGACTCCGCCATCGATTGAACTGATCCCCACTAGCTCTTGCTACACAAAAACCAGGAAAGTCTATAAGGTACATTTTCATGAAACCAATTTCAAAGACAATGCATTGAACCTACGTAAGGACTAATTGTGCTTCGAAATGGCTCTTGATAAATATCGCTTACGACTATTGTCTTATGTACTACGAAAAACGTTCTTATAAGTACTTTGGGGGAAATTTGAAATTTTCACAGCGAAAACAATTAAATTTGGCGTCAGGTTACCATATCTATTGGCAGTCCGTGATTAGTGAAAGGGGGAAATAAATTCTTTCCAGGAAATAGAACAGAAAAGATACGTAGAAACACGTTCTCGAATATATTAGGCTATTATATTACTTTACTTCGTCGCTCGATGAGTTGCGATGTTTATCTGTAAGCTTAAATCCTGAATTAGTTCATGAAAACGTTGAAAGGATTCTTTTTACGTTTGCCTCGTGCTTATGATTAGCTAGTATGAGGTGTGAAGAGGCTATTTGAACAACTTTACCTTGGCGCAATGCGTCGACGAAAAGGAAACAACGGGCCACGTAAACTGCGAAGAAGAGCGCGAGGTGAAAATTCGGACCCATCTTGACATTCATCTCGTTTTAAAGTAGTCCGGGAAAACTCTAGAGTAGAATTAAATAAACAAAAGAATGTTATTTGAGAACTTGGTCGAAAAAAATCGCAGCAGGCGAACTACTTACTTGATTGCGTTGCGTTTTCACGGCTGAAGAGCGATTGTGTGTAAGGAGTGGAGAGGGCATGGGGAGGGTATGTCTAGGGCGGCGGTGGGGGAGGGTCAATGACGCAAAAAATTTTCCTGTCGGTTGCGTGAAAATAATGCCAAGTATTGAAAAAGTTGGTCCAAAGAATAGTCAAACCACAATAGATCCTAACAATAATGATTTTCTATAATTATCTTAATTTTTTGAAGGACAAAAAGCATTATAATTATCAGAAGAAGTTTAACATTAGCCTCGTGTCCAGACTCCCAAAGCTTGCCGGGATCTGGGAACGAATCAGGGTTGCTGCGGTTACATAAGAATTTGCTTGCGTCAAGCATATAATCTTGGAGCTTGTGGCCAATCTATAATTAAAATATCCGGAATCACGAAGCAAAAAATTCCTTGATTCTAAATTATTTTTCCACATCAATATGTCAGAATTTGAAAATCAACAATGTCGACGCCGTAAATCGGTTGAAACCGAAAACGTCCACAGATCACTGAGTTTGATTGTCATGTTTCTGATTAAACTTTTTTATGTTTAAATTTTTTTTGTTTCGATTTTGGGTGTTTGTTTTATGTTTTCAATTTTTGATGTCTAGTTTCCGAAAAACAGGAAATACTTATAAGTTGTCGAAGTTTTGATTTTAAAAATTGGATTCGCCGAAAAACTACCTGAATCGACCAAGTGTTTACAGTGATATAGGAAATCAGAACCTATATCATAGAGCTCTTCATTAATAATTTTCAGTTCTTCCAGGGTAAAGCACAACTGGTTTTTAGTGAAACTGCAGTTTTGAGGTTCACTTTGACCACTTCTTTTCATTGTTTTTATCTGGATAAAATTGGAAAAACACCAACAAAACCGGAAAACTTATGTCTGGCGCCTTAGCTAACTGAAGTAAGATTGTTAAGATTGCTACGATCTTTAATTATATAGGATTGCTGATCCTGCATGCTTAAAGTTTAAACTGATAAAGTTCTTGATTGTTTCTGGCAAAAATGTTGTGTTGTTGTTGTTTGCATGATGGCAAAAGAGGAAAATAGACACTTCACACTGAGGATGGCGGTTAGCAAAGGTTAATGACAGTCTTGAGGACAGTAACCAATTACTATGTATTGGTAAGAAAAAATAGGCTATGTACAGCATCGTCAAGATGTCTCCTTCGATTTCTCGCCTCGTGGAATTTTCCGAAATATAGAAGTAGATCGGAAATAACCAGTGAATATTGCTGCGTTAAGACACCGGTATAAGTGTCCATATGCTTCTTGTGCAGAAGACGATGTTCAGTTTGCGTGCAACTCAGCAGGCGACGGGCTTTACAAAAATATTGTAAATGGAAATATAATAACTCTTTGCGTTTTGTAATTGGTCATGTAACGATCAACCACAATAGCAGCAATTAAGCTCCAAATGGCTGAATGGATGTGTTACTGTAGAATCATTTTACAAAACCCGGAGAATTTTCTCTGATCCGGTTCAAAATGATCTCAAATTCTTAAAATTTATCTGCGACTCAAAAACGAAACAAGTATCTCCTGTTTGAGAAGTTTCAAGTTGAAGTTTAAAGTGGAGCCTACGATAAGACATAGTTAGTAGAGGAGATGTATATATTGGGCGAGTGCTTGAAAGGGGTTTACTCAATAGGAGGCAAGTTTATGACGAGCCAAAGTCGGCGAGTTTCCTTTAGCTTCGAAGCAATTAAACTGATAAAGAGAAGTTTACCTGCGCAGACAAAAATAAACAGTTCGTGGCTATTACAAGCTTTCCTCTTCAGTTGTAGAAACAATGAACAGAATAGTTATACATCAAAGGCTGTGTTAAGCGCGACTGTAGTGATTGGCAAAGGGCAAGTACATATCGAGCGGTGCATACGGAAGGGGGTACGCTGAAAACAGTCAGGTCGTTTTACGGTCTGAAGGCACCTGGAAGAGTGCCAGACTGTCTGCCACCTTTTTCTCGACTGTTCGTTACAACGCTTTCTATTCATCCTGAGCGGCTGAACTGCATAAATATGGCCTCTTGCTGATGTGAATGAAACCAAAAGTAAACTGATCAGTGGATACGCGTGCGTAAGTTTCGATGTCTCATTCGTTTTCAATTCCTGAAGTATTCTACAGTTTTGGACGCGGTCCAACAAATATCGTAATTTATCCATGACAAGCAGAGTAATTAATCACAGAAGGCTGAGGCAAACAATTGATCTGCGAGACGCTGATAAATCGCAATTTTGTGATAATTAAGTTCAGCTATAATCTTATCATCCGGTTACTGCCAGGTTTGCTTTCCATGTTTGTTTTCGAGATCCGCTCTCGAAAGCTTAGGGATATAATTTTCCATTTTCTATGGATCAGTGAGAAGACAATTATGTACGAAGAAGATTTCATTGGCGGCAAACTGAAAATTAGACGATATGACGTATGAACAGACTATTATATGTAAACAGTTTAATATTTGCATGACATGCAGTTGCCTCTCGGCCAATGAAAAGTAAGAAGAATTGTATCAAATGATAATAGAAATTTAAGGGTGAAAGATGAAAAAAGTTATTGAAAAGGTATTCGAGGAATATCATGACTTGTCAGTAACAAGCATATTCGAATCGTTAACAAGTTAATAACTGATTTGCGTCACGATATTACGCTTTTCCTCGTCCACCAATTGTAAATTATATATTGAGGTGAATTACGCATACGTTTTGGTTGATTCTTACCGATGATCTATTAGAGGACAAACGTACAGATGACGTCAACGGTAACATCTTTTGCTTCTTTATCATATAAGACAAGTTAATTTCATGTTGCCGTGTGTCTGTTCTGTAATAGATCAGAGATGAGGTCGCAGTGCAGCATGCGTTATTCAGATCAATATATATAATGAACAATTTTTTGCACCGTCATGTGCGATATTCGTCGCTCTTTCTTAGAGCAGTCCGCGCAACAGCCTTGAACTGATCCTGTTAAATGGCAGGGTTCAGTCGGCCAAACATGACTTAAATGGCTGGCACGTGGTAAAAACACCTGTAAACAGCTTCTTGGAAGCGAATTCACGACCGGTTTTTTATTTTGTCTATTTTATTGTTTTGTTTTATTTTATTTTATTTTTTTTTCACTGATCTGAACACCAGATATTCCGATAAGCTTTCCATCGCAAATCTTTCAGGTAAACATTTGGTGATCTTATTCCCATCTTGGTTTTACCGGAATTAGAACAAAGGCGCTGTGTCTTTTGATCGTCCCGAAGCAACATTTTTTTTTTTGGTGATGGCAAACGCGGTTTCTGCTTGTCGGAAGGAAATTGAAGAACCAGGCTCTCAGGAAAAAGTCAACTCAGTAATAAAAGCTAGGGACACGCCCATTCCGTTTTATTTCGTTGAAGTTGAAAAATTTGCTTTCTATTCGTATGTAAAAGCCGATGAGGATCTTCCATCAAAATATTTTTGCACAACCAAATAAATAAAGAGAAAGAAAGTGATAGGTCACCAGAATCGTTGACGAGAAAGTGACGATTTACCAAAGGTGATCTTGGCCAAAAAGAGTATTGAAGGAGCTGCCAATTTCAGGTGACTATCTTCGTTATGTTATGCGCAGTAAGGAGAAGCATAGCGCATTCCTCATTAATGATCTCCGTCTCTTTCCCAGAGCCTCCGGTATGCTCATCCACTGGTCGAGGTTACGAGGGCTCTGGGTGCGAGATTGTTATGACCTTCTACTCGACCTCGTTCCCAAGGTCTTCTCTCTCCTGCACTTTACCGAGGGAAGAAAAGAGGGGAGTTTAAACTGAGTACGAGGAGTCACTAAACGCTTAAGTTTGCCAGGAAATAAAGCTTTTTGTTTAAACCCAGCGTTATTCTTAAATTTTTGTTAAAAAATCGCGGCCTCTCGAGACGATGTCCAAGCCTGTGTCGGCCATGTTGATTGATGAGTAATGCTTTCTCATACCTGTTTTTAAGACGATCTTTGCTAAGTGCCTAAGGCTCTGAGTCGATGGTGTTGTATAGTACTATGTCGAACCACATCACTAAATCAATACGCAGGCTGTGATTAATCAGTTTGGTGTTAAAGTTAATGGTGTACCACACACTACAATTTAATGGTGTTTTGAAGATGAAATCCTTTCCTTTCTATCTATCGCCGAGGGTTGTTAACTTTGCTGGTGAATGAAGACCAAATTTTCTTTGAGTTTTCTTTGAGTTAACTGGTGTTGAAGATTAAACAGCGATTTCGAATCGACAGGTTCTGCTATCGACGTGCGCCAGTCTTATTGAAACCGTTCCGTGTGATTGAAAATATCTCCTCAACATATCAGACGCACTGCAGAGAGATAAAAGATATCGTACTTACCTCTCCTCGTCGGTCTGTGCAGCAATTTACGGATCCTCGTCTCAAACTCAAATATTAAGTTTTTTTTGGCAAAAAACGGTTGCACAAAAAGAATCCCGGGAACGAGTTGGACTTCGGGTTGGACATGGAGTTGGACTCCAAGTTAAAGTTCGCGTCAAGAGTTTGAGAAAGAGTAGGAGTCTATACTTTTTGATTTATACTTCGAGTTAAAGTTCGAGATGGGCATCGAGTTTAAGTTCGATTTGGACCAGAGTTAAAGTTCAGGTGAAACTTCGTGTTGAATTGCCATAAAAATGCTATAAAAATGCCATAAACGAAAAAAAGAAAAAAAACAAAGTGGAGAGGGTAGGGAACAGGGGCCCCCGCAAAACTAAAGGCAGCCATGTACCTAATTCTGGAATGTTCGCATCCCGGGGAGGATTTCCATGCCAAAGAAGCCGGGAGGCAGCTAAGGGACATCTCATCACTGACCTGTTGCTTTTGACAGGACAAAAACAGCTTCCTCGTCGTAAGATATGTTAAATTTCTCCCCTTGTAGGTAAGGAACATCATTGAAGTATTACCCGTTAGAGCTCAGCTAATAGTGCCATACTCTCCTTCGCAGTCGCTCTCTGGGATATATCTTGGGGAGAACGTGGCGTGACATCCCATACCGCAGTCACATCCCGTGACATCCCATACCGCAGTCAATTGGCACCACATCCCGTGACATCCCATACCGCAGTCAATTGGCACCACATCCCGTGACATCCCATGCCGCAAAGAACTGCCGCGAGGGAGTCAATTAGCACCACAGCACAACGATATCACGAGGGTGGGAGGGTGATAGGTCTGTCAACACTTTTTACCATCATGGCACCTTGCGCTTTTTTAATTCACAAGAAAATTTACCCCTCTCATGCACCTGCTTCTACATGGATAGATTTCTCTTAGCGTAAGAGATGGGTATGGCTATCCTACAATTGCTTATTCCTGAATGAAAAATCGTTTCTTGAGAAGGAAGCTGATACTCCAGCGATGAATCATCATGAACTACTTTGATTACTATTTTGGAAAGTGACTCGAAGTTCAACTCGACTGCGACTCGAGCATGCCTCACTCCCACTTTGGGGTCCCGGACGTAGCACGTGCTTAAGTTCGACAAACATGACATATTTATTTTCTAGGAATAAGAAGGCGTTCCCTGCCCCCCCAAAATGTAAAAATTACGTAGTGTTTAGCAGGTGCATCTAAGGTCTTCTGAACTTATATCAAATGACCGAAAAGTGTCAGGAATAATCGGTAATCTCTGGCAGCACAACCCAATCTCGATTTTGCCCTTTCCTAATGAATAACATAAATGTGACTCAATGACTATGAAATAACCAAGACTGTCATACGCGCGCGCTCTCATTTGTTGTCAGTCGGTGTGTTTGGATGGGGTATTTAAAAATAGTTTGATGTGTTACATGGGCACACAATTTCGAGAAAAATTTTTTAAAAACCAGCAACAGAAGATCCTCTGGAAAGTGACTCGAAGTCCAACTCAACTGCGAGTGCCATTTATTCAGCTTCACCTAAGACCTGGAGTGGTTGGGACAATCTTCGAAAGTCGTGCCGACACGAAACACAATCGAAGATTTGTACAAATGTCTCTTATTTTCAAACCAAGGCCTTCATTATTGATGATTCAGTAAGGCTGTTCGTTCATCAGCGCATAGGTTTGATCCAAGGTGTTGAACAACGCGATCCGGTGAGAGGTCTGGAATAGGGCTTGAACTGCTTAGTGCCAGATCCCCGCCGGCCAGCTTTGCTCAAGACCAAATCTTACTCGCGAGCGAAGGAACGCTTTGCGCTGCAATGCTTAATACAAGAGCCAGCTCGCAAGTTACCCACGCCTCCACTTGTGTTTACTCATGGTTATATAAAACCATGTGAGGGCGAAAAAAGTCGATCCGACTATCTCGTAAATGATAATATGCGAACAACAGTGCTAGTGCGCTTCAGTTGCTAAAAAACACAACAAGTCTTTATTCCTGACTGCATGAAAGTTTTGTTTTAAAAACTTAAAAGAAAAGATTTACTCAGAATAGTCGCGAATTTCTCTATAGTTTTATTAACCTTAGAATTCGCTTCCTTCCTGCGAATGTCTTTCTTATTGGTTTGAAATTTTGATTTAGTCCTTCACTTGAGTATTTTAAGTTAACCCAGTATGAGTTTGAAATCAGCCTTAACTCGAAGGTAGAGAGGATCTCGGTCTGATGGACACAAAAATATGACAATAATCCGCTTATTAGACCCTTAACAGCCCGGCTTGTGACGTCATATAGGACGGTCGCGGCATCCAACTACTTATGATCTCTACGTCTCAATTTTTTTTGCAGCTGTTGGCCGGAATTTCGCATCACTGTTTTCTTCTAGAGACTTCTTCTAAATTATAACCACGCCATGGGGGTAACCTGTACGACTCATTATTTTCCTCAGTCGCTTCAGGAATCTGCCTCGTTGTCCTCAAAGCTCTACAAACCATTTCCGAAGAAAAAACGCAGTACTCGCGGCGGTGTAATTATGCAATTAACGGGGGAAGGACTAGCAAGTAGCATCCCTCCACGACACATCAACGACCTGATCTCTTCAGTTCGATATCATTATCAATACCAGTGTTCATTTGCCGCCCAGGATGACTCCGAACTTATTTACGGTGAGAAACGATACACAATATTTAATCACAGATTACATGGTTTAGATTAGAATGTTTCGAGCACATATGCACTTCAAATCCAAAAGGAGCGTTTCCATCAGTGACCAATGACAAAATTCAATATTGCATTTTGGATTTGACCATGTATATTATGTTGTGACGAGAATTGGAAGCCTGTTTAATTTTTAATTTGAAAAGATTGTGATAAACCGATTTTAAAATAACTGTTTCGCTGGTTTCTTTGACAATATTTTGATATGCAGGTCAAGATCGTATTCAAGATTTTTTTTTATATAATTTTATAATGATTTGCTGCAGCCGTACTGTTTTACTTGCACCTGTACACACATAAATGAAAACAATATCCCCTTTTTATAAGAAATGACGGATTTTCGCCCGGCGTTTCGATCAAGAGACCAAAAAACTTTTTTCCATGAGATTAAAAAAGGAACTAACGGTCATTGAGCGTTCCTTTAAAATTTTGTGTGCGATAAGCTTTGTAGACGAATCGATGAGGAAAATGGCGAAACGTAGGAGGGAATGTTTAGAATATATTTAAGACTGCGTGGATCAAAACGAAAGCAGAAGGTTTATCATAAATGCAAACGGTGTACCTAATTTTCATTTTTGTCAATGTGTGATAATCAAAATAGACGAGCCGACTGATTCAAAGAGCGTTTGCTCTGCGAGGATGGATCGAAGGCACAATCTTAATTGTAAATCAGCTATTCTATCATGTTCTTAACAGTTTTGCATATGACAATAACAAGCCGCACGGTCATTAAAACTCGTTCATGCATCGGTGTCAGCTGAAATCTAATTTTCCATCCTTTCGCAAGATAGGTGGCACAATGTAAGGATCATTTAGCTCCGCGGCCAACCCGCCCTGTCAAATTAGTAGAGAAAATAACCATGTAACCAAGTAACCGTACAAAAGGCTCTCTTGTTTATGGCGGGGCCTTACCTATTCGGGATGGGCGTCGTTTCGCCATTGTAGACTATTGTGATCTAATGGACAAAAAAGCGAAAAGTAAAAACACTAGAAATCAGTCAATCGGTCATTACTTATCGCCTGGGGGGTAGGGTGGGGTTTGAAGGATTTTATCTTTTGGGATGGGGATCAAATGGTTTTCAGGGGGGACGGAACGGGGATTACATGTCACTAACAGAATATAAATGGAGGACAATAGAAAATTTAAGAATATTACGTAGCCTCGGGAGGGTTAGTTAAATTTTGTTGCGACACAATTAAAATCCTTCAACCCCCCACTCCCTCAAGTAATTACTGTTTTTCCAGTTGAAGAGAAAAAAAAAACTGTTTCTATTCGATGTGGTTGGCGCAGCTAATATTTCGTAGTTCTTGGCTGCACTATATTTTGGCTGCTCTTAACAGTGTTTTTTTTCAGACACGATGGAGAATTAGATATATTTCATTACGGTATACCGTTTCTATATCAGTCTTTTATCCTTGCTACTGGCTAATATACATTCAAATGATAGCAGATAAATGTTGTAGCTATAACAAAAAATTTACACGAGATATTTTGTTTTCTTAGCTATTAGCGTAATATCATCACTGAATTGAAATTACTTGTTAACTGTAATACCTAATAGAGACACTGACTAGTCTCAGAACTTTTGAAACTTTTTCAACAGTATTTAAATCAACTTCAATATTCATTTCTCTACCACAGTGTTTCACTTCAATGGAAGCTGGGACTTTTAAGTACGTGAATATTCACAACTCAAACTAGGTCCAAAATGTTGCTAATTGTAATCATTGTGTCCGGTTCTCCAATAGATCATTAGTAAGAATACATATGTATATCAAAATGCTTATTATTTAATCTTATATGTCTCCTTCCTAGGAGTTGTGGTGGAGCCAACATCTCACTTGGCTAAACATCCGACCTATACTTCGCGCACGTGCACATGGGACTTGGCATCCTCACCCTCGACGGCTATTACCAAGTATCATTGCGCATTAACTTCTGGTCCTTGGTCGATCTCGCCGAATGGGCAACAATTGTGCTGCTTAGCCATGAAACAGGGCGTACACGAAGAGGAAGATCTTTTCTTGTCGAGGTACGACTCTACACCGCAGAAATGTACTCCTTGTAACATCCCAGGAAGTTTGTCGGAATATCGACGGATTTATCCCCAGGAATGTCCGTACTCACACGATGGGAACACAATTGCTTCAATTCGCGTTGTTGCCGGAGCTCTCCAATTGGCAATCACTGCTGCGCGTAACGGAAAGACCATTTGTAGTGAAAGAGTCAGCAAAGTTTGCTTTGGTTTTCGTGGTGTTGTCGTTAATTGCGCGTTCTCTCCAAACGACCGCCTTCTTGCAGTTACTTCCTCGTACGGACAAGTATATTTATTGAACTCTACCAGGTTAACACGAGTGAACAGTTTAGATTGTGTGTCTATTCTGTCTCCCTACAAAGTTTCAGAACTTGCCAATGGAAACCCGGAAGACTTCGTCACGTATTCCGTTTGCGCGTTTGATCCACGTTTCCCTTTCCAAGAGTTCGTCACTTGCGTCCTGTACGCTGGGATAGTAAAGATATGGCAAATGTCATGTTGTGATAAAAAAGATTCAGAGATTCAAAACAGACACACGCTAACCTTCAAAAAGCTATTAAACGTGGTTAGGTATTCTCCCAATGGAACGATTTTGGCAGTGGGAGGAAAAGATGGGACCATTTCTTGTATAAATGTTGATGATGGAACTGTGAGCTTTGTTCTTGATGTCACACAACAGCCACTAGAATTCCACAGTTCTGCAGATGTTTTTCACGTGGCATTCACGCAAAGCGGAGAGCAACTCGCTGCAAGTTACAGCGATGGTTGCATACGAATTTGGCAACTGCCAATAGTTTTTGATTTGAAGTTGCTTTGTCGACTAGTGGTTAATGCATGCGTCCCACCCAACAAAGTTCTCCAGCTTCCACTGCCTCTGAGACTTCAAAAATTCCTTCTAAACATAAATTTTTAATGGTTGTGGGGGAACGTCACACGTGGCGTGCGAACTAATGATCCCATGAACACGCAAACTACCTGAAGAGCGAGAAAACGTGAGCGACTATCTCACGATTAGTATAAAGCTTTGATTGGTCGAGTAAGATTGGTTGAAAGTAGCTAAGCTAACCATACAATTAAAATCTGAAGAGAAATAAATAGATACAGAATCAGACATGAATGAATTGTTAGCTGTCTCGATCATGTCCTCATTCTATAGAGCTAGGTCCCAGATCATCATCAAATAATTATCTTAAATCTATAATCACAAGAAATAAGTTCAGCGCAAAACCTTACGCAAGAGAACGCAATTCCTCTCACCGCCAAGTTTGTTTCAGGGTGTATTTTTTTTGGTTATTCGAAGTACACCTACTCCCTTAGTGTGAAGGGAGACGTCGATAGAAACTTTTTAACACTAACTCCTACTGCTCAAGCTTTATCATTTCTTAAGGGAAACGTTTTGAAACTACCTTAGAGAAAGTTGCTATGCAACTGTCGCTCATCATACATAAGTCAGATATAGAAAATTGTAAAAAAAAAAAAAAAAAAAAAAAAAAAAAGTATTACTATGATAATACTTTTTGTCTTTTGTCTTTCTATATGATAAATGTTAAAAAATTTCTCGTGCTCTTTTTCTATTTTTTTATTTCAATAACTGGAAAGGCACAAACTACTTCACTGCGCGCGGTTCTTCCCGTAACATTTCACCGAAATCGCATGACAATTCTCATACAATACTTTCATAATTAATTTGATAACAAAGATTCAAGTAGTTTTAGAAAATCCTGGTAGCCTTTTATTCCCCTCCTGACCTGAGTCAAGCTTTTTAAATTGTAAAAACACCCCTCTGCGCCCAATTGTAGTAAAGTCGACACAGAGGCGTGACATGTAAAATACTCCTAAAGGGCTTTGAAGACGAACAGAAAAACACAGCATACAGCAGATTGTTGGGTTATTACCTTCAAACTTTGGAAAAAGGTTTTGGGACAACTAACTCAAACCGAAATTGCACCGCATTGAAACAAAACTACAGCAGTGAATCTCTTAGCCACCCTCCCCCCCTCCTTCGTGCAAAAATATTAGGACCCATAGGACCCCATAGAAGCCCCCTTGCCCATCCCACCCCCCCAAAAAAAGCAAGAGTAGAATGGTGGATGGATGGATGTCCTTCATTGTAATATTTTAGCAAGAAAATTGAAGAGTTTTTCTCTTGGGAAATTTAAGTTTAGTTTGAGCTTTCAGTTTTCCATGTAATTAATGTTCATACTTGGCGCCCACAAGCTCCCAAAAGCCTGGGTTCGACTAGTGACGTTGCGAGTGTCTGCGTGGCTCCCATTGGGAAAATCAATATGGCGGAAGACAGTACACCGGTATCGAGTGAACAAAAACGACCTGTTGACTACGATATGAGAAAGCTTTCAGAAGATGGAAAAATGGAACAGAAAGAATACCTGGTGTGCTTTTCGTTTTTCGTCTTTTTATTCCTTTGCATGCTTCGTTTTAGACCATAAGTCCCCACAAACTATTTTGGTAGTTCTTGTTATGTACAAGTAAATTTTTAGATATTGTTTATAGATCAGCTGTGTTGTTGATTTATGGATGAGACGGAAATAGTTACAACAGGTTCTGAAATTTTAAAATTCTTCTATGATTGTTTTGTCGCTTGATACGTGTTGTTTTTTTCAATTCATTTTAGGAAACATACAATGTTGTTCTTAGTTGTGTCAAGTCCATGTTTGATTTGAGTCGGTGAGTTTGCTTGCAATTTTGTGTCCAAGATCGTTTAAAAGGGAAGTTTTTTTTCTCGTGATATGTTGATGTTTAGCTTTTAATTATGTCTGGCGATATTTCTTGACAAATAGGTAAAATTTTTCTCTGTTTTAATGTATCATATTGAACCACGAGAGTCATTAGGGCTATAGCTTGCACATGTAATTACATGTTGTTCTTGTGAAATGTTTATACGTTGTTGTTATTTCGATATTCTTGAACAGGGACAACGAGCACAAAGAGGAGAGTCTGTCTGAGGATATGGAGGAACCACAATCGTAAGCTAGCTGTTTTTGCTCATTTGTGAAAGAAATTTTAACTGTTTCCTCTTGTGTTGAAGTGAGAGATAGCCTTAGGATTAGCTGCTCTATTGTACCTTGGCATGGGGTTATGCTGCCCCCCCATGCTAAGTAATTTTATTTAAGTGTAGTCATGTTGTCCCCTCCCTTCCTGTTAGTTTGACTGAAGTGAGTGGTCTCTCATCACAATTGCACTTGGAGGTTTGATGTTAGAAGCATGAGGTGATGATGCAAAGTTTTTTATTGTTTTGATCAATGAGAGTCACATTGGTTTAGTGGTGATTGCAGAGGATGACCTAGGATTGCACATCAAAAGGTCTAACTAGCTGTCAGCCTTGGCTGGATTGCTGTGTTTTGTTCTTGGTCAGAACATATGACTCTGTCAGTGCCCCTCTCCACCTAGGAGTATAATTGGGTACTGAAGAATCATTGGGTAAACCCGAAAATGCTAGGAGGTTACAAACCTAATGTAATGAACTATTATACCATTCAGGGAAGGGGAAAGGAGTGTGGAAATATTTTCACTTCATGCCACTTCAACCATGACAAGTCCTGAAAGGATAGGCTGTAAACTAACTTAACCTTTTGTCATTATACAACAAGTTTAAAACTGTGACCACATTAGAAAAATTGCTGATAATCCTTGATACCTTAGGGTCCAAACCATTCATTTTATTACATCAATAATTCATGCATAAGCCCTTAGTCAGAGAAATCTATTTCACTCTGATGAAGGGCGACATTCAAAATGCAAGCTTTAGAATCTCTTTACTATGCCCAATTCACATTATCAACTCAGTTGATAAAACCAAAATATCCTCTTATACCTTTCCCCCCCTTCCACCTAAGCAGCAACACAGTAACTGTTTCTGCAACACAGAAACTGTTTCTTAGGAACTTGGCCCCTCAATTTATTCCTTATCACATTGAGTCTTAATTTCTCTCTGGGTGACTTGACTACACCTCAATTAAGCTTTTGCCTCAAGCAAATCTAATCTCACTAAGTAGTTTTTTCTAGCATTTTTTCAATAGATTGTATTAACCCTTAAACTCTCCAAAAAGAATATATACAGGTTATGTGTAGCACTAGTATGTTCTTATTTATGACTCCCAACCCGTAAACTGTAAAATTTGAATTCAAAAGCCATGAATATTTAAAACAGGAAGAAGTGATTTTTAAATGTGTTTCCAGCTGGTTTTTCTTCATTGTTAAAACATTCCCACTTATGCATATGTTAAAACATGTGGTTGTTATGGATATCTTAATGTCATTTCAATTTACATAATATTTTTGATCAGAAACTTAAAATCTGGTTTGGTGCACATATATGCATTTGAAATTTGATGCTGAAAATCTACAAGCAGCATGGTGTTGCTGCTTGAAGTGAAGATTTAGCCTTTTCTTTTTATTTGAAACAGTTTTAATTTAACTAAAGTATGGTTTTAAGTTTTAATTACCTCCATATTTTAAATGTGAATTGTTATTATCATTAATATTTGTCACCTGGTTACCATAGGAACAAACGTCTTATTAAAGTATGTTCTTTTATTCTTGTGGTTGATTTTTTGATCACAGAATTATTAACTTTTTAATTTTTGATTATTATACAGGAAAACAGAACTGAGCAAAGTGCTTTCTCAAATCTGTGGTCTAGTGAATCATGAAAAGCCACAAACACAGTAAGTAGTCTTTATCAATTTTCCTTTACTCAGCACTTACATGTATATACTGGCTTTTATTCAAAATAAACAGAGAATGATAGCCAATCCCATGTAATGCTCAAACTTAGCAATCAATTTTTTGTTAGCTTTTCTTGGTTTTTATTGCCTGAACCAATTTATACTCCTGCCAGGGTAGACGCATTGTACCTTAGGACATGATGTGGTTTCTCTTCATCAATCTAGAGCTTACAAACAGTGTTATGGAGTATGTGGACCATGATGAGTTTATTGACCCTGATAATTTGAATGAATATGACCCAGAATCCCAATTCTCAAAAGTTTTATTGTCCAGTGATGAAGAATGGAAAAAAAATTGGGAAAGAGAAACCACTTTTAGTCTCAGTTTACTCTGATAGTGTTGCTACTGAAGAATAGAGATCATTATTAGAATTGTTAGACATAATTGGAGTTAGTTCTCTCTCTGATGTTGTCTGTGAACGAACACAGATTCTTTTGCATATGAGCCCTCTGCACATGAGAATCAAATTAAGTCATTATAGTGTGTACCACTTTGCTGTGAAAATAAGACCTTGCTGCAGTGGTGTGTTAGTGACATATAATTTAGAAATGATGTTAAGGCTTCAAAAGAAAGTCTTACCGTTTTAAACTGTCTTCACACTGAGAGAAGCTAATGACACATTCCTTGTTATTTGAAGGTTCACCTGTGTACCAGATCATTACACTCACATCAACATCATTGGCAAGACCCTATCATTATATTTATCCTTGTTGGATGAAGCTTGTGTAAATAAATTGTCTGCATGTATCAAGTCTGACTGCTCGCATTGGCTATCTAAGCTATTTGGGTAAGAAAGATCTACCATAATATAAAATTGAGATTGACCTATTGAAACAAATATAACACCTTGCATTTCACTCTTTGAAAGTTTTGCAAATAAGGCTAATATTCATCACCGAAAAAAAAAGCACTTGTATGCAAAACTTTTGAAGCAAATCTAATGCATTAAGAGTCAACTGATTTTCAGTGTTGTTTTAAGGTAATTCAATAGATGCATGATATGAACTGAACAGGCCACAGAATTTAATTATACTTGCGTGGCAATTATGGCATTTGCAAAGCAATGTGCCTTTCTTGAAGTTGCCACTAGTAAAATCCAACTTGAGGAATTTAATGAATTGAAATTGAAAATCCACCATGTTTCATATACACTCTATTAAATTTGCAGGTATGAAAATGCTCTATGTTGCTTTCATGAACACCAGTGGGATGGGTTGGTACGAGGTAAGGCTTGTATTATTCTAACACTATATAGCACTATAGGTATGCTGATGATCATGCCTTTAATGGCACTTTAACCTGTGAGCTCAAACACAGATCTTTATTCAGTTTGCAGATTGGCATTAAGATTGAAATACCCTAAATTTGGAACAGAAGGATTTACAGCTCTGTATACCAGGTAACATTACTCAGGTCTCAAATTTGGGCATACTCAACAAATTATATGTACATGATAGTTAGGTAAATTGAATTTTGACTTTGTTTAATCTGAGATACTACATGTAAGTTATGCTCATGTAGTTTGATATTCAAAATATCAGTCACTACCCTCTAGGACTACCCCCAATCGTGATGATGTTGCAAGATCAGTTGCTACCCACAGCATATTTATTTATAATTTGTATTGAGAAGATTATAGACAGTGGAAGATGATATCATATTTATTTATCATCCATCAAATATTTTTGTTCATGCGCAACAGGTCAAAATGCATCATGTGACCGTAACCCTCAGCCAAATTGGGTGATATTCCATAATAACACCTAAGCAATATTCCCTAATTTTCAAACTCTATTTCCACTAAGATAAGCCTTTGTTTCAAACTTAATTCAAGATGAGAGAGGGTTTTGTGGTTGCTACAGAAGACAGGAAATCTTTTTTTTCATTACGTCGTACTAGAGAACGCTCAAAAAAAACATCCCATGCTACTTACAGTAAGCTGTTCGTAAACATTTTTTCACATGCATTGCAAAACTCACAGTTTTCCTTGAGCTTTGCTCAAGGAAAACTGTGGTAAACTGTGGTAAACTGTTCACATCTTGGAACAGATAGTGCGTGCAGACAAATATCTGTACATATTTTAGAAGCTATTGTTTATTCATTTTGTTTATGATTTGTTTACAGGCCCCCTGTGGTGTACATCAGTTCATCTGCTTGCAACTCATTAGGACATTATTTGTGTACACAGGTGTGTATTCTGGAGAAAAAATCTCAATTTTAAGTATTAATTAAAAGTTCCAAGGAAATAACTGATAATATAATTAAAATGGTCAAGGCATAGATATGATTTCCTCGTGTAATGTGATTCCTTTCTTAAACATACTTTATCTTCGTTGAGATGTATATACTAGGGATTGATAACAGAATTGATTGTCAACTTTGCAACATTCATTCATTTGATATTCTACTTGTTTTAACTGGCTAATTGAGTGATGACCAGAATCTGCATTAAAATTAGTTGAGACATAGAGAGAATAATACATGGGCATGTGTAGATATGGAATTTCTCTTTGAGTGTTTAACTCGATAGCTCATGAGTGAGTGCAGTGAACGAGTGAGATGTTGAGTTGAACATGAGAAGAAAAATTCCATATCTTCTAGCAACCATGTATTATTTTGTCTATTATATAACCTAATAGCCCTTTACTGAGAAGAAAAGACGACTTCATTGATGAATAAAAATAAATTAATCGACAATCCCTGAATAGCAATCATTGAGTGCATTGGCGCTAACTCTTAAGTTGAAAAAATGCGTGGAATCATGATTACAAAAACAGAAATGGTTGTAATTTTCAATTTACAAAATTCTCATTTATTGACTTTGTCCTTACCGACAGAGGAAGTCCTACAGGTAAATCAGCCAGTGGCAAATCTTCCAGTTGTTGATTTTCATTCTCAGCCAAGAGAAATGCTAGCGCCAAAAGCCGCTGAATATGTAACTTTCGGTTTTTCTTTTAGTATATTGGTTTCTTTCCCCTTCTAAGAAAGTTTGAACCTCACAGTCTGTCAGTGATAAGGATTTTTTAGTGTTTGAGCTGCCATAATTCGAGAAAGCTCTGACATACAACTTGTATTGAGAATCGTGAAGGCTCTACCATTCATTTATCAACCTGACCGAGTGGCACCAAAGGCGAGTGACGTGTCAGCAGCTGATTGGCTATATCAACACACATGAAAAAAATTTGGTACTTTTTCACGCATGTTGTTATGGCTTTTCTGAGCTGGAAATCCCAGTGTAACACCACTGTTTATGTGATAAAATATTTTACAACATCTGACTAAAAAGAAGCAATATTTAAAACTGATCTCTTTTTTTTCCTTATCAGCTGGGATTACCTCAATCCAGTGTCTGTAAAGGTAAAGAGATATAAAAAGTGGTTTAATCCACTTTTCCCATGTTACCTAAATGAACTGTATGTGTAGTGTCAGTAGTTTCTTAATATTTTTTTTCACCATGTTATTGTGGCATGTTAAGTAAAATTATGAAAAATATCTGAACTAATCTGTAAGACACAGAAATAGTTTGTGGAAACCTAAGGTAAACTGGGACATGATGAATCTGTAAGAGTCTTTCAAATTTGTGCATCACTTTTATTTGTTAATTGAACCCAAGCTATGATATTGGTAAATTGTGGTGTTGTGAATTGGGTGACCAACTTTATTTGACAAATGTGTGTTGTTCAAGACTAACGAGAAAACCTTCAGCTTTTTTCTGCAAACTGAAATGTTTGTCATTTTTTGAGGTCTAATTTTCTTTTCATGTCTTCTCTAGTGCCATGTAACACAGTGTTTGGTTCAACACATACTATGGTGAGCTAACTGTAACTTAAACTTTTGACATGGTTGCCAAAAAGCAAATAGCCACAAACAGCAGATCTATTTCAATGAATATAGTATTTAAACCGAGTTTAAATACTATAGAGGCCAGATAGGGGCCACATACTATTGGCAAGTAAAAGCTCCTGCTGGCTGTACAATGAACTCAATTCTAAACTGGGCTAGACCTCACCCAGTTTTTGTATTTTTCTTTTATTCAATGTACACCAAAGACAACATCCTCTGTGAAAAATTTTACAGTGGTAACACTGATAAATAACAGGAACATTATTGGGTAAGATTTAAGAGTTTTATATTGTCATAAAACCATTTTTGTGTACCTCATTATGAAGAAATTCTTGAATTCTCACTTGACAGGACATTGCTGCCTTTGAGAGGCTCTTCAATGATGATGTTTCATGCGGCAAGACACCGCTGCTTCTTATTGCCTATGCAGGTATGTGAACACCTTTCTTTACTTACAGCCCTTTTTTACATCCTTTGCACCAGTCCTATAGCAAATAGCATCATGGCTAAAGTGACCAATCAGTTTATACAAACCAGACTTAGAACAATTGACTGACTGCAACTCTTCACTTGACTCTGATGATGACTTTCACCAAGTTGTAGACAACAGTCTATCTCAGAACTACCCTCACCTGAATGATTAGACTACACAATGAAATCCCTTCTCTGAGAGCCATTTCATGATGACCCTAGGTTCAAATGCATGCATTGTCATTTTCTCTTGCTTCTGATAATGTTCTTCCTTTTTTATTGCCATTAATTTTTTGTAGAAAAAAGCAATTATGAAGTAAATATTTTGATGACATAACAGTATTCATCAATCTGATTTGAAAATGTTTTTGTTTTCTTGTGTTAAATGATTTTTTAATAGGAACCCCATTGGCTGGACATACTGATAATCTCAGTAGATTAAGAGAACTTTGCACACAGAATGGTCTCTGGCTTCATCTTGAAGGGTATGGTCAATAATTTTCATGTATTGTACTGGACAATCGACCAAGTATTAAGGTTTTTTTTTTTACTGAAGGACTGTTTCTCATACTCTTTATTCCTTCTTGCTTGTGAACAGACAATTAAACATTCATTTGAAAGGCATTTGTACCTGTGGTGAAGGTTTTTCAATGTTCATTTACTCTCCTGCTAATTGACTCCATACTAACAGTTTTTTTGGTACATATATTTTTTTTAAGGGACACCCTGGCAACCCTGTGCCTTGAAACAGTTCCTGCTTCCTTAAAGGTATTAATTTTGTTATGGAATTTTTTAATTACCTTCAATTATGCTTATATAATTTATTTAAGTTTTAAATCTCTTTCTTTGATCTCCAGAGTGCCCCTGCCTGTGACAGCATGAGCCTAAATATCAGCAAATGGTTTGCATTGCCCAGTGCACCTTATTGTGTATCTTTTTTATTGATGATAATTAGAAAAGACAATAAAATGGTCTTTGAAGTTTTCTCCTTAATATGTAATTATATTTGGGCAATTTCTTTTGATATAGCAGTTAACATGATCTGTGCTTTCAAAGAAATAAATTGAATGAGCAATTGAATAATTTGGTTTATCAATAATGCAAATCGGTCACTGTGAAGAGTTTCTAAAGCTGACCTTTGGAATGTTAGCCCTTCCTCAGAGCGATTAGTGATTGATTGATTGATTGATTGATTGATTGAAATAACAGTTACAGCACTGAAGATTGGAATCTTTTAGAATCATTGTGTTTCCTAATACAGGTGCTAAAAATTGAAGTTACTTTGGGAAAAAGTTATAGAAAGATCACATCAAATCATCTATAAAACTTCTTTCACTGCAGGCTGTGGGTGGCCTTTGAAAATGAATCAGGGGTTAAAGTTAATGAGTTCTGCTGCAATATTCGAATAAGATGTTTTTAGATTTTATTTATTCAATAAACCGTCATTGAATTATATCTGATGTTTCAAAGATACCTTTATGTTTGTTCATGTACCTCAAATGACACGTGTTTAAGGGTAATGTGACTTAATATTTGAGGCCTTTATATCAGTAATTAACGATATAATGTTAATTTTGCACAAAAATTTCTCTTAATTTGGAGCAAGACATTCTACAGAGCAAAAGATCTTGTTTTGGTATGTATAATCCATTACATTTTTGTCCTTTTTATATTTTCTTTTTTGTTGTTGTTGTTGCATTCGCTTCTCACTTCTGAGCCTAACTGACGAGGAAATTGTGAGTACTTCATATTGAGTGACTGAGATTGAGATAGAGCTCTTGTTTTGTAGGCAGAGGCCTCAGGACTCAGTCAAAGCCACACACCTGACAGACTGTCTGTCCTTCCTCTTTGGATTAGTATTCAGACTATCGGTGAGCATAAATTCTATGTTGTATGGGATGTTTTTCGCCTAAAACATTTTCACTCCCTGGATAATTGGAACCACTGGGGCAATTAGCAACCTTATTAGTATCAGTGGCTTCTTTTTTAAGCTCTTTTTCATAAGGTATCAATGTTGATTATAGACAAGGTTTATGCCCCTATCTGTAATATCATTACCAGTCAAGGATGCGTACTTGTTTTTAAAGAATCTACTGCATGAAAATTATGTCAAGTGCTCTCTCTACCAAGGACACTGATTAATGTTGAGAGAGCTTTGTAAGAATGTAATCATCAAGGCTAAATTGTCTGAACCAGTACCATGTCTATGTACACTTTTTGTTTGAAGTAAACTCAGGAACAGTGTTTAGTAAATTTCAAACATCTTGTGTGTGCATTTTTTTTCTTTTCATGGTGTTACCTAAGTACATGTAATAAGCTAACAGCATTTTTTTTTTTTTTTGATAACAGGTTTAGATAAAATGCAAGAAATGATTTTACATGCAGCCCAACTGGTAAGGATGGCTATTATTATGAATACTAAAAGTGCTTGGGATCAGTATTTTGTGTATCTTTGCTTTGTAATAACTGAGTTAAAAATGAATCAAATATTTCTTGGAAGATCTGATTATCATTTCCCATTCATTTGACAACAATGTATTATTTTCTAGTCTCAACAATTGTGTGTGAGTTTAGATGGCATGCAAGCTGCTGTGAAGAGGATTGTAAGTAACTGACTTTATAGATAAATTGTTCAGCTACATAGTGTTTTATTGAGTAGTATTTTTTTAGTTGTGCTGATAGAATTCATAATCTTGTTTTCATTTAGTGCATAGATTTCAAACTTCTTATGTATCGGGCATAGCAAGAATCCTCGCCCCTTTTCAGTTTTCCAAAGTATTGCCATTTTCTGTTATCATTGCCATAGTTTCCCACCAAAGCCCACAGAAATTCATGGCATGTCTAAATGTTTTTCGCCTCCGTCAATCTGACAATTAGTGTGTTTACTTCAGGCCCAGCCCCACTGTATGTCGTCCATGGTTGTGTTCCAATACAAAGCAGCCCCTGTATCCCCAAGTGGATCCATTTTACAGACTGGTGGAGAAGAAGATGCCTCAGATCAAGATGAAGAACAAGGTACCTTGAGATAGAAAGCACCTGTTACCTGAAGTATGCTGCTTTTGATGTTCTTTTACCAAAAAGTAACCCACCCCACCCCACATACACTGAGATGTTTGGTTTTAACCCCCACACCCCAAAAAAATCTGTAGTTCAGTGATATAGCATAGAAGCACAGATTAATCTCTGTAGTTCAAGTCCTCCTAGTGAGTCAGATCTTTTTTGTTGTCCCACAGTTATGACAAGACAAAAACCATCTTTCTTGGTTTCATGATCAACCTCAGAATTTCCATCTTTCTTATTTCAAGTCTAATTTTTGTCTAGACTTGCCATCAATTTTTGACTTCTGGGGATGTGTTACTTAGAAGGAATTTTTCATCGGTCAAAGTGTTTCTCAAACTGGAATGTGATTGTGGTTCATTTTGTACAGATGACACAGAACTCTCCTCTTCCTCAAGATCATCGTCTCCAGAACCAGGCTGTGTTTCCTCTTCAGTGAGGGATGCAATCAATCAAATGGTAATGGAACTAAAATGCTGTACTGAAGTACATAATACAGTATTGAATAGCAAATTTTTTTTTTCTTGTCATCTTTAAGCACTCTCCCCTTGTTCAGTTAAGTGCTTTGTTAGTACAGTAGGCTGGAATCTTTGCCAATTAGCAGATAGGAACAGTAACTTAACATGTAAGGAGTGATTTAGGTTGTGTTTTTGGAAATTCCTTGGCTGTTTGAGAATGAAAGTGAAAACTGAGATGGAAAACAGTGGCCGAGGTGCAAGGGGAGATACTGAGATCTTTTAATTGATCTAATTAACCCAAGTGAAATTGTGTCAGAGTGGTTGTCATTTGAAACTTTTTATCACTAGATTGACATTGAATGGTGTTTAGGTGATGGGAAAATTATATATTGGTTAAGGAATATAATACTTTGTCAAGGAAATGCAGTTTATTCATAGCAAGGCAGTGCAGTTGGGAACTGAAATATACTGATTGGACAATTATCTTACTCTCCTTGAACTGAGAGAAGGAATGAGATCATAGCATTTACTTTCTCTTTATAACAGATTATGTTTTTATGGTATTTATCTTATTCTAGATTGCAAAATACCTGGCTCAACAAGTACCTTCAGTTAAAATTGGGGTTGTGAATTTGCCCAAAGAGGGATGCTGCATTAGATTCAATCCTGTCCTTTCATCCAGAAGTAAGTTTTACTATAAAGTAGGTCTTATCAAACCTCCACTTCTCCAAGTATAGGAACAACAGGAAAAAGCAATGTTTGTCACTTGACTATGGGTTTATATGTTTGTGTGCTTAACAACTGCTAGTCCTAACAACTTAGAGTAAGTGCTGAAAGTTTTGGCCTGTGGCTTTTGTTTTGACTGGAAACTCACTGAAACTTCTCTTGACCTATTGGCACTTCACTTTATTTTCAAGATATCTTTAGCATTTGATATAAAAAAGATGCTATAGATAAAGATCCACAACTTAACAAGAAAAAAAATTTTACAGAGGGGCACATGCCTTTGTTTGCTGAAGTGATGATACTAAATAAAATAATTCTATAATTGGGAAACTTGTATAAATAATTAGCTTATGTTTTATTTATACTGCTGCTGGAAGCTATGACTTCTTAAAAATTTTGTAAGAGAAATAAATTGCAGCAAATTGAATAATTTGTAATCTGTTATTTTTCTTTTTTTTTTTCTTTCAGTATGTGGAACAACCAACGAAAATGTTGAAGACTTTGTTATCTGCCTCAAAGAAGAAGTGGTGGGTCATGTTAATAAAGTTCTCTTAAACCTCATTGTCTGTTGGTGCAATGGCTTGAAAGCCACCAATCAAAATGCCATTGGTGGAAATCAACAATTATGATAATAATGTTAAGTGCTGCTCACACCTTTACCACTTGCAAAAATATTTTGAATATACACCGTATTTATAATTTGGTTAACCCTTCAAACCCTAAGAGTGACCACCATCTAATTTTTCCTTACAATATCACCCTTGAATCACCGGAGAAGATCACCAGTTAACCTCCTGATTGTTAAACAATTCTCCCTGTCAGCACTTTGGGGTTGATTTGAATTGTATTTAGTGACTGTTGGAGAACATGCTTTGGCCTCAAACAGTAACGGGAGCTTTTTCTCTTTTAAATTCAGGCCAGATTAGATAACCTGCTTCTATCTCAAGAGGAATTTAGGTTAGCAACAGAAGGCAAGGAACATGTTGTTGCAGTGGAGATTCAGGACACTTCAGCTGTTGGTGCCCTTCTGTAAGTAGAGCTAAGATTTACTCTATATATTTTGAAGGGTAAATTTAACTCATTGATGTAAGAGCCAATAGGATAATCTGTGGCAGTTTTGTATTGTACCAAGTCATACATACTGTAGTGTATAACAAGATACATTGATTGTAATTTTTTTTTTTTACCTCTTTGTGACTAGATGTGTTCCTCGTTACTGGACCAACAAGGATTTAGGAAAACTCAGGGAGGCCAAGAAAGTTGAACTTAATGACTGGAACAAAGAAGTGTTGGCAAAGGTTTCTGAAGGAATGGAAGATGTTTTTAGTAAGGGCCGCACACAAGATGGTCTCACCTGTATTACAATTGATAAGGTATTTAAAGTACTGTGCAACACAACTGCTTTTGAATGTGTTTGCTGATTCAATCCAGAGGCCCACTGTAGACATTAGTAAAGATTACAATATTTGCAGTTAAATCTCACTAGGTCCGTGGTACTATAGATAAACCAAAAATTTACTGCCTTACCTGTGTACCTTAAACAGCTTCTCTGGCAGTGTTGCATTTCTGAGTGGTAATCTTGAAATTAACAGATGATGTTTGATGTTTGTCAAGAGCAAAAGAAGAGTTGTTAGTTTTTTTTTCCTCTTTTTTCATCTTATCATTCTAACAGATGTTTCTACATCTTTATTTCTTTCCATCTAAATTCCTCCTTCTCTTTATTCTTGTTATCTAGTTATCTCTATGATTTAGCTTTCTCTGTGCTGTAAAGCTTGATTACAAACTTTTCCCTGATCTTTTCTTAGGTGCCAGCCACATCATCTGTTGATGCAGTGGTAGATATTGTTTGTAAAGGAGCTACAGAACTGGAAACCTCGAGCAAGGTGTACTAAGCTGACTGAATTATTGTTTTATGTGACTGAATTATACTCCATCTGGTTAACAAACATTAGTCCAAGTGACTACAAATTGTAAAAAAGAAATGCCTGGGCCAGTAAAACCTGCCCAGCCACTAAACTATTCTTCAGTTTATTCACTCTGACAAAGGGCTAATGCTCGTAACACACCTTAGAAACTCTTTATGGTGGCCAATTTAAATTATCAACTCAGTTGTTAATACTAAATTACCCTGTTAGACTCTACAACTGATGTAGCACAACAGTTTCTTAAGAAAATTACCCCCTTTATCCCTCAGTTCATTCACTCACTGTTCTCAGCAAGAAGGAACTGCTTCCCCACTGTACATTTACCTGTAAATAGTATACTTTAGATGAAGGCAGCATGAGGATAATACTTGCAGTATTTTTTGCAGTTTGGAACCATGTTCAGTTATATTTCATCTCACTGTTTCAAAATTCTCTAATTGTAGATATTTGCACATGTAAGCAAGGGCAAAAACTTGTATTACATTAGCTGTGGAGAAATAATAATTATGTATAATTTAATTAGTAAATTTGTTGAAGAAACAAAGTTTTTTTTCATCTGGAAGGTGCATGTCAATGATAAATTTTTACTGCTTTTCCCGTTTAGTATTTGGAGCAGATGGCTGATGCAATTCAGAGAGGTATCGAAGCTGCTCAGCAAGACTTGGTGAAAGAATCAGAGGAAAAACTGTTGGAGGAGGTAATCAAACAATTTGACCTTGTATTCCATTAGGACAGATCTTAACATTTACATACTATTACAACAATGTGGGAAAGTAGCTTAATTTTGTGCTGCAAGAATTTTGTAGCAGCTGACAGTCTTGAGAGGTGATCTCTTGTAATAAGTGGTGTACCTCTCTTTAGCCAACTTAGCTGCAAGAGTAGTGTTTTTGTCACTTACAAGAGGCTGAGATGAACAAGCTTGATTATTGAAGCTACAATCACCTCTTAGATTTTTTGTCAACACTTGTCAAGTTGTGTCATTTAAAACATTTTCCATATTCCTCTTTCCTGAACTTTTCTTCAATGTGAAAGGAATCTTTTTAAAAAAAAAAAGTGAATGTAATGTCACTCATTAACATGGTTTTTCTGTCTCTGTAAGGGTTTGTTACGGCAAGTCCCTCTTGTGAGTTCCTTCGTGAACTGGTTGTCACCTCTTCCAGAGGAACCCAAAACTATTGGGAGAACATTTAATCTAACATCTGGTAGGTCTTTCATGCCTTTTTGTTGTTTTAATAATAGACTGAGTAGAGTGAAATATCATCCTTTCTGGTGTACAGATAGGACAAAGCCTCTTGCGTACCATGTCACTATGTGATAAGACTTCCAGTAGTGGCCATAAAATGGGAGACTATTACCCTATTCACACTAAAGCTGTTATGTTGTAAACATGGTTTAAAATTGTTTTCATTATAGTAGCTACATGTACTTGAACCGATGTTTGTCAACTTCAAATTTAACACAAAAATACAAGTTAGTGACCACTTAGAACTTCTGGAAAATTCAGTTTTTCAGTTCTCTGTTTCAGATTTTCATTCAGTTAAACCCAGTTAAACTTAATATTTTTTGCTGGTGTGAATAGGGTATAACTCCAGAAGACTAACAAAAAAAGTATTGTATGAGCTGGTGCCTTATTTTTCTCCCCAAAAGGAACATGATGGCATAGTACTCTATTGCTGACAGATTGTGATGTTAAAATACTTCAAACATCCATCTCTCAGCCTTTCATTTTGAAAGGATCTAGACAAGTGTGACTAGATTTGTGAATAACAGAAACTGTTCTCATAATCTGACATGAACAGCATCAATGAAGCACAAGTAAACAATTACTTGCCCCCTTCACCTACACAGCTCTAGCAACTGTTACATTTTAATTATACACATTTTTCAGGTAATCTACACAAGACTGAAAAAATTTATAAATATCACATGCAAGTTCAAGATGAGGATGATGAAGAAGCAGTACCAGTGACACCAACAAAGTCCTCACCAGAAGCTACTCCAGTAAAGGAAAGCCCTGCAGCATCAGACTGAAAGAAACATTCCACACAACTTAGCTTCACTCATGTACAGTTGTCACCACAAGACTTTAGGATCTCAAAATAAAACCAAGTCATATTATTCATTACATAATGCAATATTTACATGTATCGAGGTAATTACCGACAGTAAGGAGAGGACCTGTATTTGACAACTAGATCAGTACTTGTATGAACATTGAGCCAGTGCTGCAAGGCATCTGTTTCTTATCTGGTGACAATAATGTGAGTAAAAAAGAAAAGGAGATAAATAAGTAACTGTTTAGAAGTATCATTTTAATGGCATCAAGATGCAGCAGTCACTAACTTGCAAAGCAGTGCTCTCTCTGTAACAGAAAAAAACAGAAACTACTCAGAATCTACCAGCAGTCAGACATGCTCCCCATGTGTCTTGAGTTGTAGATGTATGAAGTAGAATTGCAAGATAATAAGGGTGGAATTCTTTCAAACAAATTATCAATCAGAAATTCAGGTGACTTATTATTTATATGTAAACCTTTGGCAAGTGACAGCAAATGGCTTGAGAAGTTGAAACAAGGGCAGGCATGTACCTGACAGAAATCATGTACATGTTGAAACATAATATGAAACACCCAAGAGTAACAAATTTTCCAGTTTTATGCTGGCACAGAACCTGAATGTCATAGGTAACTACCTTTTTACTTTGGGCACCTTTTACATTTTAGTCTTTCAGAAATTTTTCTAAGGGCTGGGTTACAACATATTTTTGAGACCACAGCCTCTGGCACCTAGTAATTCTTGTGACACCATGCAGTTGTGCAAGCAGAAATTTTAGAATGATGTTGAGAGAAGGTTGCCTTCCTTAGAGTTACGTTTAAGTAAACTTCAGACTGTTCAAAGCAGGGGTTTCGAGCAGCAGTCCATCAACACCTCTAAGACCTGCTGTCTGTTTAGCCTGCAAGCAGGTTCTCTAGTAAGGGATTATCTTGAGGCACAGCTGCCTATTACACCATCAGCAGGTGTGTGTAGAAAAAATTGTTGAAACCCCTCCCATAGCTTCTCTATAAGGTTCTCTTTGGTGTTTGATGTTAACTAATGTTGGTGCTAAATATAACAGGCATCATCAGAAGTAGCTAATGAAATCCTGCACTAAGAACAAATCATCATTTGACACAAGAAAATATGAAGGTTTATTTGTGTAATAGGATTCAACAGCTACAAAAATAATATCTATTGTGGAGTAGTTACATTTTACAAGAGTATTACCAAATAAGGTAGATGGTAAATATGGGGCTTATTATTTTTCTGTTGGCTTTTAAATAATTCATCCAAGAAAATAATTTGTGTAGAAAACTTCCATGAAGATTGTTGTTTCTAAGTGTTTTGGAATGTCAAGTCTGGGACAGTTTGGGGATAATATAAAAGTGCAGGATTGCAAAAAGTGCTTAATTTCACCATTTCTCAATTGCTAAACTTGTCCAATAGCATTCTTGTTAGGTTTAAAAGTAAATTCTAGAGTTTTAACGGATGAAGTTAAATCAACAAAATAGTTTTTTGTATGGTGCAATGTTACAGGCTGCGGTACCAGGTAACCCTCTAACTCCCATGAGTGACCAAGACAGAACTCTCCAAAGTCAAATTCTCCAAACTAACATCATATGAATTGTATGGGAGGCAGTAAGGAGAATTACTAATGAGATCTTGGGAGTGAAAGAGTTTAGCATTATTATTGGCTTCTGTATCAGTTAACCCTTTAACTCCCATGAGTGACTTATTTTTTCTCCAAAACCAAATTCTCCAAACTAACATCATAAGAATTGTGTGGGAGGCAGTAAGGAGAATTACTAATGATATCTTGGGAGTTAAAGGGTTAACCATTTCATAGAAAGAGACTTTTATCTTTCTTTTGTCATTCTTGGTTTTAGATGTTTGAAAAGATTTACTGCTAAATATTACTGCTGGGTTCTTAATAAATCTGCAACACACTCCATAATTATACTGTCTGGTGTTTTTATTGATTAGTTTCTGAGGAAAGTCTTGTGCTGTGGCAGCAGAAACACTTTGTTGGTAATGAAAAACAGTTGAGAAGATTAAATAAACTACCCTGGGGTATTTTTTGAAGCTTTTCAGAATTTGCATCAGCATCTGCGTACCTGTTTTCACCTAAAGTTGATCACCATCGATAAGTATTTTTTTTGCCTAGCCTGCATTGCTGGTATTCAAATAACTACTTGTGAGTGTTCAAGGCTGAGCACACATTATAAATGGGAAGGTGATGTGTTTATAGGGTCCCTGTTCATGTTAATAAAAAAAATTAAAAAAAAAAAAAAAGGAGATGGGGATTACCCCTTCCTCTGGTCCCAAACTGAACATTTACACTTGCAGAGATTTATAATCATTTGATAGGAGGGTCCAGATAGCTACCACACGACCTTCAGCTAGGCTGCAGGTTAGTACATGCAGGTTTGATCCTTTGTGAAATGAGTTCTGTGTTTTTGGTTATGACTTAAAGCCTCTGCCCCTAAGGTGACCAGCAACCAATTCCTATGAACAGTATCACTGCTGAATCAACCATTACAGTAATAGGAATAAAGGAAATGCTCAACAACTAAAGAGTTTCAGAATTAGTCCAGTCTTCCTTTTAGAAATTGAATACACTAACACCTGAAAAATGCATTTTTTTCTAACTAACCAAGCTTGTTGCCGAATTTTATATTTACTTTAGATGACAATCAGTCGTTATCAGTACCGCTCTTTGCTCTAAGTTGTTCAATAATAACCCATTATTGTTTCATATCATCTGATGTTTTCTGGAGTGGCATTCTCATTGTCCACCTCAGCACCATGAAGCTACATAGGAAAAAAAAAAAAGAGAGAATGTAGAATATTGTGTAGCAGGTCATTGTACAAATCAGTTAGAAGTTCCACAGCTCCTGCACAAACAACTTGTGAGCATAGATTTACGTAAGTGTCTTCCTGGTGAAAATGTCTTACTTTCTCAAGCGGTGTGATCTCTTCAAGAATCATATTAAACATAAGGCACTTGGTAACTAACAACTGTACTTTTAAAATCAACTAAGACTTAATTTGTCTAGCTCTGCTAGCTTTACCACAAATACAAGTAAGAAATATACAGAGAATAATTAACACAAAATAAATAAAGAATATATAATAATTACAAAACTCAGGTAGTGAGTGAGTTGGATTCATTCACATACCAAAGGCAAATCTAGTGGATGTCCCCTCTCCCAAAAAAAAGAAGATATACAATACATATGAAACATCTTTATCACTTTTAAGTCTTACTTACTGCAGAGGCAATATTTATCCATTGCATAGCTTTCACAATAGCATCATTATTTGAGGTTGGAGTCTCTAAATTCCAGTAGGTGAACTGTGAAAACTTATGAGTGGCTTTCATCAATCGATCCTGAAAATATTGGAACCATATAGAATATGAGTCGTTACATTTCATTGCACCGTAGACAGCCTCAAATCCAAACAATTCTGCATGCTTCTTCTCCTTGATGAGAGGATGAACCTTCCTTACTAGTTTGGAAGGTTCAACTGCACTAAAAACAAAAATTAAATAACTCATGCAATGCCAAGCCTCCTGTTATGAAGTGCAATAGTGGGCAAGAATAGTGAATATAGCTTTCCTGTGTTGTTGTTGTTTTTTCGGTTCGTTTGTTTTTGTTTTGTTTTCTTAGTGTGTGTTGCATTGTGGTCTGGCCTCATTATTGTTTAAACAGGCCCCCATTCAAATCAGCTCTAAAGTTGACCTGGACAAGCCTGTTAAAACATCACAAAAAAATAAACATATAGAAATAAGAACACACAAGATATCCATTTTGAGTCTCAATCCATGAGAAAAGCACTCCTGAACCCAAAATTTTGTCCACGAACATTTTGAAGTAATTCAACAGGATTTCAGAGACTAGTTTGTTGGGAGAGACCAATACGACAAGGACAGACACAAAGTTGGGGTCCAACCATATTGGGACATTGTCCAACATCAAGCATCTCCAGATCTCATTTTTCTATCGTTTGGCATCTAATACTGAAAAATGCAATGCAGCCTCATTTTTGATGCCTACCTCCTCATCAGTGATAGGTCTTCTTCCTTCTTTCATCACAAACCCAGAATACCCTGTGGGTATGTTAAGGACACATCCCTTCAGACCACGCCCTCTAAAGGATGCACTAAGGGCTAGGAATTGAGTAAAAATACCAATATCAAATAACACTATAATATATCAATCTGTATCTTTAACCCTTTAACTCCCAAGATCTTATTGTTACTTCTCCCCTCTAGCTGCTACACATTTCCTTGTAACTCAGCTACAAGAATTTGATGTTAGATCAGGAAAGTGACTTTTACCTGATAAGTTGGAATATTCTCATTACCTGTTTGCTGGTTATAAGTATGGATATTTTAGGGAGAAGTTTCAAGTTAATCACTTTTAGGAGTCAAAGGGTTAAAAACCCATGTCTGTCTCCAAACCCAGATGGAGCTCACTGGTTACTGGTATTTGTTTCTGTATTGTGAGCTCCAGAAATTTACAGTTAGTGAATATAACTGTGATGATTTACTATCTCATTATAAACCTTAAGATGCTTAACCTCTAACCTCACTATCAAGTACAATAGCAAAGATAATGATTGTGTTTGAAAATTTGGTAACACTCTATTTTCGCATGCCTATAAATAAACTTAGTGCAAATTAACCCCTTTAACTCTCAAAGATGAGAGGCATCTTATTTCCCTCAAAAGTAACACCCCTGAATCAAACATTTAGATCAGTAGAATAAAATAAATGATCGTGAACTCGAAAAGCTCTTGATTGTTACGTAAAATTCTCCTCGTAAGTAGCATGGAAAATGTATAGGGAACAGTATGGAAAATTTGCATATTTACAGATGTTAGGGTGTAGAGGGTAACCTGATCGTAAATTTGTTTAATATCATTTTTCCGTACCTGATTCGCCATTTTGCACCCCCGAGCTTGTACCTTCGTCTCGCACAGTTGGATCGAAATAATCTGATACCTGAGCTTCCCCATCATGATCTACCTCACAGGCCATCAAATGAACTCGTTTTGTCTCTGAGCAATTCGTAATGACGGCTTGAGAAATCCTCATGTCTCCAGTTGCCATTTTTCAGATCACTTTCAGTTTGATTGCATTTATACTTTGTACATGGGAGGAAAATTAAGAGCTTAAAGTATCACGCGACAGAAAATTAAGCATCTAACGATCTGCAAAATTTACCAAGAAAGTGAATGGGCCTTTTTTATGGACACAACAACAACTTGCGCGGGAAAAATGCGCCGGATATCGGTATTTTCAGCGGCTTACCAATATAAAGTATGCGTTTGTTTATAGTCTGATTTCAAAATGGCAGGTCTTCCGGGTCTATTTCTGAATTGAAAATTTACAAGATTCCGATGGAATGAGAAGGGTAAGAAACGAAAATTAAACGTTAATGGTAGTAAAAAACATTGAAATTGATGATTCTTGGGTATTCTTATGCAGGGTGGAGACACTTTCCCTGGAGCAGGGCTTGGCAGAAGGTCGACCGTTGGACGCAATGGTATATATTTCTATTCCAACAAATTTCGGCTGTGTTTATCTTGAGTATGTTTATCTTTTCGATCCATTGAAGCATTTTTTGGAGAGAATTATGTACCAAGGGTAAATAGGTGGGTGTTTCTGAAGGGTAAGAAGAATGTACTTGTTGGTTTTTCTCATGCTTTGGGTCGTTAAGTTTCAGCTTTAATTAGTTTCTGATTGCAACATTTTAATGTGTACGTTACGTTTGACACATGCTATCACTCCTGATCTGACTTGTTGATTTTGATCTTCAATTGAGCAACCTTAGGCAATTCCATAATTCAATTCACTTCAGGGGAATAAAGAGTAGAGGAACACTGGATAACAGCTGGACAACTATTGTACTTAGCTTATATATGTATCGATCTTTGCTTCCAGTAAAATTTGCAAAAATGGCTCAAATCGAGAAGCATTTAAATATGCTTAATGATGTTTCATCAATTTTCAATTGTCAGCCTCAAGTCGAGCATCTTTGGACCAGGATTTGGACTCTATTCTAAGTGGTGGTAATGATGGTATGTGTTGAATTTGTTCTTCTTACGTGAAGACAAAAGTATTTTTACCTGCTTGATGGCCTGGGCTACCACACTGTAATAAAATGCCTCATTCATTACTATACTAAGGTTTGTATCTTTCTCACGTAATATTTGTTGTTCAGATGATCTATTTGGTGCAAGTGCTCAACAGCAACCAAAGGCCAAAGGGAGGTCTGGAACTTCAGTAAGTTTTGGTGAAGTTGCCTTATGATGTAAAGTGTGTATATGCCTGCTGTTTTCATCATTGTTATCATCATCTGTTCTCATTACATGTATAGGGGTATAAGGCAAATAGTTTCATCTTAACCTTTGAACCCCAGAAGTGACTAGTATCTAATATCTTTACATAGTATTATCACTGAATCAAACTAGCTTTAGAGTCATGACAATACAGGAAATGATCAACAAATGAAAAGGGAAGGCCTTTTCATCTCAGACTTCTTTCTAGAGCCCAAATTAATGCACCTTTTGTTTAGTTTGTGATGTCAAAAAGGGACTAGCCAGGACTTTGGATTTATAATTTACATTCTGACATTTAGAAAGACTAAAATTTGAGGTCATCATAAATTACCACAATAAATATTGACAATTTTTCGACTGAGCTACTGATCCATTGATCTTTTAATTATCCTAACCTCTCTTCCTTCCACAAGGGTCCTGCCAAGAAGGGAACACTGACGTCAGGGTAATGCAAAGAGATTTCTTACAATTTAATAAACCATATCACCAATGGTTGAGTTGACTGAATCTCAATTAGGTTTCTTAGATAGTGTAAGATAATGAACCATCAATTACAGAGCTATTTTGGTGGTAGAGATGCTGTTAATCAGTCTCATAGCTTGACACAATTCATATTTCCTACTGTTCACCATCAACCCCCTGCCTTATCAGTTAGGCCATATTACTATTTACTAGGCTAAGTAAATAATAGTTATTCAAGGGTTTGATGTATGTATCAAACAGACATGATGCAAAGTCAACAGTGTTTTGGTATTGGTTTTGCAATTCTCTTCAGTCTTCTTAGCTACCTCTTCAGTTGATAACTTCTTATACTTGGTACCTTGCACACTAGTGGGCAAAGGTTACCACCTGCTGGCTCTAACATGCCCTGTTAAACCATCTTGTGCAACCATTTTATTTATACTGGACTGGTATGGGTTTTAATAAATAAAAACCTTATTTTAAATGTTTCCCTTTATAGTGCCACTGATGAAGACTTTTACAGTAGTCTGGCTCAGATGGCTGGTAGTGACATTGAAGATGAGGATGAGGTAAGAGATTATCTCACTATATACCCTCCTTGGCCATTTTTGGGATTTCTTGATGATCAATTTAATGCAATTTTTTTATTTTGGTTCTGATTTCTTTGTGGACAGTCACTGTCTGAGGCAGATGCCAAAAAGATGGCTGACAGTCTTGCTGTGAGTATTGATTTAATTTTTATTAACATTCTCATCCACTGCAGTTGTATTCACAATTTGACAGCTTTTTCTTCACACTTAAACATTGTCATCCTGCAGGAGCATTGTTGAGACCTGCGATCAATTTTTTAATCTTAACTTTAATGATCTGATTTGATCCAATTCTCCTTTTCTCTTCTATACCTTTTTTTGTAAATTGGTAGAGGGAATTTGGTTTTTCATCAGGATACCACCTTCTAGCCAATGGGTTTGTTTATCCTCATTACCTCCCAGCTGGATAACATATGGTTGTTGTGATGAGAAGTTATGAGTTGATCGCTTCTGAGAGTTAAAAGGAGAAATTTACATTGTAAGAATGTGTTTTCCAGGGTCTTGATGACATGGAATCTGATCTCTTTGGAGGATCCTTGGGAAAGAAAAATACAGTAAGCAAGTCTCCAAAACCTGTAAAGGCTGCATCAGAACAGAAGAAGATCAATGCTGACAGTAAACTACCCCCTGCAACCTCCTCTACAACAGAGTCTGCTAAATCCAAGATGGCATCTGCATCATCATCATCATCTACAAAAAGTATATCTGTCTTAGGTTCTCATCTTTTTACAGACACCTTTTCTTCTGTTACTGTCAAATGGCAACTTTTCAAATCTGACAATCTTAAGAGAAGTTGTGCAAGCAATAGTGCCAGTGAATGTAGGCCTCTTCCATGAATGACTAAATGCTGATGATCAATTTTTTATGGGCTTGCTAATTAGCTCTTTGTCCTTGCGTTTAATTTGGGAAAACTTCTATTGATTTTCACAAAGCAATGTACATGTACATAAAAGAATAACTACTATATGTAGGCCCACCACCCTAAAATCAGTATGCATATTCTCCTTACTGTTCTCTATACATTTCCTTAGGTGTTGACAAGGAGAAATTGTTTTCTAACAATCAGGAGCTTCTCGGCATGTAGTTTGTGATCATTTTCTTTATTCTCCTGACCTTCAAGTTTGATTCAGGGGTGTTAGTGTGAGGAGAAATTAGATGCCAGTGCTCAAAGCCAGTTCACAATTGTAACTGGAAAGCCATTGAACTCTGCAAAATGTGTCCTATATAATGAAGTTTAATAATTTATTAACTCAGCTCAATGGAGTGTTTTAGAAATGTATATCAAGTATCAAATATATACAAAAAATTAACAGTTATTTTACTTTCAGCTGGTGAATCTTCCGAAAAAGCAACTTCCAAGCAAGATTCTGTCAAGGTGAAGGAAGTGAAAAAGCCAAGGAAAAAATTTGACTTTGGAGGTGTGCAATCAATGTTATTTGCATTACTTATAGGAAAACGTACACCCTTATTGATTTAAGACTCATGTTGATCTCTTACCCAGGGATTTGCTTAAAATTACGTTTACTTATTAGTAAACCTTTATGCCCTTGTATCAGTATGCATATTCTCCATATTGTTCTCAATAAATTTCCTATGGTAATGACAAGGAGAATTTGTGTAACAATCAAGAGCTCCTCTGGTGTGATCATTTCCTGTATTCTTATAACCTTAATGTTTGACTCTATAGTGATGCTGTAAGTTGAAATTATATGCTAGTCATCCTTAGGGTTAATGGGTTAATTTATCCCTCAGTTACTCAAACCTTTACAGTTCTTGAACCTCGTCTGCTAACTTGGATAGATTTTTTTTCCTGATCCGGGTCATTGTCTTAACAAGTTATTTTTATTAATTTTGTCAAACAAAACGTCAGATATTTTGTTTATTGAGTTACAGTAACACTCCAGAACTCTGTTTACTATTGCATGTTTGAATAAGTTGACTCTGAAATCTTTCAGAGTTTGATGAAGATGACCCCTTGGCAGGCCTGTTATCTGATGATGAAGAAGACCCAAAACCCAAGCCCAAGCCTAGGAAGTCTTCAGGTTCAAAGAACAGTGGTTCGTCTGCAATATCTAGTCAAGGTTTGTAGTGGACTGTGAAAAGTCTTTAATTTTAGGCACAAGTCATTTTGCCTTTTCATCAGTTGTGGCAATTAAACCAGTTTAATACATACCTCTTACTAACCAAGTTTGAAGTCTGTACTGTAAGTTACAAACAAAGTTTTTTCCACTTGGGTTTATGGTCTGATTACGATATCAAGGACAAGGTTTTTCAACTAAACTTGGTGGAAGTTGAAAGGTTGCCAGAACCTTGGGTAATATTCTTGGATAATTAGATACAGTAAATTTGCCTTTTTGGTCATTAGAATAGGTAGCTGAGTGTTTCATGTAGCTCACTGCACTCTCCTAGGGCAAGTGGTGTACAAGGTATATGTGAATACAGGCCCATTTCAGGAAATTTATTTCTTTTTATTTTGCCACCTAACATAAAAAGAAGGAAGATTACAGCAATCACAAAATTTAGGAAAAAACTGGCAATATGTGTACTACAATACATATTATGTACTTCCTTTATAACCTTACGTTTTTAGATTCCACAGAAGAGAGACCATCGTCTTCAAGAGGGCGTCGGCCAGCCAATCAGGAATCAGCAAATACACCATCACCTCCTGTTACACCAGAACATCAAGCTGCTCTCAGGGGGGGAAAAAATCAAAGTGATACTGTATCTTCCCCCCCTGAATCACCAGAAGTAACATCAGATATCCAGGGGGGAGAGGTAACACCCTCTCAAACTACACCACGGGAAAAAGGAAAAAGAAAGCCTAATGGTAAATGTTAATATCATTATGAAAACGCCTTGTATGTTTCTTGTGATTACTTGTAACATCAATATTTTCACGTCACCAATCTTTTTGTGTCTTAGCTGGTAAAGCAAAGCCAAGTAAGGAAGAGATTAATTTTGACTCAGATGAAGATTTACCAGGTCTGGATGACTCGCAAGAAAACACTCCTCGAGATTCACCCATTCCTCCCACAAGATCAAAGAAAGAGCAAACAAGCAAAAAGGAAACACAGGGCACATCAGGGGATATATTTGGAGACGATGATGACCTGCCTGGTACTGGTATTGCAAAAATGTTGTCATAATGTACAGTAGAAGCTGCATAGCGCCATTTCTTGATATGTCACGTCAGCTATTTTGGTTGCGTGTAATATGATTATGAAATCGAAGAGAAGCGAAACGGAGTATAAAAAGAAAATTTTAAAATACGAATCCTTTCACTCCAGCCTAAGATCTCAGATGTAATTCTCCTTACTATCAGCCATACATTTCTTAGAATGTTAGTACTGAGAATTTTGTGTCGGTGAGATACTTTCACCCTGTTGACTTTTTATTTAAGTTTATCTCCTCTGAGTCTCTGAGTGATAGCAGAATACAGGAATTTAATCAATGTCAATTATCCAATCGTAATCGATTGCCAGCGACTGATTTTCCGATCATCGATTTTCATCGATTGTTTCTTTACTCGATCCTATAATGAGGAATTACATCTTGTTTATACCTGGGAGTGAAAGGGTTAAGACCGCTTGCAATTATTTTTTAAGATTATGTAACTGACGTCAAAATTAAATGAAATCGTGACGTATCCCTGTGCTGACTTAATTCAAAATGTTGATGAGCTTCAGCTGTTTCACAGACCGATGTAACTTCTATTTGAAATTTGACAGAAACCAGAAGTGACAGCCCCACAAGAGGCTCTCGTTTCAGCGAACTGCTTGGTAAAAAGGAAAAAGAAGAAACTAAAAAACAAGTTCCTAAATCTTTAGACGACTTCATGGCCAACATAAGCACAAAGCCTCCGGCAGCAGGAGGCACAACAAACAAGAAAGGTATGGCGGAAACATACATATTAACCCTTTTATCTCCCTGAGTGACCAAACAGGAATTTCTCCTTACCGTAATAAAACATTTTCAAACGGTAAGGTGATGAGAATGAATGGGAAATATCAATAGGAGGTATTTTTTCATTTAAATGCTAATTATCAGAGCAAAACTTGTCAGAAATGTACGGCAGACAGTGCGGAGAATTGATATTAGATCTTGAGAGCGAAAGAATTAAGGTCCCAACCGAATTAACGCACTTTCGAAACAGAGTTGTTCACTTCCTCGAAGTCACTCACGGATGTGTTATAATAGTCGTTCTCAGTTCAGCTTTCGGAGCTCAACATGCAGAAAAGCTCGGAACCGTTGCTTCTGGCAATTTTTTATCCAGATTTAGCGATCTAATACTCTGAATTCCCTGCACGGAAGCCGCAAAGAACGTTGTAAGTTTAGACCCAGTTCAGTCATCTGTGCAAGCTGAGGTAATATGAATGGCGTTTGTTAACGTGCGCGTTTAACTTATCTTGGTCCAAGTATACTTAGGTTAAACTTTATATGTTGCAGTTTCCAGTCCAACTTCTGAGGAGTCATTCCAGTTTGGTGGTTACATGCCATCTGCAGCCTCCAGTGGTCGGTCGCGCAGTCGAGGAGGCCTGGCAAGACCAGACACAGCCCCCAGCTCCACCAAGCGTTCCGTGCGGTTTTCAGATGACCTGGGACTAGATGATGAACTATTTGGAGGTGAGAGGCCCTCGACAGCTCCGAGTCAGAGATCACCCGGAAGGCAAACAAAAAGAGATGAAAAAGATGAAAAAGTCAGTGGATCGTATTTAGATGATAAAGACCAGAAACCAAAAGGAGACAGCAATCCAACTAAAGGACAAGCGAGGAATAATGGTGGGTGTCTACTGGAGTGAAGTATTCCACCGTGCATTGGGACAATCAGCCAAGCACATCACAGATAATGTCTTTCAATAATTTTCGGCTTTTCCCGGTCGGATCGCAAAAAATTGCTCTTCCTAATAAACCAACAAGGAGCGAGGATGGCTAAGAACGGCGAAAATTGAGATTATAAAATGACAAATTTGTTTTAAAACAATTGCTAAATTTCTAAAAATGAAATATCCATGGCGTTTCTCCTTTTAATAGAAAGAGGGAGACTCTCAGGTGATTGGCTGAACGGGAATATCGCATAATTGTAATCACACCATTCGTCCACAATTTTTTCCTTACCCGTATACCATTTTCATTTGAACTTATCATGGGTTTGTTCATCCAATTTTGCCGTTACATATTTTTAGAATGTGTTTTTTCTCTTTTGCTTTAGAAGAAAGCAAGATCGAACAGAAAAAGAATCTACAAACTGAGAAACCAAAAGAGGACAACACGCCTGCTACACACGGTATTACGGTCTGATTATTTAATGAGTGAATCTGGTCGGTAGGCTTGATTTCCGCCGTTTTCTCGTCTCTGGTCTTCAATCCTCCCGAGAAGGACCACGGGAGGAGAGCGCGGGCTCATTTCTTAACAGCAGCTGGTAATCGAGCCTACGGGGTGCGGGGCCACTGTGAAATCCTGAGGAAATACTCTCAGACATTGACATTATCATTCGACATACCAGCAGCGGTTGAGACACGATAGCCAGGTCATTTGAGCGCTTGGTTCCATAAAGAGAGATCTGGACTTCCGTTTCGGCCCCCATTTTGCTGAGTTTCTCAGCCAGTAACAATTGGCTCACAGTGCTCCCTCTCCGCTGAAAAATATTACTAGATTCCAGCGAAGTTTTAGGGAAACTTGAAATAATGCTCCTCGGTAATCCTACTGAGGGGTAGTTACAATTACAGTACTCCTGGTCGATTCATGCTACCGAAACGTGTACAAGCTGCAACAAAAATTGGTTATAAGGATCGTATAAGGCTCATATTTCGATAGTAGTAGGATCGCAAGACTTTGCCGCACACCAGTGAGCCCAAAAGATTTTACTCCCCCTTATTCTTTGGTCTCAAACGTAGGTATTTTTGCAGTTTTATCTGTTTTCAAAGCGTTGTCTTTTTTATCCCAGGATCCAAATTAGGTGGAAGCGGCGGGGGAGACTGGTTAGGACTGAGTGGAGGTGATGACGACGGAGGTCTGGATCTTAGTAGTGCTCCTCTCAAAACAAGCACACCATTTCCTCAGGAGAGCAGAAAGGACACACCCAGCGTGAAAGGTACCCTCTGACTTCATGATGTTCGCGTCCCCTTCTGTCTCAAAATTAATGCGTTGCGTTTTATTGTTTTGGTTTAAGCCCCCCTTGAACGTCAGGAGAGGCAGCAATCACCGCCAAGAAGAGCTGGACGACGCCGGGGGGATGGTGACAACGATGAGTTCTTACGCATGCTGGGAATTACACCTGATGAGCCACCAAAACCAAAACAGGTCGAGTCAGCTGATGACAGTAGCAAGTAAGTTTTTTAGTCAAGCTAAGTTTGCTTTCTTATGGAGCGTAAAGCCTACATTGCTTATTTTCGAAGTTGATACATTGTTTATATCACTCCAGTTGCAGATAATAGTAGAAAAGTAACCAACTGACTGACTGGTGAATGATTAACTGAATGAGTTACTGACTGTCTGTCTGGCTTATTTGCAGACTTACGGACTGACTGAAGGGTGAGTACCTGACTGACTGACTCACTCACTCACTCACTCACGTATTGAGCAACTGACTGTCTACCTGTCTGGCTGATTTGCTGACTGACTGATTGGCTGGCTGACTGACAGACGTACTGACTTACTCCCTGTCTGAATAATTTTATTGTGTTGTCCAGGTCGTCTTTGTTCCCATGGGAGTCCCAAGGAGGCAGTCCGAGAAGAGGAAGGCGGAGGCGTGATCAAGCCAGTCCGCAGTCCTCGTTTGATGAACCAGACCCTGCATCCAGCCTTGGAGAACCCCTAGATAGGCCGCCTCAGGGGGGTCGCTTGGACAAAGATGACTCTGAAAAGATAGTGCAACAATCTTTAAACCAAGATACAGCAAAACTGCAAACTGAACGGCAAGCAGCTGCCGGAGAAGTTCAGACTAGAAGAGAATCTGAAACAGCTGTAATCCACGACAGTTCTTTACCTTCGCCTTCGGCAGCTGTTCCACAAGCGCAAGTATCAACCTCTGCGTCACAACAGCCTGGTCTTTCTCTCTCGCAGCAATACTCACTGCAGCCGTACACAACACACCCAATCCCCCCTCAAGCCAACGTTTCACTGCAAATGACAGCTCAACCTTCAGCTCAGCAGATGTATCCTCAGCCTCAACATTTCTCTCCTTCACAGTTCCAAACAACTTCTTTTGCCTCATCTACTGGTCAAAATACCTCCCAGACCCTTCCATACCAACCTTATTACCAGTCCACAGCTGGATTTCAACCATCTCCCCAGGCCATCCAACCGTCGTCGATAGAAAGGCTTGAAATGACAAAATTGAAAGCCGAAAGTGAGCTGCAGCAGAATAGACTGCTGGAATACGAACTAGTTAACGAACAGCACATGCAGCAGAAGACAAGACTAGAAGAAGAAGTGAGGGAGCTTATGAAAAAGGTACAAGAGAGGGAAAACGTCCGACAGAGAACAGACTTGGACGCTTCCAGTAAATTGTCAGAGTTGGAAGGGAAGGTATGAGGTTAGGAGTTAAATTCCTGGGGAACAATAACAGATCTGATATTCTATTATTAGGGGTTGTGAATGACCTATGCAAAAAAAAAAAGCACTTACAAAATGTTCATCAAAGCATACAGGCCTCAAAGTTTCGAGCTTCTACTACTGATACCTGTCTCGAAGTGTCAATGTTCGTTGCTCGCGGTTTTCAATTCACCGTCAAAAGTAATTCGGGTTGGGTTTGGTTTTGCTTTAATTTTCCCTATGATTGCTTCAGAAAACTCGCGTCACCCTCTCGACCAATCAAATGCAAAACGAAAACCAGTATCACTCGCGTTTTTCCCGCGTTTCATTGGCTCCTTGCCATATTTCCCTTTGCTCTGATTGGCTGTTGTGATTACTCTTTTGAAGTGTGTTTTGAAGTTAAAAGTGAATATTACTTTACTCGTGATTCAAATACAGGTCCGCCGTTATGAGCTTGAGCGGGAACAACTTCTGACTACGATTGAAACGTTGAAAACAAGACACAAAGATGAGCTGGCTAACATAGATGCCTCTCACAAGTAAGATTGTTTCCCTGCTAGAGTGATGTATCAGTTAACTAGGCAATTTTGCATCTTATTTTGAGCAACTTAACTATGTGGGATTTTCATTGTCATAACCAATCAGCTGGTTGGTCTGAATACTCCTTCGAATAGACAAGTAATATTTTATATAAAACGATGCGTTCTTCACCAAATCAAGAATTCTCTTTGAAAGGCTTTCCACGAGAAGAAATTTACGATTTGCTCATCAACTTCACCTTGTAGCTGGCCAAAAATTGAAATCTTACTCAACCTACTCAACCAAACGAGTGCAAAATTTACGAACCATTTCATGATTTCGTTTGGTTATTTTTTTTTCAACCAGATCTCACTTGAAGACCTTGGAGGAATCATACCAACGTCGCGAACAAAGGCTACAAGATGAGACCGACCTTATCATCAAACAAAACAGTGAGAAGTTAAAAACTTTGGAAACGGAGAAGGCTGACATACGAGCAGCTAACAACCGAAAACTTTCAATGTTAGAGACAGCGAAAAACAACGAGATAGAAACGTTAAAAGATCTTCATCGACGAGCCATGGAACAATTACGCCACGAACACGAAGATGAGATGGCGCATCTCCGAAGGCTTAAAGAGCAGGAGGTGTCGGCGGCTACAAGCGCGCATGCTCACACCAAGTCGCTCCAGTCCCTTATGGACCACGTTTTAAATTCGACTCGAGAAGTGAGTGACTTGCGACAGAAGATTGAGGTTACTCACAAAAGTGGTTTGGAAGAGCGCGAACTCTCCGCAAGAGCTCGGGACGACTACCTGAAACAATTGCAGGAAAGGTTACTACGGCAGCAATCTGAGAATGACGAGGAGAGGACCAGGTTGCAAGGCAAGTTACGTCAGCTCTTACTCTGTGATCGAATCCGAAAGGAGAAAAAAATGAAGAAGTCTTGTAATGGTCGCAAGAAATTAAACCAGGACAAAAGCAAACATTTAAACGAAAAAGGAAACAACTTTGATAATAAAACAAAAGAGTGAAACATTCTGATTGCCTACCTCTGTATGAATTCAAACTTTCAGTAACGATTTGTTAATCTTACAGGTCTGGTCGCCAAGATGGAGTTGCACATGCGCGAGCAGTCTCGACAGGTTGATCAAGAAAGATGGCGTCTTACTCAAGAGGAATCAAGGTTGAAAGCTGTTCAAGCCGCACTGGAAGACGAGAGACGAATAACTATGGAACAGCTCTCCTTGCAAAGAGCTGAGGTACACGTATATTATTGAAATCTAATTTCGCGAGTAAAAGCAACGTTTTTCGCGCACGCTGGCTCTGAAATTAAAGAAATGTACGACAGTTAGTGAGGAGAATTTCTTTGCCCAAGTTAATAGCACCAACCAGTAAACCCTTATTTATCAGTGGGAAGTATTTTCCTTTGGTCGGCCTCTCTTGATGAGTGAGATCGCAAGATAAAACTGGAATTGCGACTTTCAGTTCAACTTTACCTAAGGAAATGAAAGTGAGAAGACTGCGCATTTGTTACTGAAGTCTCACCTGAACGGGAAAAGTACGATAGACGCTGTCATTTTTTTTTACATTTTTAGGAAAATATAGCGGCGAAAATAAGATAGCATGTTAATATTCTGCTGAAGTAAATCGCATGCATTTTGATACCGACAAAGTCTAAGATAAGGCTTGAGTAACTTTGGCAATGAAAGTCTCCAGCATGTATTCCTTTTCCCTAAACACTCTGTCCCTTGATGACGTTTTCTTGCTGACACCGAAACACTGTCTCGAACGTGCGATCCTGTCTTTTTTCTTCCATTAGGTACAGCGCGCCCGAGATGACCTGGTACGAGAACAAAGAACTGCTATGGGTCAGATACAAGAAGAGCGGCGATCACTGGCCACGGAACGAGCCCAGCTCTCCTCTGCTCACAGAGACCTGATCAGCAGAGAGAAATTGAAGACTGAGACGAGTGTACAGGTGAGAACGCTTTCGAATTCTGTTTTGTTTTCTTGGGTCAGGCTAAGGCCGACCATGGAGAAATTCAATTAGTTTTTTTTTTATGTTTTCTTGGGTCAGGCTGAGGCTGATCTTGGAGCAACTGCAGTAAAGATTAAAGAGGACGCCGCTGCCTTGAATGTAAGGGAGGCTCAGCTGAAACAGCAAGAGGAGAGATTGAGGAGAGAGCAGGAAGAATTCGAGCGGAAGCGGATTGGATTTGAGGAAGAGAGGGACAGAATAGGAAAGTTGGGCCTCGAGGTGCAGAAGAGATCACGGGAGATCGAGGAACTTTGCGCAGTAAGTTTCCGCTTCCAGATTTTTTTTTGTAAATCCCTTTTTTTCCAGTACCTACCTACGATGATATTCAACAACAGACTTGCACTTGCACTCTCATTAACTAAATATTTTTTCTCCTAGGATGCTGGTCGGGCGCGCAATGACGGTGAGCATGCCCTGGAACTAGCAGAACGCGTGCGAGTAAATGCGGAGGCTCAAAGAGCGGAAGCTGAAGGAATGTTCCTGGTCGTGCAGGAGAAAGAACGGCAACTGGCACAGGTATGATATTCAGTCAAATGAAGTAATATTAGCAATATTTGTCCTATAATCATTTCCCTGTCAGATAGGCGCATTTGGGGTAAAGTTGCGGAATTTCTATTTCTCTGACTGAATGTTTAACTTGAATCTAAGTTAAAACTTTTGAACCCAAAGAGGTGACTTGCACCTTATTTCTCCTAACACTGTCACTGCTAGATTAAATTTTACGGTTATGAGAATAAAGAAAATGATCACAACAGAAAGGAGCTCTTGTGATATTTTACCATCTCTTTTATCTTACGTTATGTTTTTCTTGTCGAAGGTAATTTTTTTACGTCGCAACAAACAATTCAAAAGTATAACGACGTAGCTACCTGAAATTTCAAAAAAGGCATGGCGCCTGTGTGTAACGAGTCGGAGACTGAAATCGCGGGCACACTCATGATGAGCAAAGCGCAGATTCTGGCAGGTTATGATGTCTGTGCGGGCAATGTTCGCATTGTTTTCATCTCAGACCCTAAAAGGGTTACAGCAAGTTATACCACATCCGTTTCAAACTTGGCATGTGATTTGAATTGCTTCTATCCATATTTCTTTTGTTTCAGCGCGCTTTCTGTCGCCAAGGTTGATAAAAACCAGGGGAAATGAACAATCTCTATCTTTGCTGCCTTTCCATTTTACTTTCAGACTTTTATTATCATTATTATTATTATTATTATTATTATTATTATTATTATTATTATTTATTATTCTTGCGCCGTTCTTTCTAAAAGCTGGTGGCTTTTCGTTGTTAACTGCTCCCTTGTTATTCGTAGGATCGTCTTGCTATCGCTCATGAGCGTCGTATGCTGGAGAAAGACAAGCAGTTAGGGCGATGTTGGCAGTGTGAGGGACGGCGGGCGAGTCCTGCAGGACAGATTCATGCAGCATCCCAAGGTATAAAACTGACGGAAGTCGTAAATAACACTTGTTTAATCTTTTAATTGAATTAACCCCCTTATTTTTTTAGCCTTTTCGCCTCCACTAATTCAAATATAAGATAGCGCCTTATGCGTGTTGAACGAGGTTCCGGTCGGTTCAGAGTCAGCCGGATCTTTTACAAAGTCAATTTTCTCTTGGCACACCTCCGTTCAACTGACATAAGCTTTGAGTCCCGAATGAATGAAAAAAAAAATATAGGTGACTCTTTGAAAACCTTTTTATCCGTCACCTTCTATGAATGGACTCTACTTTGGCTGCATAGCGGGTGCTGTGTTTGTTCTCGTCGCGCATATGGCTTGCTTCTCGGCGAGCGCCTGTTGCCCAAGCAAGACATATCTGTTCGTGGCATGGCTCCTTCAAAAGTGTTCCAGTGAGAAGGATTCCACTGTACAATAGTAGAGGATTATATTTATAGAAAAATGCTTAAAGTGGTTTGTGAGGAAGTATGAATATGGTGGCTCAGAAACTGCTGATGAAATATCTATAACAGCTGATGTTAGAAATTCGGCTGAGCCGACAGATGTGTATGAGAGAGGTAATCTGACTGAGATCAGAAATAATGAAGGCGATTTGCAGAAAGTTTTGGGACGATAGTCATCAGCGCGCTGTTAGGCAGTTCTTGTTAGCGTGGATGGTGCCTGTAAATCATCTGCGTTGCATGTCACTGCATTTCCGAAGACTTGGGTCGATTAGCGCTCAGTTTAGACTGCGCGGCACCAGGTTGATTCCGTTTTTATTAAAACCTAATTAGCACGGGAAAAATCTTCAGCGGTTAAGTTTTTGTTTTAATGAGTGATGATTAAATTAGAAATATCTTTTTGTCAGATTTTACGAAGCGGTGTTTCCTGTGGTTTACCAAACACTGATTCCATTATTATCCTAAGAATAATGTGTGATGAAAGGAAACCGATATCTGTGCATTCTAGAGAACAAGTGGTCCTCTTGTAACCATATTGATATCACGTGCGTTTCGTATAAGCAATCCTTTTAATTTCGATGTGTTTCAAATATGACAAGATAGAATATTTCCAAACTTTGCTTTGAAAGTCGGAAAATGATTTGCACGAGCGCACTTGTCTAAAGAATTATTTTTTTGCTATCACATATACATAAGCCAAAAAAGACTCGTCAAGAACGTTTGTCACCGAAAAAATAGTGGATCAGAAGTTACCTTATACCTTCCTCTAAAAGTTTCTCGACAAGTCTTCTCGTTCATTAACTGGCATATCCGTTGCAGGACTTGTCAAAATGTCGTGACTCCCCTTCTTTACTGCTAGGGAAAACTTGTCAAAGAAATCTTGCTGGTGTAAATCAGGCTTAAATCTTACAATTAAATGAACTGCAGCTTTTGATGAAAACAAAAAACAAGAATCAGGCCCTGAATTTTAAAGTCTCTTTTCAGTCCGTATGACAGAGATTCTCTATCTGATGATCATTTTATTTCATTTATTCTCATATCAACACAAACCAATGAAGTCTGACCTTAAAATCGCTGAATAATGACTTAACACACGATTCTCAGAAATCTGTGCACATATGAGTATTTCGTGTATTATCCACGCTCGTATTATCCGTGGATTTTCAGCTGAATAAAGTTGTTTTGTCGTCAGATTATTGCCTGGTGTAAGTCTCTGAAAGGAAGTGGGACAAGCGCCAAGATTAAAGCTGCGACAATTCTTCTACTTTCACTGTTCAAACTTTTAATCATTTTATATTTATATTCTAGATAAATCACATTTTTTTCCTTCCACAGAAAATGGCCCTTCTTAAAGGTCATACACACTCACTAAAAAAAGACTACTTACCGATTTCTTGCTCTACACCGCCTTCAGTCCACAAACAAAGCACTTCCTCCGTCATTTCACAACAGGTCTTGATTCTTGGCTTAATTTTCTTAAGCCGTGAAAATGTTCTTTTGCTTACACAGATATTAGTTCCCATCTCATCGATTTATACTAATCGTAAAGTCATTTGATTTCACAGTTTCAGATTCGCCGGCAGTGGACACGTCAATCCTTACCCACCCATCCCTACCAATGTCTGCACCTGAAACTCCTGACTTGTTGGTCAACACTCTGGAGTTGAAACGGACACTTCGAAAGTGGTCACATGACAAAGAAAAGGTAACTGTGATGTCTGCGGCAGACGAAAAAGTTAAAGAAATGAAGTATTAGACAAGTTAGTCGTATTACCTGTGGCGAACTAAATTACTCTGTTATACTCTCCCACCGACACACGGCACCACAGTTTCTTTAGAAACTTACCCCCTTTATTCATTTACCAATAGTAAAGTCGATAAGAGCTTTCCTGATATCATTCTGAACTTGAGGTACTTACCTTAGTATCTTGCTCTATTCGGAGAAATCGAACGATTCGGAAGAGTTCGTGATGTCGATAAGCTGAGGTCGAAGGTTTTGTGGCGGTTTCGGTCTTAGATTGGGATGATAGCAATGGGAAATTGTTCAGTTCGAGAATTGGGCGATTATTCAACGCTTTGCCTAGTCAGGCTGTTGTTATCTCAAGCACGTGGTTGAATTTATTTATTCATCTCAGTTCATGGTAGTCCGTATTTGTAGTTGATATTCTGGGTCAATTTTTTGGTGCCAAGTAAAAGAACGACTTAAAAGAGATTTTTCTTTTGAAATTTTTACCGTCGAGGTGGTTCTTGGACGTCTCCTCCTTTTGTCGACGTGAGTTGATGAACTACTATGACACATTAATTTTCGTCTTTTTTCATCAGGATGAAGAATTTCTGGAACAAGAGGCGCAGTTTCTGAATAGATTGCAGAAGTCACGTGACACCAGCAAGCTTAAGTCCAGTCTTCCTTTGAATTCAACTGTTTACTAATGTGATCACGTGAGTGGTATATCGTTGCTGATGTCTGTACGAACTGAAGGAATTTACTATGCGGTCTTGTTTGTTTGTTTTTCTTTTTAAACGATCGAGTCTCATAGGTAGTAAAACCGCACACGCACAAGTAAGGACACGAACTTATTGGTGAAGTCGTTCGTGGATTGCACACTTCTATTTAATTTAAGAAAGTAACATTTTCTTGCGGGCAAGCAAGTAAACATCCTTCGTCGTGTGTTTAGAAGCTACAAATGCTGCGGAGAAATATTTCATTATTGTTTTTGAGAAGTCGAGTGAAAAATTAATCAAAATGACAGAACCATTGAGTTTGGGCGACAGTCAGACGACGTGCGTACACGCGTCTCTTTTTTGTTGTGAAACATCTTTAAATTAATATTGTTAGCATAAGATTATGTGCGTTTATTAGTTTGTTTTTTTTTTTCGCTCATTACTCGATTATCTTAGTTACCTTAGTTGGCAATATGTTGGCATGCTAAGTTATATTTTTTCTCTCCAGTTCACCCTCTTAGTTTGTCATCTCTTTTGTCTAATGACCAAATAGCCTTTTAACGATATAGGTTCGTGTGGCTCCTTGCCAGCTTCTAAACTCTCAAATCTTTATAGTCAGCCAGTCAGTCTGCGACGTTTTGACATCAGACGCAATTTATATTAAAAAGAATGACGTCAACGGGATGACGTGTGTTGTTTCTTGTTCAATCGCTATAACTCTGAGATAGGCAACTTCAATTATTTTTTCTAGTATCGAGAACAGTTAACGGATCAACTCTTCTCGTAAACCTTACTTGCCCGCCAACGTAGCTAATCAGTGACATTTAAGAAACTTTTCACTTATATCCTATGTTTTTCTTTCCTTTCATTTCCTTTCATTTTTCTTATTTGGTATAGAAGAGGTTTGGGGAGGTCACGTCACGGAATTTCTCTTTTATTTATTCCTTTTCTAACCTCCAATTTAACAAAAACCGCAAAATGGAACGACATCAAAGATCAAAGAATACACAAGAAATATATGAGACTCTTAAAGCATGGAGAAGTTCGTCAAGGATTGCAAATGACCACGTACGCCAAATGTAGGCTGAATTGTTGTAGATGGGTATACCTTGATCAAGCCCCACTATTAAAAGCAATGAATTTTACTTCAATTCTTTTCTAAAAAAAATAACTACTTTTTAAAACCCTTTTTTCTATCTTTCTCTGCTGTATTAGTCAGAACATGACCTGTTCCAAGGTTCCGATTATCAAACAACTAGATTCTCATTCTACTTTTTGTGGCTTCAGGTCACAAAATTTGGAGAATTATTTTGTCTTTCCAGGCAGAAATGATAATGTACAGATATTTTACTTTGTGTAGCAAAATCATAATAAAATTATTGTTATCAAAACCTCTGGTAATGAGTTTTAAACCTCATTTTAGTAGAATATTCAGGCTCATTCTATGCCATCCTACTTATTGTAAAACATGCAGTAGAAATATAAATACTCTTGCTATCGTCTACAAACCAATACAGACTTAAAAAACCTTCCTCCTTTCTGTAATGTGCCATGGTCTTATTTCACCTTATCTCAACCTATATCTCCTTGACAAGACTAGAATTTGCGCCATTATTTTACGTCTCTCTTGTATTTTCCGTTAAAAAAGATAACTTCTGATTCCTCGCATTGAATTTTGCGCCCCTAATAATTCAGATACGTGCTGCACTCTGCAAACCGACGCAAACCGGGGAAGGAACTCCAGCAATTTTGGTTACGCCTACTAAATTTGCGGCCGAAGTATGTTTCAATCTGTGAAATTTTTTTTCAAATCGTCTTTTAAATTTTTGAATTGCCAGACAGCAAATAATCAGAAAAATACACGACCATACAATTTAGTGTAAAGCCATATTATCCGGCCTTCTTTCTGTCAGACGATTAACGTAGCAAATCAGTTTAATTCTTATCGTGCCGGCATTGCAAGGTTCGTGTGATGCCGTGATGTTTTCCTCACATTATTCGTGATAATTATTTCCGCTGGTTGAGAGTTTTCAAGACCATCCGATCGATGAAATTCCATTACAAAGCCATTAAAGTACGCAAGGGTTAATACCAACAGTCAATCAATCTATCTATCTGTCAATCATTCAATATATCGCCACGAAAGCATTGAAGTATAATTTGATATCATCAATCTATTTATTAATCATTAATTCGCCCTTCGTATATTGAAGCAAGCAGTTTATAAATACCTTGTGTGTCGTTCTCTTTTCTTTCAAATTTAGACTTTGCGATTTTCCAAAGTTGTCACAAACAAAAAGTCCATGACATGGCCCGCAAAAGCAGTATTTAAAATCGCTATTTTTGGTCCCGCTTACGTTTCATGTTGTACGCTAAAACCAATATTTCATTCTAAACTCGATATTCTGTTGCTCTTTGGGGCGGTAAAGTTTCGAAACTAAGGTGTGCCCAAAAACGAAAACAATGCTAACAACATCAAATGTATACGATATTTAACGGTGTCTTTCTGCACTATCTTTACATCGCGTTTGCCAAAGGATGTTATTAAAAGTTTGGTTTAAATATTTACAAATATATAGTTTCTGGGAAGTTAATGTAAACTTACTGGTGCATGTATTTGATGTATGAGGCTGAGTGTTTTTTCGAAGCTCTTTCTGAGAAGCTCGATGTTGTCTTGGAAAACAATGAAGGTCGTGATATCCTTTTTGTTGGAAATATTTGTCAGTTAACTATAGAAATTCCGTTCAACGCACGAAAGGCGAAATGTCACGTCATGTATTATGTATTCAAGTAAAATTCTTGAGAAAAAACGAAACAGATTCAATCTGTTTAACTGGTGTAGTTTCCTGAAGAAATGTTTACTCAAATTGCTGCAAACATAAAGGTGTATTCCCACACATACAGCCAGCCTCTGTAGGCTGTGAACCGTTAGAAATATTTAGGAGGCTCCCGACGAAAACTAAAAACAACTGATTATACTGAATTACCAACTGGTAATCGCCACACATACAAAGGGCATTGAGCACAATATAAATTGAGCTTTGTAGGTATATTGAGTCCTAAAAATTGGCAAAATTAAAACAATAACTTAAAAATTTACAAAGAAGAGATTTCAGTAAGAACGCATGTTCTTTTGAGTTGATGAAAAAGTTAGAAATATTCACCGGTAGTTAAATGTTTCTCAATGCACTTCACTTTATTAACGCAGAGTTTGGAAAATGCTATCATGTTTTTAAAGGATTGCCTAACAACGTGCAAGGCAGTCTATTTTAAGAGAGAAAGTGAACAAGAATAGTTTTAGCCTAAAGTAGGTCAGATAATACGAATTTTCGGCCCGGGCAATAAAAATACACATTTGTGTAGAGAGGAATGTTAATCATATTTAATTAATGGAGTCTATTCGGCAACATTGTCAATTGATGTATATTCAGTTGTGCTTAATATTCAATAGATACGTATTCACACGGACATAATTTGGCGCGATGGAAGAGAGGGGGGAAGATGAATTGTTGTATTTGGAAATGTCCGCTGCTTAGAGCCAACTATGAATGAGCCCCTGCTTAGAGGTCACGTATCTTTTTGCTCATCACGCTGGGGAAATTTAAATTTTTTAAAAGATTAAGCTGCCTTTCAGCCGCCATGGTGTGATGAAGTGAAATTCTAAATAATTTGATGATTCTTACAGTTTTGCAATTATTTTCACCTTAAGAATCTAATGACCTTGACTGTGGAAGTGCTTACCATAAATTCTGGTGGGCATATGAGAGGTAGCACAAGTGGTAATTGAGTTTTTGAGACGACTTCCTCTATAAACATAGAAGTTGAGCCTAGCAACGTGATTTGTTTTGTGTACTGCAGAAGTGCACGTGAAGTGGAGATTGGGTTTTGCTGTTGTGTTAAGGATATCTTACTCTATAAATCATTTCAGTTCTTATCAGTCTTGTATCCAGTTTATAGGCTTAGCTAAGGTTTAAACTGCCGTTGTACTTCGAAGAAATGATCTAGTAAGGAATTTAAATGGGCAAGAAAGTCTTTCCGTTGGTCACACCGACCCTTGCGATTTTCCTGGTTAACTGAGTAATTACTTTAGGATTAACGCATAACCTCATTCAGAGTGTGGTTTTGCGCTGCCTTACCCCTCTTCCGGCACTGGTTTGCGCATCTTTACAATTGAACGTTTGAGTCACAAAGAACTACTTGTATTGGATAAAAAAGAATTTTGACAACTTAAGAAGTAATTTTTGGAATTTTTTAATGCTTTAGAACTCGTGGCTTCTCACTTCACACGGTCAAAATCTTTCCTTTTTCATTAGGAAACACTGTGTTGTACAACCAACGGCTTGATCGTCCTATAAACGACAGTTTTTCCCAGGCTAGAGTAATTTGTTACGTAAGAGTTCTTCGAGAGGTCGTATTTCAACCGATGCTTGTAAGAGAGAAAATATTTTGTGCTAAGAAATGTGGATTCAAAAGTAGATGTCTTCTTGATGAAGGAAACAACTCAGAAACTGCAAGGTCGCCACACTTCAATACAACCAAGTCTTACTTCCTAGCTCCTTTAATGTATGTAGAACAGTTCCATTGACTGGAACCAAACTGGAGTTTTCTTTTTCTTTATAGGAGGGTAGGGGAGAGGGAGGGAGGAGAGGGACGGTAGAGGGGAGGAGTGGCTTGACAAATAATTTGAGGCGGGGACAAAAGTGCCAGTGATCTTGGGTGTAAATTTTCCGTGTTCTTGGAGGAAATTTTTTTTTATATTTGATTTCAACTTCCTCGAATGTTGAACATGAAGCTATTGTGTTTTGAAACAAAAATAGCAAATCTATTCACCAAGCGTACTTGGAACAACCCCTGGCGCGCGCGCCAATATCTAGTTTAAAATTAAATATTTTCTTACTTGGCCTTAAACCACAAACAAGCTCTTGTGAATGTTTCCACACGCAAAGGTCTCCATCTGGTGTAATCTTTTCCCAGATAAGGAAAGAGACCTTCAAAGTACGTGCCCGAATTACACAATTATGCAAATAATTCATAACTCCTGGGGGCCTTAAGCGTAAGCGACTTGAACATAACACAGTCCACTAGATAGGTTATGGTTATCAGTTTAAGTACCTCTTATTTAGCGCTCTTCTTTCAAGGGCCAAGAAGATATTGAGTAGCGGGTGGGAGTGAAGATTGCCGCAACAGGAATCATTTTCTATCATCTTCCTTAGCAATGTGGCTTCGTGCCCATCATAAAATTGTTTCCTCTGGAACACCAGCCATCCATGAAAGTTTGTTATGAAATATTCACCGTGAGCTGTCTGTCTCGTGCCAGACAGAAATTCGAACTTTGTTTAGACTTCTTGCTAACTTCATGGTCTGATTTCCCAAGGCACTATCACAAGGCTTCACCAATCACATCTAAAGCAATCCGAAATTTTCTTGCGCTGTTGATATAAGATCGTGGGTTTGAGTTTAGTCACGCACACGTCTCCAGACCTTGGCTATAACCAAAATGCAAATATCGCTTTAATATACTAAACCAAGTGAATAGGCGATCAATTTGTGTGATTTATTGTCGCTTATCTGAAGACAAATTATATCTTGCGGATACGAAAGACTTGCGCACGCAAGCCAAATTAATTAACAACACAATGTAAACTTCTTTATCAAAGTTTCGAGATTTCCTCTTGGATGGCGTTGGAGACAGTGACCGTGATAAATGCCAACTTCCTCAGGAAAGAAGGCCTCATTGTTCGTTCATAGCGTTCTCAGAACTCGTTTAAAAAGTTGCTTTTATATTCAAATTTACTGCACCTCTCTTAATTCTTAACATGATTGTTTTTAGGTAGGTGGAGCATGGAAAAAATAGCTCGATAATTTATTGGGAGTATTTTGAAAAATCTATGTTCTTAAACTTGTGAAGATTCTCACGGTGCAAGCTTCGTCCGATGGCAATGAATCATTCATTTGTTGTGCACTTGAGACAGCAGACAGTAAAACAGTGTTGAAAAAGCAAGGTGTTATGACTGTCTACAGACCAGCTTCATTCTTATCTCGCATTTTTGTTCGCGTGCCTGTTTGAGCGTGCAGATGCCGGACTTGATAAGAAAGACCACCCTTTACCGATCATCTAACATTTCACACACAAATTACCCCAGAGTAATGAGTCATGATATTACCAGAAGTATGTAATGATATTACAAAAATGACAACGTGTTGTTAGCATTCATACACGATCATACAGGGCTATCTGTACGCACCTTGTTATCAGTGATAACGGCTTTTTCCACCACGGGCCGTTGGTTTAGCGAATAAGTTAAGCCGAAGGAAAGCGATAGCTTTAAATGGACGGTGTATCAAGTTTAAACAAAATGACCTCTCTTTCCCAGATCAGCTGGAAAATTAGCGTGACATATTTAACATAGCGGTTTTCAAGATGTTAAAATCTTGTCTGCAATATTACTAATCCGCTCCTCTTTCAGCTATCGATTTTATATGCCGAAGAACCGAGGGGGGCGGGAAATTTTTAGCGTCTGTACCGACTCCTTAAATGTGTACTTTCACGATCTTGTTAGCACTTCCGGTCCACCATGCCCTTCTTGCGTCGCAGTGGTGTCTTTCCGCATATGGGCAGTTATACTCCCCTAAAAATAATGTTTGCAATTGTTTTGTTTAAACGACCGGAAATTGGAAGGGAAAATTTGTATTGGTACCCTGGGTGCGTCTCATGTATAGAGCTTATCGCTCATTGGCAAGGCTCAAGCCCCACTGCGATTCGCACTCGATTGAAGTAACTTCATTTACATTCATTTCAATTATATAATTGCGGTTTCGGAGTGTGAACGCGTGACTTGGGGCTGACGATAAATTAGTCAGATGATTTAATCGCGCCCGACTTATAACAAGCGGATTCGAGCTGTAATCGTTCAGTGTGTATAACGATACCCATAGTGAGTTAGTTACAGTGCAAAGTTTCGGTACGCTCGATATTTAAAGCTGACAACCCATAGAGATTCAGAGAAAACATGGCCCGTGTTCTGACGCACTTTTTACCGATTGTGTTTGTTTTGACAATTTCGCTGGTTACAACTGTCTTTCCCAAAAGGCAGTGTCCAAAAGCCTGTAGAACATACATTGTGAGTGAAGTAGATGCAAAAGTCAGTAAAGCTGTCAGGGTAAGTATTAATACTTCTTTTTTACTTCAGTTTAGTCCTTGACGGCGTTAATTTTATATCATTTATGACTTTCTTTTAATTAGAGCGGGTTTCTTAGCCTTTGTTTCACATAGAATGGTGAATTAAAGTTTTGACGTGAAAGCGAAAGGCAGCTATTTTTTATCGTGCAGAATCACAAGATGGTTTAAGCTCTTAAAGAACTTGGGCTGAGTACAAAATAGCTGAAAACAAGTGCTGTATTGTGAATTTTCGTTGCGCCCGAGACACCATCTAGTAAGTGCTAGGGACAACGGTACTTCGACGTTTAATTGATAAACAGCATTTTGAAAAGATTTCTGCTCTGTTGCGTTGATCCGCTTGTTAGCATTTCGTAGATTAAACTTTGCCGTTTATGGAAGTAGACTTTTTTTCTTTCGTGCAAAGTACTTGGCACGTGAAATTTATGTCCACTCGACTGCTAACGTATGGGCTGTCTATTGACAAAGGATGTTTTTGTCGTGAGAATGTTGAATGGCTTTGCTCCAACGGAATGCAATGGCATGCAAATTACAGGTTATGAACATCACAAATTAAACATTGTCAAGCCATCCATTGTTGTCCCAGATACTGCTAAGACATGTCAAAGTGCTAAACCAATGAAGAATGTGCAAATTGAGATAACATCGAAAACTAGGCCGGGATAATTGCGCAACAGTGGCTGAGTGGCCTTTGAGACGTGGAAGCTATTCAAAATGGTGGAAAGTTGTCATTTTCGTTGAATTACGAAAACAGTTCACTTGTCGTTGCAGCGCTTGGAACGCTTCCCGCAAAGAAATCGCGGTTTTTCTAGAAATGTGAGTCATGTTTAATTGAAAACACGGCCACGACCGGAAAAGGGACGATTGCAGAGAATGAAACGCCGTGAAAATTGAGTGATTTTTTTGACCGCGCGCATGAATAAACGACCAATGTTGTGTTTTTGGCCCTCCCCTGTGAGGAAACATTCTTAGCTGTTAAAAGCATTTATGTTATCTTTTAATCTCGCGCTCTTTTTTAACGAAAAGTTTTTAAAATATACCCCCTCTGAGTTTAAATGTGGCCTGTTTAGTGTACCTCGAGACCAACTCGTGACGTTATCACGAATCAAAACAAGGAAATCGAAACAAAAGACCATTTGTCTCGTGGTTTAAAAAAAAAAAGATCTATCAAAAATTTCCACGCTTAGCCATTACCTAAGACAGTTCTAAGTGTAGGTTAAAGCGAGATAAAGATGCACTGATGCAATACACTTTGTTTATTTCTTAACTTTAGCAAGGCAATACTCAATCTCTCGGTTTCTTTGACTACAAAGTCAATCTGCTTTCCATATTTATAACTTATTGTACTGCATCTTAAAATAGCACACGAAATAGAATGTGATTGCCCGCAATATATATTTTGCTCCAACTTTCTTTTTTTTCTAACGTTGTGTTGATCATCACACTTTATAAATACGTTACTGAAATATTGTGTTCGTTGTCCTTTTTTGGGAAAATTGTTGAGGTGTGGCTTTCGTGTCACTTTCCAAAAGTGGATGAAAAAAAATTCCTTTTTTTATGCAAATGATTTACATGGTTTTTGCTGGTCATTCACCATGACAAATACAGGCTTTTAGTGGCAAGGTCACAAATCAGAAGTCTTGTGGTATTAAATGGGAATGTAAAGTATTTTTCTGGAATCAAACGTGCCGGTCACGTGAATTTTTTGTGCGCAAAGCATTCCTCAAATCTTATCTGTCTGTTTCCCTTTCAGAATGTTGAAAAAGGAAAACGTGGTCCAAGAGGAAGACAGGTTAGCAAAATCTATTTTCTTCTAGGTTTTTCACGGTGGTTTCCGTTCCGTTGCATACGCAGTAATTGGCAATTAATCATTCATTCGTTCATTTTGATTCGCTTGCTTGCTTAGTAACTAACCCGGGCCTTATAATCAAGGTGAAGGTTAACTCACATACACTGATTTAATTTAATAGTGACAAGCTTACTTGACATGTTGGAAATCGAGAGAAAATACGAAGGGTGCTGTTTAAAGCAGTTCTGACATTCCAAAACAACAACAATATCAATCAATAACATAATGATCAATAACAGCCGCAACAACCACACACTAAATGGAGAAAAACTTAAAAAGCAACGGTCAACCAAAACATTTTTATGAAAAGGAAAAAAATCGTTATCGTGACGGTTTAAGGTCAGGAGAATAAAAGAAATAACACCAATTAAATAACCTCTTGACTGTTAAACAAATTCTCCTTGTCCGCACTTAGGAGATGCACAGAGAACAGTTAAGAGAATATGCATACTGATGTTAGGGTGTAAAGGGTTGATCATGCTTCCTCCTCATATTCTTCTACTGTTTGCTTTCATCATCAGGGAGTTCAAGGACCTATCGGGCCTCAGGTACTACTTCGTGTTACTGAAACTAATCTGTAACTTTTTCTGCACTTGCTAATTTCTGCTTATTCAGTGCTTATTTACTTTTGGCTTCACATCTACTTCCGCAACTCTAGAATATCAAATCACTGTATAAATTGTTCCAAGGTGATATTTTTCAATGCACTTCAGCGTACAATAAAACTCATTCAAGTCAGTTCGAGCGTGTGAGGCTTTACTCTGTGTAAAAGTAGGTATGACATATAACACGCGCTCGTTCACGGTCAACATTTTTTTATTTTTCTTTTCTACAGGGTTCACCAGGCTCTCGTGGAGAGAGAGGTCCCATGGGTCCTCAAGGACCGAGGGTAAGTTGGGCACTATTTAAAAAATAGTTGATTTCTTCGTTTCTTCCCCGGTTTTTGCAATCAATGCTGCGACTGTTTTTGTAATGTTGTCCCCGATCTTTACCTAGTGAAGCGTGTGTTGTTTGAAAACATTGGTTTCTTTTGTTTCAGGGAGAGCAGGGTCCACAAATTTCCCTTCCAATATGTGAACCCGGAGAGTACGTCACATCCGACGGGAAGCAGTTAAAATGCGTTAAATTTGGTACGTCATAAAATGTTTGCTCTATTCTGGTATCTTTTTAATCATAGTGACTTTGCTGTTTATTCAGATCGTTTCAGCTCGTAATATTCCTGATTAGTTACTTTGATTGCGATAGTCTTGAAATAGATCTTTTATGAGTAACACACCCTTTAGCACGCCCTTGTACCGCCCACTTTGTGTGACGTCATAACGTTCAATGAGTAACGTACGATAATTAATAACGCGTGCGTTTAAAAGATTCACTGACGCATTACGATGATTATTTTTCTACGTAGTTCGGCGATTTTTGAATATAGCCTCTTTTTTAAACTCTTTTGTGTTTTTGGAGTTAATCCCTTTGCATCTTTTGTCTTTTTACGTTCCGTGACGAAGTAGAAATCCAGTGTCCATCAAGCCTGTTTTAACGTTCCATTTTGTTTTTGTTTTTTTCCAGGTGAAGAAGTTTGTAGAGCTGTATCGAAATGCGACGGTACTTCAGGTACTTGTCAACGCTGTTTGTCATTACCCTGAGTATTGTTGCTATCATACCAAGAACTGAAGCGCAATATTCAAGGGTTTTGTTTGTTTTGTGTGGTCAGTAAAGCAATCTCTAGTTCAATCAGGATTCATGCTGATAATTGGTGATGAGGCAAGTTTCTAATTGTTTTTTCCTTTCTATTTATCCAGGTTACCAACCAACAACGCCCACTCTTTCCACAAGTAAGAAAAGTTACGCTTCGTAATCCCCAGAAATAGTGACAGGGAATATTCTACAGATTTCGGCGATTTTGAATTAAGAGAAAGAGGCTTTCATACGACTTTCAAACGATGAAGTATTCTGACAATAAAATTTTATAATTGACAATTTAAGTAAAAATGTGAGGTGCTTTCACAAACCATGCAAGATATACGACACTATATTATCACTCGTAGAAGGTGTTGCCTATTTGTTTATTTGTTTTGAGGAAATAAATGCTTTTTTCGTAATTTGAGCCAAGAGAGAAAACGTAAAAAGAGTTACCCTTGCGGTCAAATTTTACAAAGAAAGGAATTTTCATGATTTCAATTAATGATTTCATTACTCAATAGAAATAGTTCAGTGGAACAAATTAACAACCGAGCCCACATTCTAGAAAAAGAAATTTGTGGTTAACTAACTTCAATTAGTACGCCTTCCAAAACCACATCGACTGAAAGGTAGTGATTGGCTCTTTAATAGTCGAGATAGTTCTAAGCTCTACGTACCATTGCTCTTTGTAATTTTGTAGATAATATGGTTTAAGGTATTAATTGTCTAAACTGTGTAATAGTTGAAAACTGGCCTAGATTGCGTTGGTAATTGATGGAATGTCTTTCTCTTTGCAGCACCAACTCCCACTCAGCCTCCGGTGAAAGGTAAGATGATGGGAAATTGGGGCGAGATATAATCGTCTTTCAAGGTACAGCACAGCGGTCTTTTTATCTCGTTACTAACCACGTGACTTATCTTTTTTCAGAAAACGTCACCATGACCAAGTTTATGAAGAAATACATGATACAAACCCTGTACATGGACGCGTGGGACCTCGAAACGTTTTACATAGGCGATCAGCTTTTCCTTGGCGTGTCCCAGCTAGGAGGAAAAAGCTTTGTTATTTACAAGTGGGACAACGACCACAGGTGAGCATGTATATGCAAAACTTTTAACCCTTTAATTCCCAGAAGTGATCAACATAAAACTTCTCCTTACAATATCCATACATTCTTCAGCAAACAGGTAATGAGAATATTCAAACTTATCAGGTAGAAGCTGCTATCTTGATCTAGCACCAAGTTCCCATAACTAATTTACAAGGAAATTAGTAGCAGCTAGAGGGGAGAATTAACAATCAGATCTTGGGAGTTAAAGTCCCAATCAGGTTCTACTGAGTCAGGAGCCAATCACTCAGAGCTTCCGTCTTCTATACTTTTGCAAAGGTCTTCGTTTAAAATTCAGACTTGTTAAGATATTCTAGGAGATTCTACACCCTTTTTTTGCGATTGCTGTTGTTTCCAATGTCTGCATCAAACGCAGTTAGTCAGGAGAACCACTTTTCTACGGTGACATAATTTCGGTTGCATGATCATCATAACTGATAAAGGATGAACACTTCCAATTGCATTGGATCAATGCCTGTCTCTGAACAACTGTGCTTCTACCCGTCCCCTGACCTAACATTAATCCTAATTTGTTATCAGTTGACTGTTGTAGGGTTAGGGGAGGGGTAGGTGCGTAGTTGCTCAGATACTGACATTGATCCATTGTAACAATCGTAACTGATTTTTTTATCCAACTCGACCAGCGAGAAAGTCTTATCTTATCACAACACAAGTTATTAAATCCTTGTTCCAGAGATAAAGTATGGAAAATTTGACGCTCTGAGGCATGCAATCCTAACGTTTTGGTGTTTACACAAAAATTCACGAGCCAAAACGTTGGTCAACATCTGAGCTCCAACTGTTATCAATCATGACTACGAAGGCAACGAGAGATGTCCACTACGCCATATACAATACTCGTTGTATTAACGAAGCTGCCACCCAATCAAGTGACAGCCAGTTGCTTACGTCATCATGATTGATAGCAGCTCAACAGCCCGTTCTCTGGTGGAATTTATAATACCTAAAGTAGAGTAACTTTCGATAAAAATTTAAAATCTTTAAAGTCATAGTTATTTTGTTCTTTTGCAAAAGCAACATCGACGTTCATCGTTCTTTTGTGTATTTCCTTTTTATTTTATTATTTTTGGTCTTACTTGACTTGTGTTCAATAATTATTTGTTGTGAACTCAGTTAGTGTCTTTTCATATTCAGTGACAAATCGTTGGAACAAGATTCCAGTTACAGCCCGTGAGTGCATATTTCACATAATAATCCACATAATATTAATATTAATTTCATAATTTCCACACACTGTAATAATAACCACTCACTCTCACATAGGTATCACTGTATAGTTTCCCCGGTCTGAGAGCATTAATGTTCAACTTGGTTAACAGTATAATCTTCCGTCACCTTGATGGTTAGTTTTGGGCATTGTGTTCTTATTGTTTTTCTTTTGTTTTTTTTTTTTATCATTTTTTTTTCCATTGAGTTTCTTTCAATAAACCATTGGCACACTTTTGACCTCAAAGCAGTGACAAACATGTACAATTTGGACAAAACAAATGAAAGAAACATTTAGAGAAAAACGCGCCATTTTGACACCATTAAAATGCGAGGGTGGGGAGGGAGGAAGGAGGAGGGAGTAAGGGAGATGTTCAAATCACTTTGCCCAAGCATCGTGAACGTAAACGTGAAGACAATACAACCTTTTTATTTGCAAGAGACTCAAAGATGAGAGCAAAACATGTGGTTACGTCTTCCAGTTGAGTAGAGTTTTGAGTTTGGGTTAAAACTTAAAAGTCATAACTTTTTTTGTTTCAACTCATTAAGCAGATAATGAATAAGTTGATAAATAGCTTTATGACTTAACTGAAACGAACTAATGACCGAATAAATAAACTGATATTGAAGTACATGTTTGAAAGATAGTAGCATGAATAAATAATAGCAAGCATGCCGTAGATGAAAAATAACGTAACCTTACAACTAACTCTTAACTCAATATCCACTAAATCCACGTCAAACCACTTAAAATACTATGGTCAGTTTTGATGTTAAAAGCTTAACTGCTGCGTAAATCAGTGCCTAACAATTGAATTTTGTGTTCTGTTACTCATCTCTGTCGACTCAAACTCGAAACTCACGCTTCAGATCTTGGACGAGTCACTTGGACGTGTCACTAATGGGAAACGTGTTTTGATTATTTAGGGGTCGCTTACCCAAAATACATCGGCACTGCACATACATCGACACACCTAAGCCTTCCAGGTGCAGGCAGGCCAAGTACTCGTCACGAGGAAGACGATGTATTGCATTAAGAAAAGACAGGACATCGAAACAAAAATAAATTAGTTGTCCAATTCATTCTAAAACTCTAAAAAATCCGGTTTATATTTTGATATTAGAAAAGCACTCCAACAGACTGAGTTATCACATCAAAGGGGAGCCGTTCATTATTCTTGCTCCTCAGTGATTTTCAAAGCGATGTTCTTTCTTTTTGTAATGTCGTTACTCCGTCTTTCAAGTACATGGTTTCCATATACACCCTTTGAACAGTCATTTGAAACAAATTTATCCCGATCACCGCACGTATATTTGGGCTGCCTGTGCCTGCGTTCCAGGCGTTTCGTTACCAGACAGGTCCGTCATGGATAAGTCTAGATTTGTCCTCTAAGCACGTACGGGATGGATACTCACGTTACAATATAAGATATGGATAATTCTCGTGAACAAAATGTGTATTTCTCACCCTTTTCGACGGCAAATTGGCTGATACTTTTTCCCCTTGTCTCTCTTTTTAAGGTTCCGCAGTTTCCAAATCCTCAAAGTTCCCTTCAGTCGAAAATGGAAGCATTTCGTCATCGGAGAAGACGTCTATTTTGCGGTGGCTAGCAATTCTCGTTCACACGACTCTCCGATCTTCAAATGGAATGGAGATATGTTTGTTCCGTTCCAGAATTTACCCACAACAAAAGCCTTTGACGTGGAACCATTTAAGATCGGCCAAGACACCTTCTTAGCCGTGGCCAATTATTATGGGCGTAGCTCACAAATTTTCAAATGGGACGGTGAGAGGTTCGTCAAGTTCCAGGATATCGCTGCTGTAGGAGCGGATGTAGAGCATTTTGAAATGGATGGTACCACGTATTTGGCTGTCACAGGTATATCACAGGAGGATTTTTTTTGTAACACATCTGGACGTCAATGCAGGGTGGCGTGGGGGGGGAGGGGGGGGGTGGGGAGAAATTTGATATACTCAACTTATTTTTCTGATGTATTTACAACCATAGGTATTGTAAAAATTACTCAGCATGTCAACTTGACGAAGTCCGCACCGTTTTTGGGAAAATTGTTATGTTGACGTAATCTTTCTCTGGTTTGATAAAAAATATACCGTACATACGGTAAAAGATATTTTTTCATACACCAAATAATAGTCGCTTGAAAAACTCGTTTTTAGGCATTTTGTTGCAGGGCTGATTTTCTTTTTCATTTCGGCGATGAAAGAAACTGGGAGGGAAATCCTCTCTTTTTTTTTCTTAAACTAACCTAAAAAGCACAGATAAAGAGGATATAAGAAACTTGATCTTTGCATTAAACATTTGTCGTTATTCTCTTTCCCAGGGCCCTTCGCACGCGGCGCCTACGCGTTGATCTACAAATGGTCTGGCTCCACCTTCGAAGAATTTTACCGGCTTCCCACAGGAGAGCGTGCATATGGAGTCAAGGCACTGTCTGTTGATGGCAACCATTTCTTAGCTGTGGCCCGTTGGCAAGCACAGACCTCCCTTATTTTCCGATGGAATCAAACACATTTTGACCTCTTCCAAGAAGTTCCATCAAGAAGGGTAAGATATAATGTGACACACATCGAATTTCGCCAAGTGATTTTGGTGCACTATTGATTAATCAGCCATATAAAGTGAAATATTACTTTCAGAATACCGCCTTTCAGTTGAGACGATCATTTGAGCACCCAATGAAAAAAATGCCTCCCTTCCTTGTACCTGTCACTTACATCAAGAGACACCTGAGCCCTAGGGAAGAATTGTCGTAGAAACGAAGGTGCCCGCCAAGACAGTTATAGACTTGAAAGAAAGCAGAAAATTCTATCGAAAGTTAATGAAGAGGAAGTTGGGAGAGAAATGATCAAATAGCTCCTGAGCGCTACAAGAAATCAATGAATTTGTTTCATCAAATGTCAAAAATTTGAAAGGAAATTTTTTTTATCGGCGGAACCCTTAAATTAACTTATTAGTCACAATATATTGAGTTGGGGAACTTATCTCTTCAGCCCTTTTCTATTGTAAATAACCAGTGCTTGTTGAAGGATACGCATCCAGAAACCCATGCATAGAAATACACGCCTAATACATTCCTTTTGATCATGTGGTTTTTTTCTTCACAGGCACGTGACTGGATCTCAATCACGTCCCCATTCATGTCACGTGAGAAGACTTACCTAGCGATTGTTAGCAGCGACCAAGATCCGAGTATCTATGCATGGGACAGGTACTACACGAAAAAATTTGTCAAGGTACAAGACATTCCATCGGAGAGAACGCGGGATATGGTGTTTTTCAACATGGGTGAGAGTGTGTACTTATCCGTGGCTTCTCACAGAAGCACTGACATCTACCAAGGATCATAGAACTGCCTATCAGTTCTTTCACTGAGAATAAGACTGCCAAGTCATCCCAAATGTCTCCACCTTTAAAACCGCGCGGTGTTCTCGCGCGGAAGGGATCGCTTGAATGACGCATAGTGAAACATTCGGCTTGAGTTCAAATTCGTAATTTTCAACTGCTAGCGTTTTTCGTGACTTTTTACATGATTTTTCACCTCGTTAATGAAAACTGATAGTCAACAATGAGAACTTCATCAAAATCGAAAGCGTTGATGTTCTTTTTAAGGATCGAACAAGTTGAAGTAAGATTTCGTAATATTTATAGCAACACACATATTAGACAAATTTGTATATAATCGAACTTTATCGAGGACAGTTACCATTTTTTGTACCCATTGCGTACCTATGGTTTTTTTTGTCATCAACTTATGACGAGTTTGACGGCGTTTCCAATAATTTTAGTACACTGTTAACGCCAGAATACAATCGAAACAGAGTTAAATAAATCAAGTAGTCGACAGAGGGATTTATGCCGACATGGGTCACTATAGTTTAATAGAATAGTAATATATTATCGATAGACCTGCGTTTGCAGGCAGGGGAATGGTAGGAGAGGCAGACAACAAGCGAAACAAGGGGTAACTTACTAAGTTATTCAGATTTTGTCCTTGCACAATAGAACATTTGGTTTGTCTCACAGTTTGAAGAAAAGTTTAAGGCAAAATCGGAGCGAATAGATTTATTCGGTATAGCGGTGGTGGTAGTGGAGGGAGATAGGCACCTACGAAAGTTTGGGTAGGGCGAAGCAATGTGCCGTAGAGGTCCTGAGCCCTCCACCCCCCACCCCCCACCTGATCTTGAAGACTCGGACCCATGGGTTTAAAGAGAGCTATCTCCGTCAAAAAAGAGCCCCACATAGAGCACGCTCTCTCCTCCTGTAAATAGGTAATCATTGTTTTAAATTTCTAAATTAAAATGTTTAGAAACTATAATAAAGACATTGAAAACCATTCGCTTCTTGATTTGTGTCTCCTCTAATATTCTAATACTCCTAGGTTTGGCACTGTTTAGTTCTACCGTTTTTATGCCCAAACTGAGTGTTCTTTTAATGGTATTTATTGGGCCGGAAAGTAGTCGCTCAAAAATATCACGAGCTCAAAAAATATCACGAGCTAGAACTCAGGGAAGAAATTCTAAATACTTTCCAGTCGATGTATCTGGTAACGAAATATGGTGCTTCTGTCCATGAAAGACCATGCAACCCTTTAGGTGCGTCTCTCAATGATGTTCATTGTATATCTTTCTGTGCTATTTTTATTCGAGGGTTACAAGATATTTAATTTATTACCAAACCTTAGAATTAGTTGCATCATCCTGCTTTTTTGGATATTCCTCAGTGAAAGTCACCCTCGTACAACGTTTGAGCGTAGCTTGACATAACAAAGTAGAGCTGTTAGGAGACAACTTATACCTACTGTTGCCGGCAAAAGAACTCGGGACGCTAAATTGTTCCAGGAAGAATTCCTGTTATTTTAAAAAACTCCAGTCCATGTAGAAACACCGCCTTCCCTCGAACAACCTTGAATTGAAGTGGCAGAATCAGAAACAGAACCCAGTATTGTGCTGGTATTGGAAAGGGGGAGGCGAACTTCTTCACAGACAGGTTGAAAAAAAGGCGCCCGAAGATTTAATTTCTTACTAAATGTAGGACCTAAACATTAACTCGATTTATCCATTCCCTCTGGCTTCTTTGTAGTTTGAATACAAAAGGGGAATCCACATCACTTTTCACATCATGTCATCCTACTAGTTAGATGGATGTGTTTCCCATTTCCCCAACTTTCTCTTCTCTTCTTGTTAGGTTTACTAAAACACCTACTATCTTTTATCTCTCGCTTCTACAGAAATAGTTATCGTTGAATTAAAATGGTATGCTTTTAAAATTTTGGAAGCAAATGTATATCTGAAATATCAAGTGTCAAAACCTCATCAAAATTCAAACAACTTCTTTATGCAAATTACCACCGACCTCGCCCTAAAGAATTTATTTTGCGAGGCTAAATTTGCACGTGTAAATCTTTTGCCTCATTTACATTTTAAGGTTCCTCGTGGTTTGAAACGTTTCACCTCTCAAGCAAAGATAGCTCGACAAAGTCTTTGACCTAACCGAGTGTAGCGACTAGGATTGATCCGAAGCATCGAGGGGTTGCTTTCACGTAAACACCTGGACAGGACTGGCAGTTAGCATGGCGTTCTTACAACGGAACAAACGGTAAGAGCCAGAGTAATTTCACTTGTAAGTCGTGCTTAAACGAACGTGTTTGCAAAGTTTAAACAGCGGAATTGGATTTATCGAGCTATTTGTCAACAAGCAGCACTGTAATAAGATCTCCGTAAGTAGATTTAATGTATAATTTCATGATTAGAGGAAAAGTTATTGATGAATTGTACCAGTCCGCTGAAGCCAAGTGGACAGGCTTGGTGACAACGTTAATTATATGCTTGATGATAGATTTAAACCTAGTCAAAAACTTATCGGAGAATTAAGTCCAATTTTTTCGACTAGGCCCAAGAACAGATTGAAAATAGATATGTTTGTGTCACGATAAAAATTACCTGATTTCCAACCCCCCATCGCTCTTTAACATTCTTAAGATTCCCCGCATGGGCAGTTAATTGACGGTCATTTTTCTCCGATCATACTCTGTTGGCGACCACTCATTCCCAAAATCATCTACCCCAGGCGATGAATAATGACTGGCCCCAAAAGCGCGGGAAAACGCGGGTGGTTTCAGTTTTGCATCTGATTGATTGAGAGTGGCGCGAGTTTCTGGACCAATCACAGAGCAAAGGAAAGCAAAACAAATGCAATCTCGGATCACCTTCGATAATTGCGCTGAGAGCTAGGTTTTACTGATTAAAATAATTAAAATACAATGATTAAGTCTCTGACATAATCAGCAATTGGATTTCAGTTCCCTTACTAGGCTTAAAAATGTTTTCTTTTCTATACTGGGACACTGCCTTGAACTCTCCCCAACAAGTTCTCGAAAAATCTGAACCTGTTAGAAACAAAATGTAATCGTACTAAAATAACTGATGAAATAGTATCTTGATAACTAAGAGGTATATTCATGAACTTACGTTGCACTCTGTAAAAAGTATAAAAGTTCTTAAATTTTTGATCGATTTTGAGGGACAAACAGGAATGTCCGGGAAACTATAATTCAAAAATTTTGAATTAGAAACGAGAAAGGAGAACGGACTGCACGGTTTTATGTTCCAGAGTTTTTAAAATTGTAGGAAGCACTGTTTTTTAGTTCTTTAGTGCGCTTTTACAACAAATGCAAATTTATTTTATTTTATTTACAATTGACGCAACGGTGCAATACCAAGTTCTCTTTAACCGAGTAACAATTTAATATACAGTTATTATAAAGGGGTATTACTTATCAGATCTTAGAGGCTAAACTTGGGAGTTCTTTTCGATAGTATGTCGAAAAACTAAAAGCGTGGTAACACGACAGCTAATCAGAGCAAAGGAGATATTATTCAGAGCCATAGAGAGTTCAAGCTGAAAAAAAAAGCAAACTGCTCGAGGAAAACGTTGGTGATCAAAACGGAGTTGGTTCGAGGTTCACATCTGATTGGTTGAGAGGACGGCACGTGTTTCGTGGATCATTTACAGAGCGAAGAAAAGCATAATCAACGCAATTCTGAATTACTTTCGACACTTATTTTAAAAGTGTTCGAATATTTTTAGTAGCACAATAAATTCCATCATCTGACACCTGCGTTTTCTCGGTACAGTCAAATGACAAGCTTGAACATGATGCAAGATAATCAAGGAAGGAATAAAAAAACTCAACTTTGCTAAGAAGAGAAAGTGGATTTCAAGGACAACTTTTCTTCAAACAGTAAGTTGCTTATTTTACGAATAGATGATCATTTCATGGTACAGCTTCCTTAGTACATTTTAAAGTCGGATTAGCTGAGCAAAACTGTAAGGGAATTTTTTTACTTTATTTGCTCATTTGCACAAGTTCAGTTTCCTATCAAGCTAGAAAAATGTTGGTACTGAAAGATCTAAATATAGGGCATATTTACCCTTATGAAATTTTCAGCCGGATACGTCTAAAATTCTCTCAGCCACATCAAAATTATTAAAAAAAAAATTTACAAGGAATGTATAGACTCATTAGTGAAGAATCAAATCTTACAAAAATTTAAAACTCTGAGACCCTCTGTCAATCTTGAAGTAATTCTCCATTAAATCGACTTAAACGTGAACAATTAGGGCAGCAAAGATTCTCCAATTACAGTTTGTAGTCTGCTAGTATACTGAATGACCAGAATGAATTTCTTGTAATATGGTTGGAGCTGCAATTGGAAAACGATATGCCCTGCAATGAGTAAGTCAGTAGAGTTTACAAAAAGACAGCAGCAACGACAGGAGAACAGAAGAAATTCAAAATTCCAGGTTTTAACAAATGAAAAAGCTTAAGTCTAACAGGTCCTTGTAGTAATTAGAAATTATATCTCTTTCCCTCCACGAAGTCTTAAATGTTCCAATTGTTCTAAAGGACACTCCATCGAACTTTGCTTATAAAATGCTCAAAAAGTCTCCGCTTGTAAGAAATAAAAAGATGACATTGTTCCAAAGAAATCATGCTGAAATGTTTGATGAAATATTATGGTAATTAAAAGAAATGTTTATGTACACGCATCGCTCCCCGTAAAATAAATATTATTTAGTATGAAATTGGTTTCCAGAGAAAAATTTAGAAGACACTAATTCACAATCTTATAAACGAGAAATGAGGAAATATCAAACTGTTTCATTTTCCAGCGTATTTAAAATTTTATGAACCACACATTTTATCATCAGTTCTGGTACAATTTTGTTCTCAAATCTATTATTCAGTTTGTAATCACATCTATATATTTGATTCATACCGTCGATGCTTAGAGAAAAGAGCAATTCTATTTCACCTGTTTATTATTTCAGCTCGTTGACAAGCAAGGAAGAAAGACATACGCTGAAGCAAGCGACAAGAATACAAAGTTAACTTCATTCTTCTTCAGGGAAGATAACTCGAAAATAATTGTAGTGAAAATTTTCACCATTAGTTTTCAAAACTTATCCGCAAACAGTTTCGTTACTGAAGGTAATTCAACAGTGGTCGAAGAAAACAAATTGACGATGTACATACGAGCTGTCTTCCTAGGACTTTCAATT